TTAATTATAAAGTTAAAGTATTTAAATATTTATTTTATTACTTTAATATAAAAAGTATTAAGTTTAATTATATATTTATTATATTTAAAAATAATAAATATTATATTAAATTAAATATTTAATATTATATATATTAATAAACTTATAGCTTTTTAATATTATTTTTAATTATTTAAATTTAAAATAAAGTTATTTTTAAATACTTTTATTTTAATAAATAAAGGAGTATAGGTTAACTTTAATCTTTAATATTTTAATTTATTTAAATTTTAAAATTTAAATTCTATAAATATTTTTTTTAAATAATATAGCTCCCACTTAACCTGGCCACCCAATTGACCTGGCCACCCCCCTACCCTATATAAAAATCCAATATTCCAATCTAGAATAACTTAACTAAAATTAATCCTACAATTTAATAATTAGCACCATTAGATCCGTTATTGAATAAGGAGTCCAGCGGTATTTTTTACCATTTTTTATAAAATTTATTAAGCGAAATATTAAGCAATACGCTAAATGGGCGCTAGGTAAGGATTATTTTAATGCTTACTTTACCGTATTGCTTAATAACTCTACGGATATAAGTTGTATAAATCAATAAAGGGTACCGTTAAATAGCTCTTCTTATTACAAATCTAATGGTATATCTTATTATTCTATACAACCAATATTCGTAAAGTTATTAAGTTATCACGTGATTAGTGCACCGACGTTTTTTATATGGGCTGAGGGGGTGGTTAGGTCAATTGGGTGGCCAGGTCAAGTGGGAGATGCGTTAAAGTATTTATTTAAATCTATAAAGGGCTTTTTTAAATTTATAAATTATATTTAAATCTTTTATAAACTTTAATAGTTATTTAATAAAAATATCCTTTAATACTTTTTTATATAAAAATATTATTTTTATATTTATTTAATAGATTTTAAAGTTTAAAATAATAATAATTATAAATAATATTTTATAATTTATAGGTTTAATTATAAAGATAAACATTTTATTATAATTTATATTATTTTTTTATTTAAATCTTTTAATTATTTATTTAACTTTATATTTAATTATTTTTTTTAATTTATTTTATTTAAATTTATAAACCTATTTTTTAAATAATATCTTTATATTAAATAATATTAATATAAAATCTTAAGTAATATTATTAATTAAGGAATTATATTTATTATTTATTACCTTTAGTTATTTATTTTAATATAAATTCTTTTTAATAGCTTTATAATTAATTAATTTAATAATTTTAATTATATTAATAGTTTTTAAAGTAATAATAATAAAGTAAAAAGTAAATAATTAATAATTATAATTTATAAAGTATATATTATTATAATAAAGTTATAATATAAGCTTTATATATCTTTTTAAAACCTATATTTTAAACTTAATACTTTTATTATTATTATTATTAATTTTTAATTTTATATTAAATATAATGCTTAAAATGTTTTAATTTTTAATATTATTAAATAATGTTTTTTAATAATTAAGGTTATTATTATTATTTAGCTTTAAAATATTATTAAAATTTTTAATAATTTTATTAAAGGATTTATTTATTAAAGCTTTAAATATATTATATAAAGTAATAATTAATATAATAATTAATATAATATTTAATATAATATTTATTATAATAAGGTTTAATCTTTTTCTTTTTTAAATTAATATATAGTTTTTCAATTTAATATAAAGGAAATTTTTAAATTTTTATTTTTTTATTATATTTAATTTTTTAAAGCTTTTTATAATTTTATTTTTAAAGCTTTATTAAATTTATTTTTTTTATTAATTGTTTTAATTAAATTAAATAAAGAGTAAAAGATTTTTTAAAAAAAGTTTATATTATTAATATTTATAACCTTTTTACTTTTTAAAAGAATTATATAATTATCGGAATTTTAATTTTAATAGGTTAATATTTTATAAGATAAGGTTTATTTAATAAATATTAATCCCTTTTTATTTAATTAAAAATATTTTTTAATAATTTTTATTATTATTATATAATTATAAATAAGCCTTTATTTATATTATTTTTTATATAATAATATTTTAAATTAATTATTAAATTAATATATTATTATATAATAAATTATTTAAATAATAATAAATTTATATATTTTTATTACTTTTTTATAAATGTTATTTTATTAATATTACTTTATAATAATAAATAATATTTAAATTCTTTATTAATATTTTTTTTAACTTTATTAAATATAAATATATAATATCTTTATTTAAAGCATTTATAATATTTAAGGAAAGATTTAAAGGCTTAAATAAATTTTCCTTTACTTTTAAATAATAATACTTATATTATTTTTATAAAATTATAATATATAATAATAATATATATAAAGCTTTTATAGCTTTTAAATATTACTTTAAGGATATTTATAATATTAATATATAATAATTTTAATAAATAAATACTTTATTAAAGCTTTTTTATATAAAGTATTTCCTTTATTTTAATTTAAATATAATATTTATATATATAAGCTAGTTTTTAAAGCTTAATATATTTAATATTTCTTAATTTCTTAATTAAGAATTTATTAATATATTTAAAACATTTATATTATAATATAAATTTAAAATTAAAAAGGGAATAAATAATAAAAGTAATAATAATAACTTTAATATTTAACTTAAATTAATTAATTATATATAAGTTATTATATTTTATACCTTTTAAAAATATATTATTCCTCTTTAAAGTATAAGTTTTATTATTTTAAAAGAGGAATTTAATATTAAGTTTTATAAAGTATAATATAAAAATTAAGTTTATATTAATTATTAAATAATAAATTATATTTCTTAATATAATAAGTTTCTTTATCTTATTAATTATATTAATAAAGGTATAGTTTTTATATTAAGTTAATTATATTATTAATTTATTAATTTTAATAGTTATAAGGTATAGTATAATATATAGGTTAATAAAGCTAATTAAGTTTAAAAATATAAAAATATTAATAACGCATCTCCCACTTGACCTGGCCACCCAATTGACCTGGCCACCCCCCTAGCCCATATAAATAACGTCGGTGCGTTAATCACGTGATAATTTAATAACTCTACGAATATTAGTCGTATAAAATAATAAAATATACCATTAGATTTATAATAAGAAGAGCTATTTAACGGTACCCCTCACTAGTTTATACAACTTATATTCGTAGAGTTATTAAGCAATACGCTAAAGTAAGCGTTAAAATAAACCTTACCTAGCGCCCTTTTAGCGTATTGCTTAATATCTCGCTTAATAAATTTTATAAAAAATAGTAAAATATACCACTGGACTCCTTATTCAATAACGGATCTAATGGTGCTAATTATTAAATTGTAGGATTAATTTTAGTTAAGTTATTCTAGATTGGAACATTGGATTTTTATATAGGGTAGGGGGGTGGCCAGGTCAATTGGGTGGCCAGGTTAAGTGGGAAATGCATTAATAAATTTAAATATTATTTCTTTTTATTATTAATAATATTATATAAATTAAACCTTTTTTTTAAATTTATAGTTTTAATATAATTTATTTTATAATAAAGTAAATATATTAAAAAGCTTTATTAATATAAGTTAAATTTATTAATATATATTTTATAATAATTTACTTTAAATTATAATATTAATTATATTATATTTTTTAAACTATTTATTTTTTTTTAATAAGGAAGGTTTTTTTATTTTTTCCTTTTTTTTATTAAAGAGTTATTTTATAAAGCTTTTTTAATAATATTTAAATAAACCTATTTATATTAAGTTTTTTTTATATATTTTAACTTTACTTTAATTATTATTTTAAACTATTAAAAAGGGCTACCTTTTTAAACTTTTTAATATTATTTAATAATAATTAATAAGGTTAACTTAATTAGTTTAATAAATAGATTAATAATTATAAAGGGTTTTATAATATAAGGTTAAGTAATAATTAATAATTCTTAATTAATTTCTTTTTTAAAGTTTAATATTATAATATATTATTAATATAAATCTTTTAAAAAAACGTTTAATAGGAAAAGGTTTATAAAATGATTACTTTAAAAGTTTTTAATTAAAATAAAGGGTAAATTTAAACTAAGGTTTTTAATTTAAAAATTAATATTAAAAAAGGGGGCGTTAAGGTTAATAAAAAGGTCCTTTAAAGTAATTAGTTTTAAGGTTTAATAATTAAATAAAATATTAACTTTATAATTAAAAAGATTTTAATTATTAAGCATTAAAGGGTAAAAAGAAACTTTAAATACCTTTAATAATAATAATCAAAATAAAAGTAATTAATTAATATAATTTAAATTTAAATTAATTATTTATATTTTCTTAATTAAAAAGGTATTTAAATTATATTAAAACTTTATATATAAAATAAAAAAAAGCTTAAATGTTTAAAAAATAAATAATATTAAATATTTAAAGTTATATTTAATTATAAAGGTTATAATAAATATTTAATAATATTTTTACTATTAAGTATTAATAATATAATTATAATTATTTTTATAATTATTAAAAGAAAAAGGTTAAATTAAGGATTTTTAAATAATTAATTATATATAATTTATTTAACTTTTATTTATTTTAAAAAATTAATAGGTTAAAAATTCTTTAAGTTAACCTTTAAAACTTAGCTTTATTAATTATTATTTAAAGTAATAATATTTTAATATAATCTTTATTTATAGGATTAATAAAGTAAAATTCTAATATATATTATTATTTTATATTTATAAATAATAAAGGGTTAAAAATAAAGTATAATTTTAACCCTTAATAGTTAAAGATATATTTAAATAAACGTCCAAATTTATAACCTATTAAAAGTAATATATATAATCCTATTAGATTATTTAGAAGTTTAAGTTGCAATATAGTTATTTGGATGGATGAAGGTCTTATATACAGATTCCTAGCATTCCAGTATGTGGAACGCAAGTATCACCGCCTTCTCTTTCTGACAGGTAGAAAGCAAACGGGCATATACAAGGGCATACAAACCATGGCTCAAAAACTCTCCGATGACGTGGACCCGAACCCTAACATTGATTCAGATTTGCGAGATCGTGTCTGCCGATCTAGTGAGTGCTCTCTACGACAGACTACTAGCCTTACTAATAGATGTGAATCAATCATAGTGGCTGTGGATGTTAGAACTCGTCCAAATCTTGGTTATATGCTATCTAAAACCTCACAGGGTGTCGCTAACAAAACAGAGGAACCCTTCCTGCTGAATGGAACAAAAGAAACAGATAGAGACATTCAAGATTTCCTGCAGGAGATGGTATATAAAGCGGATCCGCCCCCAAATCAGGATCCTCCTGCTCCAGCGGAGCCTGCCCAACGTGGTGGCCAGCGTCCGCCCTCGATAATTTCATTATCAAGTTAGGAGGGCGGATGTAATAAATAAGTCACGGATGCAAATGAGCATAAGAGTCTACTTTATACACTGAAAACTTATAATATTCTTGAAACCCTTGCACCTGTATATTATACAATCTGTTGATACTTGTTATTACATAACTACAATAGTGGGGGAATATTGGCAACAGCTCTCGAGATTTCTAGGCTAGCCACTAACTACATGCTCCTGAGACTCTCTACTCGGTCTCATCGTTAAAGAAACCAAGCACCCTGACTTCGATAGAGTTGCGCGGGAGCCTCGTCTTTGGAACTATCATCCCGGTAGCTTCCGCGTGGAGGACTACGGACATTATGACGACGGGAGTCAAAAGTTGGGAATACCCACTGACTCTACGTGTCAAATGTGGGAGTTATTGCCGCCTTCTAGTATGGATTCTGATTGAGAGGCGTTTAGCCATTACCCAGCAGGTGGTACCATTCTCACTAGTTCCATTTGTTCAACAAGATTCGACTGGGGTCCTTGTGGTATATGTGAGCTACAGTACACGAAGCTAGGAGATCTTTGCTTGTTTAGCTATCGTAACTAGGCTTGAAGGAGGGTTTGAGGCTGCTGATATGACGCAAAGCATTGTGGCTTGTACGACTTCATATGATAGCGCCTTCAGCTCACATGTTACACGTGCCGAATGTGTTAAACCCATTCGTCCGCGCCTTGTACAATTTACACACCTATTACTGACCATTGCTGAATGATGGGAGTTTTCAAATACTCCACACAAACGATTAAGGAATGATAACTAATCTATAATTCATGGTAAAATCATCACCTGACTTGTTTCTCACTAGTTGAGCTAGTGACGAAGGCAACTATTAGTCTGGTAACTAAGGTGGTACCCAGTAGAGAATATGAGGACATCTATCTTCTTACTGAGGCATTAATACCACTATTGATTGGCTCTTCCGCGTCTCCAGCCTACGATCCCAGGTCTGACGATGACTAAATGCTGTGTTCCACGAGTAGCCACAAGGAGCAATCTATAGGTCTCTGGGGCTGATCTGCATCAACTAAAACTTCTCTAGCGTTGATGGAAAATCATGTGAAGCGATTAGAACCTAAAGGTTATTGGTTAAGGCTCATTTGTGAGTGCAAAATCATGGCTGATGACCTAAGGTCCCCAGGAATCAAGAGCACACAGAGCAAGCCACCTCATTCCTAAACATAAATAAAGGTCTTAGTTCTCCCTCGGAGACATGGTAGATATCAAACTGCCACCTCGCTAAGTATAATAATTACTCAGAAAATCAAATATTTATTCTATCTAAATTTCCACAATGAAGTATCTGCCATTGATCGCCGCAATCTGTCTCGACATTGTATCATCATCTACAATCCAGCTAGAGCGTCGATTATATCGGCCATGTCGCACGGTAACGTATACGGATCCACAATGCTGCCTCCCTGATGTGAGCGGCGTTCTATATAAAGCGTATGTCCATCCTTGGAATTGAAGACCCTCTGTATCTTCTAGAAAGATCGGGCTCGCATCGTGTGCAAACTACCCATATCTAATATTCGCCAAATAGCTGTTATCCGCGTATGTATATATTCTTCCACAGTCCAGCTGTATCTTAATCCCAACCTCCTAAATCCTCCCCACAGCCGATACACAACCAACTAGCTATGCCGTTTTCACGGCTGCATGCGACAAGCAGATGAGGGATGCCGTCTGCTGCCAGGAGGTGAGTCTCTTGACATATCCCTACTCTGCTCTAGAGAATTTAATCATCTGTGGAGTAATATAGCTACCTGACCTATCGCTTGACCGATCTTGTATGTTACCTGAAAAGGAATAAGAGTGCGAAGGAAGATGTAGATACGACTGAAGCGGGTTGATAACAAGGGAATAATCTTTCAACGATATTTCTTGAGGGACGAGGCTTCAGGACATACTTTTCGCTACCTTGATATGTTCATCTTATAGTTTCGCAAGGATGAAAATCTATAACATGCCATGCATTTCACGTGAGGGAGTTCGGGTGTCTTTTCCGCTTATGGGAACACGGGGTTTCATTTTGTCGGCTCTGTGATCGCAGTGGTATTAGACAGCATGACTTCAAATATGGCAAGAGTAAATCGTCTCGAGCATGACAAGGTTTCCATTGCTGCGCAAGGTCATGATGGTGGCGTACTAGTACTCTGTATTTGCACTATAGAAGTTTCCGTGTACGGCACCATAGACGCTGCCGCGATAGGATGCGTAGTCCAGTTCATAGCCTGCGATGATATCTTCCTAAAACCTGCATCTAAATGACACCTTTGCGCATATCAGCATACACCGCTATGGGTTATAAAAAATTCGGGAGAGCAAGCTCGCCGCGCAAACTCGTCCATCTCAGGAATCGAAGCTAAACTGTCATTCACGATCTCATCCCCTGCCCCATAATAGGCCGTAATACAACAAAACCTACTACTTGCTCAATGCGCTCTGTCCAATCCTGATCATGTCATCGTTGGACAACATATCCTTTTCAAACCCGGTCACGGCCTGATGGAGAAGAGCTGCAGCGATATCGCGACGCTCGATCTGTGGCAGACCAGGAATTGATGGCACTTTCCTATCCGGTGCGGAAATAAGCCCGGGCTTGGCGATACATGCAACCAACGCATTGTTGGTCTGGTCTGCATACGCAAGGATTTCATCTTCCAGTTTACCCTACATTTGTTGGCACTCTCACTCTATAAGCTCTGTAGGCATGGTGAATAGAAATAGCAACGTACCCGAAGCAGGGCCATTTCGAGGATCCCACTATCCATAGGCTGTGTGACCTCAGATCGGTCGCGGGGGGCGAAGTGCCCATTGATGTATATAAAACGGAGCGGTCCATCTTGTTTGCGTGGCACAGCTGCCATGGTCTCGATAGCCGCAAGAGCGTAGCCCCGGCAGACCTTCACTGTCTCCTCCCAGGATGAGGACTTGAGTTTTGCCGGGGTCACAGCGATAGTCCTGCTACTGTGTCAGGCCATGAACTTGAAACCAACAGGTAGCAGGATATTGCCAACTTTACCAGATACAAGCATCAGCATTCTCCAGTTCCTTCTTGACATGGTCTGGATAATGTTCAAAGTCGTCGCAAACAACCGAGACCAACTTAGCCGTAGTGCTGGGCGACTCGGCGGGCGCTGGTGTTTCACGCCGGCTGATACCGACGACGGTCGTGATGGCGGGGTGAGACAGAGCTTGTTGAATGAGCTCTGCACCGACAAATCCAGTCGATCCTCCGATTATGAGCTTCATTGCTAAGCGCCAAGATTCAGAGATGCGATATGCGAGATTAAGGTAGAAATGTCCGTCAGTCGAGTTAGTATAAGGATTGTCGCGAGGGTGGGTTCATATGAAGGCTGTTATTAATCTTGCATGGACGGTCGGCGGTTATCTGTTGGTATTCAATCACCCTGCATGAAACTTTTCATAAATTCTTATTATACAATAGTTTATAGGTAGTTAGTCTAATAGTTACTTATAGCAGAGGTTAGTATCTCCGGTTCGCGATTGGCCGGTTGGTGGAAAACAGAGAACCCCCGACCGTTCCGACCGTCCACCATAGCACGGGATTAACGGCATCGTTTTTGTCCGTGGCAAGGGTAAGAGCAGAACTTTTGTGCACATTGACAACATCGGAGGTTCCTTAATCACATGTTCATTGTGTGCCAGAACTAACATTAGGCTTATAATTGGTCGAACGGCTATCAAACTCATACATTGCTCAACGGGCATGGCGGGGCTCGGGGCGAAACATACTAGGGTCTTGGAGGCAACTCAAGATCAATCACTCTATCGCAAATGCACAAGGTAAAAGACCGCGGTAGGATTATGTTGGCGTAGTGGCATTTTAACAATAGTTCATGAGCTCGTCATGATATCGTCCGTATCAAGGAATAAAATGTTTGATTACTTTGAATGGTGTTTAAATTGCTTAAATTGTTAGAAATATAGTCACCCAGTCTTGCAATGGACCCTTGAAGCAACTTTAACAATTAAAATTAATTTTATTCTAGATGATTACGTCGAAAGCACGAGTTTATAACTGTACGCTTGCACCCCTCCTGCAAAGCTCGCAGCATAACTTTCGTGTAACCCTTTCTACAAGTCTTGCAATGAGTGTTATTCGATGCCATTTTCTGTTCATGGCTATGACTGCCTATATAAAAGCCTGGGTAATTAATTACTGTGCCAACACTCAGAAATGCATCCATTGTTAGCATGGGTATTCAAGATATGCACTTTTATCATAGGTAGTAGCGTTATTATCCAGATTTATCACTTAGGATGAAGGCGACATATCAGTAGAAGTGTCATACAATGTAAATATTTATACCATTATAATCAAAAACTATAGACTATTCTCTAGAGTTAAACCAAAGCCTTTATATATTATGATAGAGCTGGTTGTGATCATGGAGTAGTATGCTGTGGCAATTGCCTGTAATCACATTATATATCATAAGCCTGGTTGGAAGACGTCGGGCGTAGTGGCTGTAGTATTTGCTGCCCACTGAACTCGACAGTAGATCAATGAAGATGATGGCATTAGATAATTCATTCATTTGCAGCATTTAACTTCGGTAATTAGTTTCAAATTGTTGTAACAGGCAGTGGCTGGGTACAACGACCCACACACATCTGTCTATATAAATTGAGGTACCCCTTCGCACTTCGCTACTTAGACTGTTCCTACTGGCAATATATCACACTGTACACCAACCACAACCTCATAATATCAACATGATCGTGTGTTACCAGTCCAACAAAATAGTCGCAGGCTGGAAGTCTTCAGAAACTCCTCCCACGTTCGGTTGCCTCTGTTTGTTGTTGAGCGTTATGTACGTCATTATCTTTTTCACATCCTCATGATCTGGTCCTAGTACCTGCTCCATTTTCCTAAGTGCTCTTCTATATTCTTGATCTGCCTCATCAAAGCGCCGCTCGAGTGTGTACATCATCGCAACGTTCGTCATTAGCTTTAGAGTTTCTGGGTGCTCGTCACCAAGAACAATGGCTGTAGCATTGCACACCGATGAGTAAATCCCCTTTGCTTGGCTGTATTTCCCCTGTTGCTGTAAAGTCAAAGCTAGCCTTGCCCCAGTCCTTAGTGTCAAGGGATGGTAGTCGCCAAGTGTGCGAGAGTGCGATGAGTTGGCCCTTCGCCAAATAATCTCAGCTTTCGCATGTTCGCCTTCTTCCTGATATTGAGATGCAGCCAAGTCGGCACACCTTATTGTGCGAATATGTGTCGGGCCCAAAGCATACTCCATGTCGTGTAGATCATTTAAAAGCAGTTCGGCCCTCAGAGTTATCTTTTGATTATAGAACTGCTTCGCCAAATCGTGTCGCCCCTGGCGTCGACACGCATGTCCCAAAATATGCCAGTCTACTTCTTCTGGTGATAGAACTTCGATGTAATTCACACATCGTTCCATATATGGGAGGAGCTCCTCCTCCAATCGATATTGCTTGGAGGTGTAAGTTATAGAGCTTATACCTCCTATAGCAGATTCTAGATACGACGATACACTCGAACAAGCTATCTTAGCTCGCGATTTATAGTCCGGAGTGTTTACTTTGTCTCTCAACATCTCTGTCCATCTGGAGTTAACCAGTGCAGTCATCTGTGTCGCTGAATCGTATCTGATAAGGGAGTATCTTTTAAGCACTGACAAACTCTCCACGAGAGAATATGGCGTGGAGCTTTGTAATTTTTGAACACCACTTTTGATCAAGTCAACAGACACATCGCTGTCTGACAAGAACGCGATAGTGTTGAGGAGGTCAACCAATTTCTTGTCGAGATGTTGCACTGACACCATCAATATCGGAGTGTCGCTAGAATGGCTAGCCGTTCCTGATTTTAGAGTATTCACGTATTCTCCAATTGACCACTGGGTCCTCGATAGAAATGCCGCCGCCTGTTGGATCGCCAGAGGTAGTCGTTCGAGTTGGTTGACGAGCTCCCTAATTTGCACTACGAAACAGAGGTTATGTTAGTTCAAGACTTATTATAGGATTAAGCAAGGTTATAATGCAATCGATAGTGATAGAATATAGGATCTTACAATATGTCATATCTTGTCGTTCGGCTGTAAGGTAATTAAGTAGTTTCATGGCATCGTCTGGTTCGAGTCCCTGGATGTTAAAAGTGTGGCCCCGCGACCCAGATCGACTTGTGATTATTACATGGCCATTCTTGAGCGAGTCGAGGAACTTGTCAATATGAAACTCTCCCAAACCGGGTTCTTGATCCACACCATCGATAATAAGCAGCCACCTATCATTGCCGGGCCACTCAAGCCATTTCTTGAATACCAAAAACAGAAGTTCTGGCGTGTCCTGGCAGGACTGGATTCGCCCATCTTCGTCAATTAACCCACCAAGATGAAGGCGCTGCAGTGCTCTGAGTCGATCTTCACCTCTTGATGTGCCAACATAGTGACTCTTCAATCGCTCAACACATCTTAGGCAGGACGAGTGGAGAGTGAATCGATTCTGAGCATCCAGCCAAAACACGGAGCTGTATTGATTTTCATAGGCGTATACATACCTTAGTGCAAGTTGTGTTTTACCAACCCCGCCAGGGCCGAGGAGCGTCGCTCGATGGAGTTCGTTAGGGATGCTTAGATAACTATGTATCGCTCTAATTTCTGGGTCGCGCCCGAGAAAAGGCTCTTCACAATGCAGGGGTAGACTCATCGGAATGAGAAACTCATCCCCAACTTCCCCCTCTTCTTTAAATGGATCTGATTTTAGTTTCAGACAGATTAGTGAGAATCATCAACAGTGAATGAATTAGTCCTCTTACCTCGGCACCAATTATACATGACAACGTTTTGCCTTACTAAGTCTCGAGCTTCCTCACACATTTTAACAAGGTGCTTCATGGCTTCGTTAAACTCAAAATCTTCATGTAACCATTTGCAAAGATCATCGTGAGGTTGTTGCCGTGGAAAACTCGTCAAAGTCATCGTATTGAGCAGTTCTAAAGGTACTGCTGATATGCGAGGTGTGGTCTACAAATAGGATGTGAGAACAATAGCTGAGGTAGTTGGTGGTGTATCTGGCTCACCATTGGAGCTTTTTGACTTATTCCAGACGCGTCAACTTCATAGAAGCAGTAGGTAGGAAACGACCCATCGAGAGATTTGTATTGCTCGAGCTGAAATTGGAGCCAGTTGAGGTTCGAATCCATGGTGTTTCGCATTTTACTGCAGTTGATTTTGTGATTAATCAAATTGCTTACAATTTTTACCCAAGATCTATCACTATCGGGGATACCTTGATGTGGTGTGCCAAAAAATACCATACCGGCTGTACATAACAAGATGTCCTTGAAAACGTGGTCATTGTTTGCATGGATGAGAGCACTTTTGGCGATGAGCCCCCCAAGACTATGGGAGATAAAAATCAGGGGTCTGTTGGGAGCGTTTCCATCTTGCCGAACACTCTTCAACGCAGCGAGGAGTGTTTTAGACTGCGAATACAAAGTTCGCTGTGTAAGATGTCTCACAGTAAAGACTTGAGAGCTATAGCCGTAGGTCATGATGCGAGCATACGGTAACTGGTTGGGTAGAAAGTCTTTGATCCAAAGTACCGTACGCCCAGTTCCAGGCTCTGTGGCCGTCCAAGTCGTCTCACGGTGGCCGCTGAGTCCATGAATACAAACGATACTAGGAGCATTTCTATCAGTCATGACGTAGCGTTGTAGAAATTTACATGTGGAAAGCCCCAATAAGCATAACGGAATACGATATTGAAACTTACTCTACCAGCGTTGAAAGGCCTTTCTCTGTAGGCTCATACAGAAATTTCAACCCAGCGTTGTCTTCATTCTCATTGCGGGAAACATCAACAATTGACTGATTCTCTGTTTTCAGCGCAGTGCCAGGCTGTTTACCACGGTTTCCTTTGTCGGTGCCCCCAAATCCCCATTTCAATAATTTCTTCATCCCTTCGTCTCTAGTTCTTTGTTTCAGTATTGACAGCTTGATAACTGGTAAAGAGATCGTTCCGTTCAACTCAGGCTTCCGTATAATGAAGCTCTAACGACACAGAGACTTGCTGCGAAATATTATTTATGGGCTTGGGCTTAGGTCATTTCCATTCCATGCGATGAGACAAATAACGTACTTGGTGGGGTTCTTGGAATATTGGGGGCTCAAAGCGCAGACATGCTACCGGTTTCGCCCCTAAGCCACTTCGGCCTTCTCTGGCTCTCAGATTGGGCAGTGTTTGGCGAAGTTACACGTGCATGGCTTAACAGGGAGGCAATCTGACCGGACTGAAAGTGATAATGGGCGCTTTCACTGGCTGAATCAAGATTAGCATGGGATGCCGCTTTTAATAAAGTAGTTTGTACTCCGTAAGCTCAATGCTATAGGATAGAGTCTATGGATAATATAACAACCCTTACCATAATTTCAACAAGGCTAAGCCACCTATTACAAGGCAACTGGGCGCGACCTGGCGTGCTGTAGGCTACACGCTGAAACACAAGGGAATAGGTATACACTGGCACCTGATTTCTTATTTCGCTTGAGGCCGGAGGTCATTCTAAGATGATTCCTCCAGACAGAGCTGAAAATTGTAAACGTCATCATCATCCGCCAAATGCCCAACAGGAATGGCCGTAGATCCCTCGCCTAGAGCCTGATCGCCACGAAAAAAGCCATCAAGATTCCCTGTGGCCAGCTTGCCTATAATTGGAACCAGCTCTAGCGTAGTATTATTGTTTGCTCTCCAAGGGAAACATCTCCGAGTGAACCACTTGCTCCCTTGTTGCTTCTTATAATTAATTTCATGATACGACACTGCAAGCACCATCTCTCCAACCCCTCTGGCGCTGCCTGCTGTATGCTCCAACCCTCCCCCACGAGCAGCAATATTCATCTCCATTCCGGGAGGCGCTCCAGCCGCCTGAAGTGCCTCTGAAGGAATGCCCGCCCTTCCACCAGTGGATGATATGTCCTCACTGTATTGCGTAGTCTTGTGATTGCTACATGTAAGCAGACCTGTGACTAGGCAGAGGTGCTGACCTGCTTGTAGATATTTGCTCAAGTCCTTAATCTCTTTCGCGTATGCGTTGTCATTTTTTAGAGACTCAAACTTTTGGGGAATACGACTCATGCGGTAACGTCGGAATAATGGGGTTTCCACTGTTTCCCCGTTTTCTAAGGTGTGTTGGCGGAAAACTTCCAGAAGTTTTGCTAGGGTGAGTTGAGCTTCCGTTTCCTTCGTGACTTGCATCACCTTGGTCACGTCGGTGAATGAGGCAGGCTCATCGTAGAGATCAGGAACAATGGCTTTTAAGTCAACTTTGATATCGGGGCCATAGTTGTCGGTTGGGCGGGACTTGTCTACCACGAGACGTCCAAGGAAAGTGCTTACAAACTGAGCTGATAGTGGCTCGGGAAGGAGAGAATAAATTTTGGGTGCTGTAGAGTATGGCATTGTGGTATATTTATAGCAATCCAATTGGGAACACAGCTTGAGGGCAGTAGCGCAGAGAGGTTCAGTTTTCGATCTATTTCTATAGTCGTTTACACTTCCGTGAGATGGTGGCAGAATCTCTGTTTATACCTCGTATTCTCGAATGATTATATTTCCCTCTCCAGCCTGCTTCGACAAACCCTGCAAGCTGAGCATGAAACCCCGACCACAATGGAGGGTGGGGGCAAACGAGGCAGAATATCATGCATCCAAAATTGCCGTATCACGCCGCTTTTATGTGGTACTCTTACCAGACACTAGCCGGCCCCCATCTATCTAATGTTGCTGTCTATGAGTGATCCTCAACAACCACTTATCAAATACAGTCTCTCTGCAATCCCAGATTATACATTCATTGACACCCTTTTGACAAAGCTGCTACTTAATCTTCTGCAATATGTCACCAAATAGTACCATTGATGTGTACGAGGTCGAGCCAACTACAGACAGACCAAATGGCGAAAGGATGTGTTCTGTCAGGATTGTGGTAGATGGCGAGTGCATCTGGCAATCTCTCCAGATCCAGGACCCCTTCCGGGAAGACGATAAGAAACTATATGATTGGTATCTAGAAACATACCCTCTGCCGCCCCCACAACCCATGACCCCAGATGAGGTTTATTCACAGAGGGACGAGGCGCATGAATTTCAGTGCCGAGCGGATATTGTTCAAACAAAGCTAGAACAATACGGAGAGCAGCTTCACAAATCGCTTAAAATTGAAGCTTTCAAGTTTCTAAATACCCAATACTTACATATCAATATTTGGGAAGCTCAGAAATGTTCTGAGACTACACGATCATTTGGGATCCACCAGATATTATGGGAAAATCTTGAAAAGCCCCATATATGGAGATCAACGTCAATTATGGCGTCGAGGCTTCAAGTAGCGGTTAAAAGGATAGTAATGGCGCCACCATGTCCTGGCCTACCCTGGGAGTCTCGGCGTGTCACAAGAAAATCACCACTTCGAGTGCTCCTAGTGGTAGCCCGAAATCTTAGGAAGACAGCCGAGAACAGGTATGAGGATTTAAAGCCTCACATTGCTCAAATCCACCTCTTATCTGTCCAAGACGACCTGGTACCGTTGTGGTTTTCACCCCAGGTTGAGCTTCATATCGCTCGGCCGGGGAGCTACAGCGCTCTAGAAGAGATACTCACCGAAGAAGGGAAGGGTTATTTTGACCTTGTCCACTTTGACTTACACGGTGATACCAACGATGATCCTCTGTAAGTATAACCCCCCCATAGTAGAATACCGTGTAGCTCTGCAGGATCTAATCGATTGTTAGGAATGCCTACCTCTGGTTTGCTAGTGAGAACATAGATGAGACACAACTTGTTAAAAGGAAAGCGGAGGATGTAGCGGACCTTTTGGCCAAAACGGGCGTGAGATGCGTTGCTACGAATGCATGTCGCACTGCTGTGAGCTACGAGAGACGGGAAGCGAATATGTGTCAAATTTTCATCGATAAAGGAATTTCACACGTTTCAGGCATGTCGCACAACATATGTACTGATGCCGTCGACTTATTCTATTGGGGCTTCTATAGTGCTCTGATCACTAAAGGTTTTAAATTTGCCGAAGCCGCAAGTCAGGGTCGGAAAAGCCTTCGCCTCGACAAGCATCGGAACTTTGTAGCCTCAAAACAGCTTGTTGATTGGTGTGTCCCAGTGACATACATGTGCCCTGATGGTCAAGTTTGCGGGCAAGGCTACAGTCCTTTTTGGATCAGGTCGACACGCCAAACGTTCAGATACTTGACTTACTGGGTTCGGAACTTATGCTATCGACTCAGGAGAAATACGCCGGCTATTGTGTTCCCAGAACAAGCTTCAACGAGACGAACGAGGAACGGAGCGATAGAGGGTGATATGGCGCTTCATTCTGGTCACTCTCAATGGCTAGATATATTATATGGACCGCAAGACTTTGCTAGCCGTGTGCCAAAATCGACACTACCAAAGCTGGATATTAACATTCTTGATTTCGAAAAACATCTAGTTCACCACGGAACTGTCTACTTCCATGGGCCTAATCATAGCCAAAATGTTGATACTATGATACGACTTGGATTGCTCTGGTGCAGGACCAATTTTGTAGAGCGAGTCATTTATATCAACGCCAGGCAATATAGTGAAGGTCTATCACTGCAATACGTGATTGAATGCGACAAAAAGAACCGGTTGAGATACATACCATCACGGCCAATCGACTTTGACCCTTTCAAGCCGTCGTCGCCTCACAAAAAACTAGCTATTGTGATTCAGGGGATTCACGAACTTTATCCCGATGACGAAGATGAAAGGGAAGCCCAAGAGAGGGACAGGATTCGTCTTGCCAGGCAAAAAGTCGAAGAGTTCTTGACGATGGAAGTAACGTCCAAACTCGACGAGAAGGATAGATACGTCGTCATAACAGGTGAGAAAGATGCTGAGTGGTGGGAGAGCACGGTGGAGGTAGGATTGTTATGGGGTCAGCCTTTCTGGCGTGGCGATCCGCTCTTAGAACATTTCAGGGACGTCTTTTGACCAAACAACTGTAAATAGAGACGCTGATTCACTGATTACGCCCACCACTGAGAAGAAAAGCATCGTAACAACCTACAATACTAAGCGAGACAGTAATAACATTAAACTTCACGGATACCAGCTTACTTCGTTCAAGTGTTGACAGCTTCAAGAAAGCTACCTTATTGTTCTTCTGCTATCATTCGTACATTCATAATGTAGTAATCCCGTCAATAAAAATCTGGGAGTGCCCGTCGTATCTCAAGTGTCAGCTCGGGCTATGTTATAAGCCGGCCATCACCTACAACTCTCTGTTCAAGAAAGACCCGCGAATCCCAATAGCCCGCCGAGTTGAAACATCAACTTGGTGACTTATACATGAACCGCCCGTCTACTGCCTCTCTCAACGCCATTGATAACTTGACCAAATATCGTATCTCAGTTCTGCAACCACCTACTAGTTGCTTGAGTGGTTGCCTTATAACGATATGTAGAAAAATTCTCACCAGTCAATGAATCTAGATCTAAGACACTACAGGCTAAATGCTCTGAACTGGCGAAGTAGCCCTATCGACCAGGCTTCTTCTGGAACATGCGGAGCCTTCCGAAATACTACTAGCCATCCTTTGTTCAAAATACATGAGGAGTATACAGCCGAAGTCGCACACCAGGTAACAATTTCCAGACGCAATGTTCAGTCCGTCAAATATGTAATCCAACTATGGCAACGAATCCCAACTCTCGCGCAGCGAAAGGTGACTTGGAGAGAGCGGAAATGGAAAGCAAGCAATGTGATTTCGGGCCTACCACGGGGCTTGTACGAGGAATCACATTTAAGATACTACCACTTTGCAGCTTCTTACTCATCATATTCTCAGCCGGTGTCATCCTGATCTCGAAATTTTCGTTCAATAAACCACTGCCACACCAGGCGGCGCTTATCATATCAATTATACTCCTGATTTTCTTCGTGCTCTTCAGCTTCGGATGGTTACACCTTCATTATCGAAAATCGCTATCTCATGCTAGCGATCGTTGGAATCCTACAGGCCCCCCACGGCACAATTCCGACGATGGTGAAGGGAGGCCCAAAGAGCAGTCCAGTTAAAGCAAGAAACATGGACGACCAGGTCTCGGAGGGAATCTAATACGCACGGACACGCTTCAAGGCCAAGCACCTAGCCCTAGTGAATACAGGAAGAGTATTCAAGAGCAAGAAAATATAGCTCGAAGTCAGGAAATGGTTCATGAGTTGAGGGATCCAAGCCACCATGCAGTGCAACATAACCAACAATATAGTAATGGAAGCGCTCAAATACCACCCTCAAGCCCAGCGCGACTCGGCTACTCTGAAGCCGCCATATCTCCCAATAGCATACTATGCAATGGGGTTACAAACGCTGATTCAACATCCGTACCCCAGTGCGATCAAGCATATGCTTACAAAGATACGCAAAATCCTCAGAAGAGTCCACCAGTCCCGGTACCAGGGGGGGACTTGGCTCAGCCCCCTCCAGCGGCGATGATTAAAATGCACCACTCGATAGATCCGAGCCACTTGTGTATTCCCAAAACACGGCAACAAGTCAAGGTTAGTATATAGCTATCCTCAAGCCCCCTTTGTATAGTGCCTTGCCTTGGTATCAACTAATCGAGTAGGGACCGAGAGACATGCCTAGGCACAACGCCTCCAGTCGCAACAGCGACGCCCTCAAACCACCATTGCCAACACCGGCAAACTCAGGAGGAGTGGGATCTCAGCAACCGCAGACCGTACAATTAGCGCCACAAGCTATAAATAAATTGTCAAAACTGCCGACTCGAGGAGGGGAGAGGCAGGGACCCGATCATAAGCGCGAAGGCCCCCAATCGCCTGGATGTCGCGCAAAGAGTCTGAAGATGAGTACGCAAGACAAACAGATTTCTTAAAGACTTAAGTTGACGATACCTAGGTTCGTCTCACGCCCAGCCATCTAAAGGGCAACGCGCAGCAGCTAGCTCAACATCCACTCACGCCAGGCCAGAGAACAAAACCGCAGTAACAGCACATAGAGAAGAGGTCCCAGACGCCGCTGACTCAGGACCAAACCAGTCATCGTGCAAGCGAGAAGCACTGCGCTTAATCAACACCGCAGCGCCAGAGTAGAACTACAACCTATCTACTACCAAACCAATACCTCGAAAACCAGTAACCCTAGAAGGAAACAAAGCGGACGCAGTCCGTCGGAGATTCTCCTTCGAGCTCAGCAGCGCAAAAGACAGCGTCAATGAAGATGAGATACTGCGAGCAACACCTAGGGAAATCCCTGGATTCAGGCCGCGACACCCCTCTGCGGTCCCAGAGCCGCTGAAGCTAGTCTCTAAGAAGGAGCGCGTAGATATGAGGCAAGGCGAGGATGAGCGCCCCGCTACTCACGATGTAATGGAGATGCAGCCGCAGCCGCCACCAATCGCATATGAAATACCCAGGGAAGAGGATGTAAGAGAAGAGTCCTTACAGGGAGGTCTTGGTCGACGACGACCGCGGATCCCTCGGCGAAGCAGTAGTCGGAAACACCAATAAGACCTAATAATTCACAAGTTCTGTAGAGAGGAGTTGGGAAGCTTAATTCACACTAGTTTAATTCTATTATGTTGTCTTTCTATCGAGACCTCACTTTATAATGAGGAAACTCACAATAACCCATAATACACTACAGAAATAGCCCTTCTAATGAGCTCACGGTAAGCGATCAAATGCGCACCGACCTCTAGGACCTGATACCCCCGGATTTGTATAAACACTAAATGCCCTTCAACCTATCCCAGAAGCTACCGCCTCCTCGAGAGTTAAGCGCGGTGACCGGTGACAGCATGGTGTAATTCCAGGCGTTTTCGCCGTCTATATATGCAGTATACGTCAGAATGCTTTGCTCAGTGGAGAGCTTCTCAATCGTGATAGCGCCGAATTTCGAATGGCCGAAATTGATATATCTAGGCATGTCAGTTACCACTATTGGGGGTGGGGGGGCAAAGTTAAGTTGGGAAGTTAAATACGTACTTAAGTTTTACATCTTCGTCATCTGTTTGCATGTACGTGGGGACGGGCGAGTAGAACTGGTTCAGTGGGCTTGCCGAGAATTCGTGAACCGTGACGGTATCGATCCACTTGCTATTCGGCGGTGGTGGAAAGGCTGTGGCCCCGAACTCATGGCGATCACCCGATAAAATAACGACACCTGTACCGAGACTGCCGGCATCCCACATGGCTTCTAGTATCTTCTTTCGCTCAACGAGAAAGCCACCCCAAGTATCTTTGGTGTTGACTCTCCAATTCTTGGTAAAGGGCACAGAACTGGCCACAATCTTCCACTTCACCCCCTTAGGCTCAGGTTGGCGTAGCCAGGCAAGGAAATCCTCGAGTTGCTCTTGTCCTAGCATTGTCTTGGTGACGCTGTCGAAAGGCTCCGAGTTCCTTGAGCGGTACGTTCGAGTGTCGAGCATGAAAAATGACGCGGGGCCTTGAGTGAACGAAAAGTAGGTAGCTCCCCTACGAGGGATAAGACTGACACTTCCAGCCCTTTTTGCCTGAGGTGGATTTACAGCAGTTTGGTAATGATGCCAAGGATCAACCGCGGTGTTATATACTCCTGTAGATTTCAGATCCCAGTCATTTGAAATCTCATGATCATCGAGAACATGAATCCAGCTGAGATTCTGGCCTACAGCAGGCCAATCAGGTGATGCGTAGACTTGCCGATATTTCTGCCTGTAATTCTCGACAGATTGTCCAAACTGACGTGGCACCTCAATGTAGATGAAGTCTCCTAGAAAGAGCATGAATTGAGCGCCTAGGCTTGGTAAAATTTTAGCTAAGTGTTTCATGCCGGGGAACGCTAGAGGATGATCCAACGGGTTATAGGGAAGTCTAGGAACTATGCAAGATGTTGACAAAAAGGTGAATTTGCCATCATTGAGTTCCGGCATGACCCCGGGCTTAGGAGCAGCGGTAAACTCGCCTGAGTGGTTATTAGAAGTAGTCCACTCATATATATGCTGCTTGGAGCGGGCTAGGGGCAGCGTTATAACTGCAGTGTAGTCAGAGTCTTCTGTGGTTGACCTGATGGTTCCGGCCTCAAGCCAGTTGTCAAATGGAGCTTGAGCATCCTTGGCGTGTAACTGAACCGTGATAGGCATCTTTGCTTGATCCGGCTCTCGAATCAGCAACTTTGCCTCGGAATCGGAAACATAGCCGACTCTAGCAAAAGATAAATCATGGCTAGGATAATTCCATTTTGGGGAATACACGAAATCGGTGACAGCGGCTAAACAAGCAACATTGACAAGAAACGTAAGTGCCGTGGAGAGCAGGCTGGTGGGACTTGGTGTGCCCGTAAGAAGCGTCTTCAAGCGGTTGGGCGGCTTTTCTCTGGCGCTGATGGTCTCTTTGATGTCAACCTCTTCCTCAACGATGGCCTCGTCCGTTAACCCCGCGTTAACCGCATCCTGATTAAGGATACTGTCTTGCACAATTACGTCGACCTCATCAATAACGTCGTATTTCGACTCTTTGAGGTAAGTTGAGATGAAGGCAGTCGCATATACAGCGAATAGTGTGTAGATTACGGGTAGGAGGGGCTATTATCATCAGTCAGCTTCTGGTTAGTGTGAGGTGACTATGAACGCAAAACGAGCTGGTGTCACACTTACAGGAAGCGCAGCCTGCGAGGAGCATTAGTATCTTATATTTACAGAACAATCAAGTGGATGAGGTCATCATACCCAGCGCAAGAAGAAGTAGGAGGCTAGCCGTATGGCGCCTGAGGCCAGTGTAGTTACGGTTCTATTTCGCTCCGCCATTTCATTGGGGAGTCAGGTGAACCAGCTGTGAGACACGGCGGATTCCACGATGACGGGCTCACCAATGAGCAGTGGCTATGACAACAAGAGGTTAGATAATATGATTAGAAACGTGAGATGTGTGCTCTAGAGGAGGGAAAAGGGAAAATTAATTCACATTTGTATAAGACTTTTATAAGGTGGTAATGGGTATGGTGTTTTCCATCGCGAGATGAGCATCAGTCGTGGGCTAGTTACTTACCTAAACTTGATGAAGTGGATTTCGAGAGCTGGCTGTGACGACACCAGTGCTAACAGAGTTCAGTTCGACCGGGGGGAGCTTCATGCGCTAGCACGTGAATGTACAAGTACAAGTACATGCAGGTGGGCGAGTGGGCTCTCTGCCAGCGCCAAGTGACCCACTACAGCTTGTCGCTACAGCTCTGTCACTATCGATAAGAAACAGGTACGTACTTGAAGGGCGTCTTTGTGGATCCCCAGCCAGACCCGGCACCCCTGAGACATCGGCGTGGGGAATAATAATCTGCCGCATTACGACAGAGTGGCAGTTTGAAGGTCTGCGATCTACCCAAGTGTCCGTATCCAGTCGAGCCTCAAGAGCCAGAGAGAGAGAGAGCCGACTCCCGTACGTGGTCACACAACGCAGAATGAAGACAACATTACTGTCCGTCGGGCTCCTTGCCTGGCTGGTCTCTTTAGTATCCGCCACGGCTTTGACGTACAAAATCCAGCCTAACGAGCGCGCCTGTTTCTTTACCACACCACACAAAGTCGGCCAGAAGATTGCCTTTTACTTTGCCGTAAGCCGTCAGCCGTCACTCGCCATGAGTCGCATACTAACAATTGAACTCTAGGTGCAATCCGGAGGCTCGTTCGATATCGACTACGAAGTTACTGGCCCGTCCGACAAGGTCATTATGAATGGCGAGAAGGAGCGACAGGGAGACTTTGTCTTCACAGCACAGGAGATGGGCGACTACAAGTTCTGTTTCAACAATGAAATGAGTACATATTCGGAGAAATTCGTCGACTTTGAAATTGCGGTTCGTCTTCCTCCATTTGCGCCACAGTGGATTGTGAGCACGCGACTGATGAATGGGATACCATAACAGGTGGAAGATGAAGTGCGCGCGCAGCTTCCTGCCAAGCAAGGCTCATCTCCAGAACAGACCAGTGTGCTCGAGGAATCCATATACAAGATCTCCGGCCTACTATCTACTGTCACTCGAAACCAGAAATACTTCCGTACTCGAGAGAACCGTAACTTCAGCACAGTTCGTAGCACCGAGTCAAGAATTGTCAACTTCAGTTTGGTCCAAATTGGCATGGTGATTGCAATGGGCGGTCTCCAGGTATTCATTGTCAGGTTCTTTTTCCAAGTATGATGTCTCACCATCCCATCTCTGCACATGCGCTCACTAACAATGGTACTCAGGGCGCGAGGAAGGGTTACGTATGAGGTAGAAAAGCAATACGTGTTATGATAGAGATCTTTTCAAGGCGTCCCCTTAGACACGGGCTAATAGTAACCTGATGTCTTGTATCATCGGCGTCAAACGGGATTCTGAGCCGTTAGGTTACAGGATGAAATCGATGACCAGGTAAAGAACCTGTAGTGTAATCTAAAAAGCCTGTACTGTATCGGTCGCGGTAGTCTCCAACACATTGAGCTGATTTGAAGCTGAAAATCTATAGCATTCATGTTTGTAAGATATATAGGTAGTCATGATTTGAAATTGACCCCGTGTCTCTCTCTCTTTCTAACCAAACTCTGGCCAAAGACAATACAAATGTGGCGCAGCTAGTTACACTAGCCACAGTTGGATGCAGGTTGTCTTGGCAGACCCACCTGCACTTTCATCAGCTCCAACCTCCGATCTATGTATCTAGAAATCCTTGTTTTAACATACCTAAAACTCGCGACGACACGTCCTAATTTAATCGCGGTCCATTCACATCTCACAGCGTCACATTGAATCCGATACAGACTGCCGCCAAAAGACTTAGCAGCCCAAAAATCGAAGCGCCGCGATTCCTTACGATCATTTTAGCACGTCTTCACCAGTCGTGACATTCTACAAGCGTTCGCGACGCAATGGCGGCGGCATCGCTGGCAGCAGCCCTTCCGAAGCCGCGTTATACAGGCGAAGATGAGGATATTCCAGCCCACGCGCAACAAAGAGGGGTTCGCATCGTTGGACCGGGTCAAATAGACGAGTCGAGCCTTGTCCTACGCCGAAACGGACCACCACCCTATGGTCAAAGATCTGGTTGGCGGCCGAGGGCTGATGAAGATTTTGGTGATGGAGGAGCGTTCCCCGAGGTACCTGTGGCGCAGTATCCACTCCAAATGGGAAAGAAAGGAGCAGAAAAATCTAATGCGCTGGCGATTGCGGTTGATGCTCAAGGCAAGGTGAAATATGACGCCATTGCAAAACAGGTAGGCACGAGCATATTGTAACATTATATATGTACTTCGCTAACAGATAAGTAGGGTCACGCAGATGGGCGGATTGTTCATGCGTCTTTCAGCTCTTTAATACCTTTAAGAAACCGAGCGGATGCTGGCGAGATTTCGTTAGCTCGTCCAAGCGAGGATCAAGTTAAAGAAACCACAGAGAAAACAAAGGCCGCCTTGGCATCGCTAGTCGGCACTGCAGTAGCGGCCCAGAAACCAAAAAATCTCAATACCAACACGAATAGGGTTGCAACATACGTAAAATACACGCCTGCGAATCAAGGTGACAATTCCAAGAAACAGGATAGGATCATCAAGATTCAAGAGCGGCAGAAAGACCCTCTTGAGCCACCCAAGTTTAAGCACAAGAAGATTCCGCGGGGCCCCCCGAGTCCACCGCCGCCGGTGCTACGATCACCTCCTAGAAAGCTTACAGCGGAGGAACAAGAGAATTGGAAACTCCCCCCTGTTGTGTCTAACTGGAAAAATCCCAGAGGTTTTACTGTGCCGCTTGACAAGCGATTGGCTGCAGACGGCAGAGGTCTACAAGATGTCACTATCAATGACAAGTTTGCTCAGTTTTCCGAGGCATTGTTTATGGCTGATCGACATGCTCGAGAGGAAGTTCGCCAAAGAGCTTTGATGCAACAGAGGCTCGCCGAAAAGGAAAAGGAACAGAAAGAAGACAGTCTACGACAGCTGGCTCAAAAAGCCCGGCAAGAACGTGCGGCTGCCACAAGGCGGAGGGGCTCCCGAGATTCAGGCGATTCAAGGTCTCGTTCACGAAGCTACAGCTATTCCGACTCTGGATCTGAAAGTGACGATTCAGAAGTCCGGGAGAGAGAGAAAGCACGTGCGGAGAAGCGCAGGGAAGAGGAACGGAAACTACGGCAGTCGCGAATGGGCACCGAGAGACGGATACAAGTCATGGCACGGGAACAGAATCGTGATATCTCGGAGAAGATTGCGCTCGGCTTAGCAAAGCCCACAGCACAGGCAGAGTCAATGTATGACTCGAGACTTTTCAACCAATCTTCCGGGTTCGATAGCGGATTCAACGAGGACAATCCGTACGACAAACCCCTTTTTGCGGCCCATGACGCCATCAATAGTATATACCGTCCCAGCCAGAATATGGACGAATTCGACGACGAGGCTGCCGGGGACAGGGAGATGGCCAAGATACAAAAGACCAGCCGCTTCGGCGAGGCCTTAGGCCGTGGTACATTTAAAGGAGCCGCGGATGCCGAGGTGAGTTTTCTTCCCCTTTCTTTCTCTAACACAGTCCTTGCTAACGTAGTAAACTATTTAGGCTCGGGAAGGTCCGGTGCAATTTGAACGCGCGGGTGAGGACCCGTTCCAGATGGACAAGTTCATGGCCGAAGTAGATCAGAGCTCTTCGTCTAAAAGAGGGTATGGGTTGCAGGATGGCGAAGCAAGGGAACCGAAACGCGCGAGGGTAGAGGAGGACGATGACTGAGCCTTCCCATAGTATCGGTCAATAGTCGTCTATGGTATGCTGAACGCACATAGCGTGGCGGCGAAATGTTGGGGCTAGGACAACAGCCTATCTGGTTGGGTTCCATGGGCCATGGTTTCACTGCTCGCCGTGACCGTGTACGAAACTATTAATCTGTACACTATACTACTTACCTATATCATCATATCCGGAGAGAGCAGGTTACGGCGCAGATGCATTCACGTGGTTTGAATATAAATCGAGGATTAAGTCGTTGTATATATGTACGCTGCAAGGGATTACCGTGTATCAATGCCCGGAACTATCTTGCATGCTCTGGACAGAGCGGTGTTCGAGTGCATCATAAAATTGAAATAATTGGCATTGTTCACATAACTACTTATACAAATAATTAACCTTGCTATTTGAGTCGTGATTGTGGGTAATTTGAGACATTTATAAAACGCGTTTGTGTTACCATTCTTCCATCTTAGCCTCGAGTGGCACGATTAGTTCCATGTAAGTAGGTATCTGACTGAGCATTGTCCGCTTGATCGGTAGTTTGCCAGGGTCGTAAATAAAGTTGCCATCAGCATCAATACCGACCTACAGACCGTCACGAACACTTGATTCGTATACACCTTATTAGATGCTTATGCGTACACTGCTTATATGTATGTAAATCGAAGCCCTGCCCGCATAAGGAGTACCGAGTCTGCCAGGCACCGGGAATACCATTCTATTAACGTAACATGCCATGGGCAGGTACGGTATTTCAGGTACGTCAGCTTGTTCCAGACAATTGGGGACGGGGTGGCTGTGTCTTCGATAGCGGATTACAGTGTTTAGGTAGACTCCGTATATCTGGCAGTGAGATCTAGCCGTGTTCCGCCCGTCGCTTTCTGTGCCCCACTTGAAGCGGATTTCGGGGTCAATACAAGAGTTAATGTCGTGTCAGTTGCAATCAGCAGATCCAGAATTGTAACCGCAGCGAGGTCGGTGCACGTAGACAGATATTGTATTCGGGAAAAGGTGAACAACTATATACCTAGACTCAAGTTGCATAGACAGGCATATTACCTTCATAGGTACCTCCTAAGTATATCAGAGGCGCATGCTTATGGGTGATGTACTTGGACAGTTCATGCAGTCGCATCCCTCCGTACAGATGTACATACCGTGACGTGGATAGTGCGTCGATAGTGCCCATCTCTAGAATAGTAGCTGCCGGCGATGGTGCATCAAGTGTCCCAGAAAACGCCCCGATCGGCTGGTCTTGAAACCTCGACAGCGGTATCCAATCATTACATTCTGAATATCTAGGTACTGTCAGAATGAATGTTGATTGAATAATCATCAATCAAGTTCCGCCGGAGGGAGCAAGCAAGCAATACCTACCTTGCCCTACCCAAACTATATCAAATCTAACCTCGTATTCTCTCACCCCCTCTGACCTGATTACTGTCCGGGGTATCGTGAGATTGGGCCGCACACGATTCCAATAGTACATGCACAGGTACCAACAGCGGCTAGGTACCGCATCCGACTTGGCACTGATTCTTAGGCAGAAGCGTTCCATTTTCATCTCTTTCCGTCGTAGGGCCAGCACACGTTCGCACTCGGAACCCACCTGTTTAACCGAAGTAACGGCTTGCTTCCCTGAACGGACCACGAGTGAGGCCATATCCACCCCAGTCCTGGCTCTGTTAGCTGCTTAACATCGTACCCATTGCAGTACCTAGTGGAGATAAGAGCAAAAGCTACAAATACCTATTCGTTGCGACCGCGCCCCCTCGTCGTCAACGTCAGGCTGGACCTGTGGCGCTTATAGCTCGGTAGGAACGACAGTTCCTTCATATTTAATACCGACTTACTTTACGGCCTTTTAAACACCCAGAAAAACACAGGCCATACCCAAACATGGCATACGGAGGTGAGCCGTGGTATAAGCCCAATTATTGGCAAAAAAGGACCTGGTTGATAGTCGGTGTGATTGTCGCCATTATCCTCGTCATTGTGATTGTGGTGCCCGTCGAGGTCACCAAGGCCAATCGGTACCCCAATTACTCAAAGCTCGAGTACTCGCTAGCTGACGAGTGTAAGTCATGAACCTATTGCACAATGAATTGTTACAACCCCCAACTAACATGAGCATTCAGACTCTGGATCCAATTTCTTCGACAACTTCGATTACTTCATAGGATACGATCCAGCACAGGGATTTGTACACTACGTTCCCAGAGAACAGGCGACGGCGCTGGTATGAGCAAGCCCCTCTCCTCTTCCAGCATCACGCTGCTGTCGAATGCCAGCTAACTAATGTACTAGAACCTAACTTATGCTTCCGAGAGCACCGCCGTGTTGAGAGTCGACACAAGTGTTGGTCCCGGTTCAGAACCCGATGCATCAACAGGTCGTTTCTCGGTGCGCGTCGAGTCTAAGAGACAGTATGATAACGGCCTCTTCATCTTCGACGTCAAGCACACCCCCTACGGCTGTGGCACATGGCCGGCGCTATGGTTCGTCGACCCAGGCAACTGGCCTGACAATGGAGAGATCGATGTCATGGAGGCCGTGAACCAGGCCACCGACGGCAACCAGATGACGCTGCATACGACCAAGGGATGCTCCGTCGGCGGCGTCAAGCGGAAAATGGTCGGCTCATCGCTGCAAGGTGACTGCCACAACGCCACCAACAACAACGCCGGCTGCGGCGTCGACGGTCCTACGGACTCATTCGGCGAGGGGTACAACGCCGCTGATGGTGGCATCGTGGCCATGGAGTGGCGCGATCAAGGCATTCGCATGTGGCAATTCGGACGAAACGCCGTCCCGGCCGACATCACATCCAAGCAACCGGATCCCAGCACATGGGGCGAGGCGGCCGCCGACTTCCCGAATACAGACTGCAACATCGCCTCGCATTTCCGCAACCAGAGCATCATCGCTAACATCGATCTGTGCGGGCAATACGCCGGCGGAGTATACGCGCAGAGCGGATGTAAGTAGTTCCGCACTCTTAAGACTTGAGTTCCCAAGCGCCAAGAAGGAAGTATACTAACAGACGCACGTAGGCCCGAGTAACTGCACCGACTACGTCGCTAATAACCCGACGGCCTTCGAAAACGCCTTCTGGGAATTCGGCGCCTTCGAGATCTATCAGGCGAAATAGACCCATCTTTCTTCCCAAAAAAAAAAAAAAAAACTACGTAAATTCCACAGCGAGGTGTTATATACGCCATCGTGCAAGGAAGAAAAATGACATAAGAGATGGAGAAGGGTATCACGGGCGGGAATCACATGCATGTGCAACGACGATGACTAATGGTGCGTTCGGGCGGCAAAAATCTGATATCAACCAATCGATTCGGTACTGGAGTTAGGAGTCGGAGTTGAATTGGTTGTGATATGGGTATATAGATAGATAGATAGATAGATAGATACGTAAGGTAGATATTCGGATGATGAGTTCAGGGGAGAATGACTGGTTGGTGGTCGATGAAAAGGAATCAAAGGAAAATATGAGAATATGTTATGGTATTCTGGTATGGATGGATGTAGGGCCTGTTCGAACCAGTTAATCTAATGTTGTCTGTAAGTGGTGGGGAGTAGGGGATTAAGGAATATATATATTATCCCCTTAATGAGTTTGTGCAAGCCTCTTTTTGTTAAATTACTCTCTCACTTTCCAGGGTCTCCGTAGAGAATCGCGGATGCCCTGCAATTCAAAGTATACGCGACATTCTGATATTTATCTCTCTTCCACGTAGAACACAACTTCTAGAAGTGATGTTACACGCGCCCGGGGTATGTTAACTTCTATATACCACATCTTCTTTTCCTTCCCTATCTCAGAGAATGTAATGCATAGTCGGCTTCTTCTCTATCTCTTTCCAAAGAAAAAAAAAAGACAAAAACAAACAAAATCCCAAGTGGAGATGTCTTCAGAACTCTGTATATACGACAAACAGCCCATCCCATCCCATCCACCAACGCCGTAATGCTATGCAAGATATAGATTTCCCAGTACGCCAGGGAGCCGGCCAGTATGGTGGCTCGATAATAAAGCCGATAGTAGTACATCCAGACCCTCTATGAATGATTCCATGACCCCCTTTCGTCTCGTTTATTTGTATGCGTGTGTATATACGATCTAATGCAAGAGCGCTCGTCGATTACCGTTTACATCATTCATTCGTCCTTGGGCTGCCGCAACCAGACATCGATGGCGGCGCTGAAGGCCGCGAAGGCCGCGCAGCCGCCGGCGACGGCCGTCGGACCCCCGCTGCGCGCCAGTATGCCGCCGGTGAGACAGCCCGCGGCGACGCCGTTGGCGAGGTCGTTCTTGGCGCGGAAGCCTTCGATGCCGCACTCGATGCCGCTGAACATGAGGCCGACTTTGCCGAAGTTCTTGGCCGTGCTGTAGGAGCGCGCGCCCATGTCTTTGAAGCCGACTTTTAGCTGCTCGCGCGTCGGGAGCTCGGCTATGGGTTTCGGGGCCGAGCCGGGGGCGCCGGGGGTGTGGAAGGGGGTGTCGTAGGCCATCTGGGGGTTGTTGTGTTAGTAACTTGGTTTCTAGGTGGGAGGTGCCATATAGTGTTATGGGTTCTACTGTTGGTTGGAGGGGGATGTGGTGGAGGAGAAGAGGAGATACGTACGGATGCCATGAACACTCCGAAAAGACCGCCCATACCGAAACCCATTACGCCTGATATCGCTGATTTTCCGAAGCAGGACTCCATCATCGCATTCATCTATAAGCCAGGATTAGTGGGTGCAAACGTTGACGCAGGGCCAAGAAAGGAAGAGACATGGCGTAAGGAGGAGACATACGGCTTTGATATTGGGATCATTGGGGTCGTATGTCCGTCCCGAAGGCGATGGGGCGCCCATTCCGGGTATATTGTTCATCGTATATGTGGTATATGGTGGGCTGTTAAAAGAATGTAACGGACTATTGATTTGGACTGTATAAAGTCACGGAAGATGTACGGTAGATACCCAGTGATGCGGTATGCTGCGGCGATGCTATCGCATTGTCTTGCGATAAGGACCAGAATGATAATCTTTTTTTAATTCTGCCTCTTGCGACCGCCTAAAAGTTGGGGTAGATACAACTGTACTTACCCAAGACCCCAGTAAATCTACGAAGTAAAGACCCACCAGCTGTACCAGAGGACCCTGAATGTGGGGTGCCCCTCTGCTGTACAGTACCAGTAGGTACCTCTAGGTACTTCTATTCAGGTACGTGGTGCATCTACATACTATAGTACTTAACTTGGGTTCTGTCTGCAATCTAATCTTTAATATCGTAAATTGCTCACAACTGTACTGCACCTATAGCCATGTATCATTCGCAGGAATTATCGAACAAGCTCTTCATGGACGATGACATCGAGAGACTTACACAGCTGCAATGTTAGTAAATGGTGTAGTGTGGCTGTTCTGCCAAGACTGCGATCACGTCACTGGAGCGGTGACAAGCGAGACAAGTTCAGATCGGCTTGAAGGGTTGCATAGGTTCCTAAGTATGATCGACCAATGACAAAGATGAATTGAGAAGCGACAAAATTTTGTACTCGCTTCTAACTCCACCATAGCTTTCTCTGCCAGACTCTGCCTTGCCTAGTGCAGCAGGTCGTTTGTCAAGGTATAAGACTTTATAAAATCTTTCAACAAGCTGATCCCCCTACCTACCCCAGCTTCTCCATTCACAATTGTCGGAACTATACCCATACAGATCTCATAGCTTTTCATCGCCATGGCAGAAGCAGCTGTTGCAGAGATTAATGCTACCTACGAGAGTCTAGCCGAGCTCGAGCGCGAGTTTGAAGACGTCGAGGTAGAGATAAGTAAGTGCTCATTCTTATGAATTAGTATAGAGCATCACCGCTGCCAACACCTCCCTCCCTCTCTTCTGCGCTTGAAACCACAACAGTAGTTTGCATCATTTTCGCTGACGCGCTCGTAGTCCGCCAACAGCATGCTCTCACAACGCCGCTCTATGAGAAAAGAGAGAAGCTCGTAGCCAAAATCCCCAACTTCTGGCCCCTGGTCCTTGAGCAGGCCCCGCCGGATGTCGACCAATACATCCAGCCTGTCGACTCTGCTCTGCTTCTTAGTTCTCTAAAGTCATTCTCCGTTTCTCACTTTGAGATCGAGAATGGCGGCAAGGGCGACCCTCGGAGCATCTCCATTAAGATGGAATTCGCCGAGAATGATCATTTCGAGGATACGGTCCTCGAGAAGAAATTCTGGTACCGCCGCTCTAAACTCGGCCTCGCAAGTCTTGTCAGTGAGCCGGTCCCTATCAAGTGGAAGGCCGGAAAGGACCTGACGCAGGGACTGCTTGACTTGACCGTCAAAGTCTGGGAGCATGACAAGAAAGAGGGCCAATCCAATGGTGTAGGCAAGGATAAGAAGAAGACCAAGCCCGAGGACTGGACGGCCGACCAAAAGGCCCTCAGGGAGAAGATCGACACTTACGGTCTCGGTGGTGTATCGTTTTTCTGCTGGTTTGGTTATCGCGGTGATTATATCACTGCTGAGGAAAACGCCATTGCAGTCGAAGAGGATAAGAAGAGGCGCGCCGATAAGAACCAAGATAAAGCCCCTGAGCCAGAGGAGGCAGAAGAAGACGACGAGGAAGACGATGACGAAGAGGATCCCTTAGCTCTCGAGATCTTCCCGGATGGCGACGACCTGGCTGTTGCACTCAGTGAAGATCTATGGCCTAGTGCGCTTAAGTACTTCAGTAAGTCCTTTAGAACGTTCTGTGGCACACACACACACACACACACACACATTGGGAATTATACGCTAACTATCTATCTAGCTCAAGCACAAGAGGCGGATGCAATCAGCGACATTGACTTTGAAGACGACGATGAGGAAATGAACGGAGGCGAGGGTGAAGATGAAGAGGATGATGACGAGGCGCCACCATTGAAGAAGAGGAAGGCGTAAATATGCCGTGAAACTACGTTGATGTGTTCGACAGTAAAGTAGCTACCGTAATATAGTGTACGGCGCAGAAGCTGAGGATGGATTGTTTCCACATCTGGATGACGACTTTGATTGATACCAATTTCTACGAATAACTTCACAATTGATTACTCACAATTGATCAAAAGACTATAAACTTTTCACCGTGCAAGTTACTGTATAACCCAGATGATTTTCTTCATCGATGACTTTTATTCTAATAATACTAGCACTGTGCATCGTGCCTCCGTCAACGTTTGGTTGGGAATAGCTGTGACAGCAAAGCTGCAAGGGACCAGCTCAAGAGCCCCCTCAATACCACCTGAATCCACCCGACCCAAGCTCACCTTCGACCCCTGCAGCTCCCCAACGTCATCCCAACTTACACTTGGTAGGCGTTTTTCCGCTGATGATGCACGAACCAGTCCCCCAATACGCCTCGAGTTACCTCACTGTGCACAATGGGCAGAAGTCTACGAGAATCTAGTAGATCATAACATATGATCGATCTTCGGAGTTTCGAGCCGAAAGAACCATTTCATCCCAAGATTTTAGTGCAAACGCGTATACTACCTACCTAGGTATGTAAGTAAGTAGGCGCCAGCCCCAAACCGGGACAATGCGGCTCGAGACGCAACATCGGGCACCTGAAACCCACAGGGTATCATCCCCCCGACCACAAAACAGCACAGCCCATCTAGACTACAGGCCCAGCAAACCCGCGCTCGGCATGCAGTGTGCCCCAGAGGAAGAGAATGAATACGATGCTGGGACTGGATGGAATCGATTCGATTGAGGTGTGAGCCTACCTACTGGGCCACCGTTGTTGCGTACACTAGTAGTATAGGACCTTGGCTGATAAGTCCCAAGGTTACACTCGAGCTTGGGATGAGGAATATGCATGGATGCGGCCTGCCCTGTCCTGTCCTTCCCTTATGTCGGATACGTAGCATACGCAAGGAGGATGAGGCGTCGAAATTGTTTCCGAAAGGAAAGAAAATACCTACTCTGTGAATCCTCTCTCTACCTACCTATCTTTCATTGTTTCTCTTCTTTCCATCCCATTTACTTATTTTCTTGGCACCCTATCGATTGGGGGACTTTTTCTGGTTTCTTTACCCTCTTGCTTTCTTTGTTTCCCTTTGCCTTCATTCCCTTGTAGCGGTTACTGGTTGCTTGTCAACGGTATCTCTGCTCAATTCTCTTCTCGTGCTCTGCTTCTTCTACTCCTGGCCGAGTCATTCTTTTTTTGGTTATACCCTTATTTCGTCCAGGCGACACTCTCTCTTTTCTTCTTGCAGAACGCTGGTGATTCGTTAGTTTACTATTTACACGGATACTGAAGACGCGAATGTTGATTATTCGATCGTGGTGTAACCGACAGTCATTTCCGGCAGTCGATAACCAAATACATACCTATGATAGCTAGTCGTCTCACAGCGACATGAAAAGCGTGTTTTTCTGCTGTTAAAGTCTTATTATTTTTATTGTTCCGTTTTAAATTTACTACGATGCGACGCATAATAAGGGCGGCAAGCGCCTTTAGCTTGCTGGCGGGTGCCGTAAATGGCTTACAAGTCGATTTCACAAATGATGGTAAGGCACTATCTCATAATTCAGATAGCAAAGCTAACACAATCATCAGATTCAATAAAGCAAGCAGCGAGCACAGTAGCATATGGTTTATTAAAATACTACACCGGCAACAATACCGGCGACACACCTGGCAACTTACCCGATCCATACTTCTGTATGTGCCATCATCTCTGCTGACCCCTTCAACGAACTGACGATGATCTCAGGGTGGGAAGCTGGCGCGATGTTTGGAACAATGGTAGACTATTGGTTTCTCACGGGCGACGAGTCGTATGTCGAGGTCACGAAGCAAGCGCTGGTTCACCAGGCCGGCGACGATAAGGACTACATGCCCACGAACCAGACAAGGACAATGGGAAACGATGACCAAGGGTTCTGGGCGATGGCGGCCATGTCGGCGGCGGAGAACAACTTCCCCAACCCGCCTGCTGACCAGCCACAATGGTTAGCTCTGGCACAAGCCGTCTTCAACGAATACGGTAAGTTGATCTCGCACTACACTGCAATATTAGACGAGGACATGAAATCTCTTCCTAATCACCCCCGTAAAAAGTACCCAAGTACGGCATATTAACTCGAAGAAATCATAGTGGACCGCTGGGACCCAGAGACATGCAACGGCGGACTACGATGGCAAGTCTTCACATTCAACAACGGGTACAACTACAAGAACTCGATCTCCAACGGGTGCTTTTTCAACATCGCGGCGCGGCTCGCGCGGTACACGGGGAACCAGACGTACGCGGACTGGGCGGAGAAAGTCTGGGACTGGATGGAAGAGATCGGCTTCATCGACGAGCAGTACAACGTCTTCGACGGCGCGGGCGTGGAGGCCGAGTGCACCGAGTTCAGCCGTCCGCAATGGACGTACAACGCGGGCATCTTCCTCCACGGGGCCGCGGTCATGTACAACGTGTACAACACCTCGTCGGACGCGAGCACGGAGATCGGGGGCGGCAACGCCACCGCCGGCGAGGTGTGGGCGCAGCGCACGCAAGGCATGATGCAGCGCACGGTGGACCTGTTCTACAACGGCACGGGCGTGCCCACGGAGCACTCGTGCGAGCCGTTCAACCAGTGCAACATCGACCAGCAGAGTTTCAAGGGCTACCTGATGCGCTGGATGACGGGGACGGCGCAGATGGCGCCCTTCACCTTCGACACGCTCATGCCCCTCGTGCAATCGGCCGCCGCGGCCGCCGCCCTGCAGTGCTCCGGCTCGCCTCCCGCCGACCAGTTCCGCGGCGACCCGGGCACGGCGTGCGGGTTCAAGTGGACGCAGGGCGCGGATTTCGACGGCCTGGTCGGCGTGGGCGAGCAGATGAGCGCGCTGTCCGCCATCCAGTACACGCTGGTCAAGAAGGCCGAGGTCGGCGGCCAGGACAAGGTCCCCGTCACGGCGAACTCGGGCGGCACCTCGATCGGCAATGTGAACGCCGGCGCGTCCACCGAGTCGAAAATACCCACGCCGAAGCCGATCTCAACGGCGGAACGAGTAGCGGCTGGGTTTGCGACTACAGCGGTGCTGTTCAGTGTGTTAGGCGGGAGTTTCTTCGTCATGAAGGAGTAAGATGATATTTTACATTCTACGTTGAAAAAGTGTTACCAGGGAGGAGGCATATACAGCATAAAGTGGCTTATATTTATTTTATTCACATATGGAATATTTGTCATGGGATACAATTTTGAAGATACCTGATATATGGCTGAATGGATAGCTTGGTCGGGTTAATAACGATGCATGACCCTGGCGTTCTGGGGGGTTTAGACGGCTTTGAAAGCTGGATAATATTTTTTTTTTTAAGATACCGCTGATGAGAATACCATTTTGCGACTTTGTTGGACATCACTTGCAGGTTGGAGATAGATTCTAAGAAATTGAGATCTGAATGCGATGTATACATATCTATCGTGTGTGTACAGTGATTATATAATGACTTTACATGCGTGGTTGAGATCTTCCGTTCATGGCAGTCGTGCGTTGGAAAGTGCTGAGAGTCGTCGTCGCTCACTTATCTAGGTGATCCTCAATATGCATCCTAGATGACTGCGGGCGAGCACACTCCACTCCATGGAAACCAAGATACCTTCGCATCGCGGTGTCCAACAGAGCTCAGCACGCCCTGCTTTTTTTCTTCTTTCCAAACCCATCAACGCACACACACTATTCCGCCTCAAATCTCCTCACCATTCCCATTCCCATTCCCATCCTTCTTATACTTGTCCTTATTCTTCACTTTCTTAGCAACCTTGGGCCCTTCAAAGAACAACTTCAGAACCCCTCCCATCCGCCCATCCATCTTCCTAACCTCGCTCGCGCCCTGCACCCGCAGCGCATGCTCGCGAATCTCGTTGACAAGCAGCACCGGCGTTCCCTCGGGAGGCGGCCTCGAGCCCTTCTTGCGCGCGAGCATGATCTCCACGTAGAACCCCTTCTCCAGAAACGTCTTCAGCTTGGCCATCTTATGCGCGAGGTCGTTCTTCGCGATGGTCCAGTTGATCTCGAGGGTTTTGCTCTGGGGCTTCTCCGCCTTCTCTCGCGCCGCCGCCTCCTTCGCGAGCCTCCGCCTCACCTCCGTGTTCTCTACGCGGCAGATGGCGGCGGGCGGGGCGACCACGGCGGTGTCGGAAGGTGGGCTTTCGGGCGGCGGCGCGACCATAACTAGATTGTGCCCGTCCGGCAGCCCTATGATGGTGTTCACGAGGGACTGCGGGGCGGAGAGCACGCCGTTCTCGTCGACCACGCGCACCCAGTGGTAGGGGATGTCCATGTTTTGGAGAAAAGTCTTCTTTGGCGGCGCCTTGTGCGCTGCGGGCGTGGAGGAGAACAGGCGGCGCGGAAGACGGCATGGTGTGCGTGCGGCGTGGGACGGGAGAATTGGCGAGGAGAAGAGGAGGGCGTTGCCGCTGCCGCTGCCGCTGCTTTTGGCCGTTGTGTTGGCGAGCTCGAGGACGAGCACGCGGTGAAGAGCCCGTGCGGGGGTTATGAGACCGGTCATATGTCTCATGTTTCGAGATACAGCGTGTCTCTTCGGCCAGCGGCGAGCTATGCGATGCGCTGTGTTGCGACGTTTGTGTTGGCGAAAGACGTCTAGCGAATGGTACGTAATTGTCGGTTCATCAAATTATTCGTTCAGATTTGTTACAGCGAGTCTAAGTAGGTAGCTGGGAGGAGGGCTGCGGAGCTGAGCTCAGTGGAGCTGAAGCTAAAGACCCAATGAGATCACAGCGGGCAGCTTGTAAAAAAGACGCCAAGACATCACCTACCGCACCTGGGCAGGTACAGCACAGCAGAGGAGCTCTGCCAGCTTCAATTGAAGCCAATAATTACTCGTCATTAACTCACAACCACGACCTCTCATCCAAGTGTCCGCCATCGTTTGTTTCATTGGTTTTCTATTCCAGATCAATTGAGCCATACAAGAAGCTCGGCTCAGATCTTCGTGTTACATGTTCCCACTCAACCATGTATCAACATATCGTTACCCTACTCCGGTGAAAAAGCCCAGGCAGTCTCAGTCACTGCCCACATAAATCAAATACGCAGTAAACCTTAAACAACCAACCTCATCTCACCCGACAGACAGACACATCAAGCACAAGATGCCTTTCCTAGGCCACCCCTTCCGCGTGCTCTTCGCGACGGCGCAGACCTTCGCTCTGGCACACGTAGTATGGGCCTACGGGATGAGCATAGGCTTCGGCTGGGGCCCCTCGATGCTCCCCACGTTCCTCGCCACGAACGAGTGGTTCGTGACGGACAAGCGGTACCGCCGGGGCCGCGGCGTGCAAGTCGGCGACTGCGTCGTCTATTCGATCCCCGTCGACCCCGGCGAGGAGGGTCTCAAGCGCGTCATGGGGATGCCGGGGGACTACGTCCTTCTCAATTCCCCGCCGTCGTCGAACCGGGTTGGTACAGCGTTGGATTTGGGAGTCGATAGGGCGGGCCGTGGCGTTGGGAGCGAGAATATGATTCAGGTAAGTTTTTTTGTTTTTTCTTTTTTTCTTTAATTTTATCATCGACCCTTTTTCCTTATCAGCACCTTCTATCTTATGAAAGATGTAAAAGTGCATGCAATCTGAATGATATGCTTCGCGACCTCGCACCCCTTAATCCCAAAATCAGAGAGAGAGAAGATTGACAGATTGATTTATCATGTTCTCAGGTACCTCAGGGTCACTGCTACATCGTGGGTGACAACTTACCCTGGTCACGCGACAGTCGCGACTTTGGTCCCATACCCCTAGCTCTCATCAAGGGCAAGGTCATCGCAAGAGGATCGCTGTTTGGTTGGAATCCTCTAGGTTGGTTTACCAAAGTCGAGAACGGCTTACAGAAACCCAACCAGTTATCAAGATAGGCCAAATATCTTCCATAATTCGGGGACGCTATGCGGGCTCAAAAAATATAATGAACCACTTGAACGAACATAACTGCTAGCTTGCACAATCCATATAAACAATGGGCAATGCTGCAAGGTGATTGGAATAAGACGTTAATGATTATCGGATATCACCTTTGCTAGCACTGAGTGTCTAATTACAAGAATATAAGGTGCTTGAACAAGAAATCTGATACCTTGAAAAAAGCAAAGCTACTCCGGGCCATAAATTTATCGCTGCCCCGAGATGTCGTTCTTGTCAACATTGTTCATTAAACAGCCGAGGGCCAAGTTTCATACATACTTGCCCAGGAACTCTTTCAACAAAACGCCAAACCTGCAATGTGGGCCACCCAATGCAGATATGCAGCCGCGGAAGAAACCCGATACGAGTAGGCTCCTACGAGACCGTGTAAGTGCGGCCTTGTAGGAGCACACGCGCCCGCGGTCACTAATATATTACGCCTAAACGCCATGCCCCCACCCGCCATGTCCGCTTGGGATGCTGTGAGTAACCTAACTATAATGACGCAAGAAAATTTCGAAATCAGAAAGGGTGACATGGTGAGAGGTAAACTGTCGCGGTGTTCTTTCTATCCTTCGATGTGGGCCTTCGACATGCTCTGGCCTAGAAGTTCGAGGCAACGTTGGGCAAGGTTGATAACTTCGCCCTCGTCCTCTTCTTCAAACTCGTTGTCGGACTCGATTTGTCGGTTTGAGATTTGCTTAATCATATCAACAACGTCTTCAGACTTGCCAATGAGGCTGATTAGGGTCTTATCCTCGGATTCGAGCAGCTGAAGTAGTGTCCATATCGCGATATGCTGGAAGGTAGCATCACCGCTGGCAAGGAACCGGCTAAGATAGCCGTGAATCCCACCGTTGGGTTCTGACCAATCTTGTATGAAGATTGCATAATTTCCAACTGTATACTGTGTTAGCCCTTCGAGCTTGTGTGAGAGGTAGGGAAAACGGTACCTTTGGATGATAGATTGCCTAGGGCAGCAGCACTATTCCCTTGAACCTCAATACTTGGGGAGTGTGTTAGGGGAATTAATACATCGAATACACCCAGATTCAAGAGATGAGCTTTGAGATCGTCAGATAATGCCAAGACGGCTATGGCTGCGGTCATTTCGGATTGGACGGTTATAGGAACGTCTAAAACAAGCTGCTTGCACTTCTGAACGGCACCGGCTTCGAGAACTAGGGCCTTGTTCCGGTCAGAGCTAGCGGCTAGATTTCGCAGGGTTGAAATCGCATGGCATTGAATTTCTTCGTGTTCGGTTGACCCAAGGAGGTCGACCAAGGGCTTCAAAAACCCTGCCTCGATAATGGGCGACTCATTCATAGGGTGGATAGAGATATTTCGGATGCATGCAACAGCCGAAAGAATCAGCGGAAGGTATGATGACTGTAGCAAGCGCAGAAGAGCGTTGAGACCTTGAGCTCGAACAATATCGAGCTGATACTTCTCATCCGACGCCAGATTACGCAACGCTAGCGCAGCTTGACATTGCACCTTCGGCGACGAAGAGTCCATCAGGTTGACTAAAGATGTGACCAGTTTCGGTTCCGAGGCGGCCAGTTTCCTTCTGTTATTAGCGTCTACCGCAATATTGCTGAGAGCTGTTGTGCAGTAATACTGCACGTCGACGTCAGGAGATGAGAGGAGTTGTACGAGTACGGGGATAGCGCCAGCATTAACAAGTTGTATGCGGTTTTCATCTGTCCCTGTGTGTTAGAACATGCTAGAGTGAGCACCATGGGGATCTTACCTGAATGGGTCATGTTCAGTAGAGCACCAGTAGCATTGCGTTGAACCCTCATGTCTCGGGATTTGGCGAGTCTCGTCAGTGGACCAAGTGCTCCGGATCGTGCAATCTTTGCTTTGTTGTCTTCGTGCGTTGCTAGGTTGGTTATGCATCCAACCGCGTTACATTGAACCTCAACGTTGTGGGAGAGCATTTGTCGAATTAGGGGTGTTAGACCGCCAAGTTGGACGATAAGGACTTTGTTCTCAGCTTTTGGGATTGGGTTAGTGATGATACCACACCAATAAGCAACATCAGGGTATTTCACACATACTGTTAACGGCCAAGTTCCCTAAAGCGGCACTGGCGGCTCGCTGCACCTCAATATCGGGGCTCTGCAAGAGGAACAGAATAGGCTCGAGGGTATCTCGGTCAACCTCCCGTACATCTTGAACATAGTTAGTTTTGCGCTTCTGGGTGGAGGAAATGATGTCCAATCAGGTAGCAAAGCTACTGACGGCCTTCATTGAGGGACAGCCCCTATTTATATCATAATTAGAATTCCCAGCGTCAGACATACCTCGCTCAGTGATCTCAGCAAATGTCAGGCTCGCGCTACGTTGGAGGTCGATATTCTCGGAAAATACGAGTGTGCTGAGGGCGCGGAGTGGCTCGCCTGAAAAGAAATCGGTTTCCCCACGCTGGGATGTAGTGAGCTTCTGTTTGTTATCGAGATTCAAATCATCAGCACCGAGCACCTACATTCTCAAGGTATTGAAGCAGATCCGCAACGGCCTCTCTTTCGCTGTCGGCCAAAACGGGCTCGTACAGTCCATCACGGGACTTGCCTGTTAAACATCAGCATCTGTTATCTTGACACAGCGTGCATGTGTATATGTACCACCACAACACGACTGGCAAGCACCCATGTTTATGGGGTGATATTTGGATTACGATCGATCGACACGAGTGAAGTGGTTGGCCAGATGATGGTTGATACAGCCCAGTGGAAAAGGTCGGTCGTTGCTACAGGCTGTGATGGAAACGAACGAAAGATGACGGCCGATCGACCTGACGAGACGGTTCAAAGAAGGATGGATGTCGGTCGGGATGGGACGTGTCGAGAGACGACGCCGGACGAAAGATGAAGGCCAGACAGAGGATGGAACTGCCTGACTTGACGTCGATGTAGGTAGATAGCGGGAAGGACCGGTTTGAGGGAGCGACCAAGCAACGAAGCTGCCGAGTGGAGCTGTGCAGCGGTAGCGGCAGCGGCAAGCGTCTGAGCGGATGTCGCGGTAGATTCCGCCCCAAATCTTCGAGGCCTGTACGGATCTGTACGGAGTGCAGCTGGAAAAGAGAGCGAGGGTGCAGGCGATCGGCGACGGTGGCGCCAACGATTGAGCATGAACACCAACAGATGCCGAGCTGGATACCTAGGTAGGTAGTCAACACGAGCAGTCGCAAGACTTTTACAATGCGGGTTGTGAGCACAGTGTCGGATAAGACGAGATCCTCAGGTTGGTGGTACCTTCAGGTAGGTGGTGGAAGACTAGGCCATCTGGTTTCTAGGGAGGTACGGCACGGTACTGTACCGTACCTGACGCCGCGAGAGCTCTCGACTGGCACTAATGTACGTTACTCGAGGCGGCTGTAGGCACCCCCTGTACGCTAGACACGCCTAACATGCATACCTAGGTACACTACTACCAGTACTGTACTGTAGGGGCCTCTAGTTGTATAGGGTTAGGGACAGTACTAGGTAGGACAACCGGTTCGGGGACGGGTGCGCAAACGATGGCCAGAAACGGACAGCAGCAATAGACCACCACGATGATGATGATGACGACGACGAGGAGTCAACTCGCCGCGAGGCCTATTCACATACCCACCGTACGGTATTCACAGCGCCTCTTGGCTTGGTTCTCTACATGTTTAGGTACTTATTGCGCGGCCTGCAAGGTCGGGAAGGTGAGGTTAGAAAAGGTACTTACCGACATGCTCACCGTTACACCTACCTACCTTCAAGGTAATAGATAATTCGTTTCAACCTTGTCCATCGTCATGAGTGCCGGCAGTGGACCTACCTGCCTTCTCTCTGCATCAGCTGCCGTGATTAGTGGGAAAGGTACTAGAAGAGGCACCGGGAGAGGGAGGGACCTATGATGTACTATGTAGGAGTTGGAGGTTTGGGTGGGGAGCTCTCGCTTCTTTTAGGCTCGTGATTTGTTATCGCCATCAGCCCACAGTTTCTATTGCTGGGCAATTGTACTTTTGATGTTGAACTTGTGTGATCGTGTCTGATCGTGTAACCCTTGATCTCCCTTAGATGCTGAGTGCCGCATTCAGCTCAGCTTGATATGACTACTAGTAGAGCAGTGCACGCAGGTAACTCGAGGTAAACCCATATCGGTATGCTGGATTAGATAACATCTCACGGGTGACTTTTGAGTTGTTTGAGATGGTAGCAAGCACCTACCTACGGCTTGGACTTTGAAAGAGCAAAACTACTTATTACTATACCGGCCGTATCAGTAGATGTGTATCTACCTACAAAATAAGTAGGTAGGTTAGGAGCAGTCTTTTCGGTGTGTCGTCAGAGCTGGAAAAAGACACGCTGCTGCCTTCAGTTCACTCCCTCCCTCCTTACTTAACGTACAACCCTACCTTCCACAACCAGACTCAAAACAGATAATCAGATGACCGAAATTCCCCACCAGCCTGACGCATTCGACATGATTCACACCCCCTTCATCGCTAGGTGTGCTCTCGATAGATTCTGTTCAAAGTGGTTTCCCACGTGGATAGTAACATGCGCCATACCTCTGTACCGGCTCCTCACTGTCCATGTGGCTATACATCTCCATCAGCGATTCAACACACCACATATACTTCAGGGTAAGCAGCCTTTGGGACAAGATGAGTAGTATGTAGCCCTACATGGTGGTATGAGAAATGCTCAAGCTACCTACCTAGGTAAGCTACAACAAGTGAAGAGCTCCATGTTACATTACTGCGAGAATCATGGCCCACGGTCTCATATTCGCTTCGAATCTTTTGCCAACTTTTCAATCTGATAACATAGACAAGATGAACTGAACAATATGGAACACGATATTTCTCCCTCGGGCAAGTAACTATAGCACATACCTAGCATCTATTAGTGGATCACATATACAGAGCCTCATACTATTACCCATCACCCTCAAGATTTCAAGTTTGTATTGATCATGTAAGCACGCTACTACCTATTATCCCTACAAAAAGAGGTACGGAGCTTAACTACCGAATTCCGACATGGTCGTGCGTTGGAGCAGGTCGTTTATTTCATGGAATCTGAAATCCTGCGCAAGACGCGGTGGGAAGAAAAAGACTGGCTTTTTCACGTTCAAATCTTGAGTTAGAAACCCGTATGCTAGGCCATATCCTTGCGCGTCTCATCTTGTTTCCTCTTCCGGTCATAATGCCTTATCTCCTAAAGCAAAGCTTATTAGTTATTAAGTTGCATCACATCGTGCCGAGCCATGATCGAGGGCCGGTGAAGTAAGTACTCCGCATTGCCAAACCTCATCACCACCGCTTAATTTCAGGCCGCATTGCATCCCCGTTTTAGGGCCGCGCATCGCATGAATGGTGTAGACCTTTATTTGTACGCATCTATAACATTTGGATTTCTGTACAAAACGTTAATATACACGCACATATACGCCCATATTGTGTACATTCTATGCATACAAAGTACCTGAAACCCCAAATGCATGTGAATAGAAGGTGCATACAGCCCGGCCGGCGCGTTCATCAACTTTCCCCGGGCAGCACGTGCTTTTCAGCGCCGTCCTACTGGTCATGGAACAGGGCATCATATTCTGTGGCTGCAGGTGAGTAAAATAAGGTTCATGATCCTATGATGACTAAGTGATCAAAAACTATCTTTGACCAGCTCACCCACATCAGAGAGGGCGGATCATATGCGAGGTCCTCAATATCCCATTGGATTCATGAACACAGATTCATGAAGTGCTGAATTAAAGCTCGTCCGTTGAACTGAAATAGGTGCTCCTCTCACAATCACGATAGTTCATCTAAGCGACAAGATATAGTGTAGTATGGTAGTTAGAGCTCAGCCATAATTTAAAAATCCTACTAGCGCTAGCATACGTCGGCTGTCTGAAATGCGCTACTGCACAATAGTACCGTTCTCAGTAATGCGCGCTGGTATCGTGCCGCAACGATCATCAGGGCCATAGGTATGAGTGATATAGCCATCCTTGAAAGCCCCAAAGTAACCATCACCTACTGTGTTGTCCTTGAAGAGGTTGCCGTACGAAGGGCATTCGTCTCCCGTCTCCGCAATCCAGTCCGAGTAGGCCGAGTACTTCCCCGCCGTGACGAAGAGGTTTCCCTCGATGAGGTTGTTGTTCGAGCCGTCGCGTGTGCGGACTGCGTCACCCGTCACCTGGTTGAACTCGTTGTCCGAGATTACGTTGTCGGTGGAGTTGTGCGCCGCGTAGATCGCGTGGATGTAGGATGTCAGGTCCATGCCGCCGGCATTGGCAGAGTTCTTGACGCCGTGGAAGCGGTTGTCCGCGATAATGTTGTTGCTCGATCGTTGCATTCGCAAAGCGGCGTAGCCCTTAGGTTGCGGGAGCCCCTTGGTGTAGAAAGCGCCGACGCGCTCGAACAGCATCGACCGCACCTCGTTTTGACTGTTACCCGGCTCCTTGTTGCGTCCCAGGTCCAGGCCCAGCCAGTAATTGGTCACCTTGAGCCCAATGAAATGTAGGTTGGTGGGCTTTGCGGCGTCGGTGCTGTCGTACATCGTGAACCATGTCAGGCCAGTGCCTTCGCCATCGAAGACCGGCTTCGTTTTAGCACCTGCGGGCGGTGAGAAGGTGATGGGCTTGCCGTTGAAGTAATTCCAGGCCACTGTCTGGCTGAGGTAAGTGCCTTCGGCGACTACGATCTTCACCGCATCCTTGGGCTTGTCGGCCTTCACTTGGTCAAGCACCCCTAGGAGAGATTTCAAGGCTTTGGTCGCACTTGTCCCGGTGTTTTTGTCGCTCCCACTGGGTGACATGTAAAGTGTGGTAGCCGGCACAAGAGCAGGCGCTAACGCCAGTACGCCAACCAGCGTCGCCCAATGCTTGCGTATGTGCATATTGTTCAACGGTCAGTAGCGGGTTGAAGAACTCACACAGATGCAGGAAGGATGCAGGACACGACGGCCGGATTAGTGGTCAGTGCTAGGCTCGTTGACATGGTCGGCCATGAGCTGAGAGGCGAGGCTGTCTTAATATATCATTCCTAATGTAGTAGAATTCGCTCTCCGGATAGTTCTGCGCTATGCTGATGTCCACGGCCACCGAATCCAGGGAAGGATCGTGATCGTCATTGTCTACCTAGTTGTAGGCTGAACGCTAAGGGCCTAAATATGAATTGAGATCCTGCCTACTCAGCCCTTGGCCCACCATATAAATTGACTACCGTAAGCCCTACGAAGAACTTGGTCAATGACGATGCAGTCCACCTCGATACCTACCTAATCCTTGTTGCCGCTAAGTTTCACCAACGACGGACTCCTGTACTTAGGTAGAATAGATGCCTAACCAAGGCTGAATCTGCTCTTCGGTACGCCCCATCTCCATTCGCAGGCAATTGTTCTTGTTATTTTTTCTTGCTTTGAGAGAAGCTTGCTGATTTGCTCTGTATAGCTAGAGCTGAGTTTGGCTGTTCGAATTGACCCTAGGAATTCTTCTTCTCCCATTGAATCATCCACATGCTTTCGCCAATACTGCAGCATTAAAGTATGTTTGGACCTAATGGAGTCTTATAATCAAATGGCGCATTGGCCTAATGGCTAAGGCGTTGCTTTCCGGTTTATATACCCAAATCTGGCAAAGACTCCAGGTTCGAGTCCTGGATGCGTCGTGAGATACATTATTGTTTTGCGCGGTGGACACATATCACCATCCACCCCCGGATAATTTTTTTTCGATATGTTTTGCCAGATGGTGCCAGCTTCTATCAACACGATGGCTATTTGAACATGAAGTTATGGAGCGTTGGGCAAGACGGGGTAGCTAGATAGACAGACCTATTCAGACACAATTTTTGCGCTGCAAAGTAGTGTCGTCTCTCACTTAGAGTTGGGAAGACGTACGTATACACACACACCTATTTGTGGCCTCCATTATTAGCTCAATACAGAAATTAGCTGGAGCGTTATTAGGGTACGCTGCCAGTATTACAACCAAGGCGCCATCACTGTATGACTGTGAAAGGGCGAAGCAAGAATAAAGTATATGAGTAAATTACCGCGGAGGCATACGAAACGAAATATGCAGATTATCTCCCTTAACGAAGCAAAAGCACACAAAGGGCTTCCGCTAAAGAATAAAAGACGCGTAGACGGTTTCCGACAAGGGGATGACTGAACGGGGTAGAGAACAGCATTTTGGGGAGTACGCGATGAAGGCGGAACAAACTCGTCAAGTTCAATTATCCGCACAAGAAAGGCAACGGAGGTAACTAATGCCGCTAAGTCTTGATGATAATATTGACTGGGAGGACGAACTCTATTGGCAGAAAGTTAACAAGTACACAACTACGTGCTACGATTATTAGGAGAGAATAGGAAACACTAATCTAATGTTGAAGGCCCTAGATGAGGCGTTAGGAGTACCGGCGAAGAAAAGGTTTGATATTTTGCCTCCACACCTCTAACTCACCGCCACGAGTATCGTGAGAAACTTTAGTTGAATCATATCAAAGTTCTAGAGGGGGGCGAACACCTAAACATGCTATAATAGGTTGACAGATACCTGGCTATAAGATTTGATTCTGGTGGGCAACTTACTCAATTACGTAGGTGTATACGGCCATCACACTTCCTATAGACGAGGGAACATTGTGGACCTGGTCTTCATAGGTTTCCTGGCAAATCTTAGTAGAAACTATGAGGATATTTAGGCTCGAGTCCGTTTTAGAGTGCTCAAACAGTTACGTAGCTCGTGCCTTGAAGGTGAAATAGATCTATAAGACACTGAACTTATACTCTCTTTCCTTTCCACGGTATCATTTAAGAGCAGTTCTCCCAAGCTGCTCCAGATGTATACCTCTAAAACAAATCTCATCTCGCAATCATGTCGAATCCCACACAGAATGGAGGCAATCAGCTTCCAGTACCTGTACTAAGTGACGACCGCTGCGATTGGATGTTGAGCAGTCGACAATCAATCAGCAGACCTATACCACTCTAACACAAAGCTATGGCGTAAGGAGGATCTGCTGGATATTGAGCAACAACTCACGAATGCGTCTACCTGCAAGACATTCACAGTCCGCAGCTTCGTCGGAACTCCCGTTTAATTCAAAAATCCCATGTTTGAGTCTAAGAGACCTATCTTGTAAATTCCATCTATCAGTTCATAAATATCGTTTCACGATGCGCTAATTTCACCTTTAGGAAGCTACAGGTTAAGTTCCGGGAGTATTGGCATCTTGTCCATCACCGCCCTTCGCCTAATCTACCCACCGAAGCTTATAAATGCCTAGCTGGTCTAGCCGCTTAGCACGCAACCATGAGGCATCAATCGACTGTTTGCGAAGGGTGTTGGATAAAAGTACACAAAAATGGGTGACGAGTCATAGTTGTGACGCTATGAAGCAACTTTTGAACAAGCAACTGGGTGGAATAATTTGGCCAAAGAAAGTGGTTAATAAGGTGATCTGATTCGGATTAGGGGATATAAACCTCGAAGATTTTGTAAACTGGCATACAGGCATGGTAGAAGGGCCACTTTTGCAACATGCTATTGCGCTTACGTTGTATACGTTGGTCGAAAAAAGAGCTGCCAATTCTATACTGTTTAATGCACGACCACGGCTGCTTACCCAGGACCCAATTACTCAAATCATGCAAAGGTTGCGTTGGGCGACCTCGGTTTTCAAGTGGTAGGGGAGTATGGGGCTGGTGGCTTTGCTGAACTCGATAACAACTCTGTTGTGATCGCACCTTTCGTCTCCGCGCCAGTCATGCAGATCATTGACGACCTGGCATTACCGGTTGTCATTATCTGCAACAGGAGAACTCACTTTGCTCTCGACGATTCAAGGTAAACCTCTAACTGTGTTGCTCTTGTCTTGATTCTGGCTGACAAAGGGCTTATTTTAGTGAGGGATACGCGAATCCAGAATCACCGAGGACACGAGAAATGTGGGCCAAATATACAAGATTCGACTTCCCGCAGGTGCAAGGTTGTAAGTTTCAAGAGGCCATACAGCAATTAGAAATATATATTAGGAACTAGGTGCTGCGAACCAACAGGAACGGATGACCTGTAGGGAGACAAAGTGACGGAAGGGTGAGAAGTGCGAGCCTGGACCAGGAGACATGCCAAAGCCCCAGAAGTACTCCGAGACCATTACTATCATCAGTCTCACTCAAACGAAATAGACAAGATATATGAAACAGGAGAGGTTAGGGGCGTTAAAAAGCCGTTTAAGAACCAGAAAAGGGGGGGGGGTTAATATCAATTTCCTATATATCTAGACAGTCATTACTTCAATTCTTAATCTAAGCCTATACATAATTTTTGGAATGAGATATAGGAGAGGTAATCTCCTGATGGCCTTAGAGATAATTGCCTAGTACCAGCTTCAATTCACTACGACAGAGCAATATCCGGCTACGACCATACCCTTAGTAAGTCTAAAGGCACGGCCACGCCATACTGAGGATCGTTACACCTACTTCTTGGCAAACGTTGACTTACATCAAGAAGCTCACGTAGAAATGGGACTTGAGAAGGAGTGATGCTATATCGTTGATTAAATTTGATTTCGATCGGAGCCTTCAAGTACCTCCAAAACTACTAGCTAACGCCGGTACTGGTGATATGACAGTTGCTCCGGGCGCAAAATCGTTGTTAGGCTATGATTGACGATGCCTATGATTAGCTGCGTTTGAGCCGAAATTAAAGTTGTTATGGCTCTGTGTGTGGCGGTAAGGCACATTTGTACATATTACAGTCATCCTAATAATTGCTGCTCTTGTTGGTCGACCCTCCATCTGACCCTCCATCTGACCCTCCATCTGACCCTCCATCTGACCCTCCATCCGACCCTCCGACGGCCCGCCGTCTATCCTCCGTTTCTCCGCCCTCGTTCACTGCCTCATTCACTGCGTACATGCAGTAAATGGCCAATACACGGCGGACATGAAGCATTTAGTCATTTAGTCTTCGGAGTATGGGGCGGAGATAATAATATGTATAATAGATATAAGGTACCTACCTACATTTTAGGCGTGCATACATATGTCTTTCATGGGTACATAAAGCTGTTCTGTGCGCATACTTTATAAGGATGGACTAAGAACGTAGTTAACAACCACGTGGAGTTGATGAAATCAGGCTTTCTCAACTAGTTTATTTCAACTACTCCATCATGAGCTTCAAAAACGTACCGGAGTCGAACTCTGAACTGTCGACAAGTACAAATCTGCGAGAAGACAATGAAGACACGAATACTAACAGGACACCCACTGAGAAGGGCGACTCTGACGACAACATCGTAGACTGGGATGGCCCCAATGATCCAGAGAATCCTCGCAACTGGTCAAGGGCCAAGAAGAATGTCCATATCATCATCGTTAGCATCTTCGCTCTTGTGGCGTGAGTTCGACATCCAGAAACAAATCCACCAAAAGCTAATCGCGATTCGCCTTCCAGAAATCTAGCAGCCACGATGTTCGCCCCCGGAGCACAGCAACTCGCCGAAGACTTCCACATCACCAACAGCGTCATCGAGACCTTCACCGTCAACATTTACCTCCTGGCCTTCGCCGTCGGCCCGCTCTTCCTGGCGCCGCTATCCGAGGTCTACGGGCGCTTGGTCATATACCACGTTTGCAACGTCTTCTACATTGCTTTTACCTTCGGGTGTACATTCAGTACAGATGTCTCCATGTTTCTCGTCTTCCGCGTATTCTGCGGCCTCGCTGCCTCGGGACCCCTGAGTATTGGCGGTGGTACCATCGCCGACGTCACGTCGCAGGAGGAACGCGGGAAGGCTCTTGCCCTGTGGGGGGTTGGGCCGCTGCTAGGACCCGTATGTGTAGCTTACTTACGCACAGGAAGATGGATTGATGGCTAATATCGTGACAGGTCGTTGGTCCTATTATCGGTGGTTTCGTCACGCAGAGTATTGGATGGAGATGGACTTTTCGGATCATACTCATTTTAGTATTTGGCCCCTGGTTCTCTCCTTACTTATATTCCAAGCTAACCCTTGTGTAGGCCGGCTCTCTAAGTCTCGCGACTCTTCTTTTCATGCGGGAAACCAACGCTATAATCTTATTACGACGAAAGACGGACCGATTAATCAAGGAGACAGGCAACCATAAGCTCATCCCAAAGGCTAGTACAAACGAAACGCCAAAAGAGGTGCTTCGGAAAGCTATCGTGCGTCCGTTGAAGATGATAGCCTTCTCTCCGATCGTTCTCCTTCTCTCACTGTACTCGGGCGTGCTCTTCGGAATCATATTCCTTCTCTTCTCGACCTTTCCCTCCGTCTTCGAAGAAATATACGGCTTTAGCACTGGAGTCTCTGGGCTCGCCTATTTGGGCCTCGGACTCGGCTTCGTCTCTGGCCTTGTAGTGTTTTCCGCTCTGAGCGATAAGCTGCTTGGCCAGAAGAGAAATGGCGCTGTCGTTCGACCTGAGGAACGATTGATTCTCATGAAGTGGATTGCCCCGACCGCTCCTCTTGGTTGTTTCTGTAAGTAGTGATTCTTATCATGAACTACTGGGATGTATTCGGATGCTCTCCTGATATCACAGACCTCAAGCTCTACAATATCATAGCTAACTGTTGGTGCAAGTATATGGATGGACAGCACAGTACCACGTGCATTGGATCGTGCCAATTATAGGCACATTTTTCGTCGGTTTCGGCTCCTTGTTCGTCACAATCCCGGCCCAGGCATATATAGTTGATGCTTTCGGCTCAGAAGCTTCTGCTTCGGCTCTCGCTGCCAATTTGACCATCCGCGCCCCCTTTGGAGCCCTACTTGCCCTTGCGGCACCTCCTTTGTACGCGCAACTTGGACTGGGATGGGGAAACAGCATCCTGGGATTCATAGCTCTGGCTTTCACGCCTGTGCCTTGGTTGTTCTATCACTATGGCGAAACCTTGAGAACTAGATTCCCTGTCGATCTATGAAAGGATAATAATCTGACTTCGTTTTCAACCTCCCTCTTATTATATAACTAGAACGCCCGGCCATAGTCCGATGAAAGCACCTCGAGTCCTTCCCTTTCATTCTCAGCTGTCTTAAATTGTATCTTTATCAAAAACACTCCTATCCATTGTCATAATATCTGAGCTTTATCCCGTATATTCACTCAGTCGCGGCAATGAACCTTAAATGTGTGTCCCTGATTCGGTCCTTCAGGTTCTCTCAATTTGTGTCTCGTTTTTAATTGGGCATACTTATCATTATGTTTGTGATGAAGTCAGCAGCAGTTGCTGTGAGCGTAATGACCTAGGCGTGATTCGACAGCCGAAAGTATCCGGAACCCCACTGAGTCCATCAGAGAATTGCACTTTGGGCTTGATCTTTTTTCCATCTGCGTCCGTGGGACAGTCGATATGCATCGTAGCGATTAGCGTGGATATCATTATCCATACTCCTGACATGGCTAAGTGCTCGCCAGGGCACCGTCTTCGTCCAAAGCCAAACGGCCCTTCGGGGGTTGGTTCACCTTTGCCGCCTTGAGCGGTCGGTTCGTATCTCTCGGGACGAAATTCTTCAGGGAATGAATAGTGCCTCTTGTCTCGGGACATTGCCCTCACGTTAGGATATACAACAGATCCCGCCGGAATATGATATCCTTTGTACTCGTCGTCTGCTAGGGTGGCATGCGGCACTCCAAGAGGTGACAGAGGCTGCCATCGCGTGGTCTCGTGGAGGACGTTAGCAAGATACTTTAACCGAGATCTGTCCTCAAAAGTTGGAAGACGAAGTAACTCTCCATTTTTGTCTACGCCAATTACATCTTCCATTTCAGCTCTGGCCTTGGCTAAAGCATCGGGGTTTATCAATAAGCCTAGAATGCATACGATGATGGTAGACCAAGTGGTATTGCCGCCGGCAATTGCGATGGCGCCTGCCATTCCTTTAAGATCTTCAATTGTGGCCTCGTTCAGGTTTCCTGTCTCCTCATTGGCGAGATACTGACCAAAGTGGGTGTGCACGAATGAAGGCTTTTGCTCTCCATTTCTGATGGAAGGCTCGACGGATTCCCACGGCGCGTCATGAAGCTGCTGGATATACTGCCTCGTCCTTCTAGCATGAGCGAGTGGCCTGAATAGCTTGCTGATACGTGAAGCGCTAGTTGGAAGATACCGAAGCATGGGGAAAAAGTCGACAATGTTGCCGGCCGGAACTCCTCCTTGGCCTGTTGCCTCCTCTACATCTAGTGTCATTTTGATGTATGGGTCATCTTTATCCTGAATCTCGATCCCGAAACCTATCCGCAGTATGACTGCAGTAGAGAATTGACGTAAGTGAGCTTGCCAATTGTTGGGGTCGTTGATGATGGCCCTGGCAGCACGGCGAGCTTCATCTATTTGAATTGGTTGGTAAGCCTTGCATGCAGATTGCGTGAAAGAGCTTTGGAGGAGTTTTCTATGCAGCAGGAATCGGCGAGACCAGCGAAGGAAGGTCAATGTAACACCCCATCCCATAACCTCGAATAATACAAATCGAGGCCTGTCAGCATAGTTTGCTCCCCTCTTGTCCAGGAGGTCGTGCGCGGCTTCTATACTATCGAGAATGATAATAGATCGTCCAAGCACATTGAAGTGCACTTTCGTGTTGTTATTGAGCATCCATATCAGTCTTGGGGCTATTCCGATATCACTTACATATTTCGGTGTTGTATTCTTTTGCCCATCGCGAATATTGGAATTCCGGATGTTCAACGGGTATAACCCGGAGATGACCAATAAGAGGCTGGCCCGGCGGACCTGGAGGAAGTGGAAGGGTTTTCTTGCCGCGTTTTATTTGGTGTTGACCCAGAAGAAATATGAAAGCACCTATGGCAACGAGTATGAAGAACATGTTTGATGAGTACAGTATAACAGTCGACCAGATTACATATCACACTCAAAGTCCCGTCAAGAAAATGGCACGCAAAAACAAAATGACGTGGCACGATATTATATGCTAATTACCTATCTAGGTATGTAATCCGGAATAGGATATTGTACAACTATCTTTTTCGGGTATTACACATTAATCTATCGCATCTATTGGTCAATATCTTGCTCTGGATTACATGTGTACATAAGCACGAAAGACCCATATACTTCATCTTTTCTTTATGGACTGTTGAGAATTGTGAAGCTGACTGACTAGAACGCTTTTTGGCAAGGCCTGACGTGCACACGACATCTGGATATTATCAGGAGTGCCCAATAAGCCCCTCTCCATCTTCATAGGTAATATCATATCTACTAAGTATGGTTGAAGTGCTAGGAAATCAACCTTGTCAGGTTACTCTTGGCAGGCTAGCTTAGCGTGAGTCGCATGATACCTACTGCTGTTCGGAAACACTCCCATAAAGGGCCACGCCTAGCGCGATACCAAGAGAGGTTATAGAAGGTTGTAGCAGAGTACACCACCTCCGGAGTCTTCAATGTTAGCTTACTTAGGACCTCCTCTCATTTTCTATTGAGACTACCTACACGTAGTTATTTGTTAGTGAGGTCATGGTTATACATTAGCTATACTTTCATTATCCCCTTATTATTGCCTAGTTATTCGGCGCTTATATAGTGGTTAGACAGTAATTAGACCTTGATTACTCCGTATAGCACTGGCAACAACCCTCTTACTCAATCCTTGCTTTTTGCATTGAGCTACATGAAAGACCTTGAAATAGGTGTACCTATATCGGCCTCCATTTCAATTCGAGCCAGCGAATCGGTAGATAGAGTATCGGCGATAGGACAAGGGCGACTTCGAAACCGATATCCCCTGTAGTCTCCGCTATCGGACCAGTATACCAGACTTGTGAGGCAGATGGTACGACAAGGGCAAAGGATAACCCGGCAGCAAGGATAGCAGAAATCCCAGTTGGCAGCTTTCCCGGCTGGTCCCAGTGCTCAGGCACATACAAAGCAGGGTTCGCCTTACGGAAGACGAAATGCTCGACCGCGACAACAGCAACGTAGGCCGCTGACCAGTAAGCGATGAGATAGATGAAGTTCTCAAGACTTGCGAAGAAGGACCTGGCCGCGTATACGGCGACGGGGATGCCGATGATGGTGTACACTATGGAGAACACGAAGCGAGGGATGTGGCGAAAGAACGGGACCAAGAGTTGGAAGTTAAGAGAGATGGAGTACATGGATGCCGAAAGGTTACCAATGACCGAGAGCGAAAGGAGCACGGCCACGAATTTGCCGAATCCTCCAGCAGGCTTCAGCATGGCCTCAAGGACACCACCAACTATGTACTTCTCGTATCCTTCAGCCCACGTGGGATTGCCAGATATGGAGCCGCCGATCGCTGCCCCCAGAACCATCAACGGGACAGTTGGAACGAACAGGCCAGCATAGGTATAGGCGAAAATGCGGAAAGTGGAAACTGACGGGTCACAGTACACGGAAAAGTCGGATGCCATCGCAGCCCAGGGTATGAGAAATCCCGCGATAACACCACCATAGCTCACGATCACAGATGGGGGCGGAGGCGGTGTCTCGACTTGATTGGGAAGTTGCTTGCCCCCTACCCCCGTAGCGATGATGATGGCGACCAAATTGAAGATCCACGAGTACCGCTCGAATTCGTGGAGGAAACGGTATCCGCCGAAAGAGACGAATAATCCAATCAGGCCAATGATGATGATACCTGCCGTGCTGTCGATATTCCCATCCGCAACGGCAGCGAGAGTCGAACCACCCAGTACACAGCTAATGATTCCGAAGCCAGACACGGTCGCCAGGTTCAGGAGGACAATAACGGATGTCAAGAAGTATCCAAACGTGTAGCGTGCATGAATCATCTGACGCAGTCCCGTCCTAGAGCCAAACGTAGAGAAGTAGGCTGGGGGGACTGTGCATATAAGACTGAAGAACAGGATGACGAGAGAGCAGTCTCGCAGGCTAAGACCGAAGGTAAATGTCCCTAAAATCCCTGTAATGACACTGAGGGCGCACACACAGCTCATCAGCATGAGAATCTAGAGCTACATCAATGAGGTTGAGGGGCTTACGGTAAGAGGTTGATGCTCATGGCAAACCAGACGAAGAATACGTTGATGAATCGCTTGTCAGTCCTCTCTTCTAGAGGTACCGGTGTGATGCCACGCAGCTCAACGCCCCAATTCGATAACCTCACGAACCACGGCGAGAGCCTTGATGCGTTTTTGGTCTGCGATCCGGGGAGATCCATTTGTGAGGTTGTGGTCATTGCCCCTTGAGTTTTTTCGTCTCGTGACTCATCCATCATAGGATAGTAGCGCTGTGTAGTCCTGCGATCACTTATAGCACAAGTTGAGAATACCTGTCCTCCTGCGCGCAAAATCGTATTTCTGCCGGGTTGACCTCCTGAGATTAAAAAAATTGATGTAGAAGGAAGTTTCACTACTACGTCAAGTGGCGTAGAGATCTGCGGTATAAGCAGCCTTTTGAGGTAGATATCTAAGTCGTGACTCTATGTCGTGGTACAGTAGTTTAGTTAGACTATTGGAACGTTCCAGACCCCACACTCGGCAAAGTTTTAAGCTCCAGACATGCGGATTGAAGTGGCCTATCACATGTGAATAGTAGTCAGTCTAATGGCTAGCTCCCGCGTGAAATGGGGCATTGAGGGTAAATGGGGTATAAGTAGAAAGTTCACACGAAAAATAGTCGCGTGCTGGGGCTACAGATTAATATTAGTCTGATGCTGGGCGAGCGATAACCGGGATATGTCTGACACAGCGCCGTGTCTTCGTCTTGTGCGAGTCATGCTTGATGTCGAAGTATGAGGAGAGATCTAAGATCTTTAGTCATCATCGCGCTTATATAGATAAGAACACGGCGCTTCCAGCACAGATGATGCGCGGTTCCGGCTAGGGAACGTGGCGTGTCGAAACCCACGGAAGCCATTTCAACGATGATTATATGCCGATAACAGTTTTGACGCGAACCAACCGAGTCCCTCCCTGTATCTCTTCCTTCACCTGAGACGTAACGCGTATGCTAAAGGATTGCCTATCTCTCCAGGGCGCACCCCAGCCTCCTTCCCAGCCCATATCCAACCAGCGACCGTCAGTTATCAGTGGTAGCTGATCACAGGATACCAACTGCCAACTTAATGTGACACGCCAAAATGGGTTGAGACAAATACTCTGGTCCTCTACCATGCTGTGATTGCAAGTGAGCAGCAGGGTTTGGCCGTTGTGGGAGCCGACGATGACAACAGATTGTTCAGGAACCTGGTGCGTCACTAGTCGATTAACCACCCAGTAAGTATTCCAGTCTTCCGTGACAGCAGTGCCATTCATTTCCTCTAATGCGCGGTCGTTCGCCTCTCCATTAACTCTATGGAGGGTGTAGCGAGGCCGCTCACTTTGCGGCTTTGCCCAACCAAAAACATATAGCAAAAAGTTGAGGGGCTGGCGATCTCCCTGCACCACAAAGTCATCAGGGGGCTCACCCACTATCTTCAAAGCTGCCCATCCTAAGTCTGAATCCTCCGGGCCGAAAAAAAGTCTATCTACTTCGTCCCATTTCGTCCACGGCCACCGACGGGATATTTCCATGCTAGAATCCAAGACGACCTGTAAGCCGCAGTGTCGTGACGATAAGATAGGCTCCCACCCAAATGTCGTGTCCCATGAATCTTTCCAGACTGGCTGGGTGAGGAGGAAGGGGGTTGACATAAAGCGGTGTGACATCTGCCAGGGTACTACACTCACAAGTTCCATAGGATCTTGTCGGACATAGCAGCCGGCGCCTACGTTTCTCACCTTGATGGCAAGAGTCCAAATCTCAAACTGGCACACAGGTAGAACTTCTTGTGCGCTGTTGTTAGAAAGTGTGAGCCCAAATTTGGCCCGTATTTGGATGCCGCGGTTAGAGACAGAGAAATCGGGGGTTGAGTGATTCTGTAGGTCTCTATAATTGTGGCAGCCCCTGAAACTTTCTGGGGACGACGCAAGCACGGTACTGAAGAGGGTTCTATCGCATTCGCTTGGTGCCGCATATTCATAACCGCTTTTGGGATCATTCGACCAGGCTAGGATACTTAAGTCTGGGGTGGATCGGATTATCTCATACTGTAGGCGCATAAAGGCCTTGTCTCCTTCCCCATAAAGTAAGGGCATGTTAATATCGAAGATACCCAAAAGGCTGTATGCTATGTCCTCCACTCGCGTAGCCTTCCGTGATCGAGCCCACGACATCTTCTGTGCGACACAGACAGTGGTAAGAGATTTCTCGTGCTGCAGAACCTCTAGATTGATATTGGCGATGCGAGAAAGCCATACTGATGCCTGAGGCTTGTTGAAGCAAAAGTCCCAGTTACATGAATAGAATTTGATGTTTCTGGGCGCTATGAGCTCCTGGAGCGTCCAGGAGCGCTGGAACCATCGGCAGTACTCTAAACTGGCATCCTCTGGCCCTATGGCACGCAAGAGGTCCGAGAGATAAACGTAGCAAACCGATGCGCGCTGATACCAACGGAACATGGAATTAATGGCTTCCGACAGCTCGGCGCTGCTCGATTTATCGATGCAGCAAGTGTCCGCCCAAACATAAGCAAGCCCATCTTGAATCGCTTGTTGGCACGTTTGGTCGATCTTCCAGTATCCCTTCTTTGCGTTACTTCTAGGCTCCCGAGAGAATTCTTGAAAGGTGACCTCTTGATCCATCTCCCACGTGTGCGACAGTATGGCATACTCGGGAATCCCAAGTCCAATAAATTCTTCCAGCAGTCTGGTCTTAACGTTTATCAGCCACATTGCGGGGACTCAATGGCTAAACTTGATTTTCACGACTTGATTAACGTCTATGTAGATGAAGAAGCTTTCAACAATACTTCTAAATGATGCAACGATTGATGAGAGTTCAGCTGAAGAATCACTGGTCTTGGCGTTAGCTTGGCATTGGTGTCATCAGCACGCTGCATACCTATAATACCTACTCTGACCTACCTATTCGTCGTCTCTGTTTCTCTTCTGTTAACTACACCTATTAGCTTTAGAATTCTAGGGCACTTTCGTCCGTTTGCCCTTCATATTCAAATTATGGATAAAGACTTCAGAGAGTAGGCACTTTAGAAGTCTTGCTATAGACTGCACGTTCGCGCCGTATCGGTTGATTAGAAGGACAAAGGCGATGATGAAAACTATGCCACATGCATCATTGACCGTGATGAACTCACAGCATGCCTGCATGACAACAACCCCAAAATCTATATCTGCATACAGGGGAGGTCCGACATTATGACTCAGCAAAAATGCGAGAATTGTTTTCTTCGAATCGCCGAAGGGACCTTCGCGCTACCATTTGGGTATTACGCAGAAGTCATACGTCGTAATAGCCGTTATCCGCTAACGAATATTGATCATCACTCGCTTCGCTGATCTTTAGCTAATATTAACGTCCTCACCTTAAAACCCCATCTCACTCTCCTGCCGACGCCGATGCTCAGTCTGTCAAATGAGATCCCTCCTTGCAGCTCTCCGTTATCTCCGCCTCAGGATACTCATTGGATTGATCCGATTAATTGTTCGTTTCGCAACACCCCGCTTGCAGCCGAAACCCGACAGAGTGCTCCGCGTCCCTTCGCGGGATGTGGGACGGACCATAAGGGCGCACTTATACTCTTCATCTCCCGTAGAGCCTACTGAAGTCATAGATTACGTGCCGCGACACGTATTGATCAATTGCTGTGGCTCCGGTTTTGCACTTCCTTCCTTTGGCGCCGATGATCTCTTCTGTCGCGAGATTTCTCGGCGCACTGGACATGTTGTTTTGGACCTGGAGTATCGGCTCGGCCCCGAAAACCCCTTTCCTGCTGCCATTCATGATGTCGAAGATGTAGTGCGCTATGTCCTATCGTACCCCGGCAAGTATGACGCCGCCCACATCTCCATCTCCGGCTTCTCATCTGGAGGCACACTCGCGCTGGTCGCACCGATGCTGTTTCCAGCCCATACTTTCCGTAACGTCGTCGCATTCTACCCGTCAGTCAGCATGGCGAACGATCCAGGCGAGCGGAGAGCTCCAGTCAAAGGCCCGGACAAGGGGCGCGCACCGCTCTTTTGGACGCGGCTATTCCGTGAAGGCTATTTTGGGGGTATGGACCCAAGAGACCCACGCATCTCACCCCTTTATGCTAAGAAAATAAATCTCCCGAGAAATGTCCTCATCTTCACTGCAGAATATGACGTGTCGGCATTGGAGGCTGAACAATTTGCGAAAAAGGCCGAAGAAGAGGCACGTTTCTCTAATAGTCGAATTGAACTGAGGAGAATGCGCGAGTGTGGTCATGGGTTTGATAAGACCAAGCGTAACGTGGCAGCTAGGATCGAGGCCTACAATGCCGTCGTCGAGTTACTGAATCACAGCTTGAGTAACTGAACGGTATTATGATGTATGATGTTAATGTTATACCGCAAGAAGCTCCATAAGCCTACATTCAACGTCCCCTATTATATCATATTAGCTAGACGCAGCTCTGAATAACATACAGCTATTTCAGCCCCTTTCATCTCTTCTTCACCCTTCTAAGTCCTTTTGATGACCCAATCATTAGGACTAAGGTGTTGGGTATGGTGTAGGAGAGGGACCCGACAGGACAGAATTCGCTTTTCCAGGTTAAGTAGCAAGCGCTTCACATTACTTGCTAGTCGTACTTCATTTTATATAAAGACGGCGGATCAAACTATCGAACCTATCACCAAATTGAGTCATTATCAGCACTGAGCTTCTCATAGCTTTCAGGTGATTATAGCCCTATTCCAGTTGCTTCGATGTTAGCCCAAAACAAAAACAAGACTTTAGCAACAATGTTTCTACTAACTATGCTATACGGAGTAATTAAGACCTAATTACTATCTAATCACTATATAACCACGGAATAATTAGATGATAACGAGGGTAGAATAATATAACAACTAACGTATAACCATGATTTAATTAACAAATAACTAGTCCTACACCGGAGACCCCACAATCGGTGTAGGTACTAGAGCGAGCTCCTGTACAAGCAGGTTGTCATGCTTCAGCCGCAGCTAAAATGCTACTTAGACCCGATCCTTCCCCAAGCATTCGCTAACTTTATCCATTCTCGTCACACTGAGACGGAGCTATAAATAAATGCCGTTAGACTTCACATGACGAAAGCGTCATTTCTCAGGTTTGATTGATAACATAACCCACTGTCCAAGTGCAGCTTCCAATGACGTATGAATCAGCCCTATAAGTAGTGCCGTCCGGCATTAGCGAGATAAGTTCTGTTGTTTGAAATCGGGCAGTTAGCACTCTTCGAGTAAACGGCATCTACACGACTAACATGTGCGAACGGTCTAATATTCAGTCAATTATGCAACGCATACTAGGTCAAAACTAAGTGTGTTGAATTTGTTCAACATTAGGCAGCCTCTAAATCACCAAACAGGAGCATGTCTTAAAACCCCCTTTTTTGGCAACTGGTGATTATTGATGAAGTATTGGCCAGAAGCTGTCTCATGTTAAATTGGTTTACGCATCACAAAGGACAGTGACTGTGCGACATTGATTTATCTGTCATTTCGTGTAGCCTAAGTCTGCAGGACTTCCACGATACGTGATCGAGTGAGGGTACTCTGCTTAGGAATTAGTAGCTTACTGTGCTTTCGGAGTCCGGTGAAAGAGCGCCTTGGGTTCGCGACTATAACTCTAGTACGCTGGTGATTTCTATAAATGTGAAGCTTGTTGCCAATAGTATAACATATTTACTCAAGTATTTCCCACGCCTTCGCGATTATTCTCAGATACCAACATGGCCCTCCTATCTTTCCTAGTTACCATTCTCACCTTTAGCGCATCCACCGTCAATGCAGGTGTGTTGCGACGTAGAGACGGCGTGAACGGTGACATTGCTCAGTTCAGTCTCGGCTGGAGCACATGTGCTGGGACTGTTGCAGCGCTGTCTAGCGGCAGCCACCTCGAGTTCCAGTCCGACGGAGACCTGGTGCTGCACTTTAGCGGTGGCATCTCGTTCAAGACTGGTTTTTCCGATCCTAGTCTACCATGCTCAAACCCATGTAACTGTCGTCTGATACTGCAGGGGGACGGCAACCTAGTGACAGTAAGTAGGAACGTTCTCAGACGAAGAATCATTCATAACTATCCCCTGCACCAAGGTTGGGAGTGACTAACTATCATCCAAGTATATCAACTATGGCCAGCCTAACCAAGTCGTCGGATGGAATTCCGGGACAGCGGGTGTCAATACTAAGACAGGAACGATGGCGAGCTACTTCGAAGTCTTCGGTAACAAAGTCGCCATCAATAACTTCCCCTTCGTCGCAGTCGTTGACTCCAGAGGTTATGGGTTATTCACTACAGGTAGGTTCACTCTCTAATTTTGAATGCTTTCCCACGAGTTGTGCAAATATAGTCACGTAGTAAGAGCCTCGACGTCTCTTGCCTTGTTCCTGCACTTCAATCAGTAGTTTGTCTCACTAATGAACATTTCTGTAGAGCTTGATGAGATCCCTGGGACCGGGCCTACATCATGGTGCCCTGGACAAACCTTAGGACAATGCGGACTTCCGGATGTCTTCCCATAAAGCCTAATACATAGCGACGTTATAAGATAGCATCGGTGGTCTCAATGGATGCTGGAAGTTTAAGGCTCCTTGTGTTTAGATATGCCAAAGAGCTGTTATGCATCACGTGGGTTCCAGGGATTGACAATGGCTACTCGGCTTAATGGTCAACGCAATTCGATAATAACTCCCGACGGCAAAATGTTTTTAAACGTTTGAACACAATTTACCTACCTAGGTAGATAGGATCCGGAACACTCAGGCACACGAATAGCGTACGTGTGACACGTATGAGGTAATCGATCAGCGCGTTCAGGACGTAACATAAATGCTGAATGATATGACCTGCGCCTCATCAACTCGAGTAATGTGTTACCAGCAAAATTGCTGTCGCTTGGGCTTCCGTTTCTCAATGACGCGTGGCGTATAACATCTATCGAGTCTAATTTGTGTCACAGGTTATTTAGATGTGAATGACATAATCATAACCCCGGAGAGTACTTGGTGATCTGGCATTGCAAGTATCTTCTAACCGTTCTGTATTCATTTGAAAACGCCATATACCTCTCACACAATTCTTAGGCTGGATTACCATCCTTTGTTTGGCAATCAATGCATACACACTCAGTTTTCTCTATGCTCGGGGGCGCCTCCGACTGGGCCCCATACAGAGCACTCAACCAGCCATTCCAACTTGCCGCTCTCCTTGTCTACCTCTCGAGTCGCGCATCCCACGACTGATCCTGAAGGAATCAATCTCGTCTTATAAGACTAGGTCTCATCTACACAGTGCTTTCTGGATTTGTTTTCACTGCGTTATTTCTCATTGAACAATGGATACAATCAATCATGGAGTTTTGTAAATACTTGCTGCACCACCTCCCGAGGGGTGTAGTGGTAACTTTATCAATTCCGTCTAAATAGCACCGGCCTTGATAGGAGTCATCACGGTCAAAAATCTTGTGGGCGATTGATTTCATTACTACTAGAGTCTATATGAACCGTCGAAAGCTCGGATGGGTTGGCTGTGAGTTGCCTGGAACATGGCATGAATGACTATCAATCAGACCATATCAGCATAGGGCCCAACTTAACACTACAGAACAACGGCTTCAGGGAAAGGGCCTAAAAGACAGGAGAACCGAGTGCCTGAGCATGCGAGTTGGCTCTGGTGAACATATTCTAAGTATTACGTATCCTGACTTTCATACTACTGATATTTTTCTGGAATTGTCATCGGATACTGCATGCTAAATATTTCAAGTTGCTAGAACGGTTTCTCACAAGGTGACAAACGCAATGCTAAAACAACTTCAAAGCAGTACTAGAAATTAATATCTCGTAGCAAGCCGACCTCTATTACGTAGCGATAGATGTTTTGGAATGCGTTATTTAGGTTCCTCATACATTGAACTATCAGCATGACATCATGAAATTGCGCACCTAATCAAATATGACCTCAGTAGCTGCGTGTATGACATAAACCCCTCGGATGCGTCGTCTCCATATATATAATAACCTCAAAATGTTAGAACGACATGAAATAGTTTCAGCTTCATCAAGAGAGACGCAAACTATCGCATTGGAAAATGAGCGAGATGGAGTACCACTACCACGCCGGCAAGCGCAGCGGGCTGAATCCAATCGAATATGAATCGTCAATCTATCAGAAGGGCCTCAGCTATCAACGGCCGCCTTTTACATTTAAGCCTCTTGAGTGGGAGAGGCTCGCTGAAGAGCGGATGTCGGCGGATAGCAAAGGCTATGTGGTCGGTTCGGCAGGGACGGGCGAGACCGCGAATAAGAACAGGGCAGCGTTTGAGAAATGGTCGATTATCCCAAGACGTCTCGTGAAGACCGAAAGGTTTCCTGAACTCTCGACTAAGGTTTTGGGCCGTGAATTATCCTGCCCTATCGCGTGCGCACCTGTCGGCGTGCAGAGAATCTTCAACCCAGATGGTGAGATGGCGGCTGCCGCCGCGGCTGCGAAACAAAATGTTCCTTACATCATGAGCACGGCTAGTAGCACGCCTATCGAGGACGTCGCAAAGGCGAATGGAGATGGGGTGCGCTGGTTTCAGCTTTACTGGCCGCCAAACGAGAAAAACGACATCACGATATCTATGCTGAACCGCGCCCAGAAGGCCGGCTTCTCAGCTTTATTCGTGACTTTGGATACTTACATACTTGGTTGGAGACCAAGTGATATGGACAACGGGTCAGTATGCATCATCCCTTGGTTTTGGGACCTTTCAAGCTCACTGCATCATAAGGTATAATCCGTTCTTGAGATCCGATCAAGTCGGAGTCGCTATAGGCTTGACGGACCCTGTATTTCGTGAGCACTTCAAAACGAAGCACGGTAAATCAGTCGAAGAGGACATGAGTGCGGCAGTAGCCGAGTGGACTAAGACCGTCTTCCCGGGTCATAGTCACTCGTTCGACGACATCAAGTTTCTCCAGCAGCACTGGAAAGGGCCTATCGTCCTAAAGGGAATCCAATCAGTCGAAGACGCTAAGAAATGCGTCGAAATCGGCGTTCAGGGGATCGTGGTAAGCAATCACGGCGGGCGACAATCAGATGGCGGGTGTAGCAGTCTCGGTGTTCTGCCGCGCATTGTGGATGCCGTCGGAGACAAGATTGATGTGTTGTTTGACTCCGGCATTCGTTGCGGTGCCGACATCGCCAAGGCGCTCGCACTGGGCGCGAAGAGCTGCTTGATCGGACGGCCATATATCTACGGGCTTGCGTTAGGCGGTGAAGAGGGCGTGTCGCATGTGCTAAAGGCACTCCTCGGAGATTTGGAGCTTACTTTACATCTAGCCGGGATAATCTCGTCATCTCCGGAGCATCTGAATCGACGCGTTCTCGTCAGGGAAGACGAACTGTTTTAATGTGGAGGCTGAAATCTCGCCATGATGACGCGATGTCTCTTCGAAGGCGTCGCGGCTCATGCGGGGTGGCGGGGTGAGGAGGTCGCGGAACATTCCGCAGAATGGTGTTAAAGTTAAGAGCTGGGTTTGAACAATAGCTTCTAATTGTCCTTTTCTGTTAGTAGAAAAATTAATAACTGATTTATAACATGATCCGTCATATTTTCAGTACCAATGATTAATGGATTGGGCCAAGGTGTCTGTCTATCTGTGTAGGTGGTAGGTCGCGTGGCGTGTCATTTTGGCCAAGTTTTGGCGCTGAAACAGAAAGAGACGATCACGTGCAATCTCCACGTTCGATCACGATAGCTTCAACAACTTCACGGCTAGTCTAAGTAGTTTCTACAGTGCATACTGCAATTCCGCCCTGAAGATCATAAGCGCGGAATCCAAACCACCGTAGATCACCATTTGTGAGTGAATCTGATCGGCGCCTGGGGTTGCGGGGAACATCGTGTGGAGGTAAACAAGCCTCAACGGGTCGATCCTTACCATGAGGGGCCACCTACGGATCCGTTTATCTATTGCACGAACCGATGACTTCGGGGCTTTCAGAGCCGGCAGGATGGCGTGGCAGCTTCGGGATTCTGTCAGCAACATAAAAAGCGAGCTGCTGGCATCATGACGGGCCAGATTCTTGGTAGAGGTAGACATCTCATGAAGTATACAACAAAGGGCAGCTCACAAAGGTGACTTGAGAGCTTTGCGCACCGACCTCGAATCAACCTATCGACATCTCATCTTACATAACCCCTAACCTTAGTGTGTCTTTTCAAGTTGCTCTTATGTATTGTCGTTGAGGTCTACATCAAAATGAGATTTACGTTGGCTAGCAGTCTGTTGGTGGCTGTACAGGCACAGCAAGTGTTCATCACTACCACAGGACACACCTGTACGCCATCGGCCGTCTCGCCCTCATACTACTTTCAACCCTTCTCTTTTACCCTGAATGATACTGTTCGGTAGGCGACTCACTAGCATAATTGATGCCAATCAGCTAACAAATCTTAGGTATCCGACTCCAGTACCGACCCCAACAACAACTCATCAAACATACGCACCTGGATACTCTGAAGCGGTGAAGTGCCTTGCAACGCCACCAGCGACCACGACATGGGGCAATTACCTACCTGGGAATATTGCGATTAATGCTACAGACAAAAATGACCCCTATGGACAGGCCGCTTGGTCTTCCCTCTGGCAAAATGTCAAGTTGGAGAACTACACAACAATTGGACTTTATTCCACGACAGTCAGCCCCACGCCCATTCCCAGTAGCGAACTTGTTCTGCCGCCAAGTGACTATTTTGGACCGACAGATTGCAGCAAGTTCTTCCCCAAAGACTTTGTGTTCGGCGTCGCCGGAAGTGCTGCCCAGATAGAGGGCGCAGTAGCCCTTGAAGGTTGGTTTCTCGCCTGTGTCTACATGTATTGTAGCTAACGGTTCTTAGGACGCGGCCCTACTGTAATGGAGAAGTTAGTTGGGCCTTCTCAGCCCAAAGACTACGTGACGGCTGAGAACTACTTCTTATACAAGCAAGATATTCGGCGCCTGGCTGCCATGGGTGTCAAATACTATAGTTTCTCGATTCCCTGGGCACGCATATTACCTTTCACATTACCTGGTACGCCTGTTAATCAGCAAGCCGTTGATCATTATGACGATCTGATCAATGAGGTCCTCGATGCCGGCATGCTGCCAATAGTGACGCTGTTTCACTTCGACAGTCCATGGACATTTGTGTCAAGCGACAACTTCACTGCCACGCCAGACTTCGGTTCCAAGAACGGAGGCTATCAGAACGAGACCTTTGTAGACGCCTTCGTCAACTACGCCAAAATCGTCCTCACACACTACTCTGACCGTGTGCCGATTTGGGTTACCTTCAATGAGCCATGGCTCTACTCGTTCAATTTTGCCGGGGCGGACCATGTCGTACATGCCCACGCCCAAGTGTATCACTTCTACAAAGATACTTTAGGAGCCACAGGGAAGATGGGCATCAAGTTTAACGATAACTTCGGTGTTCCTCGCGATCCTAAGAACGCTAGCGATGTAGAAGCCGCCAACCGGTTTCAGGAAATCTACCTGGGTCTTTTCGCTGATCCTATCTTCCTTGGAAAGCAGTACCCAGATTCTGTCTTGAATACTCTCCCTGGTGCCAAGCCTCTCAGTGACGAGGAGCTGCGCTATATTGGTAACACATCCGACTTCTTTGGCATTGATCCTTACACTGCAACGGTCGTGTCGCAGCCGGCTGGGGGGATAGACGCTTGCGCAAGCAATTCCTCGGCACCTTTGTGGCCCGTCTGCGCCGTGGAAGAGACGAGAAACGTATACGGCTGGAGCATCGGTTATCGTTCGCAGAGTTACGTATATATCACACCGACATATCTACGGGAGTATCTCAGCTACCTTTGGAATACCTTCCGAAAACCAGTGTTGATAGGTAAGTTTGACGAAGCTACATAGGAAGACATAATTACTCCAAATGATAAATATATAAGACGCGGAAGCTAACTGTGTGATAGGCGAATTCGGATTCCCGGTATTCAATGAAGCGGAAAAGGAGCTCCCGGATCAGTTGTTCGACAGCCCACGTAGCACCTACTACCTTGCCTTCATGTCAGAAATCCTCAATTCCATTCATGAAGACGGCGTTCATGTAATGGGGGCTCTCGCGTGGTCATGGCTTGATAATTGGGAATTTGGGGATGCTGCATCTCAATTTGGAATGCAGGTATTGAACTCAACGACGCAGCAGAGGTTTTTCAAGAAAAGCTTTTTCGACCTGGTCGACTTTGTAGGTGCTCGGCTACCATCTTCGTAGTGGCACATGTAATGTGGTGCAAATATAGACTAAATGATAGAGAGTTATTTAATTGACTATGTGACTTACCTATGGATGCTTGAAGTTTTAAGAACGGGCCTTAAATTATGTTATATTATAAAGTATAAGTCTGGAATACTCAGGCCCCCAAGATATTGGAAAGCAGACACTCCAATGCACAGGAAATCGAATTGTTAGGGCACCCTTTGAAGCACATGCGTAGTAGGGCCGACGCATGGGAAACGGCTGAACACACGTAGTCATTTTATGTAAGACCACACTCAGCTCACACGAATAGTCATTAGTCCTACCGAAAGTTTAAAGGCAGTCCCACGCTTGACGAGTTCCTTCCTTTGACCCCATTCAACATGGAGAACGCGGAGCACTACGGGTCCGCTAGTAGAAAGCCCTAGTTCCGCCCTTTCGACACGACAAGTTCAGCAGAACAGACCGGTGAAAACTAGCGGCTTGGTCTACGCGTTTGCAAAACCGGTTTAAAAGAGACCTGATATTGCCGAAGGTAGATCGGTGGGACTAGTCGGACCAAGATGTCGGTAAAAGGGCCGATGACAGAACGGAACCATAGCGGCTCTAGCGAGCGAGCGATCGGATAAGACGGGGCGGATGATGGATGTGGCGCCGGGACGATGAGTCAGCTATGAGCTTTGTTGACCTCAAGCAGCGCCTTTAAGCCTCTTTATGCCCACGCCGTGGCTGTACGTTGACTGCTGAGGGGAGAGCTTACCGGGAAATTCATAGAGAATCGTAAATCTGATTGATGAAGTAACTAAGCTGTTTTTCATCTCAGTGTATCCTCATTGCTGTGATGCATACGCGTTCTATCATGTTGTTGATGCCTTAATCGCATCTTCAGTTGGAAGGACTTAGATAAGCCAACCACGATCAGCAGGCAATTGGATTCGTCACTTTTTCTGTTCACACAAGCCGGTCACAGCAAGTGAGCATTCACCAACGTAGGTTAGCTGGCGACTTGATTTGCGACCTTCATTTGAATTTTCACCAGCTGTGGCCCTAATTTTCATACTTCCGACACCTAGCTACATAAGGTTTCGGTCGCGAATAAAACCCTAGATGTTCCATTCTTTCTCGCGCTATGCACGATAATATCAATTATGTAAGATACTCATATTTTTGAACCCCAACTCAGCTTCCATGCAAGCCAGGAATTGCAACACTTACCTATTTCGTTTGCGGTACGTGAAGAAATTAGGCGCTTTGGTATTTAGCCAGAAACACACGTTGCTCATTGTGAAACCCCCGCCTCCGAAGTTTGGTTCAGGGTCGTAACGCTGATAAATACCAATCTTTATCCCCCACTTTCGTACACCCTCAAACTCTTCGAATTTCATGAGCCTCTCCTCTATGTTATAATCAACCTCATGTCCATTGTGTACTAATATCTCAATATGGGTCTAGGAAAGTCGAAAGTTGCCAGACTCTTACCTGAAGGATTCCTAGATTACACTACTTCAGAATCAGGGAATCCTTTCGTAGAAGGCTGGTATGCAGACCCCGGGTCGGCGGCTTACGACGGACTATTCTGGGTTTACGCGGTGCGGACAGGCACTGCCAAAGCACAAACATGCGTTGATGCATTTTCAACTTCAGATTTGATACACTGGGATAAACATCCCAATGTGCTCACAACCGCGAACTGGGTCAAAAAGGGTATCCGATCCCCGACTCCAATCTCGCAGAATGGAAAATACTATATCTACTTCAGCACCATAGATACCCAGGGAGATGATACCGATATAGGGGGCGGCATCGGAGTGGCAGTGGCAGATACACCAGAAGGCCCCTATGTCGACGCAATTGGCAAGCCACTCATTAGCGAGAATCACAATGGGGCTCGGCCGACTGACCCTGATGTCTTGATCGACGATTCCGATGGCCAGGCCTACATCTACTATGGTGGTCAGGAACATGCCAATGTAGCCATCCTCAACAAAGACATGATATCAGTAAAGTCTTCTAAGGACAACACTAAGTTCAAGGAGATTACACCAAAGGGCTATATTGGGGGGTCGAGGATTCTCAAGCGGAACGGTGTATACTACTTTATGTGGTCTGAACATCATCCCGATAATCCTGACTACTCCATCTCGTACGCGATGGGGGATAGCCCTCTAGGCCCTTTCAATCCAGTAGCGAAGATTCTGGAGCCGGATAGCGCCGTCACTAAGAGGGTTGGACGTAGTAGCATGATTCACGTCCCTAACACGGATATATGGTATGTACTCTACCATCGTCAACCACTCAGCGAGACCGACAAAGATCACTGTATCATTGCGTACGACCGCATATACTTCAACGAAGACAACACCATCCAACCCGTACGTATGCTTGTAAAAGATAACTTTGCAGACGGTAGGATGCTTGACTGGACTACGTATGGTGGGCAGTGGTCCGTCGAAGAGCAGCGCCTTACTGTGCAGAACGCAGGCAGCGGAATGGCAATGCTAGACACGAATTTCTCGGATCTCATATTCGATGCTACCATTGCAACAGTCAGTGGAAATGGTCACCCCGGGCTACTATTCCGTGTGACAGAGCTCTCGGCCGAAACGCACAAGTATAAGGGATATAAGGCGGCCATTTCCCCAACTGGGGTGATAACACTGGGCAAGGCGGATCTCGGGGTTTTCACCGACTTGGCTCAGACAAAGATGGATATGGTAACGGGAGAGGAATATCATGTGAGAGTAATGGCTATAGGGAGTGAGATTAAGGTGTATGTGAATGATATGGACAAGGCCAGGATCACGTTTAGTGATAATTCGTTCACGACTGGAGCGAATGGCGTCAGGATCTTCAATTCGGCTGCCAAATTCGGGTTCGTGTCGGTTGCTGGGCCATCATAGTGTTAAGTGATAAGTTATACACGAAGGCTTTGACGTTTGGGCACATGGTTCTGAGCCACCTTTACCTCCCGCAGCTGACAGCTAGCTTGGGTTCTATTCAGTGATGGACATCTAAAATATGCATGATACTTCTAGTACCGGCTAGTTATATGTTGATGATACCTCAACTATGACTTGGTTACGCGCTTACTATCGCGTAACTATTCATATGGTATCACTGAACATTGTGCCAGCCAGAGACTGTATGAGCTCTCTTATCCGCCCCCAGCTTGTCATTACAAAGTTCTGCCGCATTTTACATTAACAAGTAGGTACCGTTACACCAGTAGCCTATTCCGTAGAGCCAATCCTATCACTATGAAACCTTCAACGTCCGTAAGCAGATATCTGGAGCCACGTCATTATTATGTTCCGGTCTTGTTAGCCCAGGGAGTTGTCGCGGCCGAATGATATACGGCAGTAATCATTCTCACAAAGCGCGCCTTACGTCCATGCGCAGCAGGTACACTATCACTTTTATTAACCTTCACCAAAAAGATAGGCCCTTTTCTAAGTAGGATAGTGTAACGCATTGAGTGTTTCAATGGGCTTCGTCGAGGCTGCCTAAATGGCATTGTACCTAATGCATACACATTTTCCCTTGCGACCTAAAAAGAGTGACTAAGTACTTACAATATGTGAGCAAAGGGGCTATATGCAAGAGTGCCGTTACACCTCTCAAGTCCTGTGTTACATACGTAGTCCTAGATATGTTGATTATCCCTTACTTCAAGTTGTGTTACACCCACATTCTCAGTCAACCCTCCTCTCTCTATGGCAGCACTATATGACTCAGTAATTTCGAACATCATGTTGTAAGAACTTACTTCAAGGCTCTCTTCCCACTGCTAAACCGGGCCAGTAAACTACTAGCAAAGCTTCGGGGAATTTAAAGCGTAGTTCTAAGATGAATAAGCAGTGTGAACAAAAGAAGGAATGTTAGCTCTTGTTTCATTTGTACTTTCATTATTGCAAATTGTAGCAGTTTCAAGAAAACATTCGGCAACTAAAATAAATCGGAGAAAATCGACTAAATTCAATTTGAGGTTAGAGATCCGCTCTAAAAAAAATTTTCTAATTGAATTATACCTTCTCTCATTGTTAAATCCAAAGGCCAGTCTCAATACTCTAACGTACAGAAAGAGACTAGACTTTACCAGCCTCTTCCAATAGATTCATTGTGCTATTGAACTAATCAGCTCCACTAAGAAGTACGAAAATGACGTCTGAATAGAAGGCATGACCTCGTCAACGGCAAGTTGGCCTGAAGGGCTAGAATAACAATCTGGACGCCAAGTTACTAATGTGCTGGTTTTGGTACGCCCTGCATTTCTACTCTCACGTTTTACTTTCAAGGTTCTTGAAAGTCGCAGACGGCCGTGCAACCATTTTTCTGCTTGCTCTGTCATTATCTAGGGCGTGTAACCCAATACCGCCTGACCGAAAAGTTTGATACCCCCAAAGTAGTACAGACAACAATCACGTTGCACTATCAAGGACATTTAGCGAGGAATTTGTGCTTTTGACTCATGATTTCCTCCCTTCTCTCAACCTTCTTTTTGACTGACTAATATGTGACCATCCCACTTCATAAATCCACAGCTCTCTCTCGCCTTATCTAGACTTCACAACTTCGACAACACCCAAAATCTCAAGAATACTACCTAATCTCATAAAATGAAGGTTTATCAAGACTCTACATTGCCCCCAAACAACGCCCAAAACGCCGACCCCGGCCCCGGGCAACCTAAGGACAATCCTCATGCACATGACAATCGATTAGGTGTTGCCTATGGAGTATTGGCGGCGAGACCGTTGACCAACGAGGAAAATTTCAGAAAAGTCCACGAATATTTCGAGAAGAGTGACCTTGATCCCCTGGGCAAGTTACTCAATACCCAAGCCGCAAAGCCAAAGGCGAAACCAGACGGCGGCTACGGGGGAGCTAGTAAGCGTTCTCAGACCTCTCATTGCCTTCTCGTCACATATCCAGCTTTACCCAAAGATTTCCCAGTCAAGAACAACCAAAATGTCTTCATTCCGACTGGTAGAACTAACACTTTATTCCTCACAGCGGACGTGCCGCGTAGTGCTCCCATTCCCATCCCGAAGAAGAAGTAGATCTAGGCGAGCTGTTAGGAGGAGCAATCGCTGCTAGCAGCTATGTCCAAGTTTGCTTCCACGCAAGACGACCTTACGTGCCTAGATACTTGAACACAAACAAAGAGATGGAAAGGAAGAGGTATCAGCTCTGGAATTTACGCAGGTGAAAATCCAAATAAAAAATTCATCCTATCCTGCATGCGAACTCTCCAAACGGAAATCAGTGATGCGGTTCACACACGTGATTCCACCCCTTTCTGACCCCGCTTACCCTGTACTTCCGTCCTGAGACATAATCCATAATCAGCCCATGTAACCAACATTTCGCTTGGAAATTATCACAAGAGATATCACGACTCGTACAATATGAATAAATCCGTAGATGCAAAAGGCCATTTATCGCCGTCCATTATTAATCATCATCGCGCGTCCGCCTACACCGACGCCTCGAATGTCTCTAATTTGTATTTGTACTAAACTAAGTTGGATTGTGACCGCGGCTTATCTCAGGTATTAACTGCAATACCAAGAGATCAAAACATTATCGTACTTGATTATTGACTGAGTATGTTGGCTCGCCGAAATGAATTCAGAACTTTCGTGCGCTCATCTTGAGAACGAGACACGTTCATGGCATTAGAACTATAGATGCTCCCAGCGACTGCTCGCCACCAGCTCCATAGCCGACTAGTAAACGTTCAAAGCAAACCCAATGAGTGCAAAATCAAGCCTCATTTCATTTTAATATTGCATAAACACATTTCGTTATTTCTTTTATGTTAAGAGTACACGCCCATCAAGGCGATATATGCCCCATGCCAATAATGACTCGCGTCTAATAATCTACAGCCCATATGATATCTATCTAGCAAACCCCCCCGGCTTGCGTAGCTAGATACGATCATATCTTCGTATCTCATTACTCATAATATCATTAAACCCCCGGTATCATAAGCAACATCCTCTATAATAGAAAAGCCAGCTCTAGATGTCGTTTGTCTGTAGCACTGATCGTCCGATAAATGGATGTGTTAAAGACTATATGAAGACACATAATACTAGAAATGAATAGTAAAACTTAGCTTCGAGAACCAGGGATGAATTCTTCTCGAGAATGAAGAGGGTACTCACAGTTATAACGGCGTCATCGATCGCCGGATCATCATGGTCCGGCACATACACATACAGAATCAGAGCATGCTCGTCCGCGAAACAAGCAATGACGCGCCCGTCCAGACGTCCCACGCTAAGGACCTTGCTCCAATCCTTCCCGTCAACGCGCACGGTGGCCCATTTGTTCGGGCCCTCGTTATGGAACCGCGTGCTGGGATGGTCCTCGATGGCGCATGTCAGCTGGCTGGGATCGAGTTGTGGATTTTCAAGCCCGCCCCACTGCGACTCGACGTTGAGGCTATCTGCGTCCAGACGTAGCCGGAGACCACCGTGCATATTGGCGCTCAAGTCGAGCTTTGGATTGACGCTCGCGGCGGAGGCGGTCGACGACGCTGCGCGTGACGCGACGGCGAGTTTGGTGAATCGGTCCGAGATGGCTTTGAGCTGGAGAAGAGGCGGTAGCTGGATGTGGACGTCGGGCTCTCGCACCTTGGGCTGCATGATGGTCTCGACCGTCTCGGGGTGGAGGACCCGCACGGGAATGTCTTGCGTGATGACCTTTTCGCGCTCGCGCTGCAGGTGCGTCTCTAACGGCTCGGCAGCGAAGATTCCGTCATCGTCGTCACCGAACGGATCGTCTCCCGGGACACGGTTCGCGGGGTTCAGGTTGAAGCGGGCGACGCCTTGAGGGTGGTTCGCAGGCGTGGTAGATGTCGTGATGGTCATGGAGAGAATGGGTATGCCGTCTTTCTTGGTCAGGCGCAAGGATGCGGATACTGCATTGGTAGCTGATTTGAGGGCTCGTTGCAGCGGCACCAGCGGGAGCTCGAGATTAATGGTGTTGTTTGGCTCGGCGGATTGGATGGTCCAGTTCTTAAGGATGAAGTCGATTGGCAACGAGCTACATAGCAAAGAAGGTCAGCTCGACGGGAACACATATCGTTAGTTTCGCAGATGTACTGACGCCCAGACTTGCGACCCGGTATCGGGGATCACGGTGAAGCGGACTGTCTCATCGTCGAGACGTACCCAAGCGATTTTCTCTAGGGACGACAGAGCAGCAACCAGTTCTTGCGTGCCATGTGTTAGTCACTAGTATGAAATCATTTATGAACATTTCAATGCGCCATACATACTTGAGAATGTGTGAACGTTCCGAAGGTTCGATTTGAACCTCATGTTTAACGTCCTCTGCTCTGAGAGTTGTTACAGTGTAGATGGATATCTTGTCACAACCTGTATGAAGTTACGAAGACTGAAGACGCGACAGTACCTGGGCATTATTACCTTACATGTACTAGTAGCCTGTAGGTACTAACCTGCAAGTCCCTGCTTTAGTGGCTGGCAGGTAACCCAAGTAGGTATTAGTTTCGTACGGTTAGGTAATAAATCACATAACGCTGGGATGGGTTTAGGCACTTGCGGGAGAGTTACGTTACTCGAGCTACCAATGGAATTGGCTCTAAAAATAGTATGGGGGTTGCATTAGGGACTGCTTAAGCCAAAGCTTGTGATTCCCCCATGCCTGATCGATACCGCCTGAGCAGCTACCTAGCTGTCTATATTCCCTGACAGAGCCCTGAAAGCAGCCCAGGTGGCCTACTACCCCTGCCTAGTGCCCAACTAGCCACACCGTCTCTACCCCGCCTATCGTCACAACCCCGCCATCTCATCAGTACTGTAGGTAGTGAAAAGGCAACGTCAGACCAAGTGCGGTTTAAATTGTTGAGTATAACTGGGTCGTGTACTACCCAGATCAAAGAGAAGACATAGAAAAGGAAGATATAGAAGAGAGTCGTAATCAGGTTCCCGAGGCTCCTGTCGTGGCATCGAGCCCAAGTTATGTTCTAGTTCCTCAGCAAACCAGTCTAGATAGCGTTCCATAGACACTTCCTGCTGTATCTGTTGCCTATCCCCTGTTCCTAGAACTCCGAACATCCATATCCTGCAATAATGTATCAAGCGTTCCACCGTGCCCACTGTCGCCCAATATAACCGAGGCATATCCAGATGACCCAGCGGCCATGTTGAGAAACCATGGCTCGCAGAAAAATAACGTGTGAAGGACCTTCAGAAAGTCGAGATCCGGTCTATCGCTGGAGCAGGTGTAGGTCTCCTTGCCATGGCCACTTCGATGCGGCATAGGTTCAAGTAATCACGGTAAGCTGTTGGACTCGTCCGACCGGTAGTTGGGTCGATAAAGACACTGCGACTTTCGCTGCGTGGGGACTCTGGGTTCGAAATGCTCGGTCGCCTAAAGCTAGTCTGTAGGATCATAGACTTGATCCCTGATCTCCTATCGCCATCTTGACCTTGTCTGCTATTTGGTGTCTCATCACCGCGCGCAGCCAACTTTCTCGACTCCTCTGCCGCTGCGACGGCTGCGCAAGTACTGCATTTGCCCACGATTTGCACCTTGTTTTGATCAGGGAATGATGGCGGCGGTCTATGAGGATGGCCGGGCCGTCGAGAAAGACGGCGTCGCCGCCGACGATTGGAGGGAGGAAGCGGTTGCAGAGGCACGCCTAGGAAAAACAAGTACCTTGGCGTAAGAACAATTGGGTGCCCGCAGGGGTGCTTCGCAATGCTGCGACAAATAGGGCACGATGGTATACTGTGAGGATTGCGGTCGGCGGATTCTTGAAGCCAAGACTGAATGCAATGCGTGCCGAATTTATGGCCACAGTGCAGATGTGTCCACGACTCTAGGATGCCTTCGGGATTTGTCGCACCAACAGGATCGTGACATATGGGACATTCTTCGAGAACTTCCTGTACGCCTGCTTTCTCGTCATGTTGCTCGGCAGGTCCGTCTGTAGCAGGCTCTTCAGTCGCAGGCTTGTCCGTAGCAGTAGCAGGGTCGTCTGTGGAAGAACCAGGCTCGTTGGTAACAGGCTCGACTCCTACTGCGGGTTCAGGGCGATTACGCAGCAGCTTCTTGAGGAAGCCAAGCTTCAATTTGGGAAGCCGCACTCTCGGCATGGCTGGAGATATGGGTTTGGTGGAATGCGAGATGGAACAAATGGGTGGAGGTGTGTTGTGGAATGGTGGTTCAATGTGTGAGGCTCTGCCCAAGCTACCTGGGCTGCCTGGGTGGCTTCCAATCGCCAAACAATGTAGTACTATGCAGCAGATTTGCCGTACAAGGATGAACCCTCGGTCGAAAATAGCTCATCTAAGCAGAGGAAATGCAAGTAGCGAGCTGCCTAGATAGCCTCTGGTGTTACAATCCAATTGTATGTGCTTGGAATAGCCGATAGCGTATTTGTTGATTCTTCCTAGGAAGGGATGAGAGGACAGATGCGTTGGGCGACTTAACGGCTGAGCTCAGCTTGGTTTACAGGCTGCAGAATGGCAGACCAGCCTCGCCGGGTATGACTCTCGCAAGGGACGTGAAAAGAATAGCTTAAAGCTTCAGAAGCGCCATCCTTCGCCAACGTGTCGTCAAAGTGAATACAGAGAGTGATGGTGATGACGACAATTGATTGACTAGCTAAGCTTGATGAGTCAAGGTGGAATCATGAAGACGTAGCTAACTAGAGCTTGGACTGTTGGGAACGGTCAACGACTGACTCGGTTAATTGGATTTAGGCTTCAGGGGCGCTGCATTCTCGAAAATCTGGTTGCATGGAGCCTTGGGGTATTGAGTCCTTCTCCTCTCTCTCTCTCTCTCTCTCGCACGCGCGCGTGCATTCAGGTATTGCTTACCTATTAGATTGGGTTGGGGAGCGTTACCAGTGGCATTTGGCCGTTTGCCATAGGCGACCCATTCAAAAACGCCAACAATGGGGGTTTGTGGCGTGCTAATATGAAACCTAATACCTACCCTCCTACTACTGCCAGGAAGAGGAGAGGGAAGCTGGATGGATGGCAACTCTAGTCGGAAGCAAGGATGAAGGGAGGGGAGAGAGGGGGTTAGCTGCTCACAATGCGGCCTATGTTACCTGGCGCACCGGTCGAGATGCGAACTTCGAAATATGCAGCTTTTCGACATGGGAGACAGACTCAAATGACCAGAACTAGATAAACAGCTGCCGTCCTCCAGACCTCGAGGGGGCATCATGTGGTCAGGGTGTTGGGCCCCGGCTTATCCTATTGAAGCTGTCCGGATTCGTCGACGCCAGCAGCACTACAGATAAGGCTGGAATGTGTTTGCAGGCCACGTGCACGAGCTGGATCCTGACGAGGGCAAACGCTGTCTACCTGATTAGCTCGGATACAGGTAGGCGATTCCTGAATGGCACCCTGGTCTGTATGTGCAAGGCAGAATGATGCTGAAATGCCCATCAATCCCGAATAATGTGCCATTGTATGCACATCTATCTACCCACCATTATCAACGACCCCACTCGTGGACCTACTGCACAGTACATCTCACTAGGTAAGGTGAGGAGGGATAACACAGCCTCCTTCACGATGACGCTTAACTCCTTACTCCGAGGTTAGGAATCTACTCAGCAGGCAGACTATAGAGCGAGAATTAGGCGTTATTGACGCCGTCCGACTTTGAAGAGTCATGGCTATGAGTAAAACATAGAGAGAATAAGTTTCCGCGTCATTTACGCATGACTGTCCAACCGGCAGAGTGGACCAAGCAACGGACCGAGCCGCTTAATTAAAGCACGAAGCCCTCAATGGAACGAAAGTACCGTTCTTGTCAGTTAGAACCCGACTACGTCGGAACTTAATAGTGCAATTGAAATGTAATCGTATGAACCGCTTGATGGGTGGCGAGTATGTGAAGGTGCGGCTGTGTCGCGACGTATTGAATGGCAGTCATAGACAGATGCTAAATCCATGAACATTATCATGTAGGCTTTAGAAAGCAAGTCTAATAAAATCGGTAGTTAGGGCACAATGAAAAGCCAACATCAAGCCGTGATATCAGAAATGTAATATACAATGAACATAGGCTTAAGATGGCCCATGTTCCCTCTGATTAACGTCTGTTCCGGCCGTCCCGGTTGTCGTCATCGTCGCTGTCATCTCTAAATCCCTCCTCTAGGCTTCGCATGCTTGGTCAGTCGATAACGCCAAAGCATATCCCCTACTACAAGTTTTGCTAGCACGTGAAAACGGATGCGCTTACTCTCTACTCAACCTCCTATCGCTACCGGTGTGTTGGTGACCCGTATCTAACGAAAGCGCATGCCTGCGGTCTTCGTCCACTTCGTTCAGTTCTTCCCCATCTTCCGAGCTGAAGCCTATATCTGACTCGTCATCGGCGACGGCCACGCGGTCCCGAGAGCGTAGTCGCCAACGCGATGACGAAGCTATCCATCGCGCTACCGCATTCTGCATCCGTATACGTAATGAGGTCGTTTGTGTTGAGATGCTGTCGAGTGGTAGGTACTGGCTATATCGGTTTCGGTAGTACCGCCATAATGGGATGATTAGATATGTCAAGGCGAGGAAAAGAACCAAGGAGATGATCGCTGGGATGAGCAACGTCTACGCGATTTAGTAGGAGCCTTGTCAGACGCACGGGGGCAGGAAAGCGTTACCTTGACGACTGACAGCGTGGAGCCCATTTGAATGTGAAAGTTGAGCAGGCTAGGCGGCAAGCCGGTGTTCAGAACCGATGCTGCTCGCGGAACTCTGCGGTTCGAAACACGATATGGCGATTAAGGGGTGCCGGGTTCGATAGCTGAGGATTCCGAGCGATCCAGATAGGGCACGCGACCGGAGTACAAGGGAATATTGCTGAGATAGAAGTTGGACAAGAGCACCATTTACTGGCGGCTCACCGGAACTTAGGCGTGCGGCAGGAGGTAAGAGAGCCAGCCGAGTACTATGCCACGATGTCCAAGTTAGAATGAATACCTAGGATGTAGCTTGAGGCTATGGTTGAGAGGTTGCAGATGAACGTGTAAGCCAGTTGTCCGCCAAGCCACTTTAGGCCACGCCTGACGGAGAATCCAGGGTTCACGTTAGGTGGGTACTTTAGTCTGTCGGGTAGTTCAGACTAATGGATTAGGTACCTGTCTATCAAAATGGACACAGCTACGTAAGGTTGCATTCTTGATACTAAACATAGGTATATTGCCTGTAGTAAATAATCATCGTAGCAGCTTTTAACCTAGTGTTATTCCTTCAAACATCATATTGCGCATCTTCGTTTCTTAGTTCTGTAAGATACACAAACCGGGAACAATCAACAATCCTTGATTATCGTTGTGATGTTGCTTATATCATGGTGATATGGTAGACCTAGAATTCGAGGTTGACAAGATACTTTAGCCTTGCGAACCGGCCTAACCGAGGTAACTGCTAGTTGTAGGTAGCTTAACACTTCATGCTAGCGAAATAGGTACTCCTGCTTGTCAATTGCCATCTTAAACTATCGACAGGAAACACGAGATGTGCTACAAACTCGACGAACGCCTTGGTCCCTAGAGTCCCTGTCTACGTTGTTCCTCTAGGACGTCCTAACACCTACTTATCTTGTCATTCTTGTTATAATGATTGCTCTCCAGCACTTATCACCAAGACCGAGCCGACGACAAATGGCTATTCTTCTAAGATTCTCTTACTTCGTAGGCCTGGGGAGAGCTCTGTCTTCCTATGCTGCTCTACTGGTTCATCCTTGATGAACCTGCCATCGATAGTCTCTACTCTCTAATGCCAAATGGCTTGAGCTTCGGGCTACCTGTGGGTAGTAAGTAGGTAGGGAGTTGGAGAAATGCATGATACGTTTATATTTTTTTTTTTTTGGTTCATAATTGTCTCTACACAAGATTTACACCACCAGAACAACCTCAATGTCGCGTGTGGGGAATACACTCTGAAATAAACTACGAAGATATTCCTGTTACGCGGGGCAAGAATGAACAGAACCGACATTGCAGTTTTCTTCAACAGGCCGTTCGTTAGGCTGGAATATAGCCCTTGACAGTCCACTGGCAGAACTAACCGAGGACATGAGAGTATTTGCATCCGAGACACATGAAGATGGAATGTACATAAAAAATGGCTTGTAACCTCGTGAATGAAAGCCTAGTATTCTATCCAAGAGATCTGAACATGAGGTACCAGCAACTGATTGTTAGTTGATATATCCTTCGGCCTTAATGACTAGAATTACGACTTTAGGCAATTGGAACTGTTTCGGAGACAGGCAATATTTCTGGTTTCGGTCCAAGGCGTCGATTTGCGGCAAATGGGACAAATGCGGCACAGATGAGAGATGTAAGCTATTGGGAAATATGTATCATTGATTGGACTTGAAAGAGCGTGCAGCGCCTTGTGATAATCCATGATGGTGTTGTAATGAGTACTAAAAGCAGGATTGAAGCTCGGAATTTGTTGTACAACTGTGTACTCTGTACCTCCCAAACAGGTTAATAATCTACATTTGGTCGGTGATCCTCCCCCACCTTCCTATTTCAGCTACTTATTTTTGATAATCGACATCTGAATCTTACTGACCCAAGTGAGATGCCCTCCAACACAACGCGCACAGAATATTGGCCATTTAATTGAGCCACGATGGTACCGCCATGATTGATAGGTAGATACATAGGATGTGCGTGTGGATGTTACCATAATAGGATGGATTTAGGAAAAGAAAAGGGAAGCCCTAGCCCCATCCATGCCTATCTGTAATATACATTTACATACTGTTACAACCTACTATATGTAGGTATCTCCTTACTCTGCCCTTGCCGAAGTATCCTTACCAAAGTAGTAGCTAGGTATGGCACGACATGGTGATCGTGTCAGACTAGGTAGGTACATCTCTCAAGGGATTAGACCGATGACACTTGATATCGTCAAGATGCTGCTGTGTACATAAGTTATATACTGTAGGTAGCGAGGATCCAAAAGAAATGGAGTCATCGCCCTACCCTACTGTACATTCATCACTAATGCGACATATTCTGGACATATCAAGCAGTTAAGGGGTTCTTCTTGTTCCATTGGCCGTTTCAGACTTGTTCACATCACCACGGTGCACCCATGTCACGTCAGCAGATACCATGACGGATTGTCGGCAACATATGATGATTTGCCGATTCTGTGTGAGACACTTGGGGTTCAAAAGATATCTGGATGCAGCGAAGTCCTATTTACTTACATACCAGCGCAAAGGAAGATGGCATTCCTCCTGGCTTTCATGGGTTAATGTACGTACCTAAGTAGTAGAAATTAAATAATACTATGTAGACTTATTTAATCAATTTGGTAGACAGGTGATACACTGAAGGTGTGGGTTAGGTTGGGTTGTATATTTTCCTACACCACTACTACTTACTTAGCTGCGTTAGGGCAGCCCCTGGATCGTACATGTCTACCCATATGTACAGGTACATATACTCCGTACATACGCAAGGGGCTAAAGAGTCGGGTACCTAAACGTGGTGATGCTGGCGAGATGCTTTTCAGGCCAGCTCGGCCAGGTCGGAGGTCAGTACTAGATAGGTCGGTAAGGTGCACTCTGCCGGTGCTAATTCTACTTAGATACGGATTAATGCAGCAAATGGAAGAAACAAGAAACGCTCAGACATCCTCCGAGCACCATTGGGCTCTTTTCATTGGCATCACTGGCAACCCGCGATGTGGTGGTGGCTCGATCCTCATTGGCTGTCCCGGTGAGCACTGGACCACTAAACGCCGCCTAACAACATCCCTAGCGACTTCTCCAGTGGCCAATGCCAGCGCGAGAAACCGCCAACATACGGCGCTCATCACCGGATCTGTATCAGTACTTTGCGTACTACGCCATATGCGAGGCCCGCGAGGTACCTACCCTTCAACCGCTGCAAACCCCTTCTCAACTTGCCGTTACATGGCATCTTGGACTTCCTTTGAGCAGTACCAATTGAATCTTGTGCGGCAGCACAAGTCATACCGTCTTCTTTCCAAAATAGCCTCTGCGTAGATTAGTCCCTCCCTTTCCTTTTCATGCCATCAACCTACGAGTTCTCGACGACCACGTCAGCGTTGCCGACCTAAAGTTTACTTCGATATAGCCTCGCTTTATCCACGGCCCTTCCCGCCTATCTGGTGTACACTTTCCACTTCTCCCCTTTCTTCGGGCCTCTATTCTACATGTACAAGTATGTCTTTTCCATTATCATATTGATCCTAGTTCTTCCGCCTCTCCAAGTTCGTTAGGTTCCAGATGCAGCCAGTTAGGTGACTCTTCTACTTAAAGATGGCGCGCCCGTGCCCCATGCACTATGCAGCACAAATCTGACTGTTGCTTCATCGTCCAACTCAATGCTGATCCCCTAGTCGGTTTATGCAGATCCTTGTTCCATCACATCTCTTCGAACGCGCCTATACGATACTTTCAAACCATTGCCCACTGCGGACGGGAACATGATGTTATCCGGTTTGCGACAGCAGCCTCCAATACATTGACGACGACCCGCTTGCGACGTTAAAGCACTTAGTGTCGATATCTAACACCTCCTTCGAGCATCGGCTCGCATAGAGTACTTTCCCACCCGGGTAAAATCGCCGTTTGAAGGGCAGTTGGATATCGGCGTTCCAGCGTCCCTTCGCACGGCGCAGATATGTCTTCTGCCGACAAATCCAGGCAATCTTCAGGCGGCAAAGGGTTTTTCTCACGAAGCAAACACAAGAGCGAGAAGCGGCATACCGGCAGCGAGGAAGGCCGCTTCCTAGCCCCAGACTACGAGCCGTCTTCGCGGTCTTCTCGACATGTGCGAGAGTCTTCTATTACGTCAGTCGATCGGCCCAATACCCCTGATGCTAGTGTGAACAGCTCGACTGCAAGTATAGCTGTTGTTCCCTATGGTAATACACATAACGATCGAGGTCCAATCCCCGTTGATTATCTTCCACGGTCTGATCAAATGCCTACTCGGCGCGATTCGCCCAACAAAGGCGCTGCTGACTACTACCAATATCCATCTGATAGCAACGGCTTAGCCGGCTCTCACCTCTCAGCTTCACGCCCTCCCCCCGGATCTAGCAATATTACAATGGCAACAATTGGTCGCCAAACACAATTCCAGCAATGGGGACCACACTCGGCCACACAACCTTCTAAGGGTAACACGGGCGGTGGACCTTCGTCTTCATATAATGAGAGATGGGATTCTCTCCCCGGCTGGGGTCAGCCGGGCTTTGGTAGGACTTCACGGCAAAGTGACCAGTCCAGCATTTTTTCAGGTAACGGCCAACCTTCAAACTCTACCGGCAACACTCGCTCATCCAAAACAGCACTCCCCAGTGCAACCTCTCAGAGCTCGGTTACCTCCAGCAGAGACTCACACCGATTAACCAAATTTCCCGCCCCTCCCGTGCAGCAACAGCTGGGCGGTTCAGACGGGTTCTCTCTCACGCGACCGGACGATGACCGACTTACTGAACAGATGTTTTACGAATTGATGCAAAAGCGAGGATGGCACAACCTCCCCGAGCAGGCGCGGCGGCAAATGCAGGCATACCCGTCCTCCAAAAAATGGACACTCATTTACCAAGATCGTTTAACTGAGTGGCAGGGAGAACAGAAACGAAGACAGACAGCCCGGACGGGCCAATACTCAAATGTCGATATCACTACAAATTCTGACGAGGAAGGTTCTCCCGAGTGGTACGTTCGGAAAGTGATGGAGAATAGCCTGGATTCCAAAGGCCTAGGTAGTCTTGAGGTCAATCTGAGGACACAACAGATCGGTTGGGTGAGGCGCTTCATCGAATGTCAAGGGCAGGTGGCTCTCACCAATGTTCTGCTCAAGATTAACCGCAAGACCGCAGTGGGACCGGCCGCTCCCTCAGACTCCAAATCGAGTGACAAGAACTTGGACAAGGAATACGATATTATAAAGTGTTTGAAAGCTTTACTAAACAACAAGTATGGCGCAGACGACGCGCTGGCTCACCAACAAGTTGTTGTGGCTCTGGCAACGTCGCTCATTTCACCAAGGCTCACGACCCGGAAACTTGTCAGTGACGTCTTGACTTTTCTTTGCCACTGGGAGGATGGGAGCGGCCATCTGAAGGTCATCCAGGCCATGGATTATGTCAAAGCGCAACAAAACGAGAATGGGAGATTCGATGCGTGGATGCGATTGGTAGAAGTTACTGTTGATGGCCGTGGAAAGATGGGCAGCCTTGTCGGTGCTAGCGACGAGGTACGAACCGGCGGTATTGGCATGGAAAACCTACTCATGGAGTATGCTGTGGCTACTCTCATTCTGGTGAACATGATCATCGACGCGCCGGAAAGAGATCTCCAGCTTCGTATGCATATCAGAGCCCAATTCGGTGCTTGTGGCATCAAGCGGATCCTCACGAAAATGGAAGGGTTTCAATATGACCTGATAGACAAGCAAATTGAACGGTTTCGCACCAACGAAGCCATCGATTACGAGGACATGCTGGAGCGGGAGAACAGTAGTATGAAAGATAGTATTGAAGGGGAAGTTAAGGATCTTAATGATCCTGCCCAGATCGTGGACGCCATTCAGCAACGCCTACAAGGCACGAAAACTCAGGATTACTTCGTATCTGCTCTCCAGCATCTTCTCCTCATCCGTGAGAATGATGGAGAGGAGCGGCTGCGAATGTTCCAACTTGTCGACGCAATGCTCAGTTATGTTGCGATGGATAGGCGTCTACCGAATTTGGATCTCAAGCAGAGTCTTAATTTTACGGTACAGAACCTTTTGGACAAACTCCATACAGATTCTGAGGCTCGGCAAGCCCTAGATGAGGCCTTAGAAGCGCGTCAAATTGCCGAGGCCGCCATGGCGGAGCGGGATGAAATGAAAGCTAGAGTTGAGCTTGGTGCTGATGGGCTGGTAGCCAAGCTACAGAGGCAACTAGATGAACAGTCACGCTTCATTGAGGCCCAGAGGCGACAAGCTGACGGACTGAAAGCTGAAATTGAAAACATGCAGACGATCCGCACGAAAGAGGCTCAACGTTATGAGTTAGAGACACGAGAACTTTACTTGATGTTAAGAGACGCCCAAGACGTTGCCGCATCACAGGCTGCCAAGGGCGCCATGAGCAACAAAACAGGCCAAGAAGATGCTTCCCGTATGCAAGGTATTCTTGACCGTGAAAAACTCATGGATCGACTTGCTATGCAGCTGGAGAGGCAAAAGACCCAATACAAGCTTGAAGGTCGTGTCTGGGGCGATGCTGTAGGACCCTCTGATCGGCTACGTGCACTCCGTGAGGAGATGGAGGGTTATGACCAGTCTTATCCGGATGCCCCTGAAGGCTCCGGTCTGCCACCTCCAAGCATATCTAGTGGCATGCTTGGATCTGTCAGGCGGAACACTAAGATCCCAAGAAAGCCTGTTGGCACACATGGTGGACCCCCTACTGACGGTGAAAGACCTGGAGATGACGATGAGACCATTTATGAGAAGCCTAGGGTGGTTGAGATCAGGAGGCCTGTCATGGACCCTAAACAAGCAAATAATCTCATGGATGAAATCCGGGCAAAGGGTAAGCTGGATGGAAGTGATTCCGATGACGGAGATGGTACTACCACCGGGCCATCACACCCAAGTCTCGAGTCCCAGTCGCCGATAACTCCAAGCGACAATGATACTCCGAAGATTCAAGTTGATGATACTACCGCTCCGCCTCCACCGCCCCCGCCTCCTCCCATGCCAGGACACTTGCCAGGAGCTGCGCCGCCTCCGCCACCACCTCCCCCTTTGCCCGGACAGCTTCCTGGTGCTGCTCCCCCTCCACCGCCGCCTCCCCCGCCACCAATGCCTGGGATGCTGGCAGGTGCTCCACCGCCGCCGCCGCCGCCTCCCATGCCCGGCGCTCTTTCAGGAGCTCCTCCTCCTCCCCCTCCTCCACCGCCAGGTGGCCTCGGAGGAATGCCTCCACCACCTCCCCCACCCATGCCAGGCGCAATATCTGGACATTTCTTATCTTCTCGAAACAATTTCGCGCCTACACTGCCCGGTATTGGACTTCCAGTAGTTAGGCCCAAAAAGAAGCTAAAAGCTCTCCATTGGGAAAAGGTCGATGCTCCAGAGACAAGTCATTGGGCGGCCCACACTCCCTCTGCAGAGGCTAGGGAAGAGAAATATATTGAACTCAGCAAGAAGGGGATCCTGGATGAAGTCGAGAAGCTTTTCATGGCTAAAGAGATCAAGAAAATTGGTGGCGGAAACTCTAAGAAGGACGACAAGAAGCAAATCATCTCTGCCGATCTTCGAAAAGCTTATGGTAAGTTACGTGGCCAATATTTGGAGTCTCCCGCAACTAATATGACTATAGAAATTGCATTTGCCAAGTTCTCTCAGTATTCAGTTGAGAAAATTGTGCAGATGATCATCCACTGTGATAACGAACTACTTGATAATGGCGTTGTCATGGATTTCCTGCAGAAAGACGATCTCTGCAATATCCCGGACAACACTGTGAAACTCATGGCTCCATACAGCAAGGATTGGACTGGTCCCCAGGCTAATAAGGAAACCCGAGAACAGGATCCTGCGGAGCTTACCAGACAGGATCAGATTTATCTCTATACTGCTTTCGAGCTGCACCACTACTGGAAGAGCAGGATCCGAGCACTGGCTCTCACGAGAAGCTACGAATTTGACTACGACGAGATCGCAGAAAAGATGCATCAAGTTGTTTCGGTATCAGAGTCGTTGCGTGATTCAGTATCATTGATGAACGTTCTTGGTCTTATTCTCGATATTGGTAATTATATGAATGACGCTAATAAGCAGGCTCGTGGCTTCAAATTGAGCTCGCTCGCTCGCTTAGGCATGGTTAAGGATGACAAGAATGAATCTACACTTGCCGATCTCGTTGAGCGTATCGTTCGCAATCAATACCCCGAATGGGAAGGGTTTGCTGTTGATATCCAGAGCGTCATTACGGCGCAGAAGATCAATATTGAGCAGTTGCAGGTTGATGCGAAGAAGTATATTGACAACATTCGAAATATCCAAATGTCCCTCGACAGTGGCAACCTTAGTGATCCTAAGACGTTCCATCCGCAGGATCGTGTCGCTCAGATCGTCCAGCGCTGCATGAAGGATGCCCGCCGAAAGGCCGAACAAATGGAATTATACCTAGAAGAAATGATGCGGACGTACAAGGACATAATGGTCTTCTATGGCGAAGATCCGGCAGATGATAGTGCTCGACGCGACTTCTTTGCCAAGCTAGCATTGTTCTTACAGGAGTGGAAGAAGAGTCGAGAAAAGAACATTCAATACGAGGAGACGCGACGTAGGAATGAGGCCAATATGAAGCGCAAGCACCCACAACTCAAACTATCAGGGACCGCTGAGGGTGCGCCACCGTCACCCCAGTCGGCTGGTGCTATGGATTCTCTGCTTGAGAAATTACGGGCGGCCGCGCCTCAGGCTAGAGATCAGCGGGAAAGAAGAAAGAGGCTTCGACTCAAAGAGAGGCACCAAGTACGGATCGCATCGGGTCAAAAGATACCCGATCCCAATGAGATTCCAGAGGCTGAAGCTGGACTACGCCAAAATGATGACATAGGTGGCATAGATTCCGAAGGGAACCCTTTCTCCCCTAATCTCCTATCGCCGGGATCTGCACCTTCCGAAACCAGCGAAGATGGTGTAGCCCAGAGAGCTGCCATGTTGCTACAGGATATGAGAGGGGGCGATGGCAATGATGATGGGGATGGAGAGCAAAAGGAAAGCCTCAGGAGGTCAGCGGCAGAAGAAAGGAGAGCCAGGCGGCGGAGACTAAAGGGCGCATCAGCCTCAAGCTCCAATTCAGCCGAGGGAGAGGGCAGTGCTGGGAATTCAGGCGCCGCTGAAATCCCAGCCACTGTGCCCGAGGAATAATTTCGGCACCTGGCACTGAACCTCGAGTCATAATGTAACTCTTCTTGTGATGACACGGCACCTATACTATACCCCCTTAGTATCTACACGTATATATGATATAATGTCTAGAACACCATTAGTCCACAGCGGGCGAGTAGAAAGAACTACTAGCATGAGTCGGCTGAAAGGTATCAGACTCGCATCAAAGACAATTAACAAAGCGACTTGGTCGCAATTTTTGTTGGTGTAATTCTGCCCATGCTAGAATGAGTGAAGGTATTACATCCAGGAATGATTCTTCGTAAAACACTGTTGTCAGAGGGTTGAAGGAGTAAATGTTTCCATTGCGGTAGTTTGCTTAGGGTCAAGTTGTGAACTAGATTCTGAATAATCAGAACTTTGGGAGGATTATAAGCTGCTGGACCATGGTCTATGTTGCGTAATGAATCAGCCACGGTACTGTATATAAATCAATGTCGCAATTCAATGGGCCTAGTACTATTTCCTCTAGTCTTAGATAACTTTCCTCGCTTGATATGAAATACTGTCTATGTAGATACCTCAGGTAGATGATAGACAAGGACTACTGGCCCCCACGTCAGCACAAGCCATCTATATCTTACCTAGTCGTATTATCTACTTTGCCTCTCTTTCCCTGGCGCTCTGAGCGCCTACGTACCTAACTGTCTGACCTGCCTCACCTAGGGTAGGACAAAATGAGGCATAGTGACCAAGCATTAGCGTAAGGACCAGACAACCACCCAAGTGTCCACATATGGAAAGGTATCCGCCCGAGTAGCTCAAGATAGACTATTTAGTTAGGTCCTCGGCACACTCACGACCAGCTGTTGAGCATTTTAACGATAAAAGAGACTTTTAAAAAATAGTCTGGATAAGCATATATATAGTCCTGTAAAACGGCTAGGAGACGATAATAGTGTAGAGTCTCTGCCTCAGCTCTGTGGAAGCGGTCTGGGTTGTGCCTATAGCTTGGGATTACAGATCACTACACCGAGATGCAGGAGCTCCTGCAATGCAGAGCCAACATGCGTAAAGATCGTGTATAATATCTACGCCGCGTGCTTCATCGTTCCCCGCATCTAGTCAGATCTTAATCGATTGCGCCTCGACCCAATTCAAGCACGAGTTGACTTATGAGTTTAGTCTGCCGTCCCTTTTCTACTGACAAATGTGCGCTAGAATCTCTTTTCCACAATACCTGCGCGATGGTGCGCTCTTATTGTCGAGCTTGTTGTTGACTTCGTATCCTACACGCCTATGAGAGCAATCCCTTACTACAATACCAAGTTTGAGAGCGAAAAATCCAAGTCCTTCAACCACATCATCTTGCTCTGGCGCTGGCTTCCGTGTAGCCTTTGGTATTATGCATATCCTGATGTGGGCCACCACGCCGCATACATCTTTAATCTAATTCTTCAGTGTCGCTTAGGCATCCTTGCTCATTCCACATCCGTCAACAGTGCGTTGAAATACCCCGCATCCTAAGTTCTTCTCAATAGACTTTACATTATTAGTTAACAACCCGATAACAACCCCCTAGTAGGTATCTGCCCATGGGCTAGCTGGAAACCCAAAACTCTGGGAAAGAGTACACTTGACTTGCAGGGCATATCGCCAGCTAACCACATTGTTTTGACAACATAGCATGGTATGATCAAGTCGCCGATTCGTGAGGTTCACATGATAATGTGTGGCAGTTTCGCAAACTCTCTGCTTTCAGGGCCAAACACAATCGAAAACCATCTGGGTCCCAAGAACAGGGCTTGAAGGATCCTCTCAGTCATGATATTTCTCTGAAAGGCTCCATATCAGGAGTCAGTCTGGAAGCCAGCGGTCAGGGCGATTCCACCACATTAACCCCGACGCTGCCCAGCTCTACTATATCAAGCAGTCATGGAATACAATCACCAGGACTCAGGGAAAGCGAACCAGGACCCCTGGGATTGAACGTAGTATATACCCCAGAGAATGCACGAAAACTTGACATTGTATTTGTTCACGGACTAGGCGGCACGAGTCGGTGGACATGGTCTAAGAATAAGAACCCTGCGCTCTTCTGGCCTTCGACCTTTTTACCTCTAGAACCTGACTTATGTCTCGCACGAATATTAACATTTGGCTACAATGCCAACTTCCTAAAGACGGGAAGTCTTGGCACTTCAATTCTTGATTTCGCTAAAGCACTGCTGTTCGACCTCAAGTATGGAAAAGACGAGTCTAAGAGTGATCTTAACATGGGGAGCGTATGTCAGAAAGCTGCCGTCTTTTAGCCGTTAGCTAACTGCTCAACAAGGTTCCTCTCATCTTTGTGGTACATAGCATGGGCGGCCTAGTTGCTAAAGAAGTATGCATTACACCACATAGTATCTAACTGCATCCTACTAAGTTACCACTGCAAGGCATACCTGCTAGGTCAGAATGATCCTGAATATGAGGCAATTGTTCGAGCGATCAGTTCTATCGTTTTCCTTGCAACACCGCATCGTGGTACGAATCTTGCCGAGACACTTAACAGAATACTACAAGCGGCTATTGTTACGAATCCAAAGCCTTATGTATCTGAATTGATTAGAAACTCATTTACGCTACAAAGGCTCAATGAACAGTTTCGCCACGTTGCCCCTCGCCTTGACATAGTCTCATTCTATGAGACACAACCAACTTCATTAGGGCTAAAAAGCGCAAGAATTGTGAGAAAACCATCTCAGACCATACCAATTCCAGCGCTAATACGCTGACAATGCAGATGATAGTAGAAAAGGACTCGGCAGTGCTTGGATATCCCGGAGAAATATCAAAAGCGCTAGAGGCCGACCACCATGGCGTTTCTAAGTTCGACCATCCCCTAGATCCAAACTACATTACTGTGAGAAATGTGCTTATGTCTTTGACAAGTAAAGCATTGTCCGAGAAGGCGCTGAAATCCCTTGAGGCATCGGACAGAAAGGACTTAGAGACTGCACGATCATTCCTTGGGCTTCAGGAGTTGCCAGAGGCAGATTACACGTTTTCCCATGATCAGTGGATGCAAGGGACCTGCGATTGGATCATACACGAAAAAGCCTTCAATACGTGGCTAGACACTAAAAGCTCTGCATCAGGGGTTCTATGGCTTAATGGAAACCCTGCATCTGGAAAATCGGTGATGTCTTCTTTTATAATTAATCATCTCATCGAGCAGAAACTGTGTTGCCAATATTTCTACATTCGGTTCGGAGACAGAACAAAGCGGACTTTGAGTCTGTTACTTCGTTCAATCGCGTTCCAGATCGCACAAGCAGATTCGAAGTTTCTTCGCGAGATCATCGACCTCAAAGAAGAGGGTATAGATATGGAGAACGCCGAACACAGAATGATCTGGCAAAGGGTGTACAAATCTATCCTCTTCAAGTCAGGAGATACGCCACCGCTTTATTGGGTTATTGACGGTCTAGATGAAGCAGAGAATCCCCAAGCAATTCTTAGGGCGCTATATGATCTTTCGTCTTCGCTCAACCCTGTCCGAGTTCTCATTACAAGTCGGAAAACCCTGGAATTAGCAGCTGCAGTGACGAAGATTCCCCATGATCTTTATTATGGAGAGATTAGCGTAGAGGGTCACGTCGATGATCTGCGTTGTTACGTTACCCAAGAGCTGACTATGTTGGGCACACCCGAATTCAAACAAAACGTTACTGCAAGGATACTTGAGGGTGCGCACAATAACTTTTTAGTGAGTATCCATCCGCGCGACTATTGTGCCTCGTCAGAAAGATACTAACTGCTAGTTCAGTGGGTTCGACTTGCCGTCGAGAAGTTGAATGCTTGCCATCGCCTCGCTGATGTCGAGCTTGCGCTACAACAGCTGCCGGGAGGTATGGGGGCGTTATATGCCAGAATGGTGTCCTCCATGCCAGAAGACCCCATTAATAACGCCTTAGCACATCGCATTCTCAAATGCGCTGTTGGTGCATTACGGACTTTAACTGTAGTAGAATTATTGGAGGTAATCGGAGAGGATACCACCGAATTCCTTGACATCCAAAAATCCGTCATGAACCTATGTGGCGGGTTAGTAGTGGTTGATAACGATGGCAACGTCTCGATGGTTCATCAGACCGCTCGAGAATATCTACTAGATTCAAACAACGGCAGTCTCTGCGTGGAAAAGAATCTTGCTCACGGAGAACTCTTCCTTAGTTGTATGAAGTGCCTGACAACTGCAGGGCTCAGAGAAAAACTGATTCGACGGTTGAAGCCTGATCTACTCGATTATGCAGCGTCATTTTGGTCTTCGCATCTCATTTCATCAGATTCAGATTCAATCGTTTTATCGGAGACCCTCAGACGATTTCTCAAAAGCCCAGCGATATTATCATGGATTCATTTCCTGACTTTGGAAGGGAAACTTCATATACTCGTTCTTACATCAAAACATCTATCGATACACGCTTCTAGGCAACAGAAACGCGCTCGTACAAAAGGTGAAGAAAGTCACCAGAATATGGATCGTGCACTTATCGAGAACTGGGCTGTTGATTTGATTAAGCTAACCGGAAAATTTGGTGCGGTTCTGACAAACAACCCGGAGTCGATTTATAAAGAAATTCCTCCCCTGTGCCCTCGCAACTCGTCTATATATCAACAATTCGGGAGTATGGAAGCCAAAAGCCTACGAGTTCTGGGAATCTCAACAGACGATTGGGATGATTCCCTTTCGAGGTTATCCCTCCCAGGAGCTAAACAAGCTTCCTTCATTGCAGCTGCTGGCGCTCACATAGCTATGCTAGCCGTATCGGGGAATGTCTTCATTTACGATTCTTCGACATTTGAAGAGACGAGCATGAACCCTATAAACCATCATGAAAGGGTCTATCGGATGGAGCTCGACAGAACGGCGTCACTACTTGTCACTTATGGATACCGAACCACCAAGATTTGGGAATTACCAGATGGCAAGTGTAGGCTATCTGTGAATAATCTGGCTGCAAGGCCACGACCCCTGACCATGCTCCTGACAAACAATAACAAGACACTGTTAGTTGGGTTCGATGACAGACGAATTAGGTCGATCAACATATGCGAGACTGTACCGAATTGGAAGGTCGTGGCTGATCTGGAAGAACCCGAGCTGGACGGGCAATTCCTCAACGCAGCTAACTATATGACTTTGAGCAACGACGGTAGCCTGGTCGCAGTAGCTTACCGTGGCCATCCTCTGGCTGCATGGGAATTAGATGGCCCTATTCATCTCGGGCACTGCTGGCGTAAAAGGGAAGAGGTCTCCAGGGGCGAGGTTATTGACGCTGTCTGGAACCCTCAATCGGCTGAAGTATTAGGCCTGTATCTTGAAGGGGTTGTATTCAAGTGGCAGCCCTACGAGGATTATGTGGACGAACTACACATCGGGGCATCCAAGCTCGCGATTAGCGATGACGGAAACACTTTCGCAGCTGGAAGTGCTCAAGGTGTGGTTAAGCTGTACAAAACGTCGAACCTTGCTCTCGTATATCAGTTGGCTTCTCAAGATACTGTTCTCGGTTTGGCATTCAGCCCCGACTGCCGTCGCTTTTACGACATAAGAGGACACTACGGAAACGTATGGGAGCCCGAAATTTTGATGAGATATGCGGAACAGGCGAACCGAGGATTTGGAGACAATGACGATATTGAGAGTGCAGTCGCGACTTCAAGCATGACTGCTATGAGGACATATCAGCAAGTTGACAACATTACTGTGCTGTCGAGTTCCCCAGCTGGCAAGCTCTTTTGCTTCGGCACCTGAGCGAGGTATATTATACCTGCACGGTACAGATCGAGGCAGGATTGCTACGCTGCATACGTCTCGGGGCCACTTGAGCATTGAGAAGCTCGCGTGGAGTCCTGCTGGATGCTCGATTGCGTTCATTGACTCTAGCAAGAAGCTGTTCATTATACCCATCAACCCTCCCGACAAGAACAACATAGACCCCGTCATAGGATCTACAACGGAAATATCATTAAAGAGTGCTACCAAGGGAGAAATATATCAAATACTTCTACACCCGGACTCGAATCATATCTTCGTATTTACCTCGACTATAATCCACGTCATTTCGATTGCGACATTAGCTATTGAGCGGTCCATCACTCTGGACTCGATAGAGGCCCATTGGATTCTTAACCCTCTGAATGACAGCCAAATCCTCGGCTTCGATCCTCAATCTGTACACATGCTAGACTGGCGCGCAGGCAACCTAGTCTCCCAGGAATGGAATGCCGGCGAGCCAACAGACCAGGGCGACAGTCGAAGCGAGCAAGGAAGCACAATCGACCGGGTCCTCATCACTCATGACAAGAAGCATATACTAGTCCAGATATCACGCAAGAACCAAGCCGCGAAGAAGAAGATACATTACCACTTCGACACAGCATCTCTCGGGGCCATTGGCTCAGAAACGCTAGCATCGGAACATGCCGCCGGACGAGGCGCGGTGCGCGTGGCGACTCTTCCCGAAGCGCTTTCCACGCAGATCACAGACGTCCTAGCTTTCCTCCCGCAGAACAGACTCGTGTATCTCTCACGGAGTAACTCGATCTGCTCATGGAAGATTCTGTCTTGGGCTGGGAAATCGCTTGCTCGTGCTGTGCCCATGACCGTGTCGAGGCCCGCGAGCATCATGTCCTCGCGGAAGAACTCGCAGAGCATTGATGGAAGCCCTATCAAGCAGCTATTCTCGCTACCAAGTGATTGGGTTAGTAAGGACTGTCTGGCGCTTTCGACGGTTTGGATCGCGGAGAGGTCGTATCTTTGTCCCAAGAATGGGGAAGTGGCCATTGTTAGATGCGCGGCTCTCGTATAAAGCGTGGAGCTTGGCTGGGGATGGGTTAAGGAGTTTTATTAATTTTACTTGGGTTGGGCGTTTACCGATGATAGAAATTAGTTGGCTAGATGTTGTCTTGATAGTAACTTTCCTACCCCTTGGTTCTAATTTTAAGCTCCCTACGTGCAAGCTTGTAATGTAAAATATTTAAAGTAAGGTTAAGAGACAGGCTCGCAATTGAGTTGGCGAAGACTGCTTTGAATACAGAGACAGCACACCGTAGGGCCGGTTACACTAGTTGATCGAACTCATAGTACACTATATTCAGTTAAACACGAAGCTGGCTGACAGGGCCCCCAATAGTGCGACGAAGCTGACACCGATATGGGTACCAAGGTTGTCAGGGACTGTGGATGTTGTGGATTGCCCAGACGCGGTATCCGTGGGAGTTGGAGTGGTTGTGCCACTAGTCTCGCTGCCGGGTTTGGCAAGCTTTTCCACGGGCAAAAGGCTGAGAAGCGCGCTCAGAACACTCATCTACAAGTTGGAAAAGTCAGTAAAGTGTGTTGGAAGCAAGTCGAAGTAGGGTGTGTATGGTAGATTATTGAAACTGGAGAAATCGTATTGCAGAGGACAACGCACCTGAGACCCCGCGTTCATCAAATCGTCGGAATTGCCAGACCAATCCAACCCACACATGCGTCCATTCTTGCCGCCGACACAGCTGGTGACGGCCGCCGCAGCGCTACTTTTGAGTGCTGGGAGGATCTTACTCTCTGTGTACGGAGCGATTCTCATCGTTGCGGCTAGACTTCGGTGTAGGAAGAACTTGTAGAAAGTCATATCCGTAGTACATGTAGTCTTAGTAAGTTCACAAGAGACTTCCGTCGCAACCCCGTCCGGAAAGAAGACGTCGATCGTTCGCTTCAGCAAGCCATCAACCAGCGTCTTCCATTTCTCATCACCATTTGTTGAGTTGTACATGACGGCTGCGCTTTCCAAGAACAGGGCAGCATTGTGAGAGAATTGGAGCTTGTTAACTGTCACCATCGAGTCAGCACGATATTGGGTTGCTAATAGAAGTATGGCAAAGTTAGGCCACGCAGTAACTCACTACTATCGCAGTCAGGGACCATAGCCCCATCGAAAACATTGAACTTATCGTCTATAATGTTCACATCCTGTAGCCAGTCGAAAGTATCTTCGACTGACTTGGCTTGTGTCTCATTATTCCCATTCCAGACACTCAACCGAGCGCCCAGATTGGCATAGGCCGCGCTGGCACTGGCTGTCGATGTGTTAAGTCTTTTGCCATCGTCGTAAAAGGATCTGTACTAACTAGCAATATAATTATACCCATTGTTGGTCCGATAAATCTGCCAACGTAGAGCGCCCTCACAAGATCCATTGCTGACCCGTCGACTTGGATCGGATTCTTGGTTATAGACGTTTTGCGCCAGACTGATCCATGACTTTAGATTGCGTTCTGCTGGGTCGGTGAAGCCTGTCTCAGCAGCTAGTAGAGCTGCCATTGCCCAGATAGCCTGGTCATCATTACCGATCGACAGGGTCCAATTGGCTGGTAGATAGTCATCAGATTCGCCTCGCTGAAACAGAAGACCTTCTGAAATCTTGTCGTCGTACTGATTGTCATTGGTACGGCTTCTATAGTCCAGCAGGGAGGTCCATAAGGCACCACCGGTCCACCAATAATAATCACCTTCAGGAGGCGGTCCAGGCAAGATTCCGGGGATGTCGCCCGTATAGTAGCTCATGAGATCTTCGGCTACGATGGCCGCGGCCTTCTTGATAGAAGCTATGGGGCTGTCAACGTAGGCTCAAGCTGGTCAACTCTCCCGTAGCACTCACCAGCATCATCAACATCAACTGTCAGTCCGGCAAAGACCCCTGTAGCGGACAGGAGGAACTGAATGAGAGAACGAGAAGAAATTTGAGCCATCTTGAAATGCTATGATGCGAACGAGAGACACAAGATGGAAGTAAAGTGATGCTTGCCTACACTACATCAATGAGAGATAGCGGCAGCTGGGTTATTTTATAGAATCTTGGCTAGCGCAGGAGGATCGTGGACTTTCTCGTATAAGATCCACTTCATGTTCTTCTAGCATTATATAATCTTACATCCAACTGGGGTCGAGAGTCCTTCATCAAAACAGGCAGCAACCATCCATGTGCCACATTCTGATTTGCCTTGGGTGACTATGGAATTACCAAAGCAAAAGATCATGGCGCGTTGTTCTTACACTACGAGTGCCTATACGTAATAGGAGTTGAATATTTCAGGAAAAATATTTCTACAATAGGTCATGATCTGGGGTAATATGGAGAGGCCTACTATCCATCTCCGCTAAACGGCAATACAAAGGTACATACATGAATCGGTGAGCACTCTTGTATATGTACCTACCTACGGTGAGGTAGGTATTTTTGGAACTACTGTATCCCTTTGAATACCACGAACGCTCCAATATATTGCTGACCCAGTCTTATCACGTGCTATGTCTCTTGCAGTCCCTATTAGTGGATCAACATAACTGATACTTAAATCCCTCTTAAGACGACACTAAAATTGATGTATTAATTCGTACCCGTGCTCCGTGATTGTATGTTTAAGTGAGATACAAGTACAAGAAATTCTGATTGGACATCTAAAGTCTTGGCAGGATTGGAGCGTTCGTGGTATTCAAAGGAATAGTTTCGAGATTTCTGGCACTTGACAGAACCACTTTTACATAGCCACAACTCCCTGAAGCCTAGCCAATCATAGGGGAAAGGAGTGGTGTGACCTGGCTTAGCAGTCATTGTACCGCTGAACAGGATTGGGTTATTATTAAATCCAAAAATATATATTAAACCCTATATACCTAGATAGGTCATGACGCTTAAAACAATAAAGGAATCTCCAAACTCTACCGTACAACTTCAATGCACTCACTGAATCTTATACGTGTACGCTTAACGCATAAAAGGGGTCTTTACCCAGTGACTACCTAGGTACCTAGGTACCTAGTCCAAGGTATGTACAAAGAACTTCGGCTAGAATACTGCCTCGGGCCTTATCTTATCGGCTATCTAATCAGTAGTCAGCTCCACCTGTAACAGTACCTGGGTATCTTCTCGGTCTTCCTAGGAACGTGGCTCGGATTTACGACGTCATTACTCGGACCAAACTATTCACGGTGAGAATATGTAATGAAGGCTGGCCGACATCTTGGCCGAGTATCTTAGCTTGCGTTTTGCTTCATAGCATGCCAATCGTCTTTTGAATTTTCAATCTTACAGCTTCTGCCAGAATGTCGCTGCGACAAGTTGCTCGCACCATCTCTAGGCCGATACCTTGGTCTCGCCGAACACCTCGCTTCTCTCTAGCACCCACCAGGTCCTTGAACACGGTACCGCGATGCCCTTCCCCGACTTGCGATTGTGCAGAGACCCCAGAGATGCCCGAGGGTCTCCCGATAGACTACGATGGGAAGCTGAGCGGCTTGATATCCAGTTATGCTGAGCAAGTGGTTGTCTGTACAGGACAGAAGGATTGGTCATCGCGCATTGAGGAGGAGAATAGCGGCGACAACTTGGCGGCGGACTTGAAGGAATTATTAGGTCGCGGGGGCATCTACAGCGATGTGAGTCCGCTGTTTAACTGGCATGCTCCGGCTCTATCCAGCCGTCCTTATTCCAAGATTTCGTGCCGGCTAGGGAGCTAGAGAGAAGAAGACGAAGCTGACGGTAAGTGCCTTCCGAGTAGCCTTTTCACAATATTTCCGTCCTCAACTCTTCTTTCCCATCCTCTATATCTCGCCGACCTGAGATCCAGAGCACATCCGCCTATCTATTGCCAAGTTTCAAATACGTACCTTTTCTTCCTAGGGTGTCTTTTGAAGCTGTGCAAGCCCTAGTGAAAGGATATCTATTGCCCGAGAAGCTGCATCCCATGAACGACGGGTTGCCTCAGATACACAAGGACCGGCTTGTAAGGAAAGAAGCATATCAACACCTCTTACCGGGTGTTCGTGATGTAGAAGACGTATTAGTCCTCATATGCGGCCATGGTGGCAGGGACATGCGATGTGGTGTTATGGGACCTGTGCTACTGGCCGAATTCGAGACACAGCTGCCCCAAGCTGGTTTCGAAGTTCTTCACGGGCCTGTGCTTGACGAGAGTATCTCTGCTCCTGCATTGCCTGGCACCGACACAGCAGGAATGAAGCCGCCCACTGCAAGAGTTGGCCTTATCAGTCACATAGGCGGCCACAAATTTGCTGGTAATATCATCATTTATTTGCCTCCGGCTTTCAAGAACAGCGCTGGTAATACGCACCCACTGGCTGGTCATGGTGTCTGGTATGGAAGAATTGAACCTAAACATGTTGAGGGTGTAGTCCAAGAAACCATCCTCGGAGGGAATGTCATTGCCGACCACTTTCGAGGAGCTATCAAACAGAATGGGGAAATCCTCCGGTTATAGATAGTATGAAGACTGATTAATTGTATAGAATACTGTAAAGTATAAGGGCTGATGACCCCGGTGCTATAGACAAGACATCAATACCACTTTTGCGTATAGACATCCAGCTTCTTTTGTGTTCAACTTCCATAAAATTCTGCATCGCTTGAGACTTTCAAATCGACACCTAGTGAGGATGCGTCATGATAGCACACTAGAAATATCGAAACCAATAGTTAGAGCTCGTTTATTGTTCTCATGCTGCGCCGTTGTCGGAATTTGTACTTAGCCCCATCAGTTGCCTATTCTTATCGAGATGACACTCGTAACCGCCTAACGCTGTTATTGACTGATTGTTCAGATATCTGAACCCTCCAAGGCCGTCATGCGTATATGCCGAACTGGCCGTAACCCATGCACATAGGCGGCTTCTACAACTCACAGCCGTCTAAGGTATTGCTACCAGCATCGTGATTACAGACCGGCCGTAAAATGTATAGTACTCTTCTGCTTTCGGGCAGAATGTTGCCAACATTGGCGTCTGATGGCGTGAGACCAGTCAACCCCATTACCCTTGGAGACGAATATCCGCCGCATATTGATTGATATAGACTGTCACAGTTAGTTTCATCTCACTCATGATAGCAATAAGAAAGAAAGTTGTTTCATAGTTAGAGAGGACCCCTTCGAAACCGGCTCTTGCATAGTGAAGCAAGTTGCGTGGGGGTTGACCTTGGTCGACGCTTAGCTAATTCTCCCTGCTAGGCAGCGTTTAGTTACAGTTAAGCTAGTTAGTATCATTGTTGCATAACTTACAGGCCCCACTGCAATTATGCAGTGAGCTACTGAGTATTGTCAACCCGGTAGTACATGTTACGATAAGTTACTTACCATGCCTATCTTGAAACTTTTAAGGTGATAATGCGCGTAAGGGGCAAAGCATTATTGATTACGTTGCTTGCCGATCAGATGTTAATCATTGGAGACTAGGGTTCTGAGACAAGTCTAGTGAGTCAAATTCAGACTCCTGAAGAAGCATCTTAAAGTTCCTGTTAGTAAATCTTGTTAAAGACTCAAGAGTTCGGAGTTAGGGTCGTGTAGGCTAAGTACTATTGTACACTTATCTCCGCATGTCTGTGCCCGATATCCTAACCGAGATAGGTAAGCTTAGAGGACAGCTGTGTGGCTCGAAAGGCAGCCGGCAGCCAACTGGCTTCTCGGTCAGATTCATCATAGCTTCAAGTTCGGCATCATCAAAAGCTTGCGGACTATTCACAGTACTTGAATCTAATGCACAAACATGCGATGCGATGTCTCGGCCGACTTACGGGGCCTCTAAATGTCGCTGAGCAATTCTTGCCTCATGGAAGTGGCCGTGCACTGTTAACACAGGCACACATATACCCCAAACAAGCTGGTCTTCGTTCGCAGTTCTTATTTCCAAGCCGTGCATTTTGCGGCTCCGCCAGATTTCAGACAAAAGTCACGCCATCTGAGCCTGCATCATCATCTCATGATCAGAAGTCTTCTTCTTCCACTTCCCAAACTCATACTCCGCATTCCCGGAGCCCTCAATGGGTCCTACCGGTGTTTATATTCGCCGCCTCAGCCGGGGTCGCATATCTGTACCGGCGACAATCTCCATCTCCCGATGACGATGTGATCAACACGTCGACTTTCAGCGCCTTTACAATCACACGGAGAGAACAAGTATCTCCGACTGCGTTCATAATCACCCTGCGGCCCAGTGCGTGGGTTACTCCTCAGGAACTTGAGTCGGGACGTGTAGGGGAAGACGACGGCCAAACGGGGGTTTTGTCAAGTCGTATTCAAGAAGCTTGGAATCATGGCCTCTGGTCTGTTGAGATTAAGCAGCCGCAGCTGCAAATAGCGAGACATTACACGCCTTTGCCGCCTCTGCCGGCACTAGCAGGTTCAGAGCCGGACGAGCAGGCTGACCTCCGTTTTCTCATTCGCAGAATGGATGGTGGCGAAATGTCAAACTATCTTTCGAGACAAAGTGTAGGCGACACACTCTGGTTACGTGGCCCACATCTAGGCTTCGATGTTCTGCGCCGATTAGGTAACGACAGTGGTGCCACAAAAGGGGATGCTGTTGGTCCAAGGCGCATAGTGTTCCTAGCTGGGGGGACAGGTGTCGCGCCGGCCTTGCAGATCGCGCACAAGGTCTTGGATGGTACTGACTACAATGATGGAGAGAAAAGTCGGCCGCACATATCCATTCTCTGGGCTAATCGCTGGGGCGCAGACACACTTGGCCGTGAACAGTCTTCTATCCAGGGGAAGCCGAGCAACTGGTTCAGATTTTGGGGCGTCAATTCGAGTTCAAATCCGAAACCAACACAAGAAAAAGCCACTGAAGATCTAGAATGCTCCTTAGCGCTTCAAATTCGAGAGCTAAAACGGCGTCACCCGTCGCATTTTGACATTTCCTATTTTGTCGACAATGAAGGCTCCTTTATCGAAGCGCGTGATATCAAGGCTGCACTTGCATCTACTGCACCATCGACGGTGCTAGGTGCAAGAGTATCTTCATCCTCATGTAAGATAGATAGAAGCTGCGCATGGCATTCTCAAAAGGCTGTTGAGCTTCTGCCGAACGATAACGACTTTGAGCGTTCTTCGTCTTCCGATTTCGCTTGCATGTGTGCCTATACTCCCGAACCCAAAATCAAAAGCACTGGATTGAGTCCTGGAGTGAATCTTGTGGGCATTTCAGGTCCAGATGGGTTCATTGAGGCGTATGCGGGTCCGAAACGGTGGCATGACGGCAATGAGATGCAGGGCACCATCCGCGGTCTGTTGGGCAAGATTTGGAAGGATGAAGGACATGGAGTTGGAGATTGGTTAGTGTTGAAGTTATAACCACATCTTGTATAATATGTAAATCAAAAATATCACAGTGCGTCACGAAGCGTATTGCAAAACAATTGAAAATGCCAGCCAACAAAATGAGTTTGATTGCTCAACTCATATTAGATTGAAGAGGTCTATAAATCTTTCATACAGATGCAAGTCCGGGGTATATAGGGGCCAGCCCAGGTATCTAACTTGCGATCGCTCTAAAAGTCTTAGAGACCATCCGTGGACAGCGTCTCTCGCCGAGCCGAGGCGTTTCCATCTCTAATACAATCCCACGCAGATATCACCGCGAATCCTAGCTGACAGGTGCACCTCAGCTTCCAAGTCAAGCTTGATACCGACTAGGAGAGCGGCAGACTTCTGGTTGCCATTGTCGTCGGTGGCGCCCTTGAGTAGTTGACCTGTGAGACATCGGTGTAAGAATGGTTGCTTGCATGTGATTCCGAGACAATGATATCTTACCAGCTGGCTGTGACAGACCGATTGAAGTAGGCACAGCTTGTGCAAGCGCGTTTCCGCCGCGACGGCCACCGCGGGCTTGTCCGTCGGAGTCAGAGTCGCTGGTGTAGACGTTCTTGGTGGCAGAGGTAGGACTAATAGTTGATGTTAGAACCACATGCGGTATGACGGTCTCAGAGTATTACTTACGCAGGAGTAGCCATTTTGATGGATTTGGGTTTTGAGGTAAGATCAAAAATTAAATATTAGAGATTGAAGTTGAAGAGATGGAAGATCGCACTGCGATTTCAGGCTGGCTGATGAGATCGAACTGTGAGTTGATGTTGGTGGATGATGATGAGAAAAAATTCGTTTCAATTGCGGGTTTTCGTGACTTTTAAATCATCGTCGAACCCAGATAGTTGGTAAGCTGCAATGCAGACACCTTTCACCCGAGACCATCTTCATTACTCCACCGTTCACCGTGAAGCTTGTCCGCGACGCGAACGGAATCCTTTGCCACCAATTGCAACAAAGCTCGTTCGATTTATGGGACGATGCGTGTATCGAAAGGGTTGCTGACCGAGCCTTGCTAGAGTAATCTTGTCGATCCCATGTGCAAAATTTCCGGGGATTGCTTGGCTCGGGGATCAAAGCGTAGAGCCTCAAACATCAGGGGTCTTCTGCACCCTTGTCGTACCAGAAAACTGCCCTGGTCCCTGATCTGAGAAATGGCATGATCTGTGAGAAATCATCCGGTCTCGACCATCAAGGTAGTCAAACTGGGCATAGTCTTACACCCAATCTGGCTCTATCTGTGACATGGGTGCATTTGCGATGGTAGCATTTGAAACGCCGTTTACTATTATGTAGAAACACGACTCTCATGCGAACGCGTTTATCAGAATCTCAGATTTGCAATCTGAGTTTTGGGTCTGGGTAAGCTTTTCCCGCTGAACGCCTAAGATCACTCATCTCATCTCATGTCTTCTGAAAACTCAGCACCTGATTCTGCTCCAAACGAAAAAGCCATCAACAATATCTTGGTGGAGGCTCTTGGTAAGAAAGAGGTCCAAGACGCCCTGAAAGAAGCGTGTCGTGGGAAAGATCCTGCAGAAACCCTCAAAGAAGTCACCATGGTTGTCCCAATGCTCTTAGCCCTCACTATTTGCCCTGCAATGCTAGGCACTCAAGAATCAATTCGCCAAAGCCAGTCAAAGAACAAGCGCGAAGAGCACCGGGCACGTCGATGCAACTTAGTTGTATCATGTGTAAAGCAATCAATTCGCAGTCGTGATATCGACGGGAAGTTGGTTGTGCTGAAAGACAACAAGGTAAGAGCCTCCGGATGTGATTTATTCAATAACTATATCAATATTAACATTGTGGCGCTCCAGCTTTGGATTACGACTGCACAACCAGCATCTCATGACGAAGAGTCCGAAACTTTTGACGGCGGATATCCCTTCTCAGGGTATTATCTACCGTATCCAGACACCAAATATGAAGGTCTAGTCAGCACGATCAGTGATGACCCCCCAATGCTCAATTGGATATATGTGGATAAAGAGACCTATGAAGTGAAGTACGGCTTTCGGCCTGATGCACAGCCTCATCTCACAGGACCATTCGATTGCACTCGGCAGGACCGGCGCATGACATTCGAAGGTTGGGAGGGGTTCGTCGCGGTGGAAGATTATCCCGGAATGTGGGCATTGTACTTTGACCGTGACGATGATGGATTGGCCACCAAAGTCCCAATGGGCACAAGAGTGTTAGAAGTTGAGCTAACCAGGCGGGAAAAGAAGGAGCGCAAGCCTGAGCCTGACCCCAACCAGCCACAGACACTGGACGAGAAAATGAAGCAGCATAAAGAACAGTCGCAGAGAGAGGACGAAGAAGCGAATGAGTTTTTACAAAATGGGCAGGAGGCTCAACATCAAGAGCAGACATCGTCATCCGACTCTAAACCAGCAAGTCTCAATAATAATGGATCGTCGCCTGACAGCAGTGATACCATGGCTACACTACTCAACATAGAGAAACTGAAACTTGACAGCGAAACGGCCGCAACTCCTCAAAGGCTCACACCGGCAGTCCCATCTCCCAGCACTCACTCAGACAATATGTCATTCTGGTCGTCTGCAAAGAAAGCAGATAATAGTTATGACAATGCTTCAGTCACTGCAGCAAGTTCTATCGGAGCGGATGAGTCATCAGACTTGAATACCCAGACTCGGAGGGATGGCCAAGAGCTGCTGTACAAGCAGCCTAGCGTAGATGACGATACAGACCATGACATAGAGAGTGTTGCAATGTAATGGCCAAGCTCAGCGGCAGAAAGGGTTATATGTTCCTTCAACTTTGTATAATATAAGTAATTTCTTACAATAAGAGTGATATGTTACTGCCTGTTCCGTACCATTTCGTAGCTACAGACGTTTTATCATTCATCTCTTTCGCTCTTTGGACTGTTTCATCGCTGCCCTACCGTTGGTGGGGACACGAGGCGCATAGCTGAACTAGGTAGGCTAGGTATTAATTGGTTTGAAATTATTGATAAAATCTCCAAAATATCATTCGTTCAGACTATCGATTGTGCTAAATTTTCTGGAACGTCCTCAGGGAGAAGGTCAGGAATAAGGGGCGTGTGCTGTATGAGATCTGGCCTGATATGGGCTGTTAATAAGTGACTGGGGTGTTTCAAATACTCTCCTGGCACATCCACTCCTTATGCAGGAGCACAACATCGATGACAGGCCCAGTCGGAGCTGACCGTTATTATGTTATCCACAGTATGGTGCATATCGGGATCTCCGTTGATTTTCTTCCTCGTGGACCTAGGTTACGTTTTTGAGATGTTATTCACACATCAGTAGTATACCAGCCAGCTATGAGTTCATCGCGAGATCACTAAATAGTACCGAAATGCTCGAGGACTTCCCACATCCTCTGCCAAATAATGCCGATGAGAATGAAGAGGTTGCGGAACTTGTCGTGACGGCTCTCGGCACGTCTGGAACGCACTACATTTGCTGGAAAACGGGCTTGGGTGAATATAGGCAGCGTGAGTTGATTCCTACAAGTTTTCTTTGACTAGACTTACTTACGATTGGCCTATAATAGGATCACAAGGTCTTCCAGCAAGACTGCAGGAGTGGTTGTTCCCATCAGATGGCACCACGAGAGATTTTGCCACCCTACAAGTAATCTTGTTTGGAGACGACGAGTTCCGTGCTTCTGACAAAAACGGGGAGATACGGAGCGATGATTTCAGCCCACCCAAGCAGCTCCGACGAGCCCTTACAATCAACAGCAACAACTCGCCGTTGACACAGCGCCGACGTTTAAGTAGGGGCAGAGATATTGAGCAGGATCTAGAACGCCCGCGATCTAGCACATTACCGGCAAACTTGTCGAGAGAAAACACCACAGGGCAGAAACAGCTGATCCCTCTTTTGAGTCATAGTCGGACAACTTCAGTGGACAAGGCGCGTTTGGGTCCTGGTGTCCCGGTTGCCTTTCGCCGACCTGGAAGAACATCTCCAATACGACCCCGGAGTATTGACACCTCTAATGGTCTGGGAGAACTTGAGGTGCTAAAGGAGCAGCCGACGCCCCGGTCTTCCGGCTTAAAATCAAGCAATCGCGATCTTCGACTGAGTATCCCGGATTTTTCTAACTACAAACGGCGTGATTATATAGATTTTGAGCCGACGCACTCAACGCCGAACACATATCGACGGTCTAATTATGTGGACTCCAGTATGCAGACAGATCCGGAGCCAACACCAGCTGCGACGCCAAGCCATGAATGCAAGTGCCACTTACGCGACCACAACAATCAAAGAGACTCGGCCGTGTCGTTCGGGATGAGCTCACAACATTCGTTCACAAGTAGTCGGCGGCCCAGCTTCGACACTCCTATCACAAGGCCATTTTCTAGTTTCTTTGAATCTAGCTGGTCTTCTCCTTCGATTGACACCAATCCAATAAGGATGGGGAGAATGCAGGCCTATTTTCGGTCTTCCAACTACGTCCTAGGGGCAGCTCTACATCCCCAGGGGATGGGATAAGTTTCAACAGCTACACGAATCAAATGTATTTTTATATGTATTTTTTTTCTTTTGGGGATCTAGACCGAAGTTTGTCCATTTCTATAGAGGGTGGTTAACAAATTGTGATGCTGGGAAGCAGCACTGTGGGTAGTATAAAAGTATGGAATCTTCATACCGGTGAAGAACAACTTAGCATTAATACACTGTCAAAACTTCAGTGCTCATGGAGGCCTCACTGCCGCGGCCTAGCTGATCGTGAATGTTCTCCAACTTATGTATTCTTATACTACCACAAGTAAAGTCATCATCTGGTTGGTTACTCATATCGGTCCTTCTATGGCCAATGATTTGCTTTCTCGCAAATGGATGATGACGTACTCAGTCGGTGAGGCTTCTACGAATTGGTGTGGGATTACTCTCCAATTGCTCGCCGGACCTAGAGTTTCTAGAAGCCAGGGGCTCTCTTGATTGTAGCCTTCGTGTACGACCGCCGCGATTGGACACGGCATGCTGGCCCCCAACTAGGAGGCCTCATGCAGCGTGACTAATGGCAGATATATGGGTGGTATGGATCCGTGGAAGGCCGTAACAAGATAGCACTGCGTTTTAGCTCCAAGAAAAAGTTCCGAGGGCGCCAAGCATGTTGTAAATGCAGGAAGAGTGCCTAATAACTATAATAAGCATCTTGAAGATAACCCGCAGCACAGTCACAATCAATTACCAATTGAAGATATTCCATCAAGTGACTGTTAGATCGGCAGTTCGTAGGCATAACCTCTTATCCACCACACCCATATCTTTTCCAGCTCCAAATCGCCAAGCCATCTTTAAGTAATGGAAATTTGACTAGGCTTCCGACCCAAATCTTGATTGCGACTTGTTGCAACCCCATAGTGCGCCGTAATTCTTATCAAGGGGAAACAACTTATTATGTTTGAGTCGACGAGCTCGTATAAGTCACGGCCTCGGATTCGGAATGCCACCTTCTGACACCTTGTCTGTCACTGTATTATTGAGATGACATAAAATGGTACACGACTTAGATAAACTGGATCACTTTATTCTGCGCGATGCACTGGCCAGTGTTAGTGAGTACCTAAATCATTGTGGTAGCTTAGTCGTCTGTTACTGTTCTTAAAGAAGTCGTTGAAACTCTATATTTCAGTTTTGGTGCATGTCTGACTTAGTTGGTGTATAGAGAGGTGCACGGGATAAAAAGTGCTGCCAAGAATACAACTTGCCTTTAAGGGTCCAATATCTCGCCCCCATCTTGTCGTAGCCAAGGCAAGTGATTGTGGTCTGTAGGTCAAATAGATCGTCGTATCCCGAACCTAAAGATTATCAGTTATTCTTAGAATCTTTTCACCGACTACTCTTTATGCTGATTGGGTAGCATTGATCATGTCGTGCACGACACGTCAGCGTCGGTATTCGCATGTACCATGCTTACCAAATTCTATGCTTCCCCAAAGTGCCAGGCATATGCTGGCACTTGAAGTGAATGAATACTACTACTGAGACTAAATGCGGACGCTCGTTGAACTATCAACATTCATAACATTTCAATGCGATACCCAAACTCATCGACAGATCTAAACATCCGCCTGGGAGCCGTATAGCCTTTCACTGTCACTATACAGCTTCCATAGTCCAATCTTGAGTCGTCATCCAAGATGAAAAATTCGCCAACTAATTGCTATTTGTCTTCTGTCCTGTATAGGTCCTTCGAAAACTAGCCTATCAGCATCCGGGGGTTGTTATTGTTGCCAGTCGCTGACCTTAGTGCTAATCATCAAGCTGTCTAACCCTGGCCATTGAGCATGAGGGACCTTATGGGCGGCCTGTCGACAGCAGTGTTACATTATTTATTTCGTCGTCATACAAAACTTCTGAAGTGAATATCAAAATGGCTGCTTCTATATCATGTCTTGTTTGAAATCATTACCCTCCGTCTATTTTTCTTTCCCCATCACTTCTCGAACCCCTGAACCATTCCAGTCTCATTCCATGATGTTTCCTGGACAAACCCACCCTCCAGGCTTTGCTGATACTGAAATAGAGCTGCCACTGAGAGAGCACGGCCAGATAGCTGGTACAATCAGTCGCAGTTGCTCTACCATTGCGGCCTCTGCACGCCATCAAAATCTGACGGTCGATCTAAACGAGGACGCGGCATTTCCCACTGATGACATGTCTTCTGCTTGCAATACCGGTAGAGACAACCCCTGCCTAAGCCCACGTATCGGGGCCAGAACGCATGGGAGGGCCTTCGAAGTAAACAAAGTTGAAGATATTGAAGGAAAGCGATTGAAATCCAAATTTCAGCGATTCGACTCCTTTTTGACGGATACCTGGGCTCCTGAGGTCTTATGGTGTGTTATGGCGATAGCGTTTTTAGTCGGGATGTCTGCGTTCCTTGCCGCCCATCAAGGCATCCCTCAACCGCAATGGCGGTATGGAATCTCGATCAACACTGTTATCTCGTTACTCGTTGGTGCGATTGTCGGTGCCTTGGCGAGTGTGCTTTCAGCTTGTTAGTGTGATCCCGTGGCGTAGACTGCTTCAAATTGTTAACTAATTGGCCGTATTTCAGGTGTCGGGCAGACTAAATGGCAATGGTTCGCCTCTCCACGGGTTTTATCAGATATAGAAACATTCGACGGAGCCACTCGGAACTTCTGGGGCAAATTACAACTATTGACACATGGCCGCGGGCGCGAACAGTAAGGGCTCCGTGTCCTAGAAATACTTCAATAAGCCGCTGACTTGGTTAATTAGTCACCTTGCCAATTATGGATGTTTGATTGCTCTTGGGACGTTGGCAATCGGGCCCTTTTCTCAGCAGATAGTCCAGTACTATAACTGCTTCTCAGTATCCCCCTACCATTTGGCATGGCTGCCACGGAGTAATAATTACACCGCTGGAGCTAGAGTCTACCCAGGCCACTCGCAGTTGGACCCAGAGATGGCTTCTGCTATCTACACCGGTATCTTGGATCCTCCCAAAACAGACGCCGGCGCGGTCAAGTCTTTCAGTTGCGACTCTGGCAATTGCACACTGCCCCAATTTTCAACTCTTGGGATGTGCCATTCCTGCCACGAGATACTGGAGCTGATCCACGTCAATGAGACTTTTCCGGGTTATTGGCTCGATAATTGGGTGGAAAATCCGAGTTGGAATTGGTGGAGAGAAGACGCCAGGGTTGGGTGGACAAACGAAAGCTGGACTACACATTACACGTACACACCATACACGATGCTTTCGTCTCGCAAAACTCTCGGTTTCGACCCATCAATCAGTGATGCGCCCTTCGATGACTTGATAACTCTCGACTTTTTGACGCTCAACGTTAATGCCGCCTGCGATGCGGCGATAGGAGAAATGGAGACCTGTCCTAAGCATCCGTGGGCAGTCCGCTGCTCGCTGTATCCTTGCATCAAAACTTTCACTGCGAAGATAACTAATTCCAAACTGTCAGAAAATCTGACATCATCTATCCCCATGAAGAAGTCAAACGTTTCTGCTATCGAAGTCACCACCTCTGAGAACCTCACTTGGTCTTACGCTGTAAATACGACGCTTCGTCATGGACAAAACGTTGACTGCAAGCCCTCTAGCAGTCCAACAACAATCAACACCGTCTCCATCACCAGCAATGGGACCACTCCGATATCTAGTGATGAGGCTGTAACGTGGTATCCAGAAGACTGCGTATATTCGATGGGATATCCGGCTGCGTTAGCTATCAATCAGTTTCTTTCCGTCCTCTTTGACGTCAACTCACTCGAGTCACGTAACGGGAGTGTGTATGACCTGTTCGGAAATTATTGGCTGAAGACCTTTTATAATAATGGGATGGCGAATATCTCCACCGCCAACACTTACTTCGAGTCGCTAGCGGCCGCAATAACAGCAACTATGAGAGAATCTGGTCAAAGTGCAGTGTTAGCCGATGCCATCGGTCTAGTCCTACAATCTGAGACCTGTATTCGCATCCGATGGCCGTGGCTTACGTTACCGATCTTCTTCGTATTAGCCACCGTAGGCTTCCTGATCTCGACAATAATGTCGTCAGCTTGGCGAGGGGCTTGGAAATCTTCATTCCTTGCCGCGGTCTCCTTTGGTGTTCATAACGCAGCGCTTGAGCTACTTCAGCCGCTCGACTCTAAATCTTTACAGAGTGTTATGGTAGAAACCGCCAAGCACATGCGGGTTCAGTTATACGTCGATCGACAAACAACGCCCGTAAACAGTGTTCTAAGTGTTGAGGCAAGTCAGAATTCGATTATGACACAGCTTCACTCCTAGCCTACCTGAGCCTAGTTCTAGATTGTTCAGCCATAGCCATAAACATATTTATTGCTATATTACAATAATACAGCAGTCAATACAAGACCAATGTTACAAAGGCTACAAATTAAGGTAAGGACTAGGGCAATTGAAAGTCGAAGGCGTTGAGTTATAAAATTGTCTTTAAAATTGTTGTCTTCCTTTATACACTGGAGGCTAAACTGGAAGAACCGGCGACTAGTAGCCAAAACAGCTGGTGTAGCGATGAGGAACCAGGCTTTTAGTCAGCACAGACGCTCACGCCGCTGTTGGTCATTTCACAAGTCTAAAGGTTTGCCTCTTCTGCCTCCATACAGTCCCCTTCGTGAAGTCAATGACAAAAAGAAGCGTAGCAATGATGCACAGCCCACCCATCAGTGTGAATGTTCCGCCTATTCCCAAGGACCGAATACAATCCTGGAGGAAAGCTACAATGATAGCTCCGAACGTACATCGCACGATATTGCTTGAAGCTTGGGCCGCTGCGGGATTGCGATGGTTCTTATCAACTAGAAGGGTATTATAGATCTTTGATATCATTAGCTGAGGTCATAGTATCGGCAGATTCGCGAGACACTTACACTGAAGTCCAGCTGCATCACCAAGCCCGCAACGAACTGGATGGCTAGAGATATGGCAATATGCTAGTCTCGTGGTGAGCTGATACTCTTTCCCACAACGATGGATTATAAACTGACCTTGTGGTAATGCAACACCCACCCAAAACTCACAACGGAGGCAACGGTCAAGCCCATAGGCATCCAAATGACGCTTAAGCGCGCCCTTTCAATAGGGAAGTTGTCCAAGTCGTCGCCAGTTGCTTTATTCGTGTCCAACCCTCGTTTAGTTCGCGCATCTCGATATGCGTTATCTAACAATGGGCCAGAGAAGAATGTAGACACTGTGCCCCCTAGCCCGAAAGGCAGGTATATGAGTCCTGCTTGCCAGTTCGAAAGATTGTATATCTCAATACATAAGACAGACAAGGATGCATTTAAACTCGTATATACGGCGTAGAGCAAGCCACAAGCAAGAATTACCGTCACGTTATCCTTGTGCATTAGTATGAACAAGGATTTAAATGGGTTCGGGACTTGGCGGCGGCGACTGATGGGAACATCGTTTTCATCCCAATGTCGCATCAACGAGCCGACTGGCAATCGAAGAAGTTTTGGCGGTGCGATTGAACCATTACCCACTATGCTGCGTGTGGTCTCAGGTAGAAATGCAGTCATGAATATCAGACAAGTTCCGGCTGCTATGGCTAAGAACCAGAAGATCCAGGTCCAGTTCCTAGCATATGTTAAGCAGCCCCCCAGGATGGGCCCAATGCTGGGCGCTATGGTGATACTACCTGAGTCAACAAGTGATCTTTGACGATGTACGCTGCACAGATGGCTGCTTACGCAAAAGAGACTGCGCTAGCAAAAGACCCTCGCTCTGCGGGTGACGCTATATCGGTGATGACACCATACGCAATTGAAAATGTCCCTGTTATGATTAGTTGATAGCGGCATCTTGCCAGGATGTCCTAGACTCACCAGATATGGCAAGTGATTGAAGAACCCGAAGCCCAAGAAGCGCATGATATGATCTCGCAGCCGCAATAGCGACATTGGCGCCGATGTAAATGGTCAGAGTGATCATATACACAGGCCGTCGTCCGAGTATGTCAGCAGCATCTCCGACTAGCGTTGGTGCAACAGTCGCTACAGCCATGTACGTGGTAATGGTGAGGTTAATATCGGTGATTGACACTGACAGGTCTTCGGAGAGCGACTGCAGCGCCGGGTAGTATATGAAGCTGCTGAGGGTTGAGAACCATGCTGCGAAAGAAACGAGGGCGACAATACAGAACTTCTCTGCCCTTGTGAAGACAGAATATAGCTCTGGTTCCTCCTCCTCCGCCCTCCTGACCGACTTGGTCTCCGTCTCAGTCTTAGTCATCTTAAGTAGAGATTTTCAAACCATTAACTATCACATTCTTGTTCAATTAATTAAAGAGCCATGGAAGAAGAGAGTGGTAAGTGTATAGAACTTCCGAGACACTAGTTTGAGGGCTGAGTAGAATTTCCACTTGCTGGTTGTTGGTACATACAACCCCGCAAACCAACATGATAAGGCCCACTCGTAGGATCGGCGGCAAAGGGATATATAAGGACTGTAAAGAAAGACTATTGATAATGAGAATACTCATTGAACTGCATTAAAAGGCTTTCGTATTAGGTGCTAGTTCTCAACATGCCAAAGTCGTCATCTCAAAATGTATGACTTTAAGGCCCAGCTCATCACCGTAACCTGCTAAGATTTTACATAGCCAATCAAAGCATATTAAAGATGTGACATAGTGGTTTTGATACTAAGGGTACCGAATGCTATATCAAATGCGTATATATCATCGGCAAAAGCTAAGCAGTATTAAGGTTTTAAATGTAGATCTGTTAATAAAGCTAAGAAATACTCGAGACGAGATTAAACGTGTCTCGGAGGTGAGCTGGAACTTAAAGAGATAGCAAAGGTAGGTGCATACAGCAGAGCGCGCGTCGATGGTGGTAGTTTCGACACAGGTAAGCAGCCAGATATCAGCTGTCGCAATTTTGGGGCTCGTGTTGACATTCTAGGAAACGAGTGGATGTCGAACGCCGTCAGTTAATGATCCCGCGGAGTTACGCAGATCCCTCACATACGAACGAGTGCCCAATATCGGAATTGGAAGTCGGTGGGCGTATCCTTCAACTGTTCAATCTGGGCGATGAAGTCTCGGTTAAGGTGGTCATCAGCTTGTCCGTTGAACGCTTGTCGGCCTTCGCCATGTAGTGACCCATGGAAACCCGATAGTTATCCTTGAATTGTAGGCTTCTGCCTGCATTCAGCTCCGCATTTACAAGCCGCCACGCTGGGGTCAAGAATATAGGTCTTGTATCTAGGGTCAAGAACTAGCGGGAGATGGTGCGGCTGCCAGGGTGTTTAGTCAGAATCAGCATCAGACAAAGATGCTCAAAAGTTGGTTCTCTTGGCCCGGGTGAAACCCAATTCATACAGACAGTTCGTATACAAAGTTCTCGTGCCCTAAGCGGGCTTGAATGCAACCTATGGCCCGGTGGTCGGTAGATCCAAGTAGAGCCACCAGTAACTGAATGCCGAGCATCTAATCACCAGGATTTATCTCAGATTGACGCGAGCTCGTTTCTGCCCAATCCAACTTTGAAATTTTGATGAAATTTTTTCCTGCTAGAATTTGCCACCAGTGGAGTGTTACAGAAGAGTATCGTGAAACTCGTATGTATCTAAGGTTTATAAAGATCTCTAGCTCAGAACACTTGGCAATTTCCTATTCGTAGCACCTTCGTTGAGGTAAATTGTATGAATCTAGAATATCCGCTAGCTACAGCGTGTCACCCTTCACATCTGGCGCTACACGATGGGTAAATATCTCGATTTGAATGTCGAGGTTGTCAAATCGTAGATATTTAGTGATTGATACATGATTGGGGAAAGAAAGGGTGCATTCTTCCGGCCTCCTACATGAATACTTAAGATCAATTGTAATATCATAAGACAATTTATTTCAAGCAGGCAGTGCGGTCTCGAAAGCCATTTTTGCCATGATCCACAACGTATACTTTCCGGGAACAAAGGCTGAAGTTCAGGGCTTGGGATTGGTACTATTCAGAGTACAATGATCTGTTGTATCTGGCAAGAGTCTTGATGGCCGTTCTTCATTGAGATCCTTCCCCTGGCTACGGGGACAGGTCATAAGTCTTAGCACAATTCGGCTAGAATTTCTTACCTCAGGTCTCCTAATCTGTCTCAAATGAATGAGGGCTAGGTAGCTTAGATTTAAGTATATATTAACACAGAAGACAGCATTACGTCGGACAGAACGGCATAGTGATGTCATACAATTACGTGCACGAGGGGAGGTCTTGTACGGTTAGGGACTGCGATTATCGGCGTATGATATGATACCTGTTGTTGCACAACGCTTATCTCATCTTTGTGCTTAAGCCAAGGCTGTATGTGTACAGTCGGTCTGTTTGTCATGGCTTCATAGCATACGGCATTTGGTATTCCGATAATAGCAGTCTGAGCACAACTGAAAGTTTTCCAGAACCTATTCTCTGCAGATCGGTTCCTCCTCAATTAACATATACAGGGTTGGCAAATAAGTACGCAGCATAGTTACTGCAGTGTAGTATTGCTACTGTAGTAGTATTATTAGTATATGTAGTAGTATTACTAAATACTACTGTAGTAATACTCATTTCCAGCCCCGATTAAAAAGGGTCAATAAACGCGAGGCTAAATGCAGAGAGTTCTGAATAGTAATGTTGATAGTGGTATAGGTCAAAGCCACACGTAGTGGAGGATGTGATTGGAACCCAAGGTTGTGGAAAGCATCGTTGAACTTCTATTGTGCTTAGCTGGCTACTTGGCGGCTAGGCTCCTCTCTCTATCTCATACAACATCATTGTCAGGGGTCTCGGGGCGGAGGAACAAAGGGATACACTGTGTATAGCCATAGAAGTCTGAATGCCTTCAGACTTCTGATCTTTCAGACCCTGTGCCAAAATGATAGTCTTACTGTATACCTTGTACAGCCTTTCTGACAATCATATCACTTCTTCACGTACCTAGCAGAATAAGGGGCACGAAGAACTCAGTTGGCTTCCTCACTTTCCTATTACATTCACGGAGTTATCACCTGCAAGTATCATGCAGCCTTTTTTCACCAGAATATGCATCTTTGTTGCATTGTCACGAGTTGGATTAGAAGAACCTCATGTAAGACATCATGTCATAGATGCTCAAAGAAATGCCGCTGCCAGCTCTGAAGCCCTGGTATCCTCCTCCCGTCGCTAGGATGCGACACGTCATTGTAATCAAATCTGGCAGGGTGAAATGTTGCCTGTATCAAAAATGTAGGAAGGTCAGTTGCCACTTCGTGTATAAATAGGATAGCATATCCCATGTTTCCCAAGACATTGAAACAAGACACCAAGAACTACAATCACATGACCACTATCACAAACCAAAGCCCAGCACACATACCACTTCTTTCTTGATCACGGTGAGACCCTTCACTACTTTCTAGAGTTATGTTCTTGCTCGGGCGCTATGACTAATGTTTTATAATAGATGCCGACCATTAGTGGGTCCTTTCACGGAGATGGAAACGGAAACTTCGACTCGAAATTCAAGACTGAAAATGAACTAGAAAAGTATTTTAATGGCAGATTCACCAGCTCCATTCCAGCCTTCCACGTTGCCTCTGCCCATCTCGATTACAACAAGCCGTCTGAAATCAGTGGCGAGTATAATCTCATGGAGGGTTCAGTAGTGGGACCATCCAAGCTGCACCTATTGCTTAACGACCCAGCTAGAAAGATAACCCTTACAATGACTGGCACGCTCGACGAACCTATTCAAAAGGCGTACAGTGCCTTGGGATCCGGTGAATGGCACAGTTCAATCAAACAGGCATGGTCAGTATTTTTTTAGAGGTAATTATCCTTTTATGGCCAAACCTGCTAACTTAGCTGTAGAACCTAGGACAGCTCCTGCAATTGGAAGCAGACCCGGACGTCGAGGCTTTTGTCGTTTCACAGATCGCGATTCAACATGCGCGCAAGCAAACGAATAGGCAATTTCTTTCTACCTACCGCGATTCAACACGCTTGTAGCTGTTAGGTCACATTCTCGGTTGTGTATTTGAGTTTGGGGGATGGATATATACACAATTGACACACGCTCGCTTCTCTTATTCTACGTCAAATACACTCGCTAAGTTTTCATTACATATTCTCTCACCGCAATTGTAGGCTCTAATCGATTTGTGAATATCGCGACATGCGGCCATATAGACCTACGTCTATGAATCAGTAAAGCTCTGCTTTTGGTAGTGTTGTAATTTGATACTCCATCATGTGATAGTACCAACAGTTTGATTGAGGTTATGATCTACAATGAATTATCCAGGGAAACGAAGAGAATCAAGTATGTAGCTCGACTTGGTACTCGACCTGGTATACGAAGTTGGTCAATTGAGAATTGTGCAACAAAAACAAAAGACGGCTAATTATTATTTAATCGAAGCCCCGCGGGCTAGAAATATGGGAAGCAGAAATCGCAATACTAAACACTCGACACAAAAGCTGATTCATCGTATTGGCGTAGAGGTTCTGGTAATTGCATTCAGGTCTTTATTAGGTACAGAAATAGACCCATTCTTGTGTGAGGCTTCTACCTCTTGAAAGCTACGTACTAGTGGATACGGAGCGGCAGAACTATGTTGCGGAGATCGTCTATAAATAGGAAGATCTCCTAAGGTAGAATTACAAGTTAGAACTTAGACCTTAGATCATCTGAATAGACCTCAACTGATCGCTTCTGGATGAGGCACTGGTTCACTTCCACTGACTCCGCACCTCCGCGAGACCAAATCTGTTCCATGTACACCGATTGGTTAATAAACAGGAAAAGTGACAAGAGAAGAGCAGCTAGCCGAAGAGGAGAGCCAAGACAAGGGTAAGTGAGTAGGGTATACTTACCGCGTAGATGTTGCACAGGAAGACGTCACCAAGGATAGTGGTAGTCGGCAAAAGTAAAGGCAAATGCCTCCTTCTGGATAGTGAACTGCGTATATTTATTTTTCACCTTGTAGTACATTATCATACTACGTACATAAAGGACTTAAGCTTTCACTAGACCTCAGTTAAATTAAAAGCTAGACTATGGGATATTTTTAGGTTCCTAGGAGGTGTCACCCTTTTCTATTCTATAATTTATTTGTGAGCTCTCGGACATTGCTTCAAAGAAAACGACGCGTATTTTGTTATCAATCTAGCTTCAATTATCGATATAATATAGATAATCTATTTATCGTTTGAGATGACGGTTCTTAGAGAGTTTCTTGCTGTTTTCCTATCTGTGGTCTATGAAATAGCAGTTATTAGTCAGGTATTGAGATATGTGAGTGTATTAATTGATCGGCTACATCGTCCATTTAATTGCCCTTTCTATAGCCTCCTAATAGCCAAACACCAGGCACATTCTGAATCCACTATCTGAGACAAGACGATGAGATGGGGACAAGTATTCAGGCCTGGAGGATAATCCCGCTCGAGCCACGGCTTTTTAGGAATCCCTACTGTTGGGTAGAGTCTTTCACACCCAAACCAATGGTATTGATTTTCCAAGCCTCTGGCTTGAGTTTCAGCGCTTAGGAGGGCTATATGTCGCACAAGCGGCTAGGTGGCATTAGAGCACGGGTTGTGGCGTTTTTCTTTCGCCGAGGCTACTCCGTATAGACACTGTTTTTTCCATCCCTTGATGATTTTACATGAATGACCTTCCCCGCATTCGCGCGAGTTTTCATCTACTAATTTGCTGTTTACCGACTTACTGACTCCTTGTTTTTTAATCAGTTACAAGCAATTACATTGATACCTTCCATTTGAAGGGGTGTACTGTGATAGTTCCCAGTGCCTCATAACCTGCCGACATGTCCTCCTCAATTCCCCGGCCAGACGACAACGATACCGAGCCGCTCATCAATTCCAACCCTAAATTACAGGCCTACTACTACTCCCTCGAGTCCCGAATAGGCTACAGATTGTTACTTGGAGGTACTCGACATTTCGGATACTATGAAGAGGACACATACTGGCCTTTCCCGTTGTCTCGAGGCCTTCGAAGAATGGAAGACAAGCTGGCAGATGTGCTTGCATTACCTCCCGGTTCTCAGGTGTTAGATGCTGGCTGCGGCGTTGGGCATGTTGCTTTGCGCATGGCCCAAACGTACAAGTTGCGCGTCGAGGCTATTGATGTCGTGGACCATCATGTCTACAAGGCCGCTCGAAATTTCAAGCAAGCTGGTCTCCCCTCAGGACAACTCAGAGTTCGAAAGATGGATTATCATAATCTCGAGTCGTTCAGTTCCGAGTCTTTCGATGGCATATATACAATGGAGACGTTCGTCCATGCCACCGACCCCAAAGCCGTTCTGGAGGGATTCTATCGCCTTCTACGACCAGGCGGTCGGTTAGTTCAATTCGAGTACGACCACAATACGCGAGAAAACTCGCCGCAGGATATGGCCTACTCGATGGATCAAGTTAATGATTACGCTGCGATGCCTACAAATGCTATATCCCACCCCGGCGTGTTCAAAAGAATGCTAGAAGAGGCAGGTTTCGAAGATGTTGTTGTTCGCGACTACTCCAAAAATATTATCCCTATGACTCGATTCTTCTTCCTGCTCGCATGGGTACCATTTCTAATCGTCCGCCTTTTCGGACTTGAGCGGTGGTTTATTAATACAATTGCTGGTGTCGAGGCCTATCGAGGCCAAGGGCATTGGCACTATCTGGCCATATCAGCTAACAAGCCAGGGGCTCCAGCTGAAGATGTAAAATCGAAGTAGAAACTGCAATATCAACTTCAAGAAGGACAATATACGTGAATGTTGATTAAACTTGACCCTCAAGGACCGATTACCGACGGTCCTCCAATGTGGAATATTAGAGAACCACTTTCGCTATATATTTCTTAGTTAAGCTACACTCTAATCTTTGAAATACAATGCCCAGCACTCAGTAGAGCCCTCAGTGGCTGCCCATCTTCTATGGACATATGCACTCCTGAATATCTGCCCTCTTATATAGTTTTGTGGTCCCGGTACGTATTCTAGCATTCTCACGATGTACTAAGTTGTGATAATAGCTAAATAGGCCCTACCACCATTCCCACTAACTACCTATCTAAAAATAGTCATAGTAAACTTTCTTCTTCTGAGACTCGCAGCATCCAAAACGATGGCGTACCAATCTTCGACGCTGATGAATCCACATCTCACAATAGCCTACTATCTCGGCTGCTATACGCCGGCAACCGTGGCATGGCCAGGTGTTTATCATGAAACAGCAGCATTCACGCCTTCTTTAGTAGATGGAGCCTCAGCACAGTCTGCATCATAGATGTAGCCGGGCTATACGATTATACTGGCACTTTAGGTACCGCATTTCAACGCCCAGATGACACCTAGATAGCGCGTAAGCCACAATTCCCTCACAGTAGCAGCAGACTCGAGACCGGACGGTTGCACGAAGATAATGGCGTCGTGGGGCGTTAAGCTGAGCACCCTTATGTATAGCCTTGCTGTGCGCTTCGTCCCTGAAGGGTTGGATTTCCTTCTCAGTTTAGATTTTCTTTAGAGATTATGGACATCCAATATGCCAGCTTTATTGCCATCAGTCATTCATAGTGCAGCTGCCTCTCATAATCGTACCCTAGTAGGATGGGTGAGCTCTTCAATAGACCGCGGCACCATCGACATCCTTTGGTCTTGTTCTATAACCATTCTGCTCTGCTGCTGGGTTGCAACTCATCCAAATGCCGCGGCACCTACAGATAAATGGTATCATCGATTCATAGACAAGTTCAATCTCGCAATGATCGGCCTCCTTGGACCCGACTTCCTCTTTGGCATCGCATTAGGACAATTCTCGAGTGCCCGGAGATGTGTTAGGGTAGGTTAAGTCAGTGTCATCCATCTACACATACAGCCATACTGATAGTATTAGTGTATAGTTGTTCAAGAGAGACGCCCATTTACTGAATGGGAATCAACTAACGTATCGATATGCATTCTTTTTGAACATGGGTGGTCTGCACTTGACCAGTCCGGATTTCCCTAGCGGCTTTCCCATTACCGGTCACCAACTTCATTATCTTGTGAAGCATGACCACGTCGATTTCCCCAACCTGAAGGCCATGGCAATCGACGAAAGGAATACTACCGATACGCTCTCGAGGTTAGTTAGTCCTGTTGCTAATGCGCGCACCACATGTCCTGTCCCGTTCATTCGTCCTATTGAAGCTCTATCGCTAACATATGGCGCAGACTCGTCACGGTCTGGCAGGTTCTCTGGTTCTCTGTCGCAGAGATTCAACGAGTCCGTGATGGCCTTCCGACCACTACCCTCGAGCTTACGGCCTTGTCCTTCGTCGTAGTCATGATAGCAACCTCGGTGTGCTGGTTCCGAAAACCGTCAATCACAATTCCGCAAACAATTCCTACCAAGGGTGGCAAGCTTGTATATAACATTCGTGCTAACGCGAAGGAGCAAACACATCCAGATCTCAAACTAGAGATTTGGTATCGGACTCCACTGGATTTCATTCGGGACGATCGATGGGGTATTGACACACATTGGTCTTACTACACAAGGATTTCGCACATCATCCACGTCAGAATGGTATCGCGCCCCGTGAAGACTCGTCCGTGGAATCGACTCCCATCGGATCAATGGCTACCGCCTGATCAGGTCCTGATACCTTTCGGGTCATTAATCCTCCTCTTATTCAGCTCGTCGTTCCTGATTGCATGGAACTTTTACTTTCCCACGAAAACTGAACAGTGGCTGTGGAGAGGGTTCGCGATATACCATTCAGTGTTTGTGGTCTATGGAGGCGTGTATTACCTTATTGAGGCGATTCGTTGGAATAAGAGAAAACCCAAGGACAGTGCCGAGGGGACCTCTGGAGTGTCTACCATTCCACATGGCGACACTGCGCAAGACTTGATACGCCCATCGACAAGCGAGCGTAACGTCAGTCCAGCCCAACAACAACCTACATGCAACCAAACGAATCCTATTGCAGGCAGCCATTGGCAGAGGTGGTACTGGATCACACAGCAGAGGATTGTCTCGTTGAGGAATATCTCCGCTGACAAAGACCCTGATATGGTAATGCCGCTTCGCGTCATCGTACCTGTCACGGTGACCTGTGTGTTATACATTATTGCTAGGGGATTCTTATACATTGAGGACTTCATATCTTTGCGCCTTCAGCCGGCTAATACCTATGAATCGGTGAACAAATTCCTACCATTTATCGGGGATGGGTAGTAACCTAGACTAAATCGAAGTTAACCTTATAAGTAGGATAAGTAGGAGATATTAAAACGTTCTAAAGCCCTTAAGATTCATTACTCATTTGAAGTTTATCTCAGTTCAAGTCTGAAAACGTTCAGAACCGACACCCAACGCCGACAACTCGAACCCCGTATAATAGTCAAACAAGTCGCCGCGTAAAGAATATCCAAGATCTACTGCATGCAATGCTTCGTATGTGCCAGCTGTTGAAGCTCATTAAATATCACGCTACTGGTAGCCTCTCGACCTCTCAGCAGAGTATCAACTCGATATCAGCATGATGCGTATCAAGCCATCCACCATCCATCAACCCATCAACATAGCACCAGTAAACAAGAAGAGCCTCTGTGGAGGGTACTGGACCTTGAAACCCCTGCTTAGGCTTTATCAACAATGGAAATCGGCAGCCTGGCACAATGCAGACTTTGTCGCCAACTTCAACTTGCGACGACCCAATGCCAAAGAAACCACGGCCCGTGCCAAACACCCTCCACCCCTCGAGGCGCGTGTACAGGGCGCGATAGAAGGCGTTGCCGTGAATCTCGCTAAAGTCCGCGTCGGCCGGGTTGGTTTGTAGCCACCGCAGCCAATCGTCGAAAAAGCCCCGGTATTCGGGCCCTATTGGCTTACCGTCGACGCCGAGCCCGAACGTCAGTATCGAAACCAGCCGGTCAAGCAACACATCGTTTCTTTCTTCCTCTTCTGCATCACCATCGTTTTTGTCGTTTATAGCACGGGAAGAGGGTGAGATAGATATCGGCTGCTTGAGCAATTTCGAAGCCAGCGCCAGCACATCCCGCATCGCCTCCTGGTATGCCGGGACATCAGTCCCATCAAACTTGGCACATAGCGTGTCGACAGTATCAAAGACGGAACAGTGCACCTTAAGCTTCCCAGGCGCAACGAGTTCCGCATTACCGGCTATGGGACCGCCGGCGTTCCAGTGCGTTTTGTCGACCGTAGTAAAGGGGTCTTCAAAACAGACGTACCGCAGGTCCGGGACCCAGCTCGGCACCCCGCTTCGGTGGCTTAGCGTGATCCCGGCTAGTGCTAGAGCGTCCAGGGACGGCCCGTGGCACAGCAGCGCGACTGCCGTGTCGTAGTAGACACGATCAACGGCGGCGGCGTACTCGGGCTCATCACCTATGGGCACGGTGTAGTCCGGCGCCGGTAATGCTAATTGCTTGTCGGCGAGCCCCAGGAAGGCGAACACGGCGTCTCGCTGGTCGGTGCAATCGCAGCAGTACGCTTGCTGCAGCAGCTTCTCAATCCGCACCGAGCCACGCTCCAGGAACTCGTCGCGGATAGCGAGAAGCCGCGTGACACACCACTTGCAACAGTCGGGGTCAATAATATGTCTCTCAGGCATCTTTACGAATGTGACAAATATGCAGCATGCTTTCTGGCCTTGGGGATGCAAGCGAGCTGCTCATGACTGGTGATTTAGGGTTGCTTACCAGGCCCAGAACGGTAGGTTCAACGTCAAACGGCTCCCAGTCCACTGCAAACTTCCAAAGGGCCAGGACACAGCTCTGTAGTGCACCGATTCCCGTGCTGTCGCTGCCGCAGACCACCTGTACGCTGCGGTTCAGCGCCGCCTCCTGAACCACCCATATCCGCCGGAACCACGGGCGGGCCAAGATCGCCGACAGCACGGACTCGAGGCCTGCCCGCAAGTCGTCGATATCGGCGTCGGGGACAGAGTCCCATCCAGTGGGGCACGAGAGATGCTGCTTGGAATTTACAAATTGAAATGCCTCGTGAGTTTCTGGCGTGCTAGGCCCGAGCCACACCATGACGCGCCGGGCGCTTGAAAAGACGCGATCCATCATGGCAACCTGCGCGGCCCGTTCCGCCGCGTTGCCTTGGTCGATGCATAACGCGTCAATCCACAATGCGCGGCGCTCGTTGCGGGCCTGGAGCTCTTTGAAAAGATCGTGCAGGGTCTGACTCAGTGGCAGGGAGGATAAGGGGCTATTCGAAAAGGTGATACTACTAACATGAGTCGCGGGGTGGTCCCAAGTATAAGAGACGGCGGTGTATTCGGGAACGCTCTTACCGTCCAAGCAGACTATGTTGAAGTCGCACACAGCTTGCCCACTCGCGGGGTCTAGGTCGACGACCTGTAGCAACCGAATGAACGGTCCGGCTGGCAAAGGTTCATATATATAGCCCATTTTCTATCAGTGTGTTCATATCCCATTTTGCCCTTAGGTAAATTTTGTGACTGGAGGTTATGGGAATCAAGAATGACATCTTACATGCGGAGTAGTGTGCCCTAAGTGCTTACATTGTAGCATTTGTTGTAGAATCGTTTTGGTGAGCGCTGAATAGTCTTACTCCAAAAACTCCAAGAATGTATCTAATTGGTGAATGAGATCTCTACGCTAGCGCGTTCAGCACCTTTTTCAGCAGGCAAGATGAGTGCATGATGAGTTCCTCAGTCGCTTGTAGTCAGAGGGCAGTGAAGCATGAAGAAAGATAGCGAAAGATTGGAATCCTTTGACCAACTGGAGTCCAGAAGCGTCCCTAGTGTCAATGATTGAGTCTCGTATACGACAGAATACAGCTTCGGATCCAGGCAGCTGCAATATCACCAATTGGTCGACAGAAAGGGGCAGTTGTTTCCAGTCAAACAGCACCAAGACTGTGACACCGCTCTGGATCGCACAGCCAATGCTGACTCATAGAAAGGTGGCAAACGACTCTCTGTTTGCTGTTTCAAATCCAAACCAAGAGTCGGGGAGGCAGGATGCATTCTCGTCACCCGGACGCTCATCTTACAACATTTAAAGCGACTTGGTTGTATTTTCGAAATATTTATTGTACAGCTTGAGTTCCAACGAAAGGAAGCGGTTCCACGCAAAGGTATCGATTTGGGACTTACCAAATCGAGATAATCAACTCGACGCGACTCGCGTACTGGGACCAGCTTGTGTATACATCGCACAGCACGTTGTCATAATGGGCCCGCGGTGCCGTTGAAAATATCCCGTAGGGGCTCATTCTCAGTTCAGGTTTCAAGTAAAAGGTCATTGCATGATCACATGCTGACTTCCGCTGAAGTGGGCCCGCTTTGGACATGCAAACAGAAAGGAAATCTTGATTCGATGACGTACGTTCAATTCAATAAACTGCTTCGTGATGTTGATGGTAAGTCCAATGAGCTGAGACAGAATTACGCTACTCGCTGGCCCTGAGCTGTTGAGATCATCAAAGATGCATACATGCCAGGGTACAAGCGGGTGAGAAGATTACCACCGTGAAACCACCCGACCTGCTTGATACAGGCTGGAGTAAATATATGATATAATATGAAATGAAGTGCATTGCCTGCGTACATATACAACTGCTGGTCGGTATTTTGACTCGACTTATCTTCCGAGATGGAATTATACCTGCTGATAATTACAATGTCAAAGGCATAATGCGCTTGGCCTTGTTGTCTTGAAGTATGCTATCAATTTATTCACCATCTGGCTTGCTTTTACATCTCAGGTATGCCCAAGGCGATCAGTTCTTTATTACGGATATTCGAAAAGGTTGGTACTGCATCTACTTACTCTATTGCGAACTTCCTGGAAGGTGAGTACAACGATAACAATGACGGTTATGGTGATAGGATGAGGAGATTATTGACTGATTTACGCGCTGATAAAAACCAATAGTACTGTAACATACTACATGTAGGTAGTGCATCTAAAGTTTCTCGCGTAAGACATGGTTGAATCATCGTCATGGGAGTAACGTATTAGATCATAAAGGACAAGGACATATGTTGCTGTGTTCACAGTTTCCAGGCAACTGTTTCCCTAAAATACCTATCCATTAACTCTGGGCGCCCAAGGCTACGTCTCTAGCATCTTCCATGTGGTTCTTCTGCTGCCGCGAGATGTTTTCTTTGCCACACGGTTAGCTGCTCACACTGCAGGTAAGTACAACAAACAAGGCATCTACTGCTCTAGGCCGCTAGGAGCCAACTGCCCTTTTTACTTCTCATAACTTCATCCCATCCCATAATATCAATGAACTTTCGACCGCAATCCAGGGAAGTTGTCCGTACCTCGCCCCTTTTCTCAACTATCTTGATAGCCTGCTCGACAACAACATGGAGGCCCTTGAGAACAGTATGAACAACATGCAGATCGACCTCCGATCTGTTTGTTGTAATCAAGAATCAGACTCACCTTGCACCAAGACCGGCACATTGGCCTGCAAGAATTGCCTCATGGTTACTGTACGTTTAAAACTGCCTTCGCTTTTGCCTTTAATTACCAATGTGAAGCTGACAAGCCTTTCGAGAAAAGTATTGCAGCAGACGCTGCCAGACTGAACACTACCCACTTCATCGTGAGGATTGCCGGTCACCTATAATTAAAGGAACCTGGAAGCCCCGCTGGGTCATTGAAAATAGATTGCCGGCGTTCAATGGTCCCCAAGCGCAAGTTATCAATCAAGCCGCCTTTGGGGCAATAAAATATCTTTGGGGCAACGTTCCAGCGATTGATGTGATCAAGTTGGACCAAAATGAGGGTGTCAACTTTGGAAACCCTTTGAACTTGCTTTTCGCTGGTATGTTGCTCCGATTAAGCTTGATGCCGATACATTCACATCATTATGCTTCTCTAACAATTCCTGTTTACAGCGTCAGGGGATCTACGAAACGTGGTTCTCTCGGTTGCGAGCCTGCCGCAAAACTACAAATCCCCTCTCTGCATTGTTATCAATGACTTTGAGCTCGACGTGGTTGCTCGGAACCTGATTTTCATCTTAATCATTTTCATGGAAGAGGATGCCAATGCAGCGGCCGAGTTCATGCTTCACGTTTGGTACTCTGTGCTGGTGACAGAGTCCTGTTACACTTTACTTCAAAAGAAGCTCAAGCCACTCATTAATGATGTATGCAATGAGATTTCAGGCAGACCTCTTAAGAGCCTCCAAGCAAAGACTTGGCATTTCGGCAGCAGCTCTCTTCGACTCGTGTTGGCTCGTCAAGCTTGGATGAAGCTTCTTTCCTATCTTGACGTGCCCGATGCCATGACGAAAGAGACAGCACATGCCGTCCATCAAGCCGTCGTAAGCGCCCCATCTCGTATCGATTACGTCGATCGAGCGGTGTTACTTCGATCACCCACTCTAGGACTTGGCATGATTAAATATCGCAACGACGGGATCCTCATACCCTTTGGACAATCCCGCAAGGCTTTCGTGAAACCAAACCCGTAAGTTCCCCTACGAAGCAATCTTAGGCAATTTTACTGCTGTCTAACGTACAAAACTTGAAGAACTGTCTTCGACTCCTCCCAAAAATGGCCCATGAAGGATTCAGCCGACCCAATAGACGGGTGGTCGATGAAAACAGTCCTTGAAACGAAGGCTGGACCCGCCAAGCAAGATGCATATGGCCAGCTTTATCACTACCTGAGGCGTCTATTTGTGGATTTTCATCAGTACTTACATTCAAAGCCTGTAGCCTTCGAGCTCCACCACGTTGACGCACGAGGTCTGGACAAGACCCTCGCTGGGAGAGAGTTCGACCGCATCGAGGTAAGCAATATCTGCGATGCAGGTTACCTGGGTATCGACAAGACCCTCAAGACCTTTGGCCCCCTCCTATGCAAACCACAGGTGAATCCACACGCGACTCTTATTACAACTTTTCTGAACGCCGTTCTCGAGGCGAAGATGATGTGCCAGCAAATGAATCCCATTCTCGAGGATCTCATCTTCCGGATCGAAGTAGTAACTGCCATGGAGTATATGAAATCCGAGCTCCCGCGGCCAACGGGGACGCGAGCAGAGATAGAAGAGCGTCTCGCAATCTACGCTATCATGGCGGCTTCTGCAGCCGAAGTTGTGAGAGATATGGACAAGTATTTCGACATGTATGTCTAAACCAACCCAAATTCTCCCAGATGAGCCTGCTATTACATCATGCGATACATCAAAGCTAATGCTTAGGTCCGGATTCAATTATATAGATACATGGACAAGCACGGCTTTGCGGGTGCAGCTTCATCCGCCGAGTTAATGATGAAGGAGAAGCACACGATCATTCCTCCCTGGCCGTTGAGGGTCAACGGCGGTTCACTCCCCACGAGGAACGATAAGAAGGACTTTAAGCTTCTACTTGGGACTGGGCATACTGGGCAAGAGCGATATGTGGAATGGAAGGTCAGAGCCGTGGAACCAGCGGCGAATGCGGAGTGCATGCCATCCTGAATGTTTGAATTCTCGGGCCGTAAGGTTATAACAGACATTTTGTCCTCTCCTCTTGCTGATGACTGGATTTAAGATGGGCATTCCACGCCATTCCAAATGGTGGCACAATGCTCGAGGATTGTCTAGGTTTTACCTTCCTCTTTAATATGTAAGAGGTCAGGGAGAGTATAGTTCGTCGGATGAAACGAAACATATTGGCACCTGGGCTTCTTGACATGCTGTATTGTAATGCTAAACCAGGAGGACTAGTCGCCACTGAAAAGCTTGTTCTCAACCATACGTCGGCTCAACTTTGAAAATGTTACAGGCGCTTTCTGTAACTAAAGAGGTTAGCTAGACTTGTTGCCTGTCACACGGCCAAGACTTCAGAACCAAAGATAACCGATACTACCCCTAGAGGAAAGTAAGGCTATAAGCGATTGGATAAGGATAATTTATTAGTTGCAAGAAAACCAACAGTCAAGGCATAAATGCCCAATAGACAAAAGGGAGTCACAGATTGTATAAAGCTTAAATAAGCATAAATAGTTAAGGAATCTCCTACTCCAAAAGAAAAAGAAAGAATCAAGGCCCTAAAGACCCCTAATAGATTATTAATAAATATAACTAAATTCCAAACCCTTTATAAAAGCCCTTATTACAAATAATCTACTATCCCTTTTTAGGATATTCCAATATAGCCTAAACTTCCGCCTAACGGATAAGCTTTAATAAAATCCCCCCCACACACATACAATATTATCTTAAGCCTAAATCCCTATAAACACAAAATTACTTTAATAAAATACTTCCCCTACCTCTACTAAATAAAAGGTATCTTAAAAAAAGTTTATACCTTATATCCAATAACCCAAACATTATATACTACAATCCTAATATTCCAATCCAAAGAGCAGGAAGTAGCCAACAACCTCATCAACCTAAAGCCCTAAACTTCTTTAAAGTTACAAATATACCCTAACCATAAAACTCCAACTCTAATTCTTACTATCCTAATAAAAATAGCTTAAACTTTAACTCCTTAAAATCTCCCTTATTATATAAAAATCGTTCCAAAAACGAATAATAGCTAAGCTACCCACCTCTACCACCTCATTAAACCTAAAAGCCTAAAATTAAAAATATTCCACCTCCTAATAACTTATAAGCAAAACTAAAATATATAAAAGTATTAAACAAACATTCTACTAACCTTAATTAAAATTTAACCTTTACCCCTAAATAAACCATATCCCTTCTATTATTACCCACTATACCTAAACCTACCTATTTTAATTAAATTATATCCCTTCTTTTTAAAGGATTATCTTTTTTAAAAAACCTATTTAAATTAATTAATCAATTAACTTTATAATAAAATCCTTCCACTATAACCCCCAAACTAATATTTAAAGCTATAAAACTTACCCTTTATAACCTAACTATTTATAAAAATATTAAAAATATAAAAATAAAATATATAAATATAATAATCTAAAACCCCCTATAATAAATTATAAATATTTATAACTATATAAATAAAACCTTTTAAATAACTTAATCCTTATAAAAATATAAGTAAAAAATACCCCTTAAATAAAGGAAAATACTCTAAAATATATATATTATTATTTATAATACATATAATACCTTAATTAACTTATATAAAATAAATATATAAATAACCTAAAAATAAATAAAACGCTTTTAATAAAAAATTATATAAAGAAGTATTACTTTCTTTTAAAATATATAGGGAACTATTATATATATTATATAAAATGCTTAATCTTAAGCTAATATTATTAACTAGCTTAAAAAGGTAATAAATTATTATTATTAAACCTTCCAGACTTTTTAAAGTAAACTTATTAAATAAAAAGCTAACTATTAAAAAACCTAAAAAGTTATAAATAATTAAGCTATTACAATTAAAGAACAAATTAATTAATTTATAAACTATCCTATTATAAACCTTAACCAAATTAATAAGCTATAAATTTATATTTAAATAATAATTTAAAAAATTTAAAAATAATTAAATAAATAAATTATACCTAATATAAATTAAATCATTAATAAATTAAAAAAGTATAATATTATAACTAACTTTATTAATTATCCTATTATAAAATACTTATTATTAAAAGTTATTTTATAATAATAAATTAATAATAAAGTATTATAAGTAATAAAGGCTTAATTAATTACCCGGGCCTTTTAAGCTTAATATATAATAATAAAAATTTCCCTGGAAATCCTTACCAAAGTTACCCCATTACCAAAAGGTAACCTAAAAGAAAACCCTAATAGCTCTAATAACGATAATAACCCCTTTAAAGGACAACCTTTCTACAGCCCGCCTAAAGGACCACCTTAAAGGCCACCTCAAAATCCCAACAAAAGACCTAAAGAAAACTCAAATAATAATAATCCCTTTAACCTTCCTATTAATAAATTAACGTATACCTTTTTAATTATATTTAGAAATATTAATCCTATAACTATAATATTCAATCCTATCTAACTTAATAAACCTTATACCTATAATAAAAAAAATACCTTTAAATTTTTTCCATAATAAACCAAAGTTAAAGATTATATATTTATATATATAGAAAGTTTTCCCCTTAATAAATACTATATTAATTAAATTAATTCCCTTATAATAAATAAAGCTTTATAATAATATTAATTTTATTAAAAGTAAATCTATTATATTAATATTATTAATATTTAAATAATTTATTAAATAGCTTTAAAAGCTTAATTTAAAAATCCTTTAATAATATATTAAAATATTAATACCTTTATAAAGGTAAAATACTTTAGTAATATTATTTAATTCCTTATTAAAATCCTTAACTAAAATAATTTAGTAAAATAATTTAACCTAATATTTTAAACCTTTATTATTAAATATTTACCATTTAAACTTATAAAGATAATCTATTATAACTAAAGCTACATCTTTAAAAATAATAATAAATTTCTTAATATAATTTAAAAAGTTAACGTTATTTATAAAAATATATTAATATATCCTAAGTTATCTTTAAAAAGTATACTTAATTTAATAAAGGAGCAATTAAAATTAAGCTATTAAAACTAAAGTAAAAAAAATCGCTTTAATTTAAACTAAAACTAATCTTTAAAAAAAAATAAAAAAAGGAAAGCTATTAATAAAAAGCTAAATAAACTTAAAATTAACCTAAAAGATAATTATTAACCTAATATTATAACTACTTTAAAGGAAATTAATTAAACTATTATTAATAAATAAAAATAAAATAAGGTTAATTACTAACAATATAGTAAAAATAACTATTATACCTTTATTTACTATATTAAAAAGGATATTAATAAAAAAAAGCTTTCCTTAATCTTTAAAAAAACCTTTTTTATTAAAAGGAAGCTTAATAAAAGAATTAAACCTTCTTTTATAGTAAAAAAAGCTAAAATTAATATTATTACTATAAATATAACTAATCCTATATAATATATAAAATTAAAAAAGTTAAATTTAGATTTTTAATCAGGCCTTATAAAGCATTATATAAAAATTTAAGCCCTTAAAAAGGTAATTTTTCCTATATTAATATAATTAAACAAATAAAAAATAAGCTCCTTAAATTAGCTTAAAAAAAAGCTAATTTAAAGCTTAAAATAAATTATAGGCCTATTATCCCTATAACCCTATTATATAATAATTAAAAACATTTAATTAAAGTACTTTTAAATATAGGTAGTATTATTCCTATAATATCCTTTTTAAAAGTTAAATAATAAAAACTACCTTTTATTAAAAAAGTATATTTTAAACCTATATTAGCTTTTAATATAATATATATATAAAAGGTAAAATAATATTATATAAAATAAATTATTCTTTAATATTAAAAAAACTATTTTATAAAGCTTAACTTTAAATTAAACACCTTTAATAAAAACTATAATATTATTTTACTTTAATAATAAATAAAAAAATATTAACCTACCTATTTTTTTAAAAATATTAGAAAAATTATATTTATATTTAAGTATTATTATAAGAATTATACTAATTAAATTATCCTTAACTTAAAAACTATTAAAGTTATAATAATTATACTTTAGGTAGTTATTAAAGTAATAATAAAATAAATTTTTAAGGAATTTAAAAAGTTCCTTTTAATTATAATTAAAGTAATAGTATAATAGTTACTTAATTATTAACTTTAAAATTATATAATTAACCTTATAAATAAAAAAATTCTATCTTAAAGACCTTTTTATATTATAAATAATTATAAATTAAATATATTTAAACTATAATTAAATAAAATACTTAAAATTAATTATATTTAAAAGTTTATTATATTATATAGGGTACCCTTTATATTTATAAAAAAAAAGGATTTAAATAATCTATTACATCCTATTATAAATTATTAAAGCTTTAATATTATTATAATATTAGTAAAGTATTTTATTTCCCTTATTATAAAACTTTAAGCCAGATTTTGGAAAGCTAAATAATTTATTAAAATTAACCTAAAATCCAAATTCTATTTAATTAAAATTAAAAAGGGTTATAAATAAAAAATAGCATTTTATTATAAATATAAACTTTTTAAATATATAATAATATTTATAGGATTTATTAATACTTTTATAATATTTTAATTTATAATAAACTATATCTTTTAAAACTTTATTAATATAAAATTATTTATATATCTTAATAATCTTTTAATTTATATAGAAATAAAAAAAGAATATAATAAAATAGTTAAAAAAGTATTATAATATTTTAATAAATATAATTTAACAATAACGCTTTAAAAATATAAATAATATATATATAAAGTTAAATTCTTTAAATATATTATTAATATTAATAGTATTTTAATAGCTTAAAATAAAATTAATTATATTATTAAATAAAAAGTATTAACCACTTTATATAAATTATAATAATTTATTAAATTTATAAACTTTTATTAAAGATTTATTAAAAAGTTCTTATTAATTATAAAACTATTAATAAATATAAATAAAATAAATTAATAATAATAAAAGTAAATAAAAGTTATAAATAAAACCTTTTTTAAATTTAAATATTAATTTATTATAGCTCCTATATTTATCTATTTTAACCCCTTTAAAGTAGCCCACATTAAAACTAATACCTTTAACTTTGCTCTTAGAGCTATACTATTATAAAAGGATAATAATAGTAAACTCTACCCTATTACCTTTCACTTTTAAAAGTTAATATTAGTAAAAATAAATTATAAAATACATAATAAAAAGCTATTTATAATAATAAATAGATTTAACTAATAATATTAATACTTAAAAGGTGTTTAATATTAAATCAAAATCTACTTTAACTATTAAAACCTATTATACTTTATAATAGCTAAAGTCCTAAATAAATAACAAGCACACTAAGCATAACAATTATCTATATATTGGTTTATAATAAACTACCAACCCAGCAAACTAAACAAAAAGGCTAATATTATATTAAAATTAACCTAATATTGCTCTAAAAAAGAAAAAAATAAAAACTAACTGGTTAAATTAGTTTTATAAAATAAACATTTTTTATATTTTAAAAAATTAATATTTAATTTAATAATATTTATATTATTAATTTTTAAATAACTTTATAACTTCTTTATACCTAAATAATTATTAAAGTTTATTAAACTTATTAAAAAAGCAATAAAGGATAACCTAAAGTACTATTTATAAAAGGATAAACCCTTTAAAGATATAAAACTTATAAATAACCTATTATATAAAAAGGAATACTTATAAATATTTATAACTATATAATAAAAAGTAATAAAAATAAAGTATAATATATAAATAGTTAAATATATAAAAATAAATAAAATATTAAAACTTATTATAAGGAACTTTTAATAGCCTAATATTAAAGTAATTATAAAAAACTTTATATAAGGTTATTACGCTTACTAGTAAAACAAAGCCCTATAACATACCCCCTATAAATTACTTCAGCTTATAAAGTTATACTATATTCTATAATAATTAATTATAATAAACTTTATTATTAATTTACCCCTATCCAATAATTATAACTTTATTTAAGTAATAATAAATCCCTTTATAAAAATGGAACATTTTATATTTTTAAAAGTTAAAGAAAAGAAAATTAAAAATCTTATTAAAATTTTTACTAAATATTATTAAAAATTATATAATATACCCTTTAATATAATTTTTAATAAAAATTTTAAGTTTATAAACTATTTATAAAAGGACTTTTTAAAGCTTATTAGTATTAAACCTTATATAAGTATAACCTTTTACCCTTAAACTAATAAATAAATAAAATAGCTTAATTAAATTTTTAAAATTTACCTTTAAGCATTTATTAATTATAAAATGTCTAATTAAAAAAACCTCCTATTAATTGCTAAATTTATATATAATAATGCTATATTAGCTTTAATATATATATCCCCCTTTTATATAAACTATAGCTATTACCTAATTATATATAACCCTTTTACAATATAACCCTACAACCTATCCAATAGGCTATACGCCTATTAAATAACGTAAGTATATAAAGAAATTAAGGAATAGCTAAAAAAGGCCCAATAGTATATAAAAGAATAAGCGGATAAAAAACGGAAAGCTTTACCCTAATATACCAAAAATTAATTAATAATATTAAACGTAAAAAACATTAAAACAAAAAGACCTATTAAAAAGCTTAATAAAAAGATGCTTAATCCCTTTAAAATTTATAAAGTAATCTTACCTACCATTATTAAACTTACATTACCTAAAGGATAGAAAATCTATAATTCATTCCATGTTTTACTTATCGAACCCTATTATGCTAATAATTAGGCATTACTTAACCCTAACCAAGTTTTATAAAAAACACCTTTAATAAAATCTAAAAACTATTAAATAAAAGAAATTAAAAACTCCTTAAAAACTTAAAGGAATATAAAGTACTTAATTAAATGAAAAGGTTAACCAGCTAAAAGGCATTGGATTTAAAAACCTTATAAGTATATAAACGGCGCTAGTATAAAGGCTTTTATTAAATAATTTCATTAATAAAATCCTAATAAACTAACGGATCCCTAAACTATTATAACTCCAAACTTATAACCTATTTAAAAAGTTAAGTTATACTTAAAGTTAAATATTAAAAAGGAAGGAGATAATATTATATAATTAAAACTTTAAAATTAAAAATAACTAATATTACCTTTAAAGGAAAGTAAAGCTATAAGTAATTAAATAAGGACAATTTATTAGCTATAAAAAGACCAACAGTTAAAGCATAAATGCCTAATAAATAGAAGGAAGTTACAAATTATATAAAGCTTAAATAAGTATAAATAGCTAAGGAATCTCCCACTTTAAAAAAAAAAGAAAAAATCAAGGCCTTAAAGACCCCTAGTAGATTATTAATAAATATAACTAAATTCCAAGCCCTCTATAAGAGCCCTTGTCACATTGCCCTAGCCGACGGTCGTAAAGAGAAAATAAATCCTTCTTAAAAGATTGTTAGCTTTGTGAAATTAGGCCCACATACAGAAATCAGAGACCAACCAGCAGTCGGACTCGGTGGCATACTACAACACTCTTCGCCTCACCGGGCATTTCCGGGTATAACTGGTGTTCCGACTCTCACACCCGCCACGATACCTATGCTTGACAATTGGCATCGCGCAGGGCATAACAGGACGCTTATAGTCTCACCCAGCTACGTTCTGCCCTCTTCCAAATGTCTGATTTCGGAAATACCAGGTTACTGATAGCGATATCAAATACGCACACGCAGGGTAGGCTATCTATGGGTGAAGCTATTGGCTGAATGTTCCGAAACCGTCAAGACCGCATTCGACTTTAACCAGAGACGCCTTATTCATTAGCACACGCTTGAAACGTGACAAAGCTGCAGACCATGTTCAGTGCAATTGTGCTTATCGGCAGTCCGAGATCCGTGTTGTGCTCAATAGCATGTATTACAACATCCCACCCGCCGAGAGGACATAGCCACGGGTTACGCAATACACCATAGTAAGCACTTCTCAAATCTAATCAATTGTGTGAATTCTTCTGCCTGTGCTTATACGGTACCATCCACATGGCTAGCGTCATAACCTTCCGAAACGTGAGCACTAATGTAGGGGTATAATCGTATGTAGTGTATAGCGCAGTGCCGCAAAACCCTTGATCCGGCAACCGTCCCGAAAGCTTTTCAAGCGCATTCATTAGCTTTGTTTACACGTCATGGTCCACCCTTCTGCGTTTGACTAAGGAGAATATTCAAATCGCTAGTCCAGTCTTCGTCTCATCCTTCTGTCCACAAGGTTGCGGGGTTGGGTTTGCATAGAAGAGGATGATTAATGCCGGTAGTGAAATGCAAATGGTGACTATCTACATACCCTCGTTCTCTGCAAAGGCTATTTGTCATTGAGTATTTCATCACTTTAGGGCTGAGCCGAAGAAACGCACGTACATCAATTATCAGCATACGTTTGAATCAATCCTGCGAATCTGGCAACGTCAGATTCAAGCTTACTTATCGTGGCGTCCGGCACTACCCCCGCCCCTGCCAGAGGCGGAGCCGACTAGCAGCAATTTCAAGGATCCGAAAGCTCGGCGGACTGGGGTTTAAGACTAGTAGCCCACCGAATGGGACTATCCGTTCACACTATTGCCAAGGTATATGGATATCAAGGCTCGTCTGTTGGTTATGCGCCTCTGTGCGCCCAATCAAGACAATCAACTGAGAGCAAAAGTATGGTTGAGGCACATGATTTTGATCTTCAATTCTTATGCCTTCGATGGTATAGCTTCGCTGGGCACTGAGGCAAAGCAACACCGCAAATTTCAAATACGGATAGATATCGAGGCTTCGCGATGAGTTCTGTTAGTATATAAGACTGCTTTCCGTTGCCTCAAAAGCTAGCTTAATTGAAACTAAAGACTTCAACCTCAAAAGCTATCTAATCCTCAGCCCTGTGCATTTCCCACATTATCACAAGTTTATACAGCGTAACTAATCTCCAACTATATTAACACACATCTACATTATGCACAGCAAAAAGGTCTTCTTCTCCTTAGGCTCCCTTGCCGCCGGGTCTCTCGCACAGAGCTCAGAGCCCTTCTCTTCAGATCCATCTTGCCCCAGCTCTCTCGCTGAACTCTCAAATGCAGCTCCAAGCCCCCCTGCATACGTCCAAGACATCCTCCCTAATCCCACCTTCATTCTGGGAGATCCAGAGGGCTACGCAAGCGAAGTATGCAGGATCGCCACTGAACTGCCCGCTTCACAACTGAGCGAATTCGGCGTCTGGGGCTCGTCGCTGCTGAGCTACGTCTCCAGCGAGGCCTCGAGCTACGACGCCCTCGTCACCAAGTGCTATGCCACGGGCGCTCAGGGTGCCGCCGCAACCAGCTATATTAACTCCATCGCCTCGCGGGCAGGCCCACTCTGCGAAGTGACGAGCACCCCTGGTGGAGGAAGCGGCCCGTCTAACGGGACTAGTACAATCACGCCAGCCCCAACGAGCATGGCAACATCTACAGGCGCCCCCAACAGCACTACCAGTGCTATGACATCAATCCCAGTCGGCCTCGCTGCGAAGCCCACTGGAGTTCTTGCAGGTGCTGTGGGCGCCGCTGGTCTTCTGGCTGCTGCTATTTTGTTGTAAACGATCACATGAATGAACGATGGGGCACTTGCCCAGGCGAAGGATAAATGGAGAAGGATCATTTTGGCCTCGGTATATTGATCAAGAAGGATACATAAAACGGGATGGATATATTCAAGGAGTACGCTAATTACCTCCTTGTCATGAATGGGTGACTGTTCAAACTAGTCTATCATGAGGGATAATGAACAATTCTAGAATAGAGAACTTTGCAAATATGTGCATTTTTCAAACTTGAACTCACCGAGCCTTGTGAGGCCTAATGCGTAGCGCCTCAGTTGATGTGGAGATGCCTGCATCTCATGTAGGTGTTGGATTTGAAAGAATGAAATCCAAGGATGCTGTCTGGGATCATTACAGGAGTATGTTTCGGCCGACAATATTAGTTTCCACAGTCACCTAGTTCCCTGCAGATAATTTTTGCCGTGACTAATATTTAGGCCGTGTCAAGGCTGTCTTAATTAGTTACTAGGCCAACGCTTGGATCATGTAGACATATAAAAAACTTATTAACTTTATATTACAAAGCTTTTTGCCGCCATGCATTATATTCATGATGACAATGAAGGTAACTGGCCACTGAACGAGGAGACTGATTAGGTTTGGATGGTCGTATTCTGTGGCTTTTGCAGCTTATCCTTCTCCACTGAGGTTTCAACACTGATTGCAAATCTAGACTCACGAAAAATGTGCTGTGCTGCTTTACGTAGTGCGTGGAAATTCAAACTGGTGAAGGATATCGAAATCACCATTTCGGCGTGCAATGGACGAGCTAGAGCGCTACGGTGGACTTTGTTTGATAAAAAGAAGGTGAAGTCAATGAGCGACTCACTCACTCGAGGCGTTCAAAGGTGGATTGAGTCTTGCTCTTGGTACTGCCAACTTGTTAGTTCCCCCACTGAAATTTGAAGCAGATGCTCAAATTTGACAGCTTTTTTTATCTTTCAGATTCATAGCAAAGAATATCAGGACAATACAGACGCACTCCAACAAATACGACCTATATCAAGCGAGACACGGAGAAACCCCTACTAAAGATCCAGAGACTTCGAATACAACTACCCAACGATCAACTTTTAGATGAAGGTCGGATATTATAAATAGAAACCTGGCTCGATAACCTGACGCAGCATGCAGAGACCGTAGTCGATGGCGATTCCGCAGACGAAGACGACACACCATCTCCCACAGAAATCAGAGAAAGTAGCGAGAAGAGATAGTCTAGTATAAGTTCACATTCGACACGGACTGTGTCAGGGGATCACCCAACAGAATACAGTTCACCGAACCTAGAAGAACAAAGTCCTCCCAGGGGTCACTCGATTACTTCACCTTTGCCAAGCACTTCAGAAGACCGGGAGAAGAGCCCATCTTCGCAACTTATCACTGCTTTACCATGCGTTAACAACGTGATAAGCTGGGATAGTAGCGCAGAGCGCTAGATTTTCGTGACATTACACGATAAAAATCTCGTGAAGATCTGGTCGATCAAAACGAAACGGGTGATTAAAGAGCTGATAGTTTCATATGGCTTTGTAATGACCTCAATTTAGCCCGGCAATACCGAAATCATTATATTTGAAACGACGAATATAACGTCAAGAATCATAGTCTGGAACTAGGTCGAAGGTCGTAAGGTCGGGACTGTTACCGATTTTCTGGAATGTCGCTTTGTGTCTCGCTCATCCGTAATTTATTCCGAGTATGACGGCAAAGGGAAGATGATGTTAACCGATCTGGATGTGCCACTAAAGACTGTTATCACGAGCCATACAGTCCATCTATCTGAACTCACGACCTTAGTAAACAAAAATGCAACTTCCGACCGAGGAAGCCTAGAACAAGCTCGATTCTTATCTGACAATGAACTTACACGAATATTGACACTTTGTATATGCGAGTTGCTGCAAAGATGGTTTTCATTATATCGTATTTCGCAATGAAATAACATGATAAAGAGGTTATTCGTAAAAAGGATAATAATCTCAACTTGCAGGGATGTGATGCGCTGTTCTACCCTTATTCTGCCCTGTTTACTACTTTAGTGGCTAAACACCAACCAACCGGAGGCTTTAGGTCGCTCATCTGAATGATCGAATTAGGAAGGCGAACGGTCATCCCCTACTAGGTAAACATAACAAATACAAATATGGCAGTCTAAGTACAACATGTGATGTTGTACGGTGATGGAAAGGGGTAAATCCTGCGAGAAGAACTCTGCCTTCGCGCGGATTTTCAAGCCTAAACGAAGTAGAAGCGGAGGACGAGGTCTTTTTCCGTGACGTTAGTAGGTAGCGCAACAATGCATCCCTTGTACTATCTCGCCGGCTTCATCGCCGCATCAGTAACCCCGGGCTTGGCCGCGCCCGCGGGAGCCCTGCAGGCGCGTGCCACGGCCGGGTGCGGCAAGACGCATCTGCTCCGCGGCATCACGACATACCACGGTCTGAAGAGCAGCGGGCGCGACCGGAGTTACTCGGTGCACGTACCGGGCGACTACGACAAGTCCAGGCCGTACCCCGTGGTCCTCGGCTTCCACGGCTCGAGCAGCATCGGCCTCTTCTTCGAGGTCGACACGAAGATGAGCGAGAGCCGCTTCAGCGCGAACGTATGCTCTCTTCCACCCCAATCACCGGCATTGCAAACAATCCGATAACTAACGTTTCGCTATAGAAGATCATGGTCTATCCAAATGGCGTCGGGGTAAAGTCTTTCGCTCCCCTCCCGTGTCGCTCGTGGGCGAGGAAACGGCGCATCGGAATTTAACTTCATCGCTAGGGCGCCTGGGCAGGCGCAAACTACTCGGAGCTTTCCGTCGACGAGGATCTGCAGTTCGTCACGGACCTTCTGACTGAGCTCCGGGACGAGTACTGCGTCGATGATTCTCGCATCTATACAACTGGGTAAGCAATTCCAACGCGGTATCTTCGATTGATTACATGAAGCTCTACGATTTAATCCGATCTGGTTGAATCGACCCTGCACTGCGCTGGACTAACCGCGCCATATAGCATTTCCAACGGCGGCGGCTTCGTCAACGCCATCGCATGCAGTCCCGTGGGCGGCCAATTCGCGGCCTTCGCGCCCGCGTCCGGCGCATACTACACGGACAACGCGGGCGTGACGGGGGGATGCAGCCCCGCCCGCAGCCCGCTCCCCGTGCTCGAGGTCCACGGCGGCAGCGACGCGAGCGTCCTGTACGACGGGGGCGTGGGCGAGGGCGGGATCGAGCCTGCTATCCCTACGTGGCTGGGGTGGTGGGCGGAGCGGAACGCGTGCACCTCGTCGAAGGTCGAGGATAGCTTTGATGGGGACGTGCACCATACTACGTGGACGTGCGCGGATGGCGTGGAAGGTGTTTTGCAGCATTGGAAGATTGATGATATGGGTGAGTCGATGACCTTGTTTATTTCTTCATGAGACTTTACTGATGGAAGGGTGGTGGTAGGACATTGCTGGGCTTCTACCGAGATCAACTTTTCTCAAATCTCTGTCCTCGAGGGGCCGACGCATATCCAGGCTTCGCAGATCATTATGGATTTCTTCGACAAGTTCACGAAGCCTTAGAACGAACCTCTGCTTTGAAAACATGTACTACTACTATGTAGAGTGGTGAATGAGTAATAATCAGGATATATCACATAAGGAATATGAATCTTTGCAGTACATCTACTCGCTGCGCTTAACGCCCTAAATCAAAATAATATCCACCTCTGAGACGGACGACGATGATTGATTCCAAGTTGTGATAACATATATCATATATCATAACCTACACGTTGTGCGCCACCCAGAATATTTCATTTACAACTACAAAGGACTCCTATCCAGCTGATCGGGGCGTGCATATTCCAATAAGACGGTGTGCTGTACCTGTGGGGTGTCAGACTGGTGGTGTAAAGTCCCTGCATGTGACTGACGCCTGAAGATGCGACGATAAACCTGGAACGGTTACATGTATGTGCCAGGCAAAGCCACACGCACTAAAACCGATCTTGATGGAGGTACCTACGTACCTACCGGCGAACATGAGCCTCATGAGTTCATCTCATGCTATTACTTGTTTACTCCGGTAATAAACACCTGCAAATGCATGCATGCAGGCACTCTCAACGTCGAGCCTGTGCGTTGTTGTTCAAATAAGGGTCTAAGGGAAGGTTGCGGGAAAGTGAGGCGCTACCCGCTACCCGCTTCTCATCGTCGCCATCCTAGTATAACCATCATGTAGAATTTCCCCTGGGTCCGTTGATTGGCCGTGGCACGGTCATGGTGAGACAGTATGCACCCCAAGGCGGCGCTTCGAGTCATCTGTGATTGGACTGGCTGGGGCTTGGCTCAGGGACAGGGTCGTTTCTCCATCATGCCAGCGCTTGTTTCGCGGCTTCGTCCAGCTTGTCCAGCTTGTCGGTGCAGAAACCCACCAACAACAGCTGTCATGGCAGTTAGTGCGCGTCGATATCGCGGTCAGAGCCGTTGAAAAGGGTCTGTTTGCATCGAGTTCACCGACTGTTACTATTTAGAGACGTGTCATTGCTCAGAATTCAAAGTTAGCTGGGAATGAGAGTTTGATGATGTCGTGTAAATACATGGGGTTTATCAACTACTTACCTACGAGGTACCTGCCTAGAGGAGAGTAACCTGATCAGAACATGTCATGATGGAAGAGAGGGAAAAAAAAGAAAGAAAAAAAAGAGCATAGCCACAGTCGGGTATGATGGTTCCGGAATTGATGGTGTCCAATATCGTATGTCTACTACCTACCTCTATACTACGTATGTATCCTCGGTATCTATTAAGTCAGTGTTCTGGCCATAGGTACATGATACGGCACATCTGATGAGTCTGTGTGTTGTGTGAGTTGCACGACATCGGCTTGCTTGTAACCCCATGTTACAATTCACAGCGCACCACACAGCCCAGCTCATCTCAGGTGCGCATCACCACCACCACAGCACAAGCTACCACTACTACTTCGTACAGCTAGCTCAATATCAGGCAGCGTAGTAACATAATTTGCTACTACCTAGGTATATAAGGTAGCCACGTATATTGACTCATATCACAGCCTTAAGAAGTTGTTTAAGATGTTGTAGTTTAGGCAGGTAGGTCATGTGCTGAAAGCCTAAGTAGCTAGCTAGCGCCTTGATCCATCATGACTTGGGCCGACAAGTCACACGATGACTACCTACACGTACCTACATCAATCGATACATACTCTCTTTCTTTATCTTCCGGGCGATGCATCAGATCAAACAAAAATGAAGATCCAAGTTTGCTAGAATCCATCATTATCGTCGCTTGGCGCCAACAGCACCACAATACCTGGTATGTGTAACTCCCCGTGTGGCCTGGCTCACGACCTGGTTCGCAGCCAAGCGTCCCGAGGAACCCACCACCGCGCGTGCAGCCAGCGTTAACCTGGCTGCGTCGGATACCAAACATTTGCTTAATACCAGCCTACCTTACGAGGTACCATCTGCCACCCGATTCCCTCCTTCGCACAATCCCATTTCTTCCCCTCTCTCTCTAAATCACCACTTTCCTTTCTGTTTTCTTTTCTTATATTTCTTTTGATTCTATTTTCTTCAATCTCTCTTACTTCTCGATACCCTTTCGTTGCCTCATTCTTGGCTCGGATGTACCCGAGTCTCAACTGACTCCTCCAGCACACCCCGGGCTCTAGTGCGGAATACCTAGGCTGCAACACCAGTGCTGGCGCTGATCGCAAGTCTATATAGGCGGTTGTGAGTAGGTAGGGGAGGCATTGGAGATTGTCAATACCAGAGGAGACGGGATAAAAAGAAGAATACCCGAAGAACGTCATGAGGTCTGCCATATTATTACTTGCAGCAGCAAGTTCCGCGCATGCCACTTGGCTGCGATGGTCCGTCAACCGCGAACATGTCTGGGCTGCCCAGGAAACAGGTCATATCTCAGAGAGCGAGATGACTGGATGGACCCCGATACCGACGCCTGCCCCAGGTCTGCGCAGCGAAAGTGAAATCGTCTTAGATCTGCTCCGACGTCAACGGAAAACATCAGAGACCGATTGGACGAATCCCGGGACATGTGGTTGGTTCTCGGGAGTGTCGTGTAAGTGACTTACCTGCCCACAACGCCGGCGCGATCAGCCATTGGCCTCGAGGATCACAGCGCTGACTTGAACACAGCATCTGCCGTCATGTGTGGCAATAATTTCACCTGCGCAACCAATTCAAACAACGTTGTCGCATGCGCATCAGGTACCTTTTCACCCTTTTACACGGCTTGTCTCGACTACAGGGCATTCCAAGCCGGTTCATGCACAAGTCTCGGTGCCGCGACAGGATGCTGGTAAGCACCAATTCACCCTAGATTTCCTAGCATTTGTTCAATGCCAGATGTCTTGGCTTCGAATTCTGCTTGTCTTTTGGTGTGACGTGGAAGCTAAACGTTGTACAGTCAAGAGGAGGCGGAACCAGCATGCGGCACTTATCTTTGGACCGGTCAACCGGAGCGCTCCATGTATAAGTGTTTCGAGACCGCATCCATTGTCACCATCCTCGACGTCCCGCAATTCGTCGTCGATGCATCTCTGTTCTCCAAGACGCATACGTCTTCTACGCCAACAATCACGAAGTCCGGCACTGCCACCGATGCCTCATCCGGTCCAGACAATACGGGAGGAGTTAGTCCAGGCTCGGACTTGGGCTCGGGTTCTGACGGCAGCTCAGGCTCTGATGGAAGCTCCGGGAACGATGGGAAATCCGGAGAGGGTTCTGGTGGAAATTCAGGCGGCTCCGGCTCTGATTCCGGCACAGATAAGAGCTCAAATAATATCCCCATCATCGTCGGGAGCGTGGTCGGCGGAGTCGTAGGACTGCTCTTGCTACTGCTCTTGTTATTATGTCTAAACCCCAAGGCAAAGGGCAAGCTCGGTCTAAGTTACACGCGCAACAAGAACAATAAACAAAAGTCTCACGCGAATAACGCATACCACACCACAAACCTAACAGGTGCTGCAACAAAGGGGCGCAACTCGTCAGGGAGCGAGGCGATGTCGGTAGTACCCGTAGCGGCACAGCAGCCGCAACACCAGTACTACAACCAGGAACAGCATCACTATCATCCGCAAGCCCAAGTCCAGTCTCAAGTCCCGGTTCAACAGCAGGCACCTCCACCACAGTATCAGGCAGGCGGACAGCAGCCCGTGACGATGGCATACACAGTCAACCAAGGCGCAACACACACCTCGCATCCCTCCTATTCAAGCACAACCTCCTACGCCACAACAAACCCTGCACCAGGCGCCGCAGCACCTAGTTACGTAGTCGCCGGCGTCGTCCCCGTCTCAAACGACAAGCAACAATATTCACAGCCTCAAGCGCAATACCAGCAACAAGCGCAACCACAACCACAAGCCGGGGTATCGCAGATGCAGCCCGTGAACCACATCCACGTGTACTACGCCGTGCCGCCAGCACAAGGCACAGCGCAAACCGGCTCATACGCGTACGCACAAGCTACGCCCGCCGCAGACACGCATAGTACGCATTCCAAAGACGCCGTGCCTGACGCGCTAGGTCTGTACACGCAGTACCAGGATCACGGGCCGGGGTATAGGCAGAGTTTCTAGGGACGTCCAAAAGGGATAAGAAAAAAAAAGTACAAAAAAAAAAGAGATACCCACCTCACTCGCAACAAACACACATACACCCATATCCCTTCTCCGAGACCCGTTATAACGCAATCACAACGAATTCTTCATTCCCACACCAAAAGCCCTTCGGATCAGCGTTGTCTTTCTCTCCTTCTTTTCTTATACCTAGGTGCCTACCTACCTACCACTTCTTTTCCACACAACTCATACAATACAATACGATACAATCCGGCACGGCGTCAGCGAGGAATAGCATGATTTGATTTCCTTTCCCACGAAGACTATCTACCCTAGAGCTCCTTCCTCTCATCACGACGACGCGAAGCGGAACGCAGCGAATTTAGAAATGAAGGATGAGATGATATAGCGATGAATTTTCAATCTTTGATAAAAAGGATAAGGCGTTTTGTTTTGGGATTTACTAAACTTACTGATGGACGAAGGGACGTTACTTGATTAGTTGATTGATTGATAGGATGTTGGAAATGGAGAAAGAAACGAAGCACCCACGAAGGTGGTTCATCGATATAGTGGCATTTGGTCACCTACCCTGCGTAGTATTATATACTTATAGCGAAAGTAATTGAATCCCAAATCAAAGATTGGAAAAATTCATTTCTGTACTTCTGTGTTTCTTGTGATTCCAATTACTTCTAGATCATATCTTGTAGCGTGACGGCGAGTCACAATCTGATTCTCGCCAGAGCTGAGATCGTAGAAATCCGTTTGCTTGACTATGCAGTGGACCACAAGTACACACTTAATCGGTGGCTGAAAAAGTTTGCAAATGTTGTACTTTGTTTTTCTATTCCAGCTACCCCCGGAATGTAAGTAGCTTACGCAAACCTAGGTGCCAGGCAAGGCACTCAACTAGTTAGTATCGTGTGATACCCTCCTCGCATGTATGCCTTCTTATCTGTGCAAACTGTCTTGTGATGATGTAATGCACCATAAATGCAACTAGAACTCCTAACTCTCAAACATGTTCGACCGCTCTTTGCGGGCTCAATATCGGCCCTAATTTCCCCCTCTTCAATTAAACGTAATGTATGAGCTCCTGCTCTTTCTCGCCTTCGCTTGATATTGCATCGACGTTGTCATCTCAAATATTGTAGATTGACGGGTGTGACTGGCTCGCGTCCGCTCAAGACAGCCATGATATTCCGCATGGAGAGCTCCTCGAAGCCAATGTGCGTCTCGACCGTGCCGCCAGCGTTATGACACGTGAAAAGGGCCCTACTACCCGCGAATGTACTCAACCTCTCACTAACGTTTGGTTCATTGGCATGTACGTCGAGCGCAATGCTACCGATACGATCCTGCTCAAGCGCATCAGCTAGGGCTTCTTCGTCCACGAGCGCACCCCTCGCCACATTCACTAGTCGCGCTCCAGGTTTAAACCATCGCAAACTGTCAGCATTAATGATCTGGCCCGCACTTGACGGCGTACAGAGCACGACGCAATCGGCACCGCGGATGAGGGATTCAAGCGTCATGCAGTATCGCGCATGCAGCCCAGCCTCCACTGCACCGCTTTTACGCTCGATGTCGTAGTAAGTGACCTCCATGCCAAACGCGGTCACGCAACGATGCGCAATCTGCTGGCCGATGTTGCCGAAGCCCACAAGGCCGAGCACGTGGCCACGGAGATTGTGAGAGAGCGCTGTGGTGTGCTCGTGCGAGGCTTGGAAGTTGGTTGGTGAGGTGGCTGATGAGATGCAGTACGGCAGGGCGCGGAAGGTGCTAATTATGAGGGCAACAGCGAAATCGGCGACGGCCTCGGCGGCTGCGAGACCGGAGTTGCAGTATATGATGCCTATTCAAATGATCAGCAACAAGAAGTTTCACCTCCCGCCTACAGGCTAGTTTTTTTCTTAAGAGAGGTATGTCTAATCTCTCTCAATCAGCGAGTTGCCGGAGTAGGAGACTGCCATACCTTTCTGCCCGAGGAGTTCCACATCAGCCCAGTCGAAACCCGAACCTGCGCTAGCGAACACGCGCACACTATTCGGGAGCAAGTCAATCAACTCGGCGTCCCAGTTGCCCATTTCACCACCCGTGCTCCAGAATGGGCGGAAGATAGCCGCAAAATCGCCCCATCTTTTCTCCTTCAGCGCAGCTATAAAGGCAGGGCGTGCGCGCTCGTCTGCACTGGGCCGCACGATGTCAAACTGTGCTGAGAACTCGGCATACGTCCCCGGGTTGTACTTGACCGGGTCTCCGATGTGCAGCACAACGGGCTTGGGGCCTCCGTAGACGGGTACGGTGAGAGAGGTGGCGCGCGAGTGAGCGGGCCATTGAGGCGTTCTTGTTGACGTCGGCGACGATGCGTGGGACTGTGGCGTTGACGTGGGCAGCGGTGGCACGGGAGACGTCGACCGCGTGGGCGGTGCTGTGTTCATGGGCGTGTTGACGGGTTCCGCCATGGCTTTGGACCGCCGCTGCTACCGAGCAAAGGAGCGTGTATTCTAATCGACGATAACGACTGCTCTCTCTTCCTGTCACTTCTCTACTACTACGCTCTGCCTGGTATGACGTGCAGCTTCAAACTCGCGTAGGTCATGATAATAACGTGTGACGCGAGGGAAGACAAGACACACACTTGATCAGTAAATCGCTCTTCGTATGCAAGGTAGTAGTAGGCAAGTAAGATAGGAAGGAAGGAAGGACGTAAGGAAGACGGTTGTTTCCCAGAGCTGAGCCAAAACAAAAAAAAAACGGAGAATTGCTATGACGTTCCCAAGCCGGCAGCTTGTCTGATTGGCCTAAGCAAGGAAGGTGCAACTATGTGATCCCTCGTGCGATGTGCAATCAATAATCAATCCATCCAATGCAGCAACGCAATCAAATCAAGGCGCCTTTCCCCCTCCTCCACCACCTCACCTCCCCCCAGTCCCGGCCCGTCGTTGGCGCTTCTATCCTATCCTATCTTATCCTATCCGGCGCCGTCATTTGGCTTCACCGCCCAAAATGACGGCCCAACCAAACGACGGGCACAGCCAAGTCTAGACCCCTCCCCCCCCAAGTGGAATCCGATGTGGGCACGGCGAAGCGGGAACGTTCCATCATTGGGGGCTGCAGCTGTATAGTACAGATACACCGCGCGGGAGCATGCATGCACGTCTTTGCAGGACATGCTGGATGGCCAGGTATATTTGATTAGGATGTACGACGTTAAGAAAAAACAACTAGACTAAGAAACGAGAGTTATGAGTTGGGATGGGGAAACACGAATAATGTTGGAAATCTACCTACCTACCTAGGTAGATAACTCATTTACAATTGCGGGGTATATCCTGGAGAAAGAAGAGCCCAGCTGTCTACTAATACGGGACGCGCCGCCACCTTCTGCTGTGCGTTGATCGAAAACACTTCGCGTCGCAAATCTGCGACAAAGCATCGTCTATCACGATGGCAAGCCATGCTATACTCTCGATCTCTCGGTTCTATGTAGGTATCTATACTTCCCACGAACCCTCGGTATCCCGACGTCTCGCTCGCCGTTACGTCGGTATGTGCTTGTAGGCTATTGCGTGCACTGCCGGATTGCCTGAAAGGGCAAGCCTTTGCGGCCCTCACATGCATGTTGGAGAAAGTCGACCGGAGGCGGCTCTTCTCAGGGTGTGTGTGTGATGGGACATGCACCCCTGGGTTGAATGCTTTGCTTGGGTCCCGTTGGGGTACGCATGTCGGTCTGCGTTGGAACACATTCACCGATCTGTTATCAAAGCTCTGCTCATCCCATCTATCCGGGAGTTGACCAATTTTTGGAGCTGAAACCGAACCAATGAGTCGATGAGGGGAAGGTCTAATGCCAAGGTACCTAGGTAAACAGTACAGTAGGTTTGTTCCTATCTCAGATGATAAACAGCAGCCATCTTCTCATTCATGCATATTTCATATGCTCAACCGCGCCTCGCACAACCTCGGGGCTTCTAATAATTGAAAGTGTTGCCTCTCAACTTCCAAAAGTCATGTCAAGATATCGCGTTGTTCCTGGAGTTTATCTATTTATCCCATACCAAATTCATCCCCTCCCATTATCAAACTATATCTATGCCTTTCATTATAGTGAACATGCGTAACTCAATAACAGTACAACGATAATACGCTTCAGAATCAAAGCTGCCATCATCATTCGCTTGTTCCTTTCAACGTTGTATATCTATTGCGTTCTTTCAGTTTCGTCTTGCTCATAACCTAATGGGCTCCGTGTCAGGCGAGAGAGAGAAATGCGGATGCTTCTCTCTTCCAGTGAGTACCCGGCGGCTTGCAATCTCTTCTCAGTGGGCTCGAATGCTTCAAGTATAAAGCCCATACACATCAAAATGTAGAAGACAAACTACTAAGTTCACTCTAATTATGCCGTTTATTTGTCAAGTATGAGGGTTAATTATATGCAACGATTATGAGAGTTATTATGGGGGTTACTATGAGGTTTGTCATGGGGGTTATTGCTATAATGACCGCAGGGTCTAGATCTGTCATCCCATGAGTTACGATATAAGTTGGTCCTCAAGCGGCTAATGGTCGGAGCCTCGTACTTTACTTCAACTTCATCTACTGCGTCCCTAACTCCTCTAAATTAGCTCGCTCGTCATATAGTGATTCACATAGAGGAAGGCGAAATCGTTGTTGGTCGTCACTATTTTGATTGTAACGAGCATGACAAGATTTGCTGCTTTGTTGATTCACTGTTAAACTAGAGGATAAGATACGGGAGCAGATGCCTGTGCTTCCAACATGTACCATTCAGAATCAGAGGCGAGGCTATTGGGTGACCAAGATATATTAGCAAGCTGATGTTCCAACTCTCAATTCCAGGTAGGGCTATAATATTCGTAATGGCCCCTATCATCCCATTCCTATAGTTCCCCAATGGACTTGAACTGTTGCTTTATACTTTCTTTCAAATCCGTATACGACTCAGTTCCATACCATTTCCTGAGCAACTTCAGACCCAGAGCATTATCCGGCCTAGACATATCTCGGCCAAGCTCCGGATTGTTCTGCATGAATTCCTTGTCGGGCCATAATTCCCGGTACACGTCCAAGACGTCGTTCCAGTTGTATGGATATGCAAATGCGAAGATTCGCTCGTTTACCACGGTCCGATCAATTGCTGCAGCGAGATGTATCCTTGCGTCTTCCACCACGTTGATCACATACTGAGGAGGAAACGTCGCCATGAAACGTGCATTTCCTCTAAAGACGTCGAGGATTATGTTGCTGCTGTTTGTTCCTTTACCAATTACACGTCCGATGTTGAAGTTTGGCACAACCTAGAGAGACGATGCTCAGCGAGGTGCCCCCTCGGTATCAAGAGATCCATTTTGTACGCTTCTCCTGGGCATGATTTACTTACAGTGTTCACGACAAAATTTGGGTTGTATTTCTTGGCGAAATCCCAAACTGCGCGTTCTGCTTGCAACTTGCTAGCACTGTAGACCAGAGCTGGGTCACCCTTCTCGGTCGTGTACACCTCAACGTCGGTATTCCATGAATCCCTGTTGACAACGAATTCCTGATTCGGCTTGGACTTGGTAGCTGCGGCCTGGGAGCTCGTGTAGACGAAAGACCGCACAGTAGGCTCCTTCATAGCTGAGGCCATGATAGAATTTACTGAATTCACGGCGGGCTTGACAACCTCTTCCGGATCCGACGTCCATTGAGTGGGTGACGCAACGTGGATAATGGCATGGACACCTTTGACGGCGTCATCGAAAGCGCCCTCCTTATCCATATGTGCAACTATCACAGCCTCGTACTCGCTCGATTGGAAGACGTCGGTCGTCGCTTTTCCTGCTGACCTAGTCGTTCCTCGTACTCTATATCCTGCCTCAAGCGCTTCGAAGATGATGTTACTCGCGATGTAACCTGACGCGCCAGTGACGAGGATAAGAGAGCCTTTGGGCAAGGCAAGATCTGGATTGTCGTGTAGCGCCATTGAGATTGTAGGTTGACCTCGGTTCTAAGTTTTATGATCTGTTTTGCGAATGAGCTTTGTTTGTTTGAGGAATATGTATAGGATTGGAGCCCCTGTCTGACTTACGACCATTTGTACTTGCGGGGTGAAAAACATCGGCCGAGTCGTCTTATCTCCGAACAAATTCACGTAGCTCTACTACCGGTACCTCTCCTTAATTGCCGGGACAGGAAGGAGGAGATAAATAAATAAATATTTCTCAGCATGCCCTGCTAGTATCTAGGTCCAAGTCTCAACCTCGTCGGATTTAGCGCTTAACGTAATTAGTAACTACTTAGATATAAGTGAAATACGAGATTTCCAAATCTAGGAATCAGGGTTGATTGAGTCAAGTGTACATAAGTAAGAACTGGCGTAAATCGAAGAGCGTCACGCAATGTGAAATACGGAATATTCCAATGACATGGCAGCACCTCTCGCTTCTAGCCTACGAAGACGCTAACGACTTATTGTGGAAGAGCGACGATACGGATGCTTGATTGTACCCAGGGAAGGTGAACATTATACGGAATACGCAGCTCTATATGTCGCGGTAAACACCCTGGCCTGACGGGGCAGCTTGGAGAGCAAAACAGACTTCCGGCTCAGCAGATCATTTGCCATTAATGTAGTGGAGCCCCTTAATCCATGACGCAGACAATTACCAGAACTCAACTACTCATCCATAGCCATACCCGGAATCTCGGTGAGCCCTGAGCGATAGTTAGCCATGATTCATCTTTGTTAGGGTGTCAAAGCGCGTTTTCAACTGGAAGTGACTCACAGCCGTCGATGTCTTCCTGTACAGCCTTTGACTTGGTACACTTCATGGCAGACTCGGATGATTGTGTTTCTAGTTGTCCGCACACGGCGCCGTTGCAACGAGCGTCCATCGCTCGCTGGAGAGAGTCTCCTTTCCATCCGAAAACGTAGTCGCCATGTTGCGAATATCCGCTCCTATCATGATAGTTAGGATTGTGAACCAGTTATCATCGCCAAGAAAAGTGCTTACTCGTCCCCGGTACTCCAGACGAACGGTTGCGAGCCATCCTTTGGCCACAATTCCTTGTCGTTGAACATCTGGGTCTGCAAAACACGGTACGTTAAAACATGATCACGGGTAGGGAACCTTATGTGTTGTATACTCACATCCCACATGACCTCGTACATCACCTGGGGTATCTTAACCGGGTGACTTGCCGGGCAACTGCCGTACGCACCAACCGAGACATCGGTATACGACGAAACCGGGTAAGCTACGTGGCTCATATGGTCTATACTGTCAGTGTTGACGCCATCCCAGCAAGTAGGGAATGTGATGACGGAGCGGATGCCGCCAGGACACATCTTCTTAGGCAGATACTGGCTGTCTGGGGCGCCACAGTTGATGTTGCTGTTGTCCCCAGTGGCCGGCATGCAGCGATGGCATACCTTGCGGGCGTTAGGATTATTCGCGCGCGCCGTGGCATCACCGACGAGCATGCGGAATCCGGGCTTAAATGCGGTGACTTTCTCGTTTGCGTTGGGCGAGGGGATGTAGTAAACCGTAATGCCGCCATCCGCGCGGAGACCCTCACTCACGAATTGAGGTACGCGCCTGTAGGTGCCGTTACGGGCTCGGAAGTACTGCATTGATATAGATCAGCTATTCTGCTTTGGGTAGTATCTCGAAGTTTCATAGACGATAGAAGACTCTACATTTCACGATGATTTGGGAAAGAGTGTCTTTTCTGAAGATGATTGAATTGACATGCGAGTATTTTCGAGAATCACTTACAAGCACCGCCGTCCAGTAATTGGAGAAATCCTCCGAGAAAGTGCAGCTAGTGCATGTGGAAGTTGAAGGTAGGTCGTGTGTCTTCGGGTCCATTGAGGCGTTGAAGGAGTTTCCTCCCACAATCTGGTGCAGATGCGGCGACGGCACCACACCCGGATTGACCAAGGGGTCGAGGCGGTCCACGACTATAGTTCGCCAGAATCAGCGATCACATTTTCTAATGACATGAGATCAAAGCAATTTCAAGGAGTTCTATTTGCTCGCGAAAGAAGCCCGTCGCTATTTCAGGTTGGTCTCTTCGACAAACGGCTGGGATTGGAAAAAATGGTCTCATAGATAGCATACCAAGCTGTGAACACTGGAATCGCATCATCGGCAGAATCCCTTGGCCGACGCCGCGCTCCACGAGGAGTGCTAGGATTAGAGCTTTCCACTGCATCTTGAACGTGTTTGTCTGTTTCTGTTAGTGAGAAGCACAAACTTGCTGGTGAGAGCTCAAGCAACGCATATCACAATTTCTAAAACCCTATCTACCAAATGCCTAGCATAGCCCTGCTATGTTTTGATGAGAGGGGACCCCTCATATAAGCCGCTCGTCGATGTCTTGATCGATTAATGTGTGATTCTACTTAGATTAAAGAATTTAGGCGGAACTGGATAGTACGCTCAGCGTGACATCAAGTCTCCTCGTCTTAGATCCTTATCTTACCAATCATCGGCCATGGACGACCAGGGCCTTGATTATAATTTTCATATCGTTGATTTCGCGAGGTATTTTGTACGGACGCGATAGCTAATCCTACTGAACTGAACCGAGACGAGAGCGAAGCCGTTATCCTCGCTGGTTGGCACTTTAGCCAAACACACACACACACACACGACATCTGGTGTGGTAGATCTTGCACTGTTTGGGCTTTATCCACCTGCTCTTAACCGAGATATTATAAACGACAGGTTTCTTACTTCATTCTAATCGTGCGGGCTCACTAAAATGATATGATATGATACATGATACTGCGGCCTCCCGTACGGTAGGTAAACAGGATACGAAGGCTACGTGCATACGCTCCAAACCAATTTCCAGACACTGTGGCCCTGAGGACAAAGAGAGCACTCAGTACACAGTCAGATGCCCACCAGCGAAACAGAAAGAGTACGTCACGCTCCCCCTACTGAGATCATGGCACCAATTGAGGAAGAGAAATGCCGGCGAACACCGCCTCGCAGAACTATATAAGACCTCCTCTCCCCCCAGACCCCCCTCTCCTCTTTTTCAACTATGGTCGCGCAGCGGCCATCTTAATTTGTTTCCCCCATAACTTGCTAGGAACATGAATGAGGCGGGCAAGTCAGAGAAGGCTTACAATTCCTTATCGACGACTATAATCGGTATCATATTCCTCATCTTGAGCTTCATAGTCCGAGTCTTCCAAGTCTGTCGTTGTATCATAACCTACGTCGTGAAGCCGTTGTGGGGGACCAATCCTTTGCACGAAATGGAGATCTTCAAAGGCATATACAAGCTATACACGACAAGAAAAAACCATTCGCCTGTGACAGATGTACAGAATCCTTTACACAAAATGGAGGTCTTCAAAGGCATATACAAGCTGTACACGATAAGAAAAAGTAGCATGATGCCGTGTCCCAATGAATATCGACAATGCTAAAGAATACAGTCACCACTGTATCGTCCGTGAGTCTGATCGTGGATTTGATCATAGATCCCGTCGTAGATCTGTTCGTAAATTTGATTATGAACTTCATCGTGAGTCTGATGAGGACATCCAGAAATATCTTCGTCCTGGGGAACCAGTATCTGAAGCCGCCATCAGGAACAAGCTACCGCCGGAATATCATGATCTCATTGAAGTCTTCTTCGCGGTGGAGGCCGAGAAGCTGCCGTCGAGGTACACTTCGAGGAACTCTTCTACCCGTTCCATCTCGGAGGAAGGGGGCGAATCTGCCTAGTAGGTCTTAGTAGTGGTGTTGTCGTTGTTTCCTTAGGACTCTTTGTTTTAGAAGTCTTTGAGGCTTTTGAGCAAAGTTTTCTTAATTTACTTGATCCTGTAACCCTTAGCGAGTTACTTTTCTATCTATTATCTCCTAATATGGACCCTAGTAGCTTGACGCTTCGACATGGTCCGTAGCTTCTTCTTCGGTGAGCGCAAACCTTTCGGGATATCCGAAGTCTTGCTCCTCACCAGACCAAGTTGCCCCCCCTTCCAGCTCTATTGATCGCGTCACTATTTCCATCTCAGCCTCAGAGGGTGTCCAAGGGACATTGTGGAAATTACGTATCCAGCGACCCGGGAAATCTTCCCTAGTTGGGTACTCCCCGCTGTAGCAGTTGACCAACCAGTCACTGTGCTTTCGTTGTCGGCTGCCTCGCCACACAGAACCTCGTACTCACCTACGTCTTGTGCGTAGGGTCCGTCCACAGTGGGTGCATCCACATCGGCCCAGTCGGCTAGAGCGATATCAGTGATGTGCTCATCAACGAGATAAGAATTCTCCGTAGCTATAATATGTGCCTCTTGATATTCAGGCATGTCTCCCGCCTCGGAAGTGTGCAAGGCACAGTATTCATCCGCGATGAAGTTCGTTTGGCAACGTTTGATGAAACAGTCGCCCCTGCAATTGGACTCAACACGCACTGGCCCCAGACAGACCTGGCAAACATGAGTGACTGGGTAACACATATTGTCTTAGTTTTATATTCGTTTGAAGTTGCGGCTGCGAGAGTCTGTGTTGAATGAGAAGTAAAATTTGATCGGCTTGTGTAAGTTATTTGAGTAAATGTAAGTGAATTGGATTACGATTCAGGAAGGATTCAGACCTTCCTATTTCCGAGTATTTATGCACAGAGGGCTAATGCAATTATCGGACTCTCGCTTTATCGTCGTCGTCGTTGTTGTTGCTATCTAGTTTATTGTTGCTTCAGCTTCAAAGCGGGACTTTGGGAGGTGAAGTACAAACAAGCAATGACAATCGTATTAATATCTTTTGTGACCCCTTCATGATCGGTTCTTAAGTCTCGGGCATCCCTTTGCCACCATTGCGCATTGTTAGTAACGAGTGCAATAGCCATGTCAATTGAGACCTAAGGACACGAGGTGCGCGCCATCAAAGGCAAAGAGGCATGGAGAAAAAATGAGATTATCGGTAAGTGAAACACTAACACATGGTATCTTTATTCATCATTATCATTCAGAAATTCAACAGCATCAAAAAAGGCATTACCCCAGGCACATTACCTATCATCATCCCCAGCATCTTCAACAAAGGTACCCGGTATCTTCACATCGCTCCCTTTATCCGTCTCAGTAGTACCTACTTTTTCGTTTGTATCCGCTGTCTTCGGCATCGGCCTTGAGAAATTCGAAGGCGTCCTCTTCGGCACCGGAGTCGCATCCTCCGTCTTCTGCGCCTGCTGCGCATTCCTCAACAGCGCAATATCCGGCCTCTGCACCCCCTGGCATTCGTTCGTGCCAACTGACCCCGAGCGTGGCCTGTACGCCGGGTTCCGGAAAACTCTTATGGACTGCTGCACGGCGATCTCGGGCTCGGAGGCATATCGCACTGTTGATAGATTCGAGGGTGTGCCGGACAGCCTCGCTGTTGAGCGATTATAGGAATAGCGATGTTGTTGTGGTAATGTGTTAGTGGTGGTCGTGCTGCTTTTGCGACTAGGTATAATTGGGGTTGGTATTTGAGGGAGCTTCGGCGACGATGATGGCAGTCTTGTGGAAGCTGGTACTAAAGGTGTAGATGATGAATCACTATTGGATGACCCGTCCGAGGAACTGTCGGTGCTTCGCGACACGCCGGCCTCTTGGGCGACGCTGTTCCACTCTGCGCTCCATCCACCAGGGCAATACGTTGGCTCTGGGACCGCCTGGGTTGTCGTTGTCGTGGGACCTGGCGTCTGCGGTTTCGGCTGAGCAGGCAAGGATGGGGTGATATCTATTTTCGGTGGAGCTTCATGCGTCTTTTCCGTGAACTGATTTATTTTTTTCTCATCCTGCTGCCGGGCACCTAGCCCCAGCAACTCTTCTGTCGGTAGCGTTAAGACAGAGCCGGACCCAGCTTGACTCTGCCTTTGCTGAAGCGAGGACTGACGGGACACACTCGAGTCGGCTGAGAGATCGTCCGCGAAGTCGCTTACACGACAGTTTAGGAATGAGGGGTTCGATACAGAAGCCGTAGCGAAGGGTTTCGTGTTTTTCTCGATTGTGACAGATATAACGAGGAAAGATGGGCTATTAGACACGTGAGCAAGCCGACATATATGCAACATTCTGTCGGGTACGAGTCCCCTTACATTGCCCCGACACATAGCAACAAGTCCAAGAAAGGCACCTTTCCCGCAAAGCCTGCGAGGGGTATGGACCTCGCGATCATGATGGCGGTAGCCACTAAAGCCGCAATCCAAATGACAATGCCAAGTCTCGCGACCAGCATGGCACTCGCATGTAGATATTGCCCGTACATCTGCGGCGGCCCCAGGCCTTGTCTCGTGTAGTCCCTTCTAGCTCCGTATATATGCAGGCAAATGTAGAGCATTGACATAAGCCCGGCAAACAAGATGAAATCTCGCGCAATACACGCAGCTTCAATCTCCTTCACCTTAGCCATCAGCACGATCGCCAAGCTGATGCCTCCCGCAGAAGAGAGGAAGAGGACGATGAGAGCGACGAGGATAACGGACGGTGTGTTCTTCTTCTGTTGCAGCGCGTTGTATTTCTCGAGGGAGTCGTAGAGTAATTGCGCGTGTGCCTCGCTCGACGCAGAAGACAGGGGCCTTGGTTGATATCTGCGAGCCATGGATGGACGAGTACAGCTCTGGCAAGCGTCATGCCACTAGAAATAATCGATAGAAAAGCAATAATTATGCTGGCTACCGTATGTAGAAGAGACGCGGGAGAATCAAAAAGTCACGAGTCGTTGCCAAAGGAAAACAATAAAGCGAGATGAAGCAAGGCCTCTGAGAGCATCGTAGCCCCTGAAATGCATCTTGTCTCCGTATTCATAGCCGCAGAAATAGAGAGGCCAGTCATGACAGGGCAGATGCTTGGATTGAAGTTGGCCATCGAGCGGAATGAAGACCGCAAACAGGCGAGGGGTTGGGAGGCGAGATGGACTGGAAGAGACAGCATCGAGTAAACGTGCAGGGGATATAGAACTTACGCCAACCCCAGCCTTACATTTCTACTGATACTACTCGATTTCAATTACGGGCGCTTCAATTAAGTTTTGGCTCAAGTGAATCTGGGGCAATGCATTCCAGACCGAGGCGACGATAGACACCACAGCAGCTTGCTGGAATGAGACAACTGCAAAACACGTCTCAACCGCCACCAGTGTTTCATAGGCGAAGAACGAAGACTGATCTCACGATTCGATAAGGCATTTCTTAATTTCCGAGACATATGAAGTTGGAAGAAGAGTGAACTAAAGCAATAAGTCTTGTCTCGTTTGTATTGTATAATATATTCATCTTTCTACTTGTATAAGGTAGCACAGCAAATCTCGAGAGCAAAGTAGGGGTCCAAACCACCAACGCCAGCGCCTGCTTGCCGTTCTTATCCAATGAATAATCCAAGACCATACCCATATACGCCAGCTTTGATCTCCAATAATCAATGTAGCTCAGCGACCAATTGTATATATGCATTGAGTGGATATTTGCAAACTGCTTATCGAAACATGTACGACAAGTCTGGTAGATGTTTTAGGATCGTTTGTACAACAATATCATCGTGATTCCCGCCTCCCGGGATTGAAATCGGGGATGTTTCTTTCTTTAATGATTGCTTAAGTGCCGTTTGGTCTGTTATCATACCCTGATCGAGCATTTCCTGTTTAAATGTAGAATCTTCTAACTTAAAAAGGTCTTTGTTGGGCGGTAGCGTGTTTGCTCCAGGAACCAAAGATGTTTCTCTTGGTAACTTAGGAGCATTGGTGTCGAGTACCGAAATGTCCAAGAGTGACCATGGGTCTGGTACTACTGGTGTACCCTGAGGAACCGGGACATTACGCGCAGTAGTTTGATGGTTACCAGATGACGTTAGTGAGGAGGGGCGTTCTAGCTCGTGGTTCGTACTGGCTACCTCGGGAAGCGGGAAGGTGGTGACATTCTGCTCTATATAATCTTGGGTGGCACGTGGAGAGGAAATCATTTCGCCCCAATCATCGTCATTTTCGTCGACGACTACTGTTTGAACAGGGGCAGGTACGGACACAGGTACAGCCTCAGCACCTAGCTTTTGGCTGCTTGTAGGAGAAGATTGAGTTGTAAAAGAGGCTTGCTGAGTTCCAGAATTCCAATCGAAACTGGGAACAACTGTTGTCGGGTGACTGGCCGGTTGTACAACTATAGGGAGTGAAATACCAGTCGAGTTTCTATATGGACGTTCATCCACCGGTCTAGTGGGCGTAATGGCATTAGGAGCCGGAATAGACGTTGTTCGCGTATGTTGTGTCGCTGACTTCTTGCGTTGGAAGACTTGATCTAACTCCACAGGAGCGATATCAGAGTCCCAATCGAAGAAACCGGTTCGCTTCGGACCTCCTAAAATAGCTTTTCCGGCATATGTATCTTGCTCCATCCACTTTCGAACGATCTTAATCGTGTCTGTATGCAATTGCGATGCCGGCCAGGCTACCCTATGATAATTTTCATCATCCCCGGAATTATGTTTGCGCATGGACCCAAAGCGGGAGATGCGATACCAGGCTTTCCGTTCCGAGACTGTCTCGAAACTATCATTAATAACATGTCCTGGAACTTCCCGCCCCTCTGTAGAGCAGCTCGTAAGTTGATCAGAAGCGTTAGGAAACAATTTATCTAATGCAGATAAATTTGCATCAAATTTCATTCCTTTAAACTGGTTAAGGGGTCTTGTGATTTGAGCAGGTCCTGTTTCAGCGACAACCACCGCATCATTCTCCGCTTCACCTTCAAGCTTCTGGGTGAAGGAATTGTTGATCTCTGCCTTAGGTGTTGATGATAGCCCCGATGAGAATGATCGGCTAGGGGACGGCGCAATAATACTCTCATCAGAGAGCGGATCTTCGAAATCTCCGAACCCAGCTCCATCATCATCGTTTCCATCTTCACTTTTGCCTCGCATCGCCGAGTCCTCACGATCGATGGCTTGCGACATTCTACGTCGGCTTAGAGCCGGCGGTTCTTCCGAAACGGCTCTAGCTAAACCATCGTAGATACCTACCAACTCTTGTACCTTTCCCGAAACCTTTCTTGAGTTATTCCGTATCCGACCTCCTCGATCCTCATCTATGGAGGTGATTGGAGAATCTTGACGCTCGCGGTCGGGCCCATCGTGGCTATTGGTGGTACAGGTAGACGACGGTCTAGATGGAAGTTCGCAGGCTACCGAGTCTAATTGTGAACCCGTATTCGCATGTTCAGTAGCCAACTCGTGACTGGTCCGTGGACTGTCGTTTCGTCTGACAGTAAATTCATCATCAACTAGGGCGTTTTCGCTATTCGTGATTTGTGCCCTATGATTCCCTGCAATATTTTGATATGCTTGAGAAGTTGCTCCAACTTGTCCGCTCTCGGTGGCTAAAGCTTCGTTGGCTGTGCCCTTGATGGAATCCGGTAGCTCGGCATCGGATTTATTCGACAACGGTAGCTCGACTGCCCATGGATCCGGTGATTGGTGTCGCAGTATGGAAGGGGTTCGCGAGCGAGAATTCGCAATAAAGACTGGAGATGCTGCGGCATTCTCAGGCCAGGCCAAAGGGCTTTCTCTACCTGAACCACTGAGTCTCGGGCTCAGACGAGTCGAATCCACCCACGTGCTCCATTCATTTTGGTTGTCGGCATCATCTGCTCGAGGCCCCCCGGCGGTCCAGATATTTAGGCCACCATCGTTGTGATTACCAGACCAAGGTGACTGGGGCGAAAGACTTGCGCTGCCATTGCCGAAGAAGGCTTTGGGGGGCGGGCTTAAAAAGATATCGGCTCGAGACGACGAACGAGGATCATTGTCGGAAGTGTTGTCGGTCGACGCCCATGGCGAGCCCCAAGGATCATCCATTATCACGTCCACTCCCTTTCATCCTGGGGCGCGGCAAGGTCACGGCCCCGGATGCGCGGCTATATGGATGAGCTCGAGAATATCGATTGCATTATTAAAACGAGTCCACTAGCGGTGTGATCGACACTTTGTCGCGCGGTGTTCTCGAACGTGGACGTGTACGTATTGGAGTTGCTTCAAATTCGAAATGCGGTCAATGAAATAGAATCGAGGATGACGAGGGCGTCCAGGGGCAACTTTGTCGATTACATTTGAAGCAATGCGATGCATCAACAATAATGCTTGGCAGTGGAACCAGAAGTACCTAGGTACCTACTGTGCCCGTGTTGGTAGCGCTAGATTTAGCGCATGAGGTACCTACTACGGTACCTAGCCTGAAATGTACATGCAGCCCCCTATATACATACCTACAGTACATGGTAGCGTGTACAGTGTTCTCCTCACAGTGTGTCTAGCACATTTATACCCTGCACAGTTCTGCCCTGGGCCCTGTAAGTACGGCCATCTCGGGCCATGTACATTACATGTACTGTCGTAGGTACCTACTGTCCAAGTTGTGCAGAGCGTTGGGCCCCACTCTGACTTAAGCTTAGCGCGGGATCTCTGAGCCTGCGTCATACCCTTTGGAGCTTTGGGAGGGGTCATGGCATGTGGTAGCGGGCTGAAGTAAGGCGTCAATTTTTCTGCTGATAAATGCGTCTCCGATTCAGGCAACGCAAGGATGGCTCACGTTGCTTAAGGCGCGAATATTTGTTTGCTATCTCACGCGGCTTTCACTCTGAGTCTTTCCAGCTATCATCTTCCTGTGGCAGCCATCGAGACGCAAAGACCCGTTACATCCATTCACCAAGAGCAAAAATGTCACTGGCCAAAATCAAACATATTGTTTTGGTATGTCTGCCACTGTATATGTATAAGTCCGGATTCAGCTGCTCACTCTCATTTCCAGGTTCTCTCCGGAAAAGGAGGTGTGGGAAAATCTTCCATTACCACCCAGCTAGCCCTATCGCTATCTCTTTCCGGCCATTCCGTTGGAGTTCTCGATGTCGATCTCACGGGACCTTCGATGCCTCGTATGTTCAACATCGAGGATGCAAAAGTAACACAGGCCCCGGGCGGATGGCTTCCCGTGCCCGTCCACACGGCCAACTCGGACAAAGGCGTCGGCCAGCTGCGTTGCATGAGCCTAGGTTTTCTACTACGCGGGAGGGGTGATGCCGTCGTTTGGCGAGGGCCCAAGAAGACTGCCATGATCCGACAGTTTCTTTCGGATGTGTTGTGGGGCGAAATGGACTATCTCCTCATTGACACGCCGCCGGGCACATCGGACGAGCATATATCGCTGGCAGAAACTCTGTTGAAAGAGGCAAGGCCCGGTCAAGTTGCCGGCGCTGTTGTAGTCACCACTCCTCAGGCAGTAGCCACCGCAGATGTCAGAAAAGAATTGAATTTCTGCGTGAAAACGAGCATTCCTGTCATCGGTGTCATTGAAAACATGGCCGGATTTGTCTGCCCAAACTGCGCCGAGTGTACGGATATTTTCGGCAAAGGCGGCGGGCAGGTAATGGCCAACGACTTCAACGTGCCATTTCTTGGCAGGATTCCCATCGATCCACAGTTTGTTATGCTGATTGAGACTGGACGGACGCCAGAATACCCGCAGGGCACCGTTATCAACGGGCAAGACTTCTCCAAAGTGCTGCAGAGCGGTAGCGGTGGCTCCACAGGCGAGGTGACCAAAGACGCAAGCTTGTTAGCAGAGAAGTATCGAGATTGCTCGCTTGAGCCCATCTTTCGAAAGATAACGCAAGATGTTGTGACTTCTGTTGGATGACTGCCAACGTTATTATCAATCAGGCTAATCAAAGCACTCGCTTATCAAGAGCCGATACGCACATGATACTAGCAATGTTGGGAACTGCCCCGGGACAGAGCCCAAGCGGAGTACGAATGAAGGAGAGTGCATTTCATCAAAAGAATGCAACGCAGGCGCACCGGTCAGCGCATCAAGCTCGCGCCAGCTTCCCACAGGTGGGATGCGCTTGCGTACAGACACAGCGCGCAGGCTGTTACACCTAAGCAGATAAAAAGACGTAATATGCATGCCGATTTGGCCAGGCTTCTCACCCATATCGTGTTGACACGAGCCACGTGATTGTCTCGAGGAATATTCCCGCTGATGTTGGTGACACGGTTGTGTGCCGCCACGGTATCCTGGGCGTTGGACATGATGCAACGGCGCAGGCACAACCCATCTACGGCAGAGGTATTGGGCACATGTTATCAAGGCATGCGGTCGCATTGGCGGTAAACTCGATCTCTGGAGTAGTAGAGACTGCGAGAAAGGGGGTCGGCCAGCACGATGGTTATATTACCTTCTCCGACTCAGACAGTGCACCATCGCCAGATATTACCTACGGCATTCGCCAATTAGATGATCCGGGTGCCTATCCCTAGTCCCTTTCGGCCCTACTATTGGGCATTCATGGGAGACAGGAAATGCAACGCTAGATACCGGATTCCTCAGCTCACCCGCCGCCAGCCACCATCAAGTCCGATAAGTTGCATATTCCTAGACCTCCGTATGCCGCGTGTATCCCCATCGAGGCCCGTTGCATTTCCGCAACCATGGCATAGCAGATGATCTTCAAAGTTGGCGGGAGCGTCGTCCAAGAGACAGACGTTGGCTGGGACTATGCACTGGCGCATAACACGTTTACATACTTAGATACCCAGGCAGGTAAGTAGACATTTCTGCTACGGTGTGTGTGAGGCAGTCCCGTCGGCAATCGGAATCGAGATTCTTGACCCTTCCTCTCTTGGTAGCAATATAATGGAGACAAGCTATGTGTTAAAATCTGACTGACCTGGGGCGGTTCTAGCGTGAAGTTCCTACATATAAGTAGGTACGTGATTTACCTGAAAGAGGATAAGACACAGAATAATACCTTACCTACCTATACTATGTAATGGAATAGGTAGTGCCATAGAAGCTCCACTCTTCTCCCACCTCCCCTCACTCAGCCAACGATGAGGTTGAGTGGTGCTGCATTTTCTGGAGCGACCTCGGGATGCCTACTTCTAACCTAGACCTTGTGCGGTGAGGTCACCACCCGAACAACCAACTTTTTTTTTTCACAAATTTTCTCCCGTAGTTCAGGTACATGTGCACACATCAACAATATTAGCCCTCTTGGCTCTTACCGCTCAAACTTCGCCTCCACCCACCCACGCTCGAGCGCATAGCATCTGCAAAGACCAAAGCAGTGTCGACACCAAAGACTCCATCCACCGTTGATTGGCCTGAAAATCTGCTTACCCTTTGCAGCTAAAAACCACAAATTCCCACAATACTAACTCTGACTCTAACTTTGTCTTTGCCTTTGCCTCTACCTCTACCTCTGCTCCTGGCTCTGCCTCTGCGCACGACACTCTTCTGCGAGACCTATTCTGCCTGGTCGCCATTTCCCCATTGACAACCCTTTTCAAGGTGAGTGGCCGCCATTGACTCGACTTCGTGGTCACACGACACACAAAAAAACACACCGATCCACCGTTTGTACAACCTCAGCTGGGTTTCCCCGGACCTCAAATGCCATTGTTGTCTTAGAAACACATTCAACTTCGCCAATATCCACAGTCGTCGCATGGCTGCTAGTTCTTCGTAACGGCAGGTCAATCAACTCCTTTCGACGCTTGTGTGGTCTTCCATGAGCCCTGTCGAACTGCTACGCTTCCTATCCAAGCCCGCAAAGTACAAAATTCCCTTTCATCTATGTTGCCAAGCCACGTCCACCGTCACAGCATCAAGCTAACCGCCAATTTGCCCATATTAGACCCCGATAACACTCGCTGTTACCGTCCCTGAATCACAAGCCTTGTACTCGCTGCCGCGCGACTCGATACCCTTTTCGACAGATCATACTGCAGATATCCTCGTCTGCTAGGTCCGATACTCCCCCATAGGTATCGGTTTCTGACAGGACGAGGCCACCTACCTGATCACCATTCCTTGGCCAAAGGACTTCTTCCTTCCCCTCCGCGGCCGACCTCCCTAACGTCCCCTTGTGAGACGTTCGAATCATATATCAGACATTGCAGCTGGCTTCCGCCAGCACTCGTCGCTCCCCACCATCCTGTGGGCCTACTCTCTCAAACGAACGCCGCAAGGTTCGTTTGGGTGGCAGTCAGTGCTCCGCAGTAGCTCCAGCAGCATTTCTCTGCAAGCCGACAGCTTGAATACAACGCGCCGTCACCAGTAAACCATCCAGCTAGCTTTTCACCCGCCAAACAGGCTCTACGGAGATGGTGAACCCCGGCATTCCTACCAACTATACGTTCTCACCGTCTGAGGGCACGCCCCATTTGACGATCAATCACGATGTCGCTGCGGATCTAGACTCCAGCAATGCCTTCGAAGGTAAGCTACAATTTCGTGGTGAGGAGATTCCACAATCGTTATCGTTGCTAACGTTGCTTCTGCCTCAGGCCCGGAGAAGTTGCTTGAGGTTTGGTTTGCCCCAAACCCCGACTCTTTACCTCCCGGTGTCAAGCCCAACGGTCTCAAGGCGGTTTCGAGCGATACGTGGGTTGGCATGCTTGACATGGTGAACTGCAAGATCCTTTCCGTGCTCGAAGCCGAACACATGGATGCCTACCTTCTATCTGAGTCTAGCATGTTCGTCTTCCCTCACAAGTTGATTCTGAAGACATGCGGGACCACGACTCTCCTCCTTGGCCTTCGCAGACTTCTACATATTGCCGCTGAGCATGCAGGGTTCCCCTTCCATAATGCCAAGTCTGTAGACGATATCCACGCTGCTGCTTCGCCTTATCGTGTATTCTACTCCAGGAAGAATTTTCTTTTTCCTGACAAGCAATCCGGCCCTCACAAGAGCTGGAAGGACGAAGTCAAGTTTTTGGATGACACTTTCGAGGGTGGTAGCGCCTACATGGTGGGCAAAATGAACGGCGACCACTGGTACCTTTATATCACTTCGCCGGAAACTACTCTCACACCTCCTCGCACCCCAGAGGAGAATCGGACTTTGGCATGCCCGCCCAAGTCGACTAAAATACCCACGAACACGGCATCCATGTTTAAGGGCAAGCCGGAGAGTACCGACGAGACTCTCGAGATTCTGATGACGGATCTTGATTCTGAGAATGCAAAGCAGTTTTATCTGGAGCACGCGAGTGCGGTCGCGAGCAACAGACTCTCTTCGCAAGCTCAGGAGGCTCGCAAGGTGGCTATAGGAAGCCTTGGAGATTTGTCAGAAAGCACTATGACTATTCAGACGAACAGCACTGTAGAGAGTACTTCTGACGATGCGCTCGATGTCTTTGACAACTGCAGCGACTCTGATCTTCACAGTGCCTATACCCCAGTATCTGATCAGGTCGACATAGAAGGCCTCACGACTGAAGGTCACGCATTGGGCACGGTCGTTTCCGATGCCTGTGGCCTCTCAGAGGTGTACCCCACCTCCAAATACCCAGATGCGCGGATTGACGCATATCTCTTCTCCCCCTGTGGCTTTTCGGCCAATGGCATCATCCCTGCACCCCAGCAGCAAGACAGCAGTGAGTCTGCGAAGTCGACTCACTACTTCACTGTGCACGTTACCCCAGAGCCCATCTGCTCATTTGCCTCGTTTGAGACCAATGTTCCTGGGGGGCAGAACGGGCGTGAGACATCTGAGATTGTCGAACACGTTGTGGGCATCTTCAAACCAGGTCGTTTCAGTGTGACTCTCTTTGAGGCTAAGGCTAGCCAAGGGAATGATGGTGATGAGATGACAGCTGGTCTGGCTCGCAAAAAGCGTCTGGAGAAGATTCCGGGCTACCGACGCATTGACCGTATCCTCCACGACTTTGACGATTATGAGCTGATTTTCCGGTTCTACGAGCGGGAGGACTGGACCGGTGGCGATAGTATTCGAGTTGGAGAGGATATGTAGGGCAACATTCTTTCAGATGAATCATAGTTCGACTCCGAACCTGTCGTCTCTCATTCTTATCTCGTTACTACTACAATTCAGTAGTACAGAATCACCGGAAATGACTGTCCACCTAGAGTCAAATGGATCCGGCCATGACGCATCGCGTCACAACATTTGCATTCGATAGCACTCATTTACCCATCAGTTATTGCACTGTCGCACTGGCGAACACTTGCTAAACCCCAAAATTTATGGCCATTCAAATATGCTCCCATTAGGCGTCTTAAAGCTCCCTGTGCCACGTTGTTTCGAAGTGAGATTAGTACTAGCCAAGGTCCAATATCGTCAGTTCACTAGATGTACAACCCACGGAGTGGCCTTTCAAACTACACGTCAGATCACTCTTGCCTATCATCAACTAATAACAGCCTGTGGAATCCCGGAAGTAATAATGATCTTCTACTTATTCGACATTCGCTTCAGTTAGTAAACTGCGGCGTCAGCGAATACCTATTAGTTTTGCTTATTCATCTGTACAAATGATTGCCTTGAGACTGTCGTCACACAGATCATCTACGTCTCATAAGAGGTGGAAGGTTCTCACCAAATAGCATTGCGATCTGTAGTCACCATCTCATTTCACGCTCGTACCAGGTCAGTTTGTAGACGGCCAGGTGCTCGCAGGTATGTATCGAGGTCGTAAGACATCAACAGCCAGTATGCCTATACAATGGAAACCGTGAGCAAAAAGGAGATGACGCCCTGAGCCAATCCACCGTGACTGCCCCCATCGATTCGGTAGGTTCGTGAGGGAACCTGCTCCTTCCTTTCTTTTGATTTTTCGGTCTAGGTAGTTCAAATAAATACCACATTCGTCAACCCATCCATCGACTTCTCTGTGTTCCTCTACTTCTCCTACCTAATCTCGTGGCCCACACTATTGCCTATTTGCCCTCGCGCCTTTTCCTTCAAACCTATCTACCTACTGAACGCGCCATGAACCTCAAACTTTACCTCCTAGCGCTCGCTGGGGCTGGGGCGGCGACTGCTAGGTTTGCTCTGCTCCCTTCTTCTGCCATCTTCTTCCAGCCTAGACAGGAGAAAGAAGACACGATGGATTTGTATCTGTGCTCGAATCCGAATTTCAATCACGATTGCGATAGGTGTGCTTGTGAGCGATTGGAGAATTTGATTACTATGGGCGGATATGGAGGACCGCCTTGCTGTATGCTCTCTGTGTTCCTCTCTGCTTCTTCCTCTCTGTCGTTGTCTTTTTATACTTTTATCCCCTGGTCATCCCTCCCCATCTCATTTCATTCTAACTCTTCCGGATAAACGTGTTTGTGTGCGTCTAGACTGATTGCTGAATCCTAGATCCCCTGCCTGAGGACCTCCGTGTTGGCAATCCTCAAGGTGTATCATCTGCTCGCTCCTACTCGAAGTGGAACTGTACCTTGTTTGAGTAAGTCTTTGAGCAAATGGTCATATAGCTTCTCGCCCTTTTCCCCAGGCTAATCTGTTTCTTGACAGTAATCCAGACTGCAACGGCACATTACCCGGAAGCAGTCTCCACATTCCTCCAGGCCCGCCTGGTATGGCATCTCTCGGTGCCTTCGACGACCGCGCGGTGACATATCAGTGCTATTCCATACCTTGAACCACCGCTACACAAGAGGTAATATCCTCAATGGGCTAGCTAGAGGGCGGTGTGATAGGGTAGAGTCATGCTTCCGTGCTAGCGACGTGGTGGGTTTGAGGATCACTTTGAGGATTGAAGGACAATGAAAGCTTTGGCCACGAAGACCCTATGATATAAAATATCAAGGGTGATTCAGGAGGATGGGATATGTCATAATTCGCGATAGAAACGATGAATCTCTTAGATCTCTTCCTTGCTGTCTCATAATTGCTTCAGCTACTACGTTCACTCAGGCAGTATCGATTTCGAGACTAATCACAAGCACACGCAGTCGTGTTAGTATGATGGCGAACCTATGCTTGCTGTTCCAGCTGTCCACTTTAGAACCCATGACGTATGCTCGTATAATCCGTTATTTTTAGTCCACTCGTACTATAGTCTGTCGTACGTCGGATGTGACCCTTGGACCAAGCTGTACTCTCTATCATCTATAACATGATATAGTCCTTAGGCGCCCTGATTACGTCTTTCTCTCGTATTCTAGTTTAAGTGGTGGCAACTTGAACTATCCCTCTTTTTCTGGTCGATGTAACGGTAACTCCAGGGAGGAAGCGTCGGAGGACACGAAAAAAAAAAAAGAGCGTTACAGCTTGGTGTCACTCTATTCGGCCTAATAGTTGAGATATCAATTTCCAGGATGTTTATACTCTGGCCTTTGTCTCATCCAGGGGACGTGCGTATTGGCCGACTTGACGTCGTAACTACATAGTATGTATGGTTGGCGCAAGGGGGCCGATGAGAGCCGCTGATCTTCATCAGCGCGTCAAATGACAAACAACAGAGACAATGACACAAATAAATAAACATGGGGATAATAGATAGAATCTTGTCTGAAATGGCACAGCCAGGTGATTATAGCTGAACTGAGTGTTCAGATATACCTAGGTACCTCCCAACGCGCAAGCCTGAGAAGCAAGCCACAAGCCAACACGTCATCACCCGTGTCGGTACCTATGTACCCATATATCCGATAGAGGAGTGGCTGATCCCGTGGCTGAGAATTAGAGAAATGTCCACTGGAGGTACCTAGGTAGATACCTACATGTACCTACCTGCCTAGGTATGTACTTATGTAAGGAACCTGCAGGCTGCGACATCTCAACATGTCCCCCTTAAAGAAAGAAAGACGGGCGCGGGAAGAACGGCCCCCAACAATTGACTTGTAGCTCAAATCGACAGGTCTTCAATATTTCCCAATCCAAGTTCAAAAGGAATGGGAAACAAACATGACAAGAAGCGTTCGCTTGGTAGGTCACATCGGCATATACACTGACCAATTAACGCATGTGACATGTCCCCGTCATCCAGCCACGCGGGCGCGCGGCTACCGAAGGGGGCGAAGCAAGGAGCATAGGCACTCACCAGCTCACCAACATACCAACAGTGAAACTAGAAAGCAACCACTTCTTTCATGTGCCAATGGAACCAACATGACCTCTCTTAGCTGCGTGCTACACAGCCGCATCCGTGGCAACGCAGAGGCAGCCTACGCGGAACATCCCCCTCACTTGAGCGTGGTATCGTGCTCACGGCGTGGCTCCCGATACGGAATATCACCAAGGCCTAGGTATACAGGTAGATGTGCATGTCTTACGCATGCACCAGACATTTGACCTCTTGCCTGCTCAGTGACCGTATGCTGATATGTCGATATGCCCTCTAGCCCTCTAGCCCTATGAGGTCGCGACGCGTGCAGCCGCGAAAACGAACTGTTGTTGGTAAATGACTCACTAAAAATAGCACTTTCATGTTCGGCCAGGGAGGCAGAGTTGCTTCTCATCCATTCGAATCCAGATTGCACACCATCATGTACAACAACCAACATTCCTCATTGCAGCCCACTCAGCCAAACAATCTAGGCATGGTGGCACCACTTCTCTTTGTTTGGTAGTTTCAGGCCTAAGCGCCAATGATGGAGGGCTCATCAGCCAACATGTAATTCCTAAGGCAGCCGATCATGACGAGAGGGACATGATCAGGCTTTAAATATGCTTACCTCTTCGCACTCTCGACAGGCGTGTCTTGTGCCATCTTTATTTCGCGGCAGATAGATCTGTTCCGTGTGTACAAGATGCAGGTCATCGACAAAGATTGCAGTATCCATTGCCGATACCCCCGGTCTGGCCGAATCGTCTATTCAACTGATCCTACGGCATGCCCGACATTTCTTCATCTACATGATGACAGAGGATATTGCATGCCCGATACCATCTCAACCAGCTCACTGATCATCAAACACCGAGCGTCCACCACCAACAGCTGGGAGTACTTCTACGTGACATCAGATCTCCGACAACCAGTAGGCCATGGGGCCGGCGACACACAAAAGTTCCGTCCGATGCGTATCGGTAGATGCGTGCCCGTCGGAATGAAAGCCTTTTACCCTGACACTTATAGACGGAGTGAGTGTCAACAGACGATAGAACTCGTTCATATCCACAAGCAAGAGAACGAGTCGCAAGAGGCCTTCAACAGTCGAATGACCAACAAGAGTTTCACACAACGTCCTCCGGTCTTGCTTCATGACCTTTACCTTGAAGTTGCAAAGATCTCCGAGGTCCAGGAAGTTTACAAGAACTGGCGTGCCTCCAAACCAGAAGAGAGGATACCTTCCTTTACCATCGAGCGCTACCAGGCAACGTGGTATATGGGGACGGGCTTTTCTGCCTATGGCAAAGCAGAGCATTATCATTGGCGGATCCCACTCGAAAATCCCAACCCGAACATCACCAGACTTTCTGGGTCGGATAACGGCAGTTTGGTCTTTGAGTGGGGCAAGGAGACGGGCAAGGCGGGTAAGCCCATTGGCAAGATACTCGGGATCGTCGAGTCGATGTCAACCTGGAGCCAGGAAGATGACCACGCCATCGTCGTTCCCATGATAAATGTTGTCGACGACCTTATGAAGCGTTTTCACTCCTTATTTCCGCCCCCGAAAGCGGCAAGAAGGGCATGAAGGGGAAAGCGAAAGGTTGATCTGAACGAGTTGAGTCATGATGATCTGAGCAAAGCTTATGCAAGCTCAACTTTTGACTAGAATTGGTGGTACTTTGGGAAAATGTTCAAGAACAATGAATTGTACGATAGGTAGCTTAACCCTATTTGGGAACCCTTTCCGATTGAGTGCTTCTCATGACGGAAACAACAAGAATAATATTAGTTACAACAGAAGACTCCCTTTGAGCATTAGATTGATATCCATCGCTTAAACCCCATCACGGCTTCCCAGTCCCGCTCATAGTATGGAAGCCCTCCCACTAACCCACCGACTCAATGGCTTCGGCTTCGGCTTCGATTTCGACAGCCGTGTCAATACCACACCATGGCACCCTTCGGGAGCGGTCCGCTTGCCGCATTCAATTCACATTCGCAGGGATGCCCCAATGCCTCCAATGAGCCACGGGCCCCTGAATAGCCTCGGGCAGAGAGCTAGCCATACCACGGAAATAAGCAGGCGATAAGCAGCCAGTCTGCAAGATTCGCCTAGGGCTGGGGATTACGGTGATGCACGATGCACGGCAAGATTCGGGCATACTGCAGAAAGATCTGGCGTGAGACACACCGCTAGCAATCAGGCAAATAGTACCACGCGATCGTTGAATCGGCCTAGGTATTATAGTACTTGGTTGCCTCGTAGGGCTGTTGACTCCATTTGCAATGAGAATATCTCCACAAGACCGTCTCACCAGGCTATAGCACACGCAACTTGCATATACATTTTGTACACTTATCCGCTGAGACGTAAAGTAGTGCTCACTTCCACCTGCGCACTGCCTAATTTTACAGTCTACCTATGTAATGCATCAATCCGCCTGGGTGACTTCTCTCTGGCTGGCTGGCTTCATCAATTAATCAATCGCCTTATGCACATGCACATGTCATTCATCGATAAGCACAACCTTTGACTCATCGCTCAACCCCAGCAACAAAGAGCCTAAAGCTCTCGGCTAACTAAGGACGGTAGTCAACGACTAGGGTCACTTCATGCTCACGTAAGTAACTCGGGTTGTGAAGGCTCTACCATTGGACGAGCCAGACGCAAACTGCAGAACCGAAGCAGAAGGACCGTTGTTTTCGAGTGGAAATGGCTGACATCATATTTTCAGCCCTGGATATAGTGTACGAGGAAATAAGGCTTTTGCCATCACCTGCCTCGAGGCGTCCAGTATGTGTCTAGTACGTGCTATGTAAGATAGGTAGGACGGTCCTTGTTTATTAGCGGCTTATCCCCGTTCGCCTATTTCCTAATGTAGGACTATGCTACCAGCATCTAGAGAGAGCAGCTGGTCAAAGGACTCTTGAGAGAAACTGAAGCTAAGTGATGATACGAGGTCCAGGTCCAGGGTGAAGAAATGAAATGAAAGATGAAAAGATACAAGAAGCCCAGAGCATACGAATACCCAAGTATATATATAATATAATACTACCTACCAATTGCATACTGGTGTTGAAACTTGGCGCCCCTACTGTCCAGGCCTATACGACTCGTATACCATCTACCAATTGACTCACGGCGAGGTCACATGTAGGAGGTATCCCTTCACTACCACCCATCCACGACCAATACTTACCATGAACGACAGGCAAGCTTACAGCGCATGTTACAGCTAAAGCAATCTAAGTCTGAGAGCATGCCAATTGCCCCGGGAGTATACTGGGACCTGCTAGATCGCTACACGCCCCCGGTAAAGCGTCGCGCTACTCACGCAAAGGCTCGCACAGGCTGCTTGACCTGCAAGCGGCGAAAGGTGAAGTGTGACGAGGCGAAGCCTTGGTGCGCGCGCTGTGTCAAGGCCGGCTACAAATGTGCCGGATATGAGGACAGCCACAGCCACAGCGGGAGCGGCACGGCCCGCAAACGCGCCGACACCGCCGATGATGGTGTGCAGTTGAAGAACGGCCGTTCGCGGCATTCGCAGAGATATGCCCCAGCAACTTTGCGGCCCAAACCATGCAGTACGGCCGGAGTGGTAGTTCCTAGATATGTGGTGGAAGCGCCGAGGGCTGTTGATCTCGTTCGCTTATCCCTGACGCCAACGTATCTCGACGTCGGAGATGCCATGTACTTCGAGCGCTTCAAGTTCCAGATGCTCGCTGACCTGGGTGTTTGGTGCGGCTCCGAGTACTGGCGGCACAAAATCTTGCGCGAGATCCTCCTCGACAAGACGGTGCAGCATGCTGCGCTTGCCTCGGCCGCTATTGTTATGGACATCGAGCAACGGCAGCAGTCTGCTTATGCGCAGATCTCTAGGAGAAAGAGTCTGCCTTCGTCACAAGCCGAGACAGAAGCAAGCCCATTAATGAGGTCAGGGCCAACAGAGGCAACGGCAACAACAACATCACTAGAGAATACGGTAGACGGGGGAGGACAAGGAGAAGAAGAGGCGGCAACAGTTCTGCTACCAGTAGTAACTCTCTCCAACCTAACCACGCACGGAAAAGCCGCGTTGCGCCACTACACAGCGTCCATCAGCCTGAATCGCCAGAGTCTCGCAGTAGAGGGTATAACATCAGCCACGGCGCGGCCCAGTCTGACAGCGACCTTCTTCTACTCCGTCCTCGAGCTCGTCCAAGGCAACATCAGCGAGGCGGACCGGATCCTCACCAGCGGCGTCACGCTCCTCGACAGCGCGCTCTCGCAGCGCACCCCTGCCGGCCGGCCCGCGGTCGTCGAGGACGACGAGATCCGCGACATCCAGCTCGCGTTCGACCGGATGCGGGTAACGTGGGGGCTCTGTCCATACTTCGGGGGCAAATACACGGCCGACACGAAGCGCGCGTCCAAGGATGCTCTCCTTCCCGCGCACCACTTCCAGCTGCCGTCGCCAGACGCATCGGTCCGGACGAAGCAGATGTTCTGGAATGCGTTTTCAAGCGAATTCGGGCAATTCATGGTGACCATGCAAGACCCCCGTCTGCCTCCCGAGACGCTCCCCTCCATCCTGGCCCAGCGCACGAAATACCTGGTCCAACTACGGTACTGGCTGCCCATCCTATCAGACCTGTGCGCAGCGGACCCGGGTTCAGCGCTCCTGTGCACGACGAAAGTCTACGCGCAGACGGCGATTATATTCCTGAACTGCTTCCTCGACCGCACGGAACTCGCGTACGACGCGTACACGCCCATCTTCAAGGACATAGTATCGACATACGAGCGTCTTCTCCCCTCTTCCTCTCCATCCACCACGACTCCCCCCTCATCTTCACCCTCGCATAAATCCCCATCCCACTCCTCTTCTCCTCCACCAAGCCATCTCCGCCTAACCCTCGACGTCGACCTCTTCCACATCATAACCTTCACAGTGTCCAAGTGCCGGCACAAGCGCACGCGGGCCGCGGCGCTCCGCGTCTTCGCCGAGACGACGCGCCGCCAGGCCCTGTGGACCAACTCGGGCATGCTAGCCGCGCTGCGGGCGCTCTCTGATCTCGAGGACGCGGGACGGGTTTCTCGCCCCGATTCCACTTCTTCCGACTCCAATCCTACTATTACTACAAGTCCGGCCCCAACTTCCGAGAACGACAACAGCACTGATAACGGGAATAGCGATAATAGCGGCGATGAAGACGGCTTCGTACCCGCCGAGGCGCGATACCGGTACGTTAGCTCCGAGTGGGATTTCCACGGACGACAGATGGTAGCCGTCTTCGAGCCCGTGGTAACGGCGCAGTCTGTTGTTATTCGCGTGCCGATTCATTTCTAAGACTACATACTATTTACCACTGCCATTGCTACTGTTGTTGTTTTTACATTAGTGTACGATACGGATATAGATAGATAGATAGATGTACAGATAGATAGACTGCATCGGTTTCGTCAGTCGTTATGACGACACGGTGATGAGTAGAGCGTTGAGATGATAAGGATTCGGAATCATGTACAACATAGACAAGCTGTAAGATAGAAACCATAACTCTCTCACTCATATTCAAGACGTATATAAGCTCTACGAGACCAGATCACTATTCTAATTATTCCGTATCAAAACATACAAGAATACAACACGGGATAAGCAGCAAGTGGCTCATAATGATATATCTATTGTACTATGCATATATGATTGACCAAAGTACTGACTTTTTGTTTTGCACAAGTCTAGGTAATGCCACAAAAGCCAAGCAAACCCAAAGCAGGTAACCTACCTACCAGACAAGGAGGATCATAGCCTCCTCCATCTACCCACGAATGACCTGTAGCGCCAAGAAGAAACAAGTATATAATAGAAGCCAATAGGCGGTGCAGAGTGTGCGCACCTGTTGTTCAAATAGATGATTTTATCCACAATCTACTTCATCGAGAAGACAAGCTCGAGACACTCTTTCTACTCGACGTCTACGAGTCTCTTGTCGTCCCACGCTTTCTTGGCAGCCTTTTCCAAGCTGTCCAAGTCACCGCTCATCTCGCACATACTTCTGAATGTTCCTGTCTTCTTTTTCAGAAGCTCATGGGGGTGGTCATATTCGACAACCGACCCATGGTCCAGGACTAGTACCTTGTCGTAATCGACAATGGTGGCAAGACGATGCGCTATGGTGATGATGGTTGTATTCAGTTCCCGAATAGTCTCTTGAATCTTCGAGTCTGTGTTATAGTCGATGGATGCTGTGGCCTCGTCCATGACAAGCACTTTCGGGGCTTTAAGCATAGCACGTGCGAGGCAAAGAAGCTGTCGCTGGCCCTGAGAAAGATTTGTGCCAGACTCTGCCACAGGCGACGAAAGATCGAGGAATATGTTCTTGTTCGTCGCAGTGGGTGTGGAAGCCCCAGTAGGTATTTGGTCACCCACATCAGTGGTAAAGTCTTCTTCGACAACTGTTGTTGTTGTAGATGGTATCGCAGATTCAGGGAAACCATCGGTCGGGCCAATCAAATGCACCTTTCTGAGCGCCGCAAATACGTCTTCGTCAGTGTACAAGTCGAACGGGTCTAGGTTGGTCCGAATGGTACCCGTGAACAATGTAGGATCTTGAGGGACAATCGTGATGGCCTGCCGAAGATCCTTGAGACCAATCAATCCTACATCAACATCATCGATTAATATTTTACCAGCCTCTGCTTCAAGTGCTCGGAAAATAGCAAGAGTGAGTGAGCTTTTTCCAGCACCAGTTCTACCGACAATGCCAACCTTCTCTCGAGGCTGAATTTTGAAAGTAACGTTTCTCAGCACTGGATCTAGTTCTTTTCGATACCTCGTAGAGTAGCTGATGAATTCGACACCACCGTGGGCCGGCCAGTTCTGAGGGGGTCGGTTCTTCTCATTGATTGCCGGTGGTTCTTGTTCAACGTCGAGATACTCTTTAACACGCTCCACGGAGTTCATGTTCTGCTCATTCATCGCGTATAATCTGATGAGCCAGAGAATGTTTTCAGAAAAGCCAATAGCATAACTCAAAGAGAGACCGGCAGAGCCAGGGTCAATCTTCCCAATGCTAATGATTACGAACACGCCGGCAAAAAAGGCGACAAGATCGCCGAGAACATCCGTTCGAAATGAAAGCCATCTATTAGCGCCCCACAAGAAGATAAACGGACGTGATTGTTTGTTGATTCTTCCCAGGTTATCACGAATGAAACGTCGCTCATCACCATAGGCACGGATAGTCGTCACTCCCGACAAAGTCTCACCAAATTGCTGGAAGAGAGGACTTCGGTTGACGGACTCTAGTCGCTTAAGATCACGCGAAGCTCGGAGATAAAACATTGCCACAAGGGCAAATAGAGCAGTAATGAAAAGAGCAGCAACAAGGAAGCCAGGGGTAATAGCTGCAATAAGCACGACAGTGATGATAATACCCATTGCGCAAGTCATGACACCTATAGCAACACCTGCTACCTCTTGATCGACAGCTTCCAGATCCTTGCTAAACCGGTTCATCAATTGTCCCAGCGGTGTCACATCGAAGAACTTGAATTTTGCCCGCGAGACTGCCGTCATTAATTGATTGTGAAGTTTCCAGGAGGCAGTCAAAGAACCATAGAATAGCCATAAGTCACGTACCATGGCCAAGAAGGCCCCAGATATCCCGATAAGAGCCAGGATAGTGAGGTAATAGTCCACATTGACTTCGGGAACGTCCAACATCGAATAATCTGGGTTCGGCCCAAACATGCTCATAGTAGTGCCTTTGGCATATTGCGCGATGGATGCAAAATAAGAATGAGAAACCGACGCACTACCGGAGTTCTGAGAGGCAATGCTGAATTGGATGCGAGATACGCCTTCAGTTTCCGATACGTATTGATTTGCCCATTCTTTGATCCAGATATTTGAAGCAACTCCACTAAGCTGTTGTGTAGTAAATACGACAACGGCAGCTACCCAGAACCACCAACGGCCCATAGCGCTGAGATAGAGCTTCATGACAGACCATTTCACCGCACCTACAGCCTTGTCTTCTGACATGGCATCCTGTTTCTGTGCAGACTTCTTCGGTGTAGGCTTTCCATGAGCATTTGCGTCTGCATCGTTGATCAAGGTATCCCCACTCTCCTCGCCAACACTTGATGGGGCTCGAGACGGAACACGAGAGACCTGTTGAGAGCCTGGTCGAGATTTGTTTCGCATCTCCTCACCCAATTTTCCCGATTCTATAACTTCAAGCGACGGACCCTGAGCGGCTACTCTTCCGTTGTCTAACAACACCACGTACTCGGACAAGGGAACGCAAAGGGTGGTATTATGTGTGACGAGTATGCAGGTTCTTCCCTTCATCAGGGGACCGTTGATGCAGTTGCTGAAAATCCATTTGGCAGTGTGTGAGTCGACGGCGCTAAGACAATCGTCCAGAAGTAGATGCTGTGAGTTTGAATAGACGGCGCGGGCGAGTGAAATTCGCTGCTTCTGGCCGCCGGAGAGTGTAATACCATTTTCTCCTACCAGGGTCTCATCACCGTTATCCAGTATCTGCAAATCTCGCTCTAGAGCACAAGCCACTAACACATCTTTATACCTCTTTTCATCATATGCTGATGAGAATAAGATGTTCTCTTTGATGTTAGCGTTGACGAGCCAAGCGGTTTGAGCGACGTAGGCACAGGTATCAGCCAGTCCAGTGGCAGGATCCGGACGGACTTCCTCTCGGCTACGACCACCAGGAAGATAAACATTTCCCTTCGTCAATGTCATCTCACCGAGAAGTGCCATTAGCATGGAGGTCTTACCGGAGCCAGTAGGACCACCGATAACGTTAAGCTTCCCAATTTTGAAATCAATGTTCAAATCCATGAGGCGGAAAGCCAGCGATCCATCTGCGGCAACAGCATCTTTACTGCCCCAGATGAATGTTGCGTTACGGAAGCCAATCACCTTGCGCCCTTCTTCGTTCATGTTGTCCTGCCCTAGCTGCTGATATTTTTCTGTCTCTTCTTCCATCAAAAATTCTTCAACACGGTCGACAGATACCTTGGCTTCTTGGACGTGAGCCAGCATATCACCAAGCTGATCTAAGGGAATCCTTAGGAGAAGGAAGAGTGAAATAGCCGTAAAGGCGATCGAAGGGTACAGAGGCTTCTTTTCGAACTTCGTGTACATCAAGAATGAGAAAAAGGTAATCAGTATTGGCACCGTATTCCAAATAGCAACAGCAAGTGCCCAAACAATATACCTATTTCTTAGAGCTTTAAGTTCGGCCCTCCGCTTGTCGTCCACAATTGCACCAAAACGTTCTTCCCACGCGAAATATTTGATGATTCGAATGTTCTGAAGGATTTCGTTTGTAGTGTGGATCCGCTTGTCAGTAGCAGCCATGATCTTCTTTTGGGTGTAATTGAAACCCTTGGCCAGAAATATGTTGATAGGGAGTAGGAATACCATTACAATGAGACCGGGAATCGCACTGAGCCCCATAACCTGCCAGAGGAGAGCAATCGATACGAAAAGCATAGTTGGTGCAGAAGCCAAGAGGAAGTGTAGATATGACGTACACTCAGATATCTTGAAGCTGTCAACTGACATCAAGTTGATAATCGTTCCCAAGTTAGCTTGTTCATCATTAGCCTTGGCTGGGTCCTTGGAGGCAGCAGCATTCTCCTGGTTATCCTTCTTTTCCTTCTTTCCGAAACCGAAAAAGCGCTTTATCCTTTGAAGTTGCGTAACCTTCGCATCATCTTTGCCAGTCTCGCCAAGAACCGTGTGTGCGCCACTTGCCGCTTTGCGTCTAAGCGCTTTGGCATATATTTCGCCTATGATGATGGCCCGAATGCGAATACAGATTTTTCGCCCTATCCATAGAGCTTGGTTGTCGGCGATGGACCGAAGAACATCCGTCACAGGAAGCAAGATTACCAGGAGCCAAAGAACGTTTCTTGGTGCCATCTGTGGCGTTTCAACATACTGGAGAATAGCCCTGAGTAGAAGAGTTGGTGCAAAAGCAAAGAATCCAGAAAAAACAGCCCAAAGGCACTGCACAATCAGCATGCCTTTGAAGTACTTGGCCAGGTGAAGGGCCAACGAAGTCGTCTTTTTGACCTGGCGGTAGTGGGCGAGAACAACAGCGGCCTTATCGCGCGGCATCAAGTTCCAAACCTTTGCCATCTCTAAAGGCTCTTTGTAACCTTGCCAGAGAATAGGGTCAACCCAGGAAAAGGTAGCGAGGGAAAATACAGAAGCTAATGGTTCTCGCGATGGTTCAATATTGTCTTCCCACTCCATCAGTATCGTCTTATTCCCTTTCCTAGTAGTCAAAGCAAGGCCAAATAGCAGGGTTGTAAGAGAAAACTCGACCACGACAAGGATCTGAGTCATCTGGGAGCTCGCATGGATAAGGACAGACCGAAAGAGAGAAATAGTAAAGAGCCATTGGAGGCCGTATATGGTTGTCGTGTGGTTCCATAGATGAGGAATGCGCCAAACAGTATTTCCCAGGAACAGGCGCAGCGTAACAAGCACTAGCACATAAGCCCAAGTTAACACACCGACAATAGCGGCAATATGACCATGCCCAGCGTATGCTTCACTTATGAGAGCAAGTATCCGGACAGCTATTAAGCCACATATCGAAGCTTCCTCTATAACAACGATCAAGTGCTGGGCAGGTGGGTTATCAGCTTGCACAATAGAACCCCGAGTAGTCGTCTTCACGAGCGCGAGACGGCCGCCACCGTTGGCATGAATCGACAGGTCATCGTCCTCCTCGTCTTCGGTATCCAACACAGGACCCTCGTCAGGTGGAATCTCCGTGTGATCTTGCGGCTCACCAAGGCGATTATATCCATGGGGTCTTCTTAGCTTGACTTTACGGTGTATTGATTGAGCAACGAGGAGAAGGAAGGAGGCGCATATTACTATTAATGGGAGGAGGATCTGGAGGTAACTGTTACACGGGTAGGCAATGTCAGTGATAGGCTAAGAGACGCGCGAGCCGCTCGACTCGGACAAGCTATGGGGCGGGTAGAGAAGAGAAGGAGGTACAGGAAAGAGGAAGGCTAACTCGGATTGGAAGCAGGTAGTGAAGTCATCGACCTGCCATATCGGCCACGAACACGAGGCAAAGCTCATGTTGTTGTTCAAGCCTGAGACTACTCTTGTCGAACAGCCCGACGAATTTCACCTGGCCTCCTCGCGGAGAGCCAACTCCAAATACCACGGACCCCACCTATCGTGCAAGATGACGGTCAGGTTATACCAGGTCGGCTATCAGATGATAATGGTTGTTGGGAGCGGGTAGGACGGGCAATTGATGTTTGGCAGTATGCAGTCGATCGGGCTAACATGCAACCGTGCCGCCGACAAGCCGTAGTATGAAGCAATATGAGACAGCCTTATGGTACGCGACCATCGAAGGAGCAAGAAGAGATGGTAGCAGAAAAGAAAGTTTGGCAGACACGAGGAATGGAAGCATGTCTTCACTCGGGTATTTCAGTCTATTCCACGGCCAAGTACTTACTTACATGTAGGTAGGTACTTACATGCAGGTGCACTGACTGACTTGATCCCAGGATCCGTTGCAGGCACCAGGTCGGTACCTACACTGTTCGACTCTCTACTGTACGTAGTACCTACTTTAGTATGGCCTACGTAGGTACCTAGTACGTGAATTGCCCCGCTAGCAGTTTCTGCAAGCTATGTGGGGTTTCGCCAGTGACTTACCTTGCTTTCGGCTATCCTATGCTAGAAATGCGCTAGCTCAGATATCTACCTACTAGTACGTAGTACATTGCGCTCGTACTCAATGGACCTGGCGCGCACTATATAGTTATATACAGAGCTATTACAAACGCCACGAGCCATTGCTTGGACACGCATGTATTGATTTGGGTGTAGGTGTAGATGTAGGTGTAGGTGTACCTAGGTGTAATCGACCTCGATAGCAGCTGACACACAAGACCATCTCTCCGCGATACGGATGCCATACGGATCGGGGTGGGTCGTAAGCCGAACCATGGTTGCGTGGGAATGTACCTACAGGCCCGAGGTATGTACCCAGACACATTTTGGATCCATGGGAACCATTGGAACCATTGGAACCCAGAGAGGCTTGACCCACAAGGCGCCACATCGCACTAAACCTCACCGTTGTTGCACCGCGCGATCCAACACTCAGATAAGCTAATCCCCCTCTGGGCGCCATGGCGTAAGAGAGTTCCAGACATTCTGTCTACTGGTATTCAAGATGAAAGGACTTACTTGTATTTTCAACAAGATTTCGTGCCAATTCTCTTTGTACATATCAGAGACACTGATACCTATACGCTGGAAGGATACTTCCATTCTCAAAAGATTAGGTACCACTCACTAAGTGTTTGAAAACCTTACCTGCCTACAATAGCAGCACAGAAGTCAGGATACCTACCTACATACCTTACTAAACATGTACAGAACCTAGGTAGGTTTACAAGTATCTACAGAGTAAGCTATCCCATCTGTAGTTGTTTAGATATCTATTGATTTCTTGCCGCTTACTGATGGTAAACGGTACGTGTAAAGTTATTTAAAAAGAAAGAAACTATTCACATAAAAAGGTAAAAAATGATATAAAAACAATAAACGATAAAACAAAATGAGAAGGCAAAAAAGGAAAGGGAAAAAGAGAGATGTGTTAACGTCATCGTTAGCCTGTCCGGAAATAGTGGGTCGACTATAGTGTGAAGGGACGGGGTTTAACCTGGCCGATTGACTCAGCCCGCCAATGTCTCTCAGATATTGATTATATTCTCGTCGCCTCCAAAGTGATGGCGTCCTTGGCCATGTTGTTGTTTTGGAAGGGCAGATATAAGATTCGGCCAGAACGACAGAACGATTGAGCTACGATTGGCGGTGAAGCTATCTTCAGAAGTGTCTGTCAGCGTGGTACGCGCCGAGATCTCATCCGCTATGTCTGTATGTAGGCAAGTAGGTATCCAGCTGACAACTCCTCCCTTCGAATCTCCGCCTACCTACCTACTTACCTTCCAGATGCAGCATCGGTACAAATCGGCCATGACTGCTAAGGCGAACGCTGTTACAGTAGGGTAGTGTATAAGAATTACATATGTAGGTAGATACTACACGATGCCACTAATATTAAATACTACATATACATAACATAGTATGTAGTAGATCATCAATAGCTAAATCACACGTCTTTATCCCTCGCATACATCTCCTTGCGTGTGCAATTCCTTACATGTAGGTAAGTAGTGTAGACAGATGGGATGTCAGACTCCCTTTCTTCCCCGGTGATATCGCGAACTATACTACCTATACCACTATCGCGAAAGTGTGCGACGACGTGCATGCACCGTCTTGTAAGTAAGCAAGCCTGCAGCCGGTACTTCGGAGCGCATGTCTTGTGGAGCGAAACAGCATTCGAATTCCCATTAGCGCTGTGCCCACTCCTGGGGTCCGGTCCCATTCTCCCTTGCACCTGCAGGGCTCGCAACCAGACATGGGAAGTGTAGGTATTCATTCTCACGCGGGAAAGTAGGTAATACGGGATACCGGTAATCTACGAATGGGTGTCCCTTTGCGGAGAGCAGCAGATGACCCGGCGCATATGCGTTCGGCCGCCCATCCTCTGGCGAAAATGTTGTATTTCTCTCATTGGCTCCGACGTTTCGTACCCCAGTTCCGCTCTCGGATGCAACTTGTATGCAGGACTCGGCGCCCCAGTTCAACATATGAGCCTCTAGAAAAGGAGCAACAGAAGCCTCTTTGCGAATTCTTTCATCATTCAAACTTCGTCGCATCTAGATGTTGCAGCACGCCAATGATTCTGAGGATACTAAATCTTTCGATCCAACGCCCTGCTTATCTAGCGTAACTTGACTCGCTATCTAGAAACCCGCGTCCCCTGCACCAAGTGATACTCTCTTATTGGAAGAGATACAATACTTTGCGATGACAGAAATTGGGCCACCTCTAGGAGGTCGTCGATCTACGTGCTAATCAATATGGAAGACAATTTTATTTGTCTTGATTGGTAAGTAACAATGGATTGCTATTATTAATTATATTAACGCGTCTCATCTGCTATACGCGACCCTGATACCAGCTTTTGCAGATAGGAATGGATAGTCTCAGTAGTATGAGTAGGAGGCCATTTAACCTCAGCTGACATGAGACATAATGACGAACCTCAGAGGTTGGGAAGGTTGATCTCATCAGCCATGTCAGTCATAACGCAAGGGAGGGGACCTGAGTTGGGCTACATGGACCTCAGCAGCCATAACAGATTTTTTTTTTCTTCCCTTAAGGATGGCGTCGGGGTTCAAGACCTATCATCAAGCCTTGTGTTATGATTACACGAATGCAAAATTTTTCAATCTTCTTATTTTTGATATATTCTTCCTCTAGGTCCCCTTAAAGAAAGTGCTGTTACGTGTCAGAGAAGTAAACGAAACTGGCAAACGTGATGCAAAATCAACCCATGGGGACTCAATGCTACTGTAAGAATGCACCTCAACGTATTTACATTGCGTCACTTTAGTTCAAGTCCTTTTGGAACAAGTTTAAGTGCATCAAATTCAATCACGTGGGTTGTGATAACTTACTAAGTCTTGTCCTAAATTATCACATAAGCTGAATTAAGGCTATGGATGCCTTTATCTTTCTCGACAAGACATTCAAATCATGTGAATACCATCTCAACTATGAAGAGTAATATTCTTCTATAGCTACAAGTCTTGGCTACTTCCCATCGGATATTTCCGTTGATTACAAAGCAGCAAACATCATGCATGTTATAAGCACTTCCAAGGGGTGCTCAAGGTCCTTATGTCGGTATTTTGATACCCCATCAGAAGGAATATATCATAGTTATGTATAATAGGTGATTAGAAACTATTTACTTTTGATTCGTCGTACTCTTGAGCCCGGACGAAGCTTCTACCGTGGGCTACATTCATCAACCGTTAAGAGGCGCCGGTATGAACCATTCTACTCAGTACTCAGTATGAGTAGGTACATAAACCCCCCCTCGCGAGATACTTCACATTTGCCGCTGCAGATGAGATAAGCGACATCCATGAAGTTTATAAACCGTAGCCGAAGCGTTAACCCCGTATTACTGCGTGTATGTAAGACTTCTTAGCAAAAGACTTTATTCTTCGGGTAACCATATATAAATTCTCTTCTAGTCTTTCGAACAGCCAGCAGCATCATGGGTAAGCAGATTGTTTGCTAAGAGTTGCTGTTGGAGTGTGGAGTATATCACATCATGTGATACATTTAGCTTGCCTTCACTGTCGAGTCACGCAGATAACACAATGTATAAAGAAGCTATTATGATCTGAGGGTTACAGTCAGCCCACATATCGAGAATTTGAGGGTTGAGCAATATATATTGCTATAACAAGGCTTGATATTGGGGGCTCACAATTGAAACTATACATATTACAAAAATCTTCTAGGGCTGCAAAGGACTCTTGGCTACCAGGTCTCTTATTCCTGACCTCAGTGGCTGACTCGACTCTGTATAGCTATACGGCTTCTGCTAGCCTCTGCTAATATTCAAAGCCCGAGAGTGTCTCGGATCCGCGAAGGTCTGTATAACCTCAAATTTTCGTATGTTTCATAAAGGCTCTTCTGCAAGGCATGCGCCCGCAGCCGTAGGCGAACTGCATGTTCGGCCACGTGCAGGTGTAACTATTGTAATTTCTTGTTGTACTCTCGAATTTGGACCTTTTCCACATTGCTTTGGTCGAGAAGAGCTTGGTGTTACATTATAACAGTGTTTAGAAGACTTAGAACGAGGTATCTTCCTCACTTGCCTAACTAACACATTAGGATTACGCCGCATGTTAATCGCTTATAACACGCGCGGCATTGGCTACCTGCAACCAAGTCATTGAAACCGATTATCAATCTGACCCTTTAGCCCCCAAGAAACTTTGATCATGGATAACACGCAGGATTGAGTTGGATATATACTAGTTGTCCTTTAGAGAGCATGTTGGATTTTGATAACAAGGAGTAGGCAGACATGGCTTCAAGCCACGTTGAGGTGTACCTACGTAATGGTAAGCCACACAGCGCAGATGTGGGTACCTACGTATACCTAGGTACCGGTACTCCAGGTGGAGCTAAGTTGGGTCTAGCCTTGTCCAACCAAGCAGACACATTGAAATTACAAGCTCTTGGTCACGTGCCATAGCTCTCAGCTCCACCCTAGGCATTGGGGACACATCTTTCAATTTGGGGGCGTCTGGGATTTGATGCCAGATCCTGTCTCCATCCGTCGCCATTCCCTTCTCCTTTTCTATCTACAAAACGCGCGACGGCATTGACGAACAACCGAGGGCATTCGTCGCCGCTGCTCAGGCTTCTTTTCCCTCTCTTATTTTGTTTTCAAATCATCACATTTCGCTTCGTTGCCCATCATGAGCAGCCGTAAGTCTTCCCAAGCCTCATGTGCATATGCGCATATCGTCATTATCATCGCCATCACCCCGAGTCATCTTTGCTAACCACTGTTGCGCAGTGCGCTTCCTCGATCTCGTAAAGCCATTCGTGGCATTCCTGCCCGAGGTCCAGCAGCCTGAGAGCAAGGTCCCCTTCAACCAAAAGTTGATGTGGACAGGTCTCACTTTGCTGACCTTCTTGGTCATGAGCCAGATGCCGCTGTACGGTATCGTGTCCTCTGATACCTCCGATCCCCTATACTGGTTACGTATGATGATGGCGAGTAACCGTGGAACGCTGATGGAGCTGGGTATTACGCCCATCATATCCTCTGGTACGTTGACACTTCAACTATCATTACAAAGTGCTGTTTCAGCGCACTTCTCGGTCATCTGCGCATCTTCAGCTTCACGAGCTTTGATTGGTTGAGAGCCTGAGGTAGTGGCACTGAAATAACACTGAGAATGATATGTGGTCGAGTTCCTCTTGACTCCTGATCTAACATGGTGGAAAGGCATGGTCTTCCAGCTCTTGGCTGGTACCCACATGATCGACGTCAACCTCGACCTCAAGTCCGACCGCGAATTATACCAAACCGCCCAGGTATGTGACGATGGTGTGGATCGCGGAAATCCAATCCCTTTCCCATAATGGTAGCACGTCTGCACGCCTCAGAGACTGCCGGCTATGATTGCCACTATCTTTATACAAACCAACTATGGCCAGGTCTGACACCTTTTTAGAAACTCTTCGCCTTAATCTTGTCGGCTGGTACCGCCACTGTTTACGTCTTCACTGGTCTCTACGGCCCACCTTCGGAATTGGGCGCTGGTATTGTCTTCCTGTTGATCCTCCAGCTCGTGACGGCTGGAATGATCGTCATCCTTCTTGACGAGCTTCTACAAAAAGGCTACGGTCTTGGTAGCGGTATCTCTCTGTTCATCGCCACCAACATTTGCGAATCGATCGTCTGGAAGGCTTTCTCACCCACCTCGTGCGTATTTTCCTCGGTTTAGTGATTTTCCAAAACGGCCCTTCAGCCAATGAGGGACCGGAGCCATCTTGGTATACATACTGACAATTTTGACTTAGAATCAACACTGGTCGCGGACCAGAATTTGAGGGTGCGATTATTGCCCTGTTCCACCTGTTGATGACATGGCCCAACAAGCAGTTAGTTCCCTAATTCCTTCCCTAAACTCATTCATTTTTCCCTTCAACAGATTTTGGATCTCATTGTTCCTGTATCACCCGAAACGTGTATTTAATTCTCGGTCTGTCTGAAAGATTACTAACGCCAGTGTGCCGAAAGACGTGCTTTACAAGAAGCGTTTTATCGCCAGAACCTCCCCAACATCATGAACTTGCTGGCAACTTTGGCCGTTTTCGCCGCTGTTATCTACCTCCAGGGTTTCCGTGTCGAAATTCCCGTCAAGAGTTCTCGCCAGCGTGGCGCTCGCGGCAGCTATCCTGTGCGCCTCTTCTACACATCCAACATGCCCATCATGTTGCAATCTGCTCTCTCGTCCAACGTCTTCCTTATCAGCCAAATGCTATACTCCCGCTTCTCTGATAATCTCCTTGTCCGCATGTTCGGTGTTTGGGAAGCCAAGGAAGGCTCCGCGCAACTCTCTGCCATCTCTGGTGAGTCAGAATCCTCTCGTCATAACCTCAGATGTGAATCGGCGCCCCTCAAGAGAACATATCGCTAATCAATATTGTAATCTAGGACTCGTCTACTATATGTCACCCCCTCTAAACTTCCGTGATGCCCTCTTGGACCCTATCCACACGGTCGTCTACATCTTTTATATGGTCGCTGCCTGTGCCATCTTCTCGACTACATGGATTGAAGTCTCTGGCTCCAGCCCTCGTGATGTTGCCAAGCAACTCAAGGACTCTGGGCTCGTTATGGCCGGACACCGTGACCAATCTATGTACAAGGAGCTCAAGCGCATTATCCCTACGGCGGCCGCTTTCGGAGGTGCCTGCATTGGTGCTCTCTCTGTTGCCAGCGATCTAATGGGTGCTCTTGGTTCGGGTACCGGTACCCTTCTCGCCGTCACGTAAGCTGCCTCTCATAAGTCAGGCTAGTGGTATACATTTGCTAACGGGAATAGTATCATCTACGGCTACTTCGAGATCGCCGCCAAAGAAGGTGATCTTGCCGGTATGAAGGGCATGGTAATGGGCTAATTGCTCATGGCCGCGTCTCCATTCATCTTCTACATGTCTTCAGCACGATTTTCGTGCGAGAACAGTAATACGGTGGCTTTAGGCCGTGTGTAATACCAGAAATACTAAGGGTCCATAAAAAGTTATGAGGTGTTCACGGGATGGCGGAGCTTGGAAATTGCATCGGCGCCGGCGGACACTTCGGCCCAGGAGTTCTCACCTGAGGAAAAAGAAGAACGTACCATTATTCTGTATTTATTAAAATGATGCATGAGGCAGTCAGGTGTACGTAAAAATTCTATGTGATTGCTCCATTGCGAGATCGGAGTCTTGGTCTGCTCTCGATCATGCGCTATTTGACGTGATTTCTGACATGTGTTGATCCGCGACAACGGTACTGGGATTCACGGATGGGTGGCTGGATCCCGACCCAGAGCCCGATTGTCCCAAACTAGAATGGCTGTGTCGGCAGCCCTGCATTTTGTGACAAAACGGTCTTGGCACAATTTATCATGACAAGAAGACTTACAAGAAGAAAAAGAAGGACAAAAACTGAAACTTACAAAACAGAGTCAACGGTATGTAAACAGGCGAAATTCTTATCATTATAGAGAAAAGGTAAAAAAAATCTTCGACGCGTAAAGTAAATGCCATGGATATACATGTCGCGTTAAGTACCTCACTCACCGGCAGACGGTGACATACCTAGTGGATATTGCGTGCGGCCCTGGTGCGGAAAAGAACTCGTACTAAAACTTCCGATGAAGATAAGTCCACTTAAGTAGACTACCTAGGCTCATGTCTCCAATGCAAATTGCTCAGGAACCACCCAGTGCCCCGTCCAGACTAGGTAAAGATTTACTAAGTGCTATCTTATCAATAGGAAAGAGCTTCGGTATCGCTTCTTTATGTCACATTATGACCTCTAACACATACATCTAGGTACCTGGCTAGGAGGTATGATCTAGATTAAGGTATAGTAGGGGATACTATGGATAGATGTCCGAGACACTGTGCATACGGTGATAAGTAGGTAGGTAGGTACAGCTCCATCAGAGATCCACGTACTTCCAGTACAGCCCTGGCGATGGCGGATAGATCTGGTAGCGCGGCAAGGAAGGGGAGCGGTAAGATTGCGGGCAAAGGCCGGGATGAGATGGCAAGTGGGAAGTGGAAAGATCATGCAACCGGGCAACGGCGGTAGGCGGTACGTACTTACTCACCACGTATATGTATGTAGGTATGCATGTAAGTATCGTGGGTATGTATATCTTGGAAAGCTGTGGAAACTTTGCCGACCTCTTTCTCTGCTATTAAACTCTCGTAACACCCATCTCTCCCATCTCTCTCATCTCTAGCCTGCCTACCATCTCTATATCAGCTCAATCTTCTGTTTGATAGCAGACCGCGTCACAACCAAAAACACTTAACGATCCATCTTCACATTCACCATCCACCATGTCGTCTGCCTTCGTCACCAAGCCGGCTCCCGATTTCAAGGCCACCACCGTCTTCCCCGGCGGTGAGTTCAGGGACATCTCCCTCTCCGAGTACCGTGGTCAATGGTAAGTCATATATATGCCATCGTGATATAGCGTGCTCCTTCATCACGGACTTCAACCCGTTGTGTTTGGCTCGCACGGCGAGATAGGCGGACCTTTAAACGCTAATGACTTCGCTTATCACAGGGTCGTTCTCCTCTTTTACCCTCTCGACTTCACCTTCGTGTGCCCGACCGAGATTATCCAGTATAACGAAGCCCTGCCTCGCTTCAGGGAGATCAACACCACTGTCCTCGGTGTCTCGACCGACTCACACTTCTCCCATCTCGCCTGGACGGAGCGACCCCGCAAGCAAGGCGGTCTTGGCTCCGACCTACAACTGCCCCTCGTCTCTGACAAGTCCCACAAGATCTCGCGTGCCTACGGCGTTCTCCTCGAGGAGGAAGGCGTTGCTCTACGCGGTCTCTTCATCATCGATCCCAAGGGCGTGCTGCGTCAGATCACGGTCAACGATCTTCCAGTCGGCCGTGACGTAACGGAGACCCTGCGCCTTGTCCAGGCTTTCCAGTTCACCGACGAGCACGGCGAGGTCTGCCCCGCTGGCTGGCAAAATGGCGGCCAGACCATGAAGGCGGATCCCAAGGGCAGCCTCGAGTACTTTGCCAACGCGAATGGCGAGGCTAATGGCCTGCCCCTCAACGGCAAGCGAGCTCGAGTTGAATAGATGTCACATGCTCATGGTACGATAAGAGTAGGTTACGACAGGCGTTATTAACGACATAGATTTGGGGTAAATAAAAACTAAAGGTGCTGGAATACATGAGGCTCTGCACTTCTCCAATTGGTGCGGGGAATCTACCACATGCCCAGGGATGCACCGCAATGGATTGTTACCTAGACTGAACATAGGAGTCATTCATAGACATGCCTTTACTGGTGCAGCTTTGCATAGATGGGCTAATGCTAATAAGATATATTGGTGCACTATACACTCCGGACTTTGCTAATTCGTGACCACGCATCTACGCTACGATCTTGACAGCTAATTGTATTAGCGCATCCCTCCTTCGTCCTCGCCACTTGTTATTCGCCTGCATGTTCAGAGTTTCCCGCCAATACCGCTCAGTAATACGTTGAACCGTAGGCAAGGTTGGGGTCGTCATCATTTGGATTGGTGGTTTAATCTGGGCTCGCTTCTTGGGCTTGATGGTTGTCTAGTTCCAATACCTAGGTACCTACCTATCTACCTAGGTACTAGTGAGTGGCTTGCGCTGTATCTCACTGGATATACAAGGCACTCAGTGGGGTATGTAGCTTTTCTTACCTACCTAACCAACATCTCCGAGTGCATTTGCTCGCCGCATAGGTTCGCAACCTGAGATACAGAAGAAAAGAGGTGGCAAGTAACCATAAAACCTCGTATATCATTAGAGAAGGAAATATGTCCGCTATCTAAGATATATATATGCTCCCTGTGAAGCACTTTTTATCGCGATCTCTTTGGAGACACTCGCATACGATGGCTTCGCTAAGGCGCCCGCGAGAGCCCCTGGTAACCATTATTGGCACCACCGGCACGGGCAAATCTGACGTAGGTTACGATGAATATTGGTCGGCACAGAAGAATCCTTGTTTTGACTGAAAATCCAGCTTGCAGTGGATCTGGCCCTCAGATACAATGGGGAGATCATCAACGCAGATGCGATGCAGATGTATAGGGGCCTGCCCGTGATCACGAACCAGATATCGGTCGAGGAACAGCGCGGCATCCCACACCATCTGCTCTCTCACATCGACCCGCTCGATCCGACATGGACCAATGGGCTTTTTGCACGAGAAGCTCAGAGACTCATTAAAGAAATCCGCAGCAGGGGCAAGCTGCCGATTGTGGTTGGAGGCACTCACTACTACGTGCACGCCTTGCTTTTCGAGGGTTATCTCCTTGAGTCAAATGCGGTCGAGCCAGCAGAAATCCGATTTCGTTCCCAGCATGAAAACTGGTCTCAGTTTCCTATTCTCAACAAGCCTACCCATGTCATGCATGAAAAGCTGCGCGAGGTTGACCCCGTGATGGCCGAGCGCTGGCACCCCGATGACCGGCGCAAGATAAAAAGGTCGCTAGAGATATACCTCACAACGGGCAAGCGAGCATCGGATATATATGCCGAGCAGCAGAAAGCGAAACTAGCTACTAGCGATGCGAGAGGCCCTTGGGAAACACTGGTGTTTTGGACATACTCGGAGACCGACACGCTGAGAGAGCGGCTCAGCAAGCGCGTGGAAAAGATGGTCCAAAATGGCCTTATGGATGAAGTGAAGACCATGCATCGTCGTCTTCACGAGTGCGCTGAGAAGGGGGAGGTTGTTGACCGAATGCGTGGCATCTGGCAATCGATTGGCTTTAGGCAGATGGAAGCTTTTCTTAATGGCGAACTCGATAATGACGCTCCAGAGATTCTGCAGAAGAAGAAAGAGACTGGGTTGGAAGAAATCAATGTCGCCACGAGACAGTATGCAAGATATCAGTTGCGGTGGATCCGCCGCGAAACGTTGAAGGCGCTCAAAGAACACGATGCGATGGGCTCGCTTTACTTACTAGATAGCACGGATGTAAACAATTTCTCTACAAACGTACTGGATCCGGCGGCCGATATATGCCGACGGTATCTTGCGAACGAAGAACGGCCGCAGCCGGTGGAGATATCCGATACAGCGCGTGAAGTGCTGACGGCGTTTGAAAATGAGAGCCGAGCCGGTCAAACCATCTTCAAGGTCAAGAAATGCGACCTGTGCGACATGAGTATGGTGGGTGAAGACGAGTGGATCAAACATGTTAAGGGAAAGAAACATCGACGTGTCCTGAGGATGCAGAAACGGCTTGCTTTGGTGCCTGTGGAAGTTGAAGCGCAGCCTGTTGAGGAGACTTGCGATGTAGATGCTGAGGTGTACGAAGTTGAGCGACCGTCCACGGGATCCTAGTATGATGTGGATAGTTACTCACTGTACAACACGCCAACTATCACGAGGACAAGTAGCCATCAAGGGACTGTTCGCCCTTTCAGAATCACAAGAGCACCAACCCTTGGATATTGGCGACTTCCCTTCTCAATTCTCCATAAGGCTCAAGTCATCCTTTCATTGGCAGCTGAACGTGACAGACTCGCCTCATCAGAAACACACGATGAGCGGAAGGGATCCTTGCCCATTATACCACAACTCCTGACAATGACGTTGATGTTTGCACCAGCAAATACCGTTTGACTAGTATACCTCACCCTTCCTCATGAGTATCTATTTCCAGAGGTCATATGAGGAGCTCGCTCTTTCAGCTACACAAACATGTTCTCAAATGGTAGTGCCAGGCTGATAAGCGCTATATACTGAGCCCTTTTTCTCACTCAAAAACTCAGCAGTCACCCCCATTTGCATCATCGACCTTTGTGTTCAGTCTCGATGATTTAGTAACAGAAAACAAGACTTCCAACCCACGCAGTAACTTCTCAAACCTAGCCACAATGTGCACAACAGCGGAGAACTCCGATTTCGCGGCCGCCAACCTAGAATACGTGATGGTCGTGTATCACTACCTCCGAGAGGCATTTCCAGGTCTCGACGTGGACATACACCCGCAAGCCCAACAACTGTCCTTCATCGGCAAAGAGGAGCACGAAATCGCCCTAAAGGGAATGACCGAGGAGGCCAAGGCGACACTGAACTCTCAGAGGAACGATAACGAAGCTTTCATTAAAGATCTGGCCAAGCTCTTCAACACGCTCGTATACATCGAATCAGTCGAGGACATCGGCAGAATGGGCACGTATATGAACGAGGCTCGCCATCAACTCCGGCTAGCCAGAAAGCAGCAGCAAGAGAACTTCCGGATCCGCGCGAAGATGATGGAGATCTTGCAGGGGGACGCCGAGGGCGAGATGGTTGTGCACGTGGGCCCGCGCTGGCCCGAGTTTAGAGACGCTGCGAAAAAGGACATCAAGGAGCTCTGCGAGAAATACGACTATTGGCTTAAGAGACTCGATGTTATGATGGATACTGTTAAACGGGAGCATGCTGAGTTGCTTAAGCGCGTGGAGGAGATGAAGGAATATTAGAGCTGGGGTGCTAGGAATGGCACATCTGGGGAATGGATATGGGAAGGGGGTAATTGCCGCTGGGATTTAATACTCTTTCTTTCTCTGACGAAAGTTTCCGTTTGTGCATCTACTTTCCGAATCTGTTGGTTCTGCGAGGTTAGTTGTTTTCATAATAATGTCCTGTTTTGTTCCCTGGTCCGAGCCGACGGCATGCGCGATGGAGTCTTGCAGGAATCGATCGCTGTTCTTTCATATATTTGGACATACTGGGGTAATATAGCTACTATGAGTGCTGGTATAAGTGAAATTAGCTATTCGAATTTTATTTCGTTGATTTTTGGGCTATAGCTACACCTATCTTTGCGTATCCCCCTCCTCGGAGATGTCGGCTTCCCTAGAGGATTATCCATGTACCAGGCTCAAATCGTCATCTCCCCAGGCCTTACGGACGTTAGGTTTTTTGGTAGTTGCATGTGAAGATGGGAGGAGATCCGATAATATCACAAGACTAATAAGAGAATCCAAGACTCAGTTCCGAATACCATACTAACAGGTTCTCTTGTTGCCACGGTTTGAGGGGTAGAATGGCGGCGGACAACCGAAGTAGCCCTGGCAATGCCACACAAGGGAAAAAGGATGCTACAGAAGAGAAATTACTTCGGGTATTACTGACAGCTATAAAGAGAGAAACACTAGAAATATAATCTTGCTAGGAACAATATTCCAACAATCAACCTAATTCGTTTGTTTTCGTTTTCAAAAGAACATGCGACCCTCGGGAATTATTAATCATGTCTAACCCCCTGGCCGAGAATAGTTTACAAAAACGACCCCTTGCTAAATTCACATGTAAACTTGTGCAGTTAAAAGGTACTAGATGGCCGTAAATGCTGTGAGTGGTTGGTGGCAATACCTGAGCTGGGACCAGCTGGCAGACCTAACCCACCACTGGCCTGGGTCTCGGTACTGGAACGGTCAACTTGTTCTTCAGGGCTCGTTGCATTATTCTCGTGCGTCGTTTCAGCGAGGACTTGTTCGGGGTTCAACGAATTGCTGTCGGCATCATCATCGCTACTCCCGACTTCTGTCGTGGTAAGTACAGGGACCGGCTGCTTCTCTCTCATGCCATAGAAGACGGGATGCTCTGGGTCGGAGATATCGAGTGGGGGTAGTTGTACCCCTGGGTCGGTCGTAGGGACCTCCTCGGCACATCCGTGCCAGGTACTATCGCCATTCGGCTCGTGCGCAAGGCGATGTAATTGAAGTTGCTCGTTCGTCACCCATTCTAGATGGGCGTATTGGTGATACTTCCGGCGCCTGTGGAGGCATTGGAATATCGACTCAAGAGAATAGGAGATAGCCGCTATGACGGCGCCGGTTATGTATGTGAAGTATAGCCCGAAGACGTTGAAAGAAGTGTAAGATGTAGTCCGTATCTTCTGCAAAAATGCATGAGCTAGACAATCTCAGCTCGTTAGTTGTATGGGTTCTTACCTGACGGTGACACATCTTCTCCTCTTCTTCATTCCGTGGCTTTAGGCGAAGGTGGTCCAGCTGAGGGTCCGTATTGCTAGACGCAGTTTCGACAAAAGCTGATTGGAACTGCGAAAGCATGACGCTGAACCAGTAAGTTACGTCTTCTTGCCATTGGTTCTTGGAGATGGGCCATTGAATGCCGCTGAGGAAGCGATCACTCGAGGCTAATGCCCTGGGCCCGAGAATAGCAAACAACGTCTCAATATCTGGTGATATCGACAATAACGTTTGCATCGGCCATAGCAGGCGAGTTCCGACAGCGGTTGAGGATATCGGTCGCTCTGCTTCGAGGTCCTGGATTGTTAAGTTAAAGAAAGGCGCCGCGCCGTTAAGCGCATTTGCTATGCTGGATAACGGTCCGCAGTCTTCGCCTTCCGGGAGGGCTAAGTTACACCACTGCCACTGCTCTACGCAGCCCATTGGGGATGCTGGCTCGTTTGGACGATAAGCGGGAGCGCTCCCGGGGACATCAGGGTTTCCCAGCGTCCCGTCCGTTTCTGTTGCCCTATACCACTCATCGTCCGTGGGTTCGAAGAGTACGACCCCGTTGCCTACTAAGAAGATGACAATAATATCTCCGTCAGATCGTAAGAGCTCAGGTATTGGTTGCAGCCGCGAGCCTCCAGCCGGCTTTCCACCTAAGTCCTTATACGTCTTTCCACTGGCCGCAAGAGAACTTGTCAGTTCATTGATAATGCCACCAAGCGTTATTGTCATAGGTTACTCACATAATAGTGTACTGCTTACTTTCTTGATTCTTTCCTTTGTCTTTGGGATATTGCTCATTGATATCACCAACCGAAAACGTGACTGGGTCTTCAGTAGGGCTTCCATATTGGCCATACGAAGTGGCGCCGTAATGGTATCTCACCTCAGTTTTGTTGCCGATCGTAACTTTCGAGGTGTAGCCATCTGTTCTGAGGGGAGCACACTGAAGAACATATCTCCAGGCAAATCTTTCGCTCTTGGGAGCATCTAGGCCGATCAAATGGTGGCTATTGATGTATCCAGTGTCAAGTCGTATGTTTTCTGTGGTCCGACACATCTTCTCATCGAATGGGCACGGGGCAGACGTATCGGTCATATTCGTTGGTATCTTGTTCACAACGTACTTCTGGCACTCAGGCTTTCCAGCACTTGCTTCTGTATAGCAGTTTTGGGCATATTGTATCGCATCGTTCAATAGTTTCGATCCATGGGCTGTCCAAATGGCTAAATCAGTGACACTGGTCGTAGAAGGGCCGACGATACCACAATTGGTACTTTTTGTCAAGACCTCGTCTCGCACAGACGAAGAAATACTTGAAGAGAACCCTCCCGCAATGCTAAAGCCTACTAATACCAGTATAGCTAGTAGAATTGGTGTGAGTTGCCGAAGAAGCCTGCCTTTGAGTGAGGATTTATACGCATTGGAAAGACGTATCAAAGACAACAGGCCAGATTCTGGGGACGAAGAATTGCGTAGGATAACTTGTTGTTGATGATGGACAGCATCAGATGGGTTCGAGGTTGAATAAGACCGATGTAGAATCAGGCAAACTATCTTCCACACACGGGTGGCGATAAAGGAGATAAAGAAGGCCGTGAAGGCGATCAGGAGATTCCCGCGTTCCCTAGTTGTTGTGAAGGTAAGCCCTAGCACTGACCCACGGGACCAGTTAGTCCACAACCCCAGGTAGGCAACTTGATCCATGTTAGATATCGCAAATGAAATAATGTTAGGTGACTTCCGTATGAATTAGAATTGGGACATCACCGTCTCGAACAGCTTTTCACTCTCTACAAGAGTCTATTGAAAATGGACAAGCGGCAAGGACAGGATTTGGTCAAGGCGGTAATGGAAAGGGGGTTTAAACTAAATGTCCTTACTGCTGGATATATGCGACTATATAGACACCAGCACGAAATATCGTGGTAACAAGGTAGGATTTAAGTATAGTGTTATTTTAATAGGCCCCTATTTTCTAAGAGACAATATCGATACTATCATAAGACCATGGTTGGCTACCAACTGACACCCTATCAACCTCCAAGCGATATGGGTCTAGATAGGATCGTGCATATATGACAATTGTTAGAATGGGAAAGCGGTGCCTGGATACCGATTCATTAAAATGCCAGCCGAGGAACAGTCTAGATTATTGATCCCCAGTTACCCTCGGGCTGCCAGCGTAGTGTATCATTACAATGGTAGTCATACACCGTGATATGACTAGGATTCTATATCTTGTGATGATTACTCTGCCTCTCAGTTCAGCATATTTGAAACGCATTAATGGCAGTTATGTTGCACTCAGGTGGAGATATAGTTACCGTTAGACTTTGTATGTCTAACGGCGTCGTTTTTGACAAGTGCGACAATTTGCAACTAGTAAAGGCGATGAGTTGTGGAGAAGCCTACGGATCTCGCATTGGGGTTCCAGGGATGCCGAATGGCTGCACGGACACTTGGCACCTCGCGACTTTCAGTAGGCCAAGATGCATTTCTGAGGGCTGAAGATGGCATGCACCATGAATCGCCAATAAAGGAACATAAATGGGGCTGAAATGAATCCTCCATGCTTTTATGTCGTATTGCATGCACCAGCGACATTGGCTTGCGACTCGTTTATTTGAGAAAAAAAAAGAAGACTCTATTTCTAAAGCTAATCATGACATCCACAAGCCAAGCGCCTTTAGAGTGCACTGAATTGCTAGGTGGGTTGGCATGAGCTGATGGTTTTTCCAGGGCCCCAAATCACCACTGCTTAAGCGAAGTGGTCGACTGTAGTAATATAGTTCTCAATCATCCCGAGAACTAAAGATAGAGTATATTTATATTCAGTAGTAGTATAACATAACCACTATCAGAGAAACCGACAGTTGAACAGAAAGACCTGAACTCGATGAAAAGCAACCAGTTAGCTATCATGAATTACATCAAGGGATGTAGTTATACGGCGAAACTTCAATTGTTCTGCAATGTCTCCAAGATCAGACGTGATGGTATTCAACTCCCTTCTGACAAAACGCCTAACACACACCAACTTCTCCATCGCTGATATATATAGGAATACAGGCACACATCCGACCTCAGTACTAGGCACTACTACGTTAACACCGCACAAAATGCGACTTACTGGGTTCACCGCTAGCGGGTGACACCGAGCCCCCAAATGAAGTTCCGGGGGCGTCACCGTAAGCGGAGATTATTAGCCAATCCCCGCAGTCGCAGCAACGACAAGTGCATAACTACTGCATTCTTCGAAATCTCAGAGTATACATCCTTGAATTTTTGCACTCCAAGTCGGCGCGTTGGACAGCACAATCAAGTGTCTGAGAAGGATTAGCCAAGGCAGCTGCGCGCACACACTGCAACGTTGAGAGATATCAGCTCTGGTGCTTGTGGCCGAATGATACAACAAGACTTTCGTAAAGCCTTCAGCTCGTGTTTAATAATAAGTGTCAGAGTAGCATAACCAATGTTATCGGAATATATCACTCAAGAAACCCAGCATGTCGTCTTCGCGGATAGTCAAATACATGAAAGGCGTGGGCAATGTTTCAGTGCATTCGAAGATATCTCCCCGCCAAGCTGTTTAAAGTAGGAAGGTTGTATTCATCGTACATAAGTCCGCATTAGCCCTCTGCGTTCGGGGAGAAGTCTAACCGCGTGGTATGATCTCGAAGTAATCAAGAACGACGATGTATCACGAAGATTATGTCCCCCTATAGTTAGAAGAGCAGTGAAGATTGGATCGGGTTACTTTTCTACATAGATCGATTGCCATAACTGCTACCTGGTCGTTATCTGCCCCCACCTCTATCCGGAGATCAAACTATCTGTTTATAGAGATCGTGTAGCACTATTAGGATACAGCGGGCGTTCTGTGGTGGATGGTGTATTCAGGCACCTCAGATATTTGCGGTGTATAGGGTGGAAGATGATAAGGGAATACCGATATTGGTTGGTGGGCACGAGATTGATAATATCATATTTCTTGTGCGCTCTATCATTCGTAGGCAGGGAATGAGACGTCATCTTCCTTAGCCTAGCCATCTACACCAGACTTCTCCGATTCTCGCAAAGCAACTAGAACTCGGTAAAAAGCCACGGTCTGTAAGCGCCCTGGTGATGTCATCGGATGTAACATGAATACAAATCGCCGAGGTGGAGGTGACTCACTCAGCTGTTTCACTAGTCGCACACACTGTCCCTGATTGTCCCGGAAAGACGCAATGAATTCTCGGTATTAGGTAAACCTATAGGCAGTATAGATCATATCTCCCTAGAATTCAGATATTGAATACACGATCGCCCGGAGACTATCTGGTACAGCATGTTGAATTATCGCATGATAGTCGAAAAACACGGATACGAAGATACGGGAGACTAATAGGGTTTCACAAAAACCTATCACATATGATTGTATTTCTTGTGCACATGTACCATCCCACAATGCCGAGAGTCATGAGACTCTGTTTGAAGTGTATTCATCACTATAATACCAAGTACTAGGACCATGTTTCTGCTGTATAATTACACCAAATATATCATGATGCATGAGTGAAATTGGACTGCCCGAAGTCACATGTCATCCATATCTCTACCTATGGATGTAGAAAGGTCTACGATTCCTGGAATCTCCTGACTTCATCGGCTATACCAAGGGGTTGAACTCAACTCTCTATTGCATCACAGTATTAATTGGGCGCACTTACCTCCAAAACTTGTAATTAGAGAGGCTGCACTGGAAAGCCTTTCCATTGAACAGTGTAGGCAGTCTGGGTCTCTAATTCACAACAGTATAGAAATTCCTAACATCTGAGATCTAATTACATCAGCAACAGCTTGTGACATCTTAGCCCGACACATCTAGCAGACAGCCAAATACATTTATAGATGAAGCGTTGGGATCTCATCTGCTACGCACGTAGCCGCATAACATTTACAATGACTTTCTTTTTTTTTTTTTTTTCACTCTTATAGCTAATGCCCTGTATCTATGGCCGATGTGGTTGTTTTGGACGTAAGTATATAGTTATTGAAATTATCAAATTATTCCATCAGACGTTGGGATTGGTTGAGATAGGGGCTTGTGGTTTAGTGGTATAATACTCCCTTAGCATGATTCTTAGGAATTTGATTGGGAGTGGTCCGGGGTTCGATTCCCCGCGAGTCCAGCATTGGTGGTTAGATTCCACCTATACCCAAAATCTTTTTTGTTCACCTCTTTCGCTGTCTTTTAAATCTCGCATACAGTAATGTCATTGTTCTTAATAGTAATGTTAAGTCACACTATTCAAGGTTATGAATATCACCATAGTCGTGCTCCAATGACACTAAGTTAAGCTAACACTGATATGTCCTTAATTCTTTGAGTTACGTGTGCTTTTAGTGTGCAATGAGCTTAGAGCGAGTTAGACTAGTGGTGGTGATACGTTGCTGGTTATTTATGTGTCAGCATACATCACAAAGGTCATGCACAAGCAAACTGAAGAATTGAGAGAGGCTGACCACATTACTGCTTATTTTCATTCAATACCTAAGTTAGCTAAGGCTTGCGTTGGCTTACATATTGGTCCTAGTCGACCAGGTCTCGGACTATTGCGGAAAATCCCAATCTGCTAAGTAGGTAAACGCACGATTTCGTTCGTCTTGTGAGGATTACAAGACGATTGAGCAAATAGTTTAGTACGACAAACTTTCTCTGGGATCCTCGCCTTTCCAACACTTTCGCCACTGTCGCTCCAGAACCTCCATTCCCCTGGTGGACTCTAGCGTCGCTGCGTCCCAGAAGACAAAACCCCAACGCCGCATTTCATCTGGAATATACCGGCCATACAAGTTGCTGTAAGTATTCTTCCATATCCTAATCCATGCAAGCGGTGGCCCGTCGGGCTCAGCATCTCCTCGAAAGAGGAACTGGACTTTAGCTTTTTGCATCCGGTCTCGGTCGGAGGGGTTTCTGCGGCGCCGTAATTCTTGATCCGTCCAGCCAAAATAACCTTCATATGCATTTAACGGAATGTATGACCTAGTTATGTGCTCTTGCATTATAGAGACGAGATGTGAGTGATCCTTGAGCCTGAAAAGAACCGTGTGTAATAGACGAAGACCGCGTAGCGTTGTCCCTTCTAGCAAATTATCAAAGTCCACTGTTTGAATATTCAATCAGCTTGAAGAGCAGCCTTAAGCTGTAGTTGAATGAGATGCTGAACTTACTTGGATTATCCATATCAAAGGCTCCACTTGGAGTAGGAGGTCGGGTTTGGTCTGCAAAACTGGGGTTATCCGGATGCAGGTCCCAGCGAATGTCATTGAAAATCATGTAGTAATGAGCATGCGCAAACTGGTAAAACGAGAAAAGCTCCTCAGCCTCCCATGGCTCGAATGTGTCAAGAACAACCTCTACATAATCCTCCGGATGTCCACTGACAAGCCGATTGGCAGCATTCACTTGGCCGAGTATCTGAAGGCGATATATAGCTCTCGTCAATCGCAGCATCTCTGTTCGAGATAATGTGATTCCTGGTCTGTTAATGGAAATGTCTTCCCCTGCTTCTTCAGCGAGGTTTTCAAGCATCCACCAACCAAAGTAGTCTATGAGAGGCCTGACATATCGAACATAAAAGCGAGCCATGCTTATAGCTTCGTCTTCAGTCAGTTTGGCGGTAAGTGTATGCGGTAGACAGCGTTGAAACGTAATTTCCGAATACGATTTCACGAACTCGGTCAGCTTTTGTTTCATAATATTCTCTGCCTGAAAGCTGCGGCAGTTGGCAGAGAATATATCGGTGGACACGCTCCCTAAGCTTGCCTGGGTTACAAAGAAGTGGGTGAAAAAGGCATCAACGACTGCGCTACCTAGGGTCGTCTCGAGGCTACTACAGAGGAGGAATTTGCGGTCGGAAAGATACTGCTGGTAAAAGATGGGCGAGGCCTGTATGATAGCCATCATTGGTATGATATCCAAGGTAGAGAGAAGGTAGCGCCGAAGTTCGGGCGGAAGGCCTTCAAGCCTACAATGTCGAGTGTAGTTTTCTGCTCTCTGGTCGGGAGTTGGCCCAGATTCAATCTCGTAACTCAACCATAGTTCGCGCTTGGTAGTCGAGTGCACAGTGACGGGATTTGACACTCGTAGGGGTTTGAAAAGCCCCGCAAACCACTGCCAACATGCGATGACACGCTTCATCTTGAAGCTGAGGTAATAACTCAAGGATGAACATATTACAATTTGCTGTCGATATAATAGTGTCCTAGGTGTAATAATATGGAACGTACTTTAGAGGGGGAGTGTGCCGCTCTAAGCAAACGCCAAGGGAGGATGATTCTTTTCGTCTGCAAAGTGAAGTAGCACTCAATAAGCAATCACGGATACTGGTGAACGACAGTCCCGGGACCCGACGCGTTGAATGGTGGCGTTTGATGATGGGATCACAAGGGGGAAGACCTGTGCAACTCCGGGCAAGGGAGTTGAATGAATGAAGTGAAGTGGTCTTGGGGTTGGGGTGGTGATCTAACTGGCGATATGTAGGTACCTAAGTACATAAAAATTATGTATTGGTACATACCTTAAGTAGACTTAATGTATTTGATCTAACTTATCAGGGAAATATCTAGGGCGGGAACTGCCATATTAGGCAATTACTCTTCTAGGAACTCTAGCGCAAATCGGCCTCGCAGATCAAATCAGTTGGTGGTTATTACTGCGTATAAAGCGCTGTCTCGTGTCAACATCTATCTAATCGGTACCTAAGGTACCGGTACTGTCACACGCGCTGAACGGGTCTCGGCCGTATAATCATCAGAAACAGGACATACCGGTCGTACTGAAGTGAGGCCATTCAGTCCTTGCTTGTATGGATGATTATGTTGACGGACCTTGGCAACCATAGCACATGATTGTGAATTGCCTCAACAATTGTTATCTACCCACGCGTCCAGCCGCCCATGCAATTCGACTATGGCTTCGGGTGACCTTCGAGAGACGTGAAGGCAATATTTAGGACGAAGTTCTACAAACTTCGCTTCATGAAACTGATCAATGAGATCTAAACGATCTATCACGGAACAGAATAGGAATGCAGTACTAATCTACTACGTCATCTACAAAATATAGAAATGATGTTATCAGGTCGAGACCCTACGCGCCTACACTCGACGAAGTATATGATACTGTGACACGGTCAAGACTAGCAGTTAAATTGTATATCGAGCCATATTAAGCTACTCAGGCTAAGAAGGAATTGATTGGCCCAACGACTTTTGCAGCTTTAGCAGATCATGATATTGTGCATACCGGTAGCATCAATTAGAAGCCCTGTACCTGCCCTTGCTATGACAATAGCCTCGCCAGAAGCCTCTGTTATAGATACTTACCTACTTCAGTAAGTAGGTAGTCAACGCTTATTGTCACGGAACTAATGAAGCCTAATTTCCTGTATACAGCACAGACAAGGAACATTGTATATAAAGCTAAATAAGGGAATAAGAGGCGAAAACCAGAACCTCCCTCCTTGTGCAATAACAGAACCTTTACTCGTAATCACAGCTGGGTAGTACTGTGACACTTATGCAAGGCTGGTGACCTCTATTACTACTGTACATGGGGACGAGCAGGGAGCAACCCAACGGGTCATGACCATAGGGACGCATGCAGTTGATGGTACATAACAAGGGCAGTAGATACTGGGCTTGGAACGGAGAATTCAGATTACAATGATCAACTAGGGCTGCATAAGTCCTTGACCAACCAACTCCTTCTCGGCTGTTGATGACTTGACTTGACTCTATATACAATTGGTCTGCCAGCCTAGACCGCCTAGGTCTCTGGGGTTTGTTTCAAGAAGCGAAGTCTGGTATAACCTCACTTTCCAATATTGCCCAATTATGCCTGCATGTCTTGAAAGATCATGAACAGCCTGCAAAGGTCCTTCGTACGGCCGAAGTGCAAGGCGAACTGCATATTCAGCTAGCACAGAGGTTGCACGTGTAACATCTAGAAGAGTAGGAAGTTGGCCAAAGACTTACACGATTGATCAAATGTATCCTAACTGATGATATCGTAACACAACACCCGGTGTCGTAAGGAGGTTTGCTATACAGTTATCTCCCTTCACTACATTTCGCCAAAGGCTCAACTAACCTACAATAACAGGAGATGTATTTTCTTATACTTATATATCTGGAGATCTATCTACTTTCCCCCCCAGTGATTATATTCATAGCGCCAACTTGACCGTCTTCACGTTGTCGTATTCACAATGTCCTACAGCAACACTACACAGAATCCTCAACCTACAGGTGGCAGTGATGAATCCGATCTATCCTCTCGTATTTCAAACGTCTCAATATCATCTGCACAGTCAGCTGTGCAAATCATCAAAGAATCTCCATTCATTGAACGCTTAATGAACATGATCAGCAGAGATATTGATGAGCTCGATAACACAGCAACCGATCTCAGGAATTGGCGCAAGCAATTAGATCCAAATACATATAAACCAGTAGTTTGGACACATGAGATGACCTGCGCGTATCAACAGTACAAAGATCTTGTCGGCAAAATTGGAAGAAGCCACCAGGAATTCCTACGTTGTGAGAGAAGAACGAAGGAAGAAAAAAACGCCACACCAGGACAGCATATCCTTTGCGCAAAGCTGGCTCTTCAATGGGGCTGCGATGCTTTAACGTATGCTTGCTTGCTGCTAACACTTTTGGCTGAATCACTACGTTGAAAAAAACTGATGATAATTCTTCCTTTTTCTAGGGCGGCAGATGCACGACTTGAGTTCTTGAAAATATACCGGAATGCCTATAAGCTGGACAGTATCGATAATCATATTGAGACAGCACAGGATGTTATAACTAGTGGCAAGAAGGCTCTATATAACGCAAAAAAATGTTATGACAGTGCGTATAATCATTTCAGTTAACTCTTCTACACTTGATTTTCCTATACTTAACTCTCCTTTGTTTATATGTCCCATATGAATTCCTACAAGAGCTAATAGAGCTTGAAAACAGAGGCCCAGCCCTCAGCTGGCGCTTCTGCGGATCCCTCAGAATCTCAACAGAGTTAGTCTAGGTGTCACAGGGAACAGACAGAGAGGGTACTCCATATATAGCATGAGCAGTAGGAAGAAAAGTTATGTGTAGGCTTGCACAGCAACAAGAGTGATCTGCCAGGCCACATATCTACTCATTTCTACGCCTGCCATACTATCTCATACAGTTTTACTAAAGAGAATGTGGCTTTAGAGTCAAGCTAGAGGTGTCCGCATTACCATATACTTTCGTGATGACTCCGTAAAAAGGGGCTGAGCCAATTAGTCCCTCTTTAGAAAGAGCCATAGGGTTTATACCCCCCAAGACATGTACATGGATTATTCGTGGCATCATTACCGTCATACATCGTTGCGAAACCCCAGGTACTGCTTAAACAGAGTATCCGGCAGCTACGATATCAGCTTGAACCATTTGATCGACCTCGTCGGACGGGAAGCCATCCGTTATTACGCCCTCGTAGAACGTGCCCTCAGCCCAGTTGCTGTTGTCACCGCCGATTCCGAGAATAATGGCGCCCTCTTGCTCCAGCGGCTCGTAACCGTTGGGCCTCACTCCAGCCCACCCTGTAGACAAGTCGCCAGATGTGGCATCACCAACGAGAATCTCCCAGTAATTCGGCATCCCCTTAACGACGCCGGTAACAAAGCGAGAGTTCGCAGTTGGGTTACTAGAGACTTCACCCGGATCCGCGCCAGCGAAGACGCCATTCTCCAAGTCAGCCATGACCCATGGGCCATCACCGCTACCGTGCCCACCGGTGGTTCCAAGACCAAAGTATAGGGCCTGCATGTGGCCATTGCCGTTATCGAGGTCGTTCGTCTCGGCGTTCCCGTAGTCAAAACAACATTCTCCATTGTAGCGACTTCCGTCAAGCACAGCGTAGATTCCCTGTGCAGCGTTGCCTGTCGGAATATTCGTCGTCTCATCGTTCCGGTACCCGATTCCTGGCGAGACGTAAACTCCGTACACCGTCGAACCGCCAAGCGTTACCTTGGCAGCCGTGGCATCGGCCAGAGCGTCGTATCCGTCCTGTTCCGGACCTTCGGCCGCTCCACCTGGCGGGGCCCGTGTCAGGTCGTTGCCGTTGCCAGACTGATCATAGATCTGAATGCCTAGACGTTAGCTCCTGCTACCAAGATTTCTACCCAAAGCGCCCTTGACAACGTCCGGTGAGTTGAGAAGACAGACAATGGACTACCGCAAGCCCGACGGTATCTCATTTGCACTTACTATGGTGAGGATTAGCAAATGTAGGTATCATGAAAGCAGTGATAAAGTCTATGTTTCAGGGACAGATGAACATACCAGCAGAGATCCAACAGCCTGTATCGATACAGAACTCGTCTTGAGCTGCGCTGTCCGCCACGCCACCAGCGGACACGGGCAAGATATCCTTATAGGTGCCGTCTACACGCTGAACCGTGTAAAGCGGCGAGTTATAATTGAAGAACAGAGCGCGCGTGGTGCTATGGGCAGCCACACAAGGCGTACCGTTTGACCCGTAGATATCGCAAGGTCCTGCTGCGGCAAGCGGCAACAGGGCGGCCACAATGCCAGGTGCAAGGTTTCTTGAGATGGGCATTGTGGCAGGCTCTAATTTTCCGATTCCTTTTCAATAGGAGGATGAAGGGTTGTTAGTGACTTGAAAACACACTCTTATCAAGCTGCTCTGGCCAGTTCGGTCAGTGTCTTTAATATCCCTTATCCCTTCCTCTCCCGGGCCTCTGTTCTGTCAGCAAACGTCTGTTTTCCAGTTTGATAGCAATGACGTACACCACGATCATCACTCGAGCCAGTTCAATTGGCCAGCGTGATCTTGCTCAACACTCACGGCTTCTGCCGCGCCAATCACGGCGACAATATCATTCGGGCCGGAAACATGAGGAACTTCAAGCTTCGCAAACTGGGCGAACAGTCTCGACAACGCCGATCTTTTTTTAGTACCCAAGCTATCCACAAGGCGCTCCAGGATATGTATCGGCAAGTTAAAAGATCCTTGTGTTGGGAGCAACGAGTGTATTTAGGCCAGTTTAGCGGTTTTTACAAGTCTAGCGATATGTTGGTAAAGCTTGAAAGAAGTGAGTACTGATATCAACACTGCCTGAGCAACTACTTATCACTTCATACTGTTTATAAGTGAGGTGAATGAGAAGATTTTGAACAAAAGCACGCGTCATGTATGCCTCGAAAGCGTGTTGTAGAGAGGAGGGTAACATGGTGGGGTCACTTCAAGTCTATAGATCAACCACTTAAGCTTTTGATCTTCGTCACAACAATATTCCCTCCTTCCTATTACAGATAAATGCACTTTTCCTCCCCCGCGTTTTCCATTGGCAATAGCAGATATAAATCAGGCTTTAGATCTAGTTCTGAGGAAGCTCTTCCTGTTCCTATACTTGGAGTCTTTTTAGGTGTGCAGATCAAAAGCGGGATTCTGGGGTTGAAAAAGCCACAATCCCGAGCACGCTGTGTAGTTAGTCTAACCCCGGAAAATCCACTTCTCACGCTATGGACACATGCGCTCATTACTGGTAATCCCGACAGATCCGACGTGTGATGAGTGATATTGACGGTTAATTATCTCTGGCCGAATGATGTCATAATCCATCCCTACTGCTAGCTACCAACTAAACTAATGTCTCGAAGACTACATATCTTATTTACCACAGCTTCATGGCGACATTCCTGACAATTAACTCTTCTTAAGACTTTGTTGCTCGCGGCCGCAGCCGGTGCTGAATTCCTGCATGTGACTACATGAATTGAAATGCCTGGCACTCTGACACAAAGTGGGTAAAGCATCCTGTTAGCCTCCATGCACCACTGTTGATCTTTGGGCGATCAACTAGTACTTTATTGTCTCTACTCCAGACATAGCAAAATTTCCTATACTCGGAACCGAAGTTAATGAGTTCGCGTGAGTTGCGGAAATTGGCATCTTCAAGGTTACTATATCAGAAATTGACAATATAGCTCAATTTCAACATGCTACTGAAATCACCAGTGTCTGCACCTGGGAAAAGGCTTAAGAATTTATGTCTTCTCATTCATCGTGGAATCAGCTGATATCACGCTGCTGAAAAGCTATGCGCTCAACGTCCTCGAATATTATATACACATGAATGAACATGCAGATCGCTTAAGAATATGATCGCATGCCTTGCATAGTCCCCGAATAAGATACACCAAAACCAAGCCTATTTGAACTTCGTTCTTACGAGGTTTTGAGGGGTATATATCTTCTAATAAAGACACTCTCGGGCTTTGAAGACCAGTAACAGCCAGCAAAATCCATAGCAATTGAACATAGTATCAAAGCCAGCTACCAAAACCAAGAATGAATCTGGGGGCCAGGGACCTTTGCTACCCTACTAGATTATTAGGTCCGGAATATCTCCAACTCCGAGCTCAGAGCCTAGCCCCTAATATACCGAGTTTGACCTTATATTGGGGTAGCTTCACACACTCTCCACAATCATTGGTCCTGGTATCTGGAAGTGTTGATTAATGAATAACTTCGAAGAAGTAAACAGTATGGTATCACTATTCATCATTAATATATAAAGTTCATGAGCCATGTAATCTCGGTTCAGTGAAAGTTTCCCAGGTAATGAGATTTGCCAATTCGCGCTCCAATGTCTTTCTTACTTCCTAATAATTAGCCATGCGAATTCCCCATGAATGAGGCCATGTAGGATCATACGAATCACGAAAAAAGTTGAAACCCCTGACGATGGCGGGTATGTGGGATATATTGGAGCTACCTCATTAGGCTTATATTCAACCCGAGTTTGATGGCGAGGATGGAAAAGGGCAAAAGGACTGAAATTATGTAACCATTGATAATACTCTCGCTCCTGGCTTTGAGGCATCAAGTCTGACTAACCGTCGCACCATCCTTATATGCTGGATCGGATATAGGTCTTGGAAGGGTTGTATGGGGTATGCATCGGTCGTTGATAGGTGCATACGCGGGTTGACTTAGCCTCAAACTAGATTAGGATCATGTAGCATCATGAATGGGGACATGCTCAGTAGGGCAGGTCGCGACTACCACCATCTTGGGTATAGTTGGCGACTAAGTGGGTAACACCACCAGCATACTGTTGCTTGATGAATTGGTTGGGTTGATGGCTACATGTACATGTAATTGCTAGGCTCGCCATGCTTCTCAATGCATGTCCTTACTAAACCATTGGGGACAGCCTTGTTGAGTTGTGGTGGATTAAGTGGAGGAGGTGGGAGGCTTGGGTATTGTCTGAAGTCTTTAGGGCAGCAGGCTGCCTAGCTTCGGATATTGCTCACAACATTGAGACTCCCGAAGATGAACAGATTTCATGACTGTTTTAAACATTATCGAATCTGTCTAGTTATGACATAGTCCATGCCCTTTATTTGGGTTGAAATTCGAGATCCTTATCTAGATACATTTTTCGGCTGGAGTTATGCCCGTATTCAATATACTGATGTTCTGCTACACTACTTTCTTTGCCAGGCCTATTCTCCAACTTGGCGATCCACGTTGGCGTTGTCGATCTTTCCCTTCCGACGACTCTTGTTCAACCACACTCAGAGCCCCATTGTTGAGCTGCGTTAGGCCGGGCGCTAACAGAATGAGGAATGTTAACGTGTTTTATGGCAATTCTCCTCGAATTGGCTTAATCTTTACATGGCCTGAAATAGAAGGTACTGTACGGCGCATTATAGCGCGTACCAGACATATGAGCAGCAACCTGGAACGGAAGTTGTGAAAGTATCATAGTAGGCGGTCCTCCAAGATATGGGGTTACGTTGCAGTGGTTAAATAGGTTGGCTGTCCCAGCCAACCTCTGACAGGTGTATAAATCAAACACCAAGAAAACCTTGTTGCTTTGCCTTCCTAATTAGGTACTCTTGGCCTATCATCGGTTATGCCAGCGTGATAGTTGCTTGGTAGCTTGGCGCTGTTGACTTCCTGGCCGAGTGAAACGATCATGCAAGCTACTACCGGTTGCTTACAACGCACGTATTGCACAGGATTATTGACGACAGTCGGAGTATTGCAAGGTTCTTCGTTAATCGAGAAATGCATACTCACATGCAAGGATAATAAGTGTACCTAGTCTTGTATTTACGGGCCCTGATGGGGCAGAGGGTGGTTTACCGCGGTCACGTAAGACTAGGATCAAGTGTAAGTACCTCGAAGCGAATTCTCGAAAGATACTTCTTCGCAGGATCCATAAACGCTAGCGCGTAAAAAATACCTGACTAGGTACACTTAATCCAACATGGCAGAGTATGACCGTTAGTAGTGGCTGAGGCCCTTGTGAGATTGCCTGCTAGTGTCGGCTGTTGGCGACCTGAATCTTGCAGGCCGAAGGTGTCTATTGCCCGGTCACACGGACGAGAAGGCGACTGTAGACATGCCGAGTTCGAAGATATGGCGAATTGAACCTGATGCCTTGAACCGAACTGACATTCTGCTTAACTCAAAGAGGCGCGAAAACCGCGAGTTGTTAACCAAGCTGGGCCGGTGCGGAGTTACAGCAGCTTATCTATCAAACGCTACATGCCTTTTGAGGATTGCCCTGCTGATAGTATCATAACCTGCGATAACATCTACCGGCCGATGGGGGCGGATTAGGAAGGAGAAAGTTAGGGATGGCTGGTCTAATGGCACGGCTTTCTCTTGGACAGCGACAACATCAGCGTGATGCTAGTCGTGATGCTGGAGCCGGGATAAGTATAAATGAGTAGACATGTTCTCGTCCAACCTGGAAGTTTGAAGGAGAATCATCGACTCATCTGGCTTTCTAGCCTTCACAATATTCAAGCCCTCTTCTCCCGCATATTGTCTTTAGAACGCTAGACATGGAGCTCACCAAGTTCCTCGCCTTCCTGGCAGTCGTCCTGCCCGTTGCCTATGGTGCCCCTTCGCCAGTCGCAACCAGCCTCCATCCCGAGATCCTGGCCGCCATGAAGCGCGACTTGGGCCTGGACGCTAAGGAGGCCACTGCTCGTGTCAACCGGGAGCATTGGGCTGCTGATGTCATCGAGCAGCTCCGAAGCTCGACGGGTGATGCGTTCGCCGGCGCTTGGATCGCTGAGGATGGCCACACGCTTAATGTCGGTGTCACCAACGAAGCATTGGCTGCCGAGGTGACTGCCGCTGGCGCCACGCCGGCAATCATGGCTAACAGCCTCTCCAAGCTTGAAGAGGCTAAGCTGGCACTTGACAAGCAGGACATCAGCCAGGCCAAGACTCTTGAAGTGGGCTCTGCCGACGTGGGCATCGCGGCATATTACGTCGACGTCACCGCCAACAAGCTCGTCTTGGAGGCACTCCCCGGCAGCATCGCCCATGCTGAGGCAATGGCCGCGCAGGTTGGGCTCTCCGCATCTGAGTTCGAGGTGCGGGAAGTTGAGTCGATGCCAACCACTTTGGCCACAGTCCGTGGAGGCGACGCCTACTATATCAACAACAGCGCCCGATGCTCCATCGGCTTCGCGGTTACAACCGGATTCGTTTCAGCCGGCCACTGTGGCAGTGTAGGTAGCTCCGCCGCTACCAGCTCCGGTCAGTCGCTGGGAAGCTTCTCCGGTTCAGTCTTCCCAGGTAACGCCGACATGAGCTACATCCGCACTGTATCTGGAACCACTCTCACCGGCCAAATCAACGGCTACGGTTCGGGTAACCTGCCTGTCTCAGGCAGCACCGCGGCCGGCGTCGGATCCAGCATCTGCCGCTCCGGCTCCACCACCGGTGTCCACTGCGGTACCGTCCGTGCCCTAGGCGCAACGGTCTCCTACTCTCAAGGACGTGTCACTGGCCTCACACAAACCAACGTGTGCGCTGAGCCCGGTGACTCCGGTGGCTCATTCTACTCCGGTGCCCAGGCCCAAGGTGTTACCTCGGGAGGTTCTGGCGACTGCTCTCGTGGCGGCACAACCTACTTCCAGCCCGTCAACGAGATCCTACAGACCTACGGACTCTCACTGGTCCGGTCTTAATTGTCGCGTATTGGTTGGTCAGTTGTTTCGGCTGTCAGCATCACCTGAGCTGAGATCGATTTTCGAATTATCGGGTCTTCCTAGAGAGATCTTATTGGATACCGACTTGTCTTTTGAGTTAGGTTGTAGGCAGTAAAGGGTGATAGTGATAGTGGCACAAAACGTGGACCTGTACCTAAACATATGAACAATAAAAAAAGAGTTAAAGCGTATCCGCAATCTCGATATAGATGTGACTATCTCAAGTCCTAGTATGAAAGTGCTAACCACAAGTTGTGGCAGCACTTTAAACTCACATATTATCGCACGAGTGCGATGCGCAGTGCTGCACCACATGTTCTAGAAATGCCTGCTGAATGTAATTCTCAGGTGAAGGGAGAGAAAAGGGGTTAAGCAGATCTACTACCTAGGCTGTTTAGCGCCATTTTCACGCCACACACAGCGCCACGTATTTGAAAAATGTGAGTAGATTTAGAATCGGATCGTGCTGTATAACCTTGCTGCTCAGTCAGTATACTAAAATCCAAGTTGATGGCTGCATGGACGATAAGGTTCGATGATTCAATTCCACTTCCCAAAGTCGACGGTTACGTGACCAAATCCTCCATGTAGATCGCAAAGTCCATGTTCGGATCGTAAGACCTGGATCCAAGTCTTGAAGGCTTCTACCAGTATAGCAAAACTTCAACACTCTCACGCAAAAGATACTCGCCACGTCTGCGTTGTTGGTATATACCGCCAGAACGATTTTGTTCTGCTCTATTGCGAGGTGCATTAGTCCAGAGTAGCTAACTGACCAGGTACCCAATCCTTCTCAGCCATCGACCCGTAATGGCCGTTGTGAATAAGTCGCCGATGACGTCCAGATGCAGTGTAACCCTACCTAGGTAGAGAGAGCGCTAAGCATTTTCACATCTTAATTAGGGTGGGTGGCAGCCAGACAAGGGGTCTAAAGACGCATTAAGACAAGCGATGTTGCTTTGCATACCTATTCCTTCGCGATTTGGGGGTCAAGCAGCCCTCTGTGGGTTGCGTTATGTTTTGTCACGAAAGTCGTTCGATATGCCAGTGAAAGAAGAACCTTATATACCTACCGTAGGCTGCTCACTTAGTATTACGGTTGATAACTCGTAATGACTGCTTCAGACTCTTAACTTAAAATTACTAAACATCAAAGCAGATTTCTACACTTCCGTACTAATTTCGCGCATGAGGGCGTCTTATGAACTTGTAAATCAAACACCAACTATATTGGCTCCTATATCTGGTGCCAGTCGCCCTAGGCCAACTAAAGTGAACCTGGTATCGTAAGCACTTATCGATACTCAGTGAGACTTTGACCGACATGAACATTAAAATTTCAGACCGAAACCAATGGTCTCAACCTTATAGTGAATATCCTTCCCCATTATCTCCGGAAATCCCATTAGACAGTTAACCTAAGCTGCGCCACAACACATGAGTTATTTCAACCTAAGGCTGTTGAGTATACAATTGCTTCCGATCAAATGTGGCTCGGCTTCATCGTCTCCTGGGATATAAGACAGTGTACCAGGCGACGTCCCTTTGTCCCAATTCCTGCAAGGACCTAGATGCCTATTTTCATTCAGCTAGACCGTGTATAACAACCTTTGGTCTTGGGAAACTACTTCTCAGGGTATTTAGGCAGCAGCTTCGCCCCAGAACCATTACAAGACCTTCTCGTCGGACTACAGATTTTACAGCAGATGTTCAATTGGGGCAATGTATCTTGTGAGCGGATTGATAACATCTTTCCTACGACTCTAGCAGCCATCTCTTGGGTTTTCTTTGCTCCGGGCCTCTGGGTTCAGCATGGCCCAGATTAGCTGCCTGTGTGGAAGTCCTCAACGTCTCCACTATGCTTGACGTTTCCGTGAGAGAGGTCAATGTCACCAGCTCTGCGTCTGATCCTGCGACTGCGGGAAACAGTTCTGATGATCTCGCGGATATAGCAAGTCGCATTAGGGCCCAGCTCGGTGAAAGTTCCAGAAGAGTATAAGTCGTGAATACCTGAAATAGAAAAATATCGAGGGTAAGCTCTCTCATAGATATGGTTCGTGTAGAGATATCGTAAGAATTTGCTATTGACAATTATATCGTACAAAGAAATATCATATATTCGTGTCGTTTCTCGTAGCTATGTGCTGGTATAGGTGGTATCAAAGTCGAAATGCTATAAATGGAGTCCAGAAACCATAGATCATCATAAACACCCATGTACTATGCTACCTTCATTGTGCTGGTACCTAATGGTGAACGAGAAGCGCATCTCGTTACCCTGCGCGTCGAAATAACTAATTCACCAAACTGCGCGGCTCTTCCTTCTGATGCGCGCCTCTGCCCTTCTTACCCCCTCTTCCGCTCTGTCCAAAGCAATAGGCGGTCGTGAGCGATCATCGCCGTTGAAGTGAGACGGTGGTTTTTGTGGTTGTCGCGAGCTGCTCCGTCGTCGCGTTGACTTGGTTGAAGCGCTGCTGGAATGTCGATCGGGATCAAGACTGCCGTAGCCGGAGTCGTGCGATGGTTGAATAGACACGTTGGCGCTACTCGATCTTGAGGAGCGACGTATTGATGAAGGACGGGTCTGGCGTAGGTGAGTCAGCGTTGTACGATGATTGTTGGAAAGGGGCGGCGACATCAAATAGCTGTGACTTACCTCGATGTTAGCATTATCACGGTATAGCTGTCCCTGCCTCGCGTCGGTGTGGCGAGAGGATTGGCTAGATCTTGATTGCGGCCGGTGTCGAGAAGCTGAGCTTGAATTGCGTTGTGTATCCTGAAAGCCGCGCTGATGCGTATCACGGCCCCGAGTCTGTGGATTGCTACTGCGCTCCGAGTCATACGAGCGAGGACGTATGTGCGTTTCATTGCCGCGAGAGCTTGGCCGCCTGCGGTGGGGAGAGCGATGGTTGTTTTCTACACTCTGCGATCGCCCAAGTCCGGATGTCATCATCGGTACTCGGTCACTTGATGTGGTACGGAGACGTCTCTCACTTGAGGGCCGCCCTGGTAGAGGTTTCACGGTTGCATTTCTTTCGTCATCGCCGTCATGCCCGGAGCCTAGTGAGCGGACACTTGCTGAACGCACCGGATGTGCAGTTTCTCTCCAGCTCTCGCTCCGACTTCGACTTCGACTGTGCCGGAGTCTCCGGCCGCTTTGACCCCTGATAGGATTAGATTTAGAACTGTTGAGAGAAGCTTGCGCGCTTAGGGGAGCGCTCGGGAAATCATAGACGTGGTCATCATGCATTGAAGTGGTCCGCCTAGAGCGATGGAGTGGAGGATAATATTGTTGCGAAGCGCGTGGAATATCATAGACACGGTCGTCATGTATAATGACAGTCTGCCTAGGAAAATTGACCGGCGGATATCCTCGGATCCTCGGATCATGTCCACGGTCAAGTTTCCAGGTGCCGGACACAGGATGATATCGGGAATTCACCTCGGACGGGTCTTCGTAAATCTCCGTGGAAGTTTCTGTACTGGCGTTTGAACCAGCAAACCTCAAAACCAGACCATCGGCATACCTTTCAAGCCTCCTGAGGTTGACCCCCTTGTTGACACGCAGTTTCCGCAATCTCCCGGGATGCTCTTCATCAGCTCGCCTAGCTCGATCCAGTTCGTCCCTCAGGCGCTCGACATCTCTCCAGTGCACGGAGGACAGGCCGGAACCACCTAATGCTACCCGCTCACTGACAGGGGTCCTGGTGACTTGTTAGTCGGAGCATCGTCCAGGTATTTGGGAGGTGGAAAGGACGCACAAGCGGATAGAGAGCCGAGCAATGGTGATCCAATCCGAGTACGTCTCAAAACGTCTGGCGTATTTTCTGATTTTATCACTGCCCGCAGAGAGTGCAACGTAATTCCACCCCCTAACTGTCCAGGACTTATCAAACCTGTCGTAAAATCTGTCAAAGTTTTTGATCTGCTCGTGAGAGTGCCGGATCAAATTTCGGGCCTCACGCCTTAGATTACCAACTCCTTCCGCATTTATTCCCCTGAGTATGCCGATTTCATCTTCAGCCCTGCGAAGCTTGTGTCTGAGATCCGCTCTCTGTTCTTGGACTTCATCTATGTGTTGCCGAGATCGATGCACTCCGACTGACCTACTCACCAGTCCAAGCACGGTAACGAGCAGCCCAACAGAGCTACCAACGATACCAATGATGGCACTGTTAAGATTTGCTGTGTTAGAGTAATCTAAGGTCGCAGCGCAGTAGGTATTACACTTACTTGGGTTCCAACATTGTGTCATGAAGTGCACATCATATACTTCACAGAAAGTGATTGTCTTACAGATGTGAGTAATTTCTCCCGACGCCACCATTCCTGAATGATAAGAACACTCCAGATGCCGCGGGCCATATTAGGGGCCGAGAGGAGGTGGCGGAGTTAACCTAGGCACAAAAGCAAAAGTGCACATTTCTTCAGCTAGTCCCAGTGATGCCACTGTGACATCGAGAAGCCCTGTTGAATATCACTGGCTTAGGATGATGCCGACGGCTGAATCCTCCAAAACTATGCTTGATCGTGTTTAGTGTGAAGGGAGACTACTGTACGTATAATGTTCCGAACTTCCGACATGTAACAGACGCCATGAGTTATTCACACAGGTAATACAGAATAGTTGCAGCAACTATGCTCAGGCTTCTAGGGTACGTCGTAACAAGAGCATCGAATCGTTTTTACCCTTTTGAAGATTGACGAGCCGTGGCTGTGTTCCGGACACTGGTGTTAGTGCAGGCAGATATATACTCGGTGATTGTTGTTGCCTATTGGGCATCGTAGTATTGGGGGTTAGGTGGTAGGGGCGGAGGTTTATGTAGCTGCTAATAAGTCAATATATGGAGTTGATTGGTTACAATGTTCTTGGGTCTACTCTACCATTACTAGAAGTTTATCTTATTGCCAGCTCATCCCGATTGATGTAGCAAGGATAATGATAAGGCGAGGTGAGTGAGTGCGACTCTCGCCAATAACAATATATAGAACTATCCCCAAACTGATCTTAAATCCTTCTCAATCGAGTTAAACTTCATATTGCAAAGACTCGATGTTGAATTAGACGGGGCTTTCACTATTTACTAAGTGGTTTATCAAGGCGGAAGTTGAGGTTTCAATCAACTTGTATTTAATCCTTTCTACCGATATCCTTTGGTACGTTCAATGATAACTGAATATGTGGCCTCATTACATGTTCATGGCTAGGATCACGTGAAGAGTCTCGTCCTGTGTCACTGCTTGTAAAGTAGGAGTGAATAAGGTGTGCTGTTTTCGGGTTCGCCAAATATCCAGTGAACCTACCCAGGTAGTCTCGGACATAATTACCGAGTAGCACGAACTACCTACTATCTACACAACTATTCTATGTGCCAAAGACCTTACTCATTAAATATCATTTGTATATTGCCATGTCCTAAACTCACGTGAACTTTCCTTCCATACTATAGAGCAATGACTTTGGAGAAGAATTGATAGACAAGTAGTTGTCATCAAGTGATGAAGCTAAGCCTGGGAAAGAAATGCTTCGAAAAATCTATCATGAGTACATTAGGATGAGATGAAGGATTCTGTGTTCTAACTCTTTCTCGATGCTAACATTCTTTACACTAATCTAATTCGTCAAAAGCATGTCTAGAACAAATAATCATGGCTCTTCTTGACTACAGCAAAATTTGAAAAGTAGATAGACAAAACTCAAGAGGTGGCTCTAAGATTGAACATTTAGTGATAATAAGTATTTTAGTAACAGTAGAAAAGAGCGCGCGTAGAATACGAGGTGTAGTGTGACGGGCCTACTTTCGAATTAGTCGTGAAACATACAGATGAGTGATAACAGATTGCAGTCAGGCACCAGGCACGTAATATAGCATGATTTAATAGAAATATAGCAAAGAATCGGCCAGCCCGTGTCCTGAAAGGCATCAAAGACGTCAATCTGTGATATCGGGTAGGCAAGGCGGTTATCTGCATGACATCTGGTGCGAGACGGCCGTGCTACACGTGCCAGGTCGGCTAACCGTTGATACTAATATCTGTGCAAGGTACACCGGTTCAAAGGCAGTGGGATGGGTAGGTATGTCCCCTGTTCGGGGTAGGGCAGAAGCTGCCGATTGCCAGCCATGGTTTACAGTAGGAGAATGTGACAAACGGCATCAAGTTGCTAACCGGAATGAATCGGCCTGTGCAGATGACGTAGTGCATTGCAACACTGCATGTCTCTAAGGATACATGGCATCGGAATCTCTATATAGTTTCATCTCGGATATCTAGATCGAAAATGAGACTCCGGGCCCTGATGTGGTGTGGTTGAGAGGTTCATTCAACAGCCGTGTCACTTCGCGCTGGTTATCCTATCAGAGCAGATGTAGGCTGCATGCTGAGCAATAAGCGCTTCTCAAATGGACTTATCCTATAGGATGGCGGCGGACTGTTCACACAACAGCGCTCGTTTCTGGAATCAAATCTGGTCTGAGGCAGCCAATTTCACCAATGACCACCAATGATCGAAGCAATCATCGAAGCTGCAAGAGGCCATATGTGTGACCTTGAAAGGCCTAAGCGGGGTCATGATTGTGCGACGAGAACGCACAGGTACGCCGTCAGGCTGTAGGAGAACGGAGCCTTTGAGCGATGTAGACGAATCCCCTTGCTATTTGATGCATGTTTGACAGGTTTGTAGAATGCAGCGAAGGTCGGCATGTCATGTCGACAGCAGCTGCTAGCCACAGTTTCAAGGGTGTCCCGGAGCCGTTGATCGACCAGCTAGCCTTTTTTTAATCCGATACCTACTTTCAATTGAGAGAAGAGGCTAGTAGGTAAGTACATATGGTGCACCCATGTGCGTGAGAATGGGGACGTCTCTCTAGGAATCCTTGGTCAGAATCGAATGCAGCATCTTCGGAAGACAGACGGAACGAAACACCTGGGACTAGGATCACAGAAATGCCACCTCGGCGCTCGCTTGAAGTTGCAACAACCTCTAGGCATACAGGTGGTACAACTTGCGAGCCTGCGAAGTCCAGTAGGTATCAGCATCTCAGTTCGCGATCATTCCTTACAGTAGACACGAGAGGCCCAAACTGGAATAGCCTGTCAATCACGACAGTTAGGAATTACATGCATCCCTCTTTAGGCAGTTCAAACCAATCGTGCTACAACATGCTCGGCGGGCCAAACTGAGAAAGTGAGAGAGTGGGGAGGAAGACACTTATTTGACAGAAAGGGAGAGAACAGGGAGAAGTCCGAACTATCCAGGTGAGATGATCAGACAAATCAGGTTTTGGCGGATATGGCTTAGGAATGTACAAGATGGATGTACAGGATTCCTACCAACTTTTCAAGGGTGGGCAGAGGTGGGTAAGTTACGTGTGTAGGTACTGTAGGTAGCAGAGGAGGTAGCAAACAGGAGGGGGGACGATCTTTGGCCGCGTACCTACGAAGTAGGAAGTACTGTAGGGAGGGAGGCCTGCAAACTGGTCACAGTAGGTCTATGATAGATTAAACTTCGCTTAAGGTAACCATTTCCGAGCAATGAGAGGCCGGCTCAGGCTGGATAGGCCGGCACTGGGTGACGCAGTAATGGCCGGTGGTGAAAGGAAGCCGAAGAGACCATGCCTTGATCGACCGGCAACGGCCACGATTCGCTCGCGGGTATGCATCTGATATACCTAGCAACACCTATCAGTGACCAAGTCGAATGACAGACAGCATTATGGAGTTACAGTATGTGGCAGACAACTCTTCGCGCTTCCTTCGGGTGGCCTTCTCTCCTTACATAAGCAGCCACATGGACAGACAGTTTCAATATCGCCATCGACGATTCTGTACCGCCTACAGCCTCCTACTTCGCTTGTTGCCTATCAGTAGATGATGCCTGCTTGGTGGTTGCACGTGGATGCCACCATGGGCAGGTAGCCAGCCTACTGCGTACCGAAAATGTAGGTCCGTCTATCAGTGGAGACAGCCAGTTGATTAGGTACTGCATTCTAACCCTAGAATACTCCGTACATAGTAAGAGAAGTAGGAGAAAAAAAACGAATAAAAAATAAAAAATATGGGAACCGCCTGGGAACTTGCATTTCCAGGATTTGAACGTGGAAACACACCTTTTCGGGTTGTACCGTATTTGATATTTGGACTGTCTCCTTCGCCCTGGGTACAACATGTGAACGTTGCCACGATGGGCTGCACCATACGAGGTGAAGTACCGGTAGTACTTACCTGAGGTAGGATGTGCCGGCAAGCACCGAAGCTAGTTTCGTTTCTTCTTCCTACCATTCTAGATTCCACATTTACTGTAGAATTTCACCTGCCTCATAGAAGATATCATCAATCCAAATGCCTGGTATCGCTATGGACTGTACGATCTCTGTTGAATGCCACTTCGAGATGAGTCGACAACTAAAATGCCAACTTGAGCGAGAAAGAACCCATGTGGGTAGGTACGTTCCGCACATAGTACCTAGGTACTTACCTCTACCTACCTATCTGTGTTCTGTCTGTACTGCCCGCAGTAGTCGCTACTTACCTTAGCGCAAGTAAATTTTTAAAGACCCGTGGCAGACCCCGCGCAACCACTACCTAGGTACTTATCGCATATCGCAATTCGCAATCCCAGATTTGATAGGAGATAGGTACCCAGAGATACTTCTACTCAAAGTCGCTATTCCATTGCGAAAACGCATACTTACACTACAGATTGAGGTACCTACATGTACTTCCTCCCCTCCTTCGCACCCACCCCACCACGGGCAACTTCTTCGCCCACCGCTGCCCACCACTTTGCCCATACTCGGTCTCGTCAGTCGTCAGTGTCTGTTGGCAGTGTCTGCTCAGTGCTACTCCCACTATTACTCAGACACTAGGTAGGTACGTATACTAGGTACAGCACTATCTATCTCCTCCAGTACTTTAGGTACCTAGATAGGTACAGGCAGGTACTAATTCAAAGCTACCATTATGCTTCCAGCCCTCCTCTCACGACTCCGGATCTAAATCAAATCCAAATCCAGATCAAATCTAGAAATCAACCCCCAAACCATCCCCTTGAAGTTATTCCTGGGCAGAGTGCATGGTCCAAACCCCCGCCTCTCACCGTCCCCATTGCCTTGGTCGTAGTCTTTTGGGCTGTTGCTGTGCAGTGCAACCTGTCACGGGTTCTCCCTCTATGACCTATACTTGGTACGTCGGTCCCGCACTTCATACCACGACCCATATCACGGCCCCTCCAAATGCGTACATACATACACACACATCCATCCATACACATATCCCATCTCCATGACCACCGCAAAACGAGCTTTGAACAGACCACTCATACTCCTTGACAGACACCGGCCGCCCACTCTTCTTGCAATCTTCTTGCAATCTTATTGCAAAGACCGCTGCCATCATCGTTTCCGGCGTCCATGAGTTAGTTCCCTTGCGACACTCTCCGCTTAGATCGTCCGGCCGCCACTATTCTCTCCTGCGCCAACGCAGGTCCGTTCTCTTCGATTGAAGTGCTGCTGGCGGCGGAATCCACCCTTCTCCTTGTCGCCATCCTCGTCACCATCGTCGCTCTTTGCCGTCCACCCTCTAGCCCTCTTGAACATTCGTGCTAGTTGCCTACCATGGATTGGCAGCCAGTACCCGAGTCCTTGAGCCAGCTGGCTGCTTGTCTCAAGGACTCTCTCAGCGGCTTCGACAAGGCTGCCCAGAAACAAGCCGAAAATGTAAGAGATCCTCCGTAACCCCCCCGTCATGCCCAGTCCGTTCCCCCCGGCCGCACTCTCGCACAACTATCGCATACAACTAAGCGGCACTAATTCGCGAACATTTTGAACTGACTTTCCAATTCGCCTTTAGATGCTCGAACAAGCCAAGTCTTCACCTGATATAAACAACTACCTCGTCTACCTCTTTTCCAGCCAAGATCCTCCAGCCGGCTTACAATGCACTCCCCAAGATTACTATCTCGTTCGGTCCGCCGCTGCCATCATGCTGAAGAATAATGTCAAATCCCCTGGTAAACCTATCCCTGATTCTAGCCTGGCCCTGATTAAGATGGCTGTGCCAATTGGACTTCAAGACAAGAATTCTCAGATGCGCAGCTATGCCGGCAACATTGCGACAGAGCTAATTCGTCGCGGTGGTATATTAAGCTGGCCTGAGCTACTACCGGAGCTTCTAAAGACATTCACAAACGAATCAGGCCAGGTATCCAATGAGGCTCAAGAGGGTGCAATCGCTGCTATGACCAAAATCTGCGAAGACAATACCAAGATGTTGGAGCGCGAAGTAAATGGACAGCGACCCTTGAACTTTATTCTTCCCAAATTGATCCAAGCGACCAAGAGCCCGTTGCCAAAAGTCCGCGCTCAGGCTCTTACCGCCATCAATGTCTTCGCACCTCGCAAATCTCAGGCTATGCTTAACTCTATCGACGACCTACTCCAGAATCTATTTAGCTTAGCTTCTGATACGAGTAACGAGGTACGGCGACAGGTGTGTCGTGCCTTTGTTCAGCTAGTTGAAACGCGCCCAGACAAGCTTCAACCTCATCTTTCAGGACTTGTCGATTATATACTTTCCCAACAGCGAGGGGATGATGAGGAGCTGGGTTGCGACGCTGCCGAGTTCTGGCTAGCGGTAGGTGAACACGAAAACCTATGGGAGTCATTGACGCCGTACATTGGCAAGATCATCCCTGTACTCCTCGAATGTATGGTTTACAGTGGCGAGGAGATAGCTCTACTTGGCGGCGCCTCCGACGACGAAGACGAAGAGGACCGTGAAGAGGACATAAAGCCGCAATTCGCCAAAAAGACCTTGGCTAGAACAGCAAACGGAGCTGCATCAGCTGATCCTGCTCAGAATGGAAACGCCTACCAAAAGTTAGCAAGTATGGATGATGACCTAGAGGAAGGCGAGATCGACGATTATGATGACGGCGATGATGAGAATCCGGACGACCGATGGACACTCCGGAAGTGTTCCGCGGCCGCATTAGATGTCTTCGCTCGCGATTTTCGGGATCCCGTATTTGAGAGTATCCTGCCCTACTTAACTAAAAATCTCAAGCACGATGAATGGCCGTATCGAGAGGCTGCAGTTCTGGCTTTGGGTGCTGTTGCTGAAGGCTGCATTGGGGTCATCACACCTCATTTGCCTGAGCTTGTATCTTATCTCTTTTCCCTACTTAACGATCCTGAGCCTGTTGTTCGACAAATTACTTGTTGGACACTCGGCCGTTACTCCTCATGGGCTGCTGAACTTGTCGACGAGAACGAACGAAGACAATATTTTGAGCCCATGATGGAGGGCATCCTAACAAAGATGCTGGATCGCAATAAGAAAGTACAGGAGGCTGGCGCATCTGCATTTGCCAATCTTGAGGAGAAGGCTGGCAAGAAGCTGGAGCGCTACAGTCTACCCATTATACAACAGTTTGTCCGGTGTTTCAAGAAGTACAAGGACCGGAATATTTTCATCCTCTACGACTGTGTACAAACGTTGGCTGAAAGCGTTGGGCCTTTTTTGGCTCGCCCAGAGCTGTCCAATGAACTTATGCCGGCACTCATAGAACGGTGGACCAGAGCCCCAGATGACTCGCGAGAGCTCTTTCCGCTGTTGGAGTGCCTTTCTTACGTTGCCATGGCCATGAATGATGCATTCACCCCCTATGCTCAACCCATCTTTGGCCGTTGTGTCAATATCATCCACCAGAATCTGGAGGCATCACTAGCGCATGCCAATAACCCAGCTCTCGACGCTCCCAACCGAGACTTTTTAGTTACGAGTTTGGACCTTCTAAGTGCTATTATCCAAGCTCTGGATACGTCGAAGTCGGCAAAGTTGGTCGAAGAATCTCAACCTGCTTTCTTCGAACTCATGATTCTATGTATGGAAGATCCATCGAATGAAGTGAGGCAATCGGCCTATGCATTGCTTGGTGACTGTGCAAAGTATGTCTATGGTCAATTGAAACCTTCTCTACCAAGTGTTTTCCCCGTCCTCTTGAAGCAGCTGGATTTCGATAATATCTTAGATGAGGAGGCCGAAAGTGGATTCAGTGTGGTAAACAATGCGTGCTGGTCCGTCGGGGAGATTGCTATTCAACACAAATCCGAGATGGCTCCATGGATACCAGAACTATTCCAGCGCTTTGTCGATATTGTCGGTAATCCAGGTATTCCTAAGGGAGTCACCGAAAATGCTGCCATCGCCCTTGGTCGGCTAGGACTTGGTAACGCCGAACTTCTTGCCCCTCATCTTGCTAATTTCGCAGAAGATTTCCTAGCGTCTATGGACGAGGTTGACTTGACCGATGAGAAAGCTACAGCATTCCGTGGATTTACACTTGTCGTGGAGAAGAACCCCATGGCTATGGAGAAGTCGTTGTTGCATTTCTTTACGGCTATTGCTCGGTATCGGGACATGAGGCTTCGGAGTCCAAATAAGACTGACCTCCATGAAGACTTTCAGAAGGTATGCGCCAGATTCATATCTTACCAATTTCGAGCAAGCAGCTAATTTGACTTATTAGACATTGAACATCTACCGCCAAATAATCCCCCAGTTCGATCAGTTTTTTAGCCAATTACAGCCTCAGGATCAAGAAGTATTAAGAGCTACTTATGCTTTTTGAGTCGACTATTCAGATTAAGGGGGCCAATGACTGCTAAGGAACTGTAATACTTCTCGTATGGGGCTTGCGATATTTATGAGCATACCGCCTCTAAGCCCGGTTTCTTCAAGGCTACTGACCGGATTTGACTTCTACATATACCTCTTAAGGGGATTCGTCGCTCGCACTGCAATTACGGAAACCCGTCAACCCCAAGAGTCACACCATGATACGCCACTACTGGTATCTTTCCGTTGTCAACCTAGTCGGACCATTAAGAAACAACTTGGTTTTTTACCGAGTAAGTCGGAGTCTTGTTCGCTTACGTGAATGACCTGTTGGGAGCGGTGTTGCAAGGGATGATGAATAAACCAATCGAAGTATACTGGAAAAGGAATGAGCTGGTTTTAATAGGAAATGTGGTTATTATGAGTCGAAAGTGAGGGTATATGAATGGAATGAAAGATATGAAACTAAGCGAGGCGGGTACACAAAAGTAAAGAGTTAGTCCTCCATTCGTCCTTACTACCCGAGGCAGGAATTGCATGAGTAGTAAGTATAAAAACACCAGTAGATAGATACCTTTGATACCTAGGAAGAGGGGGGAACATTTGTGACTTAAGAGGGGCACAGTCGATCCAACCCTTATACGCCTCCCCAACCACCGCAAAATTTAGATAGCTTTTCCCCACTCTCCCTTATGAAACGACCCGAGCTTTGCATGGTGATGCTAGCGGACCTAGCGTCGTGGGGGTTATATCATATGAAAGGAAAGGGCCAAGGGCGAATACATGTATGTAAATTATCAGGAGCGCATGGAAATATCGCATTGAGTCCAACCTTGGAACATCAGTTAGGTAGATAGATAGATAGGTAGGTAGGCTGCCTAGGCAGACGATCAATTAGTAGTGGTGGTGAAAGATAGAAGTCATACTAGGTAGTAGCATTGGGATCTGGTTGTGTATGTGTATATGGGATGCCGCGTTGGTGTGATTTGTATAATACCAATAGGTACTAAGTAGTTAAGAAGAGGATGATGGAAATTAAAGTAGATTTATAATTCATTGAATAAGATGAAATAATCAAATAGTTAATAAAAAAAAATGAATAGAGTGTACTATCCTGGGAAATGGGGGCTTCGTCGGGAATATCTACCATCTATTTATTCACAGGTATGCGAAAATGATTAAAAGACGTATCAGCAATCACATAGACACAAGAAAACTCGAGAGAAAAAAAGCACGTGACAACTGTTTATATCATGCGAAATTGGGAATGAACTTTGATTCTACGGTATGGGCCAGACAAGCTAGAACTCGACCTATGACTATCACCATCCCCGCCCCCTATTCCAGCCCCCACCCCGATACCCCTGACCACGAAACTCTCCTCTCCCACTACCTCGTCCGTACTGCTGATAGCCCTGTTGTTGTTGCTGCTGCTGTTGCGGCGCGGCCCATCCGCCGGTCAAGTTAGGCATGGGAGGAGGCATCCAGTTCGGCGGCATACCGCCTGCGGGAGGGGGCGGTGGTGGCGGAGGCCAAGGACCCTGATAATTAGGCGGGGGAGGGGGCGGAATGGGGAATTGGCTGAAGTCGGGAGGAAAGGCCTGCGGTGTTTGCATGAAATTGGGCTGAAGTGGTGGGTTTGGTATGTTGGTGCCGGGATTGGGTGGATTTGGAGATTTGGTGTAAGGTCTCTGTCTCGCTGGTGATGACGGGCTGTATCCCCCAGATTGAGATCGAGAGCGTGATCGCGACCGTGACCGTGACCGTGATCGAGATCGTGATCTTGAGCTGTCGTATGACCTGCGTCGCTGCCGGTCTCGGCTGCGCTCCCTACCGCGGTCATAACCTCTGCTACGACTTCGGCTTCGCCGCGAATCTGGCGAGGGAGATATTCGGCGGCGTTTGAATGCTGGGCGTGATGACCCTCGAGACACGCTCCGTGAGCGAGACCGTGAGCGCGACAGCGAGCGTGATGCGGATCGTGACATACTGCGGCCACGCTCTCCATTCCTTGACGCTGTCTTCTTCTTTCGCCGTTCCTTCATCTTTTGGCAGAATGCCCGTGACCAGCCGTAATATGTTTCTCCCTCTACGATTTCGCCTGTGATCTCGTCTAAAACAATCCTCTGCCCCATCTGGTCAATATCCTCAGTAGACTGGCCATTTGAAACGCATTCCTTTGAGTATATCCGGTCTACATCGGCAAGTAAGTCTTGCACAGCCTTTATGAGCTGTTTATCCACAGGTCCAGCAGTCAACCGAAGTGGCCGGATCATTTCTGGGTTCATTGGTCTTGTGGAATTCGGTTCCATGACCGGGAGCCAATTCGCGGCAGGTAAGTCGTACCAGGGTGCGGTAGCTTCACCATGCATTGCTGGCATAATAAATGGCGCGTCCTTGGATGATTTCGTACTGGCAGTCGCGGATCCATTGGCAGCGTTGTCCTGTAAGGACGTGGAGACTGGACTTTTTGGGCCATCGCGGACAGCTTGTCGAAGTTGGTCGATGGCTTCGGCCTGATAGTACTGGTGTTTTCCCCACATGTCAAGCAAGTCATGGAGTTTTTTGGCATGCTTGGGAGAATTCGGAAAAGCCGCGGCACTCTGAAAGAGACTCGGCAACGTGGGTTCGAGATTCGCGGCAAAGCTGGCATTGTTTTCTCTCGCGTGGGCCTGGTAGAGAGCATCGCTGAGGATATACAGAAGATGCAGACGCCTCCGTTTCGACGAGGGTTCCCGGGCTTGTCTAGTGGTAGCAAGGTCGGCAGAATACGAGCCGGCTAGAGCGAGGAAATACTTGGCCAAGGCTGTGACCCTCGCGGGCGAATGGGCTAGATTTGCGAAGATCCATTGCTTGCATTTCTATTTCACGACGTTTAGTTGTCGCGCTGCACACGGTATTTCAAGAGGCTGTGTTGCTCAAACCTGGACATTGGACGTAGAGCATCGCGAAGTGGCCGCGTTGAGCTGGCTGACGAACTCGTCGATCTCGGTGCGCGGGCACGATGTCGGGTCTGCGCGAAGCAGAACGGCCGAGAAAGAGAGTTGGGCTATTGCAAGCTGTGGCGATGCCATCGTGACATGAACAGCGTAGGGGAGTGGTTGGAGAACGACTCAGAGTGCACACATGTTGTGTGATGGGTGCTGATGTAAGGAAAGAAAGAAAGAATGAAAGAATTGAGCTTGATGTTCAAGTTCCAGCGCGCCTAGGCTGAATCTTTGGCGTTGTTTCGACCCCAGTAGGCTAAGCTCAGCTTGAGCTAGGGATCGAATCCAGCTGTGCACGAGCCATACATGCCTAAGTAGTATGCAAGTCATTTCCAGGTATGTACCAGGTACCTACTCCCGCCATGATCTCATTCAACAGGCCGAGGTAGGTACCGTGAGAGAGAGGCTTCGCAAATAGTGAAAACAAATTCCGCAAAAGTGAAATCGAGTCTTCATGTCAGTGTGTATATATCTACTATCTACTATGGCTAGTCACTGCATCACAGTGCTTTCCATAAACACACGTTTGCAGCCTTGAAATCTACCTTGTCTCCCATGTTCAAAATCTGTCGAGCCAGCACAGTTGTGATTTGTCGACGCCCGTTGTAGGCTTGTAGAGGCTTAGGTACCGCCCTGAGCAGCTGAATAGCCACATGTAAGGGATATTGACATATCAGGAAGCGCTAGTATCATCTATATTCGAGATGTAAAAAGAAGTTACAACCAGGCCGACTAGGGCTGGAGGTCACTAGTATATATCTTCCATATTCCAACGTGGTTACTTTTTATATTTTGGAATGCGGCATCAGATACACGCCCTGGGCCCTTTGAGTAGGAATGTGATAAGGGGAAGAAATCTTGGTTCCGAAATTCAAGCTTAGGTCAGTTTCCACAGGTACAGCGGACGAAAGTCAGCACCAAAAAAGAAAATCATCTGAAAAGTTGAGATATTCAAAATGAGGCGCCAATAAACACCACTATATATGTACAATTTCCACGCTGATTTGTGACAGATGCGTATTTCAGGTACAGCCGCCCGATGTTTTGAACGATGAAGCATAGCAATCTCACGAGAAACGATCCCCCTTCGGACTCTTAAAAGGCGTACTGCTTTCGTATTTACTTTTCTCGAAAACCCTTTGGGACTCGGTTGTAGGAGCATGCCTTGTTGGCGCGGGATCAGAGCTTGCCTCCTGGCTCGGCGAGCCAGCGACATCATTACTGACGGGGGCGTCGGACGATCTCGACGACGGTTGCGCCGAAACGTTGTCGTTGGAGTATTCGAGGGAGTTTATCATGCGCTTCTTACGTTGGGTCTCTTCGAATCGCTGAGCTCGGTCGGCATTGATGCTTTTCTTAGCAAAGTAGTAGGCACCTGCGCCAGCTGTATTGCAATGGACTTGTTAGACACGTAAGGTTCTGCAAGGGAGGGAACATACCAAGGCAAAGGGAGCCCCAACCGGCCCTAGCGATAAGAGGACTCTGGTTAGCGACTGGACTTCATGATCCCGAGATGTTCTTTGATAGATGATGGTCAACACACCAGAAAGATTTAGCCTAGTGGACATCCAAGTCAGCGGCTTTCATCTCTCGGTCGCGAATCAACAAGGTTTTGAGGGCACATACTGTATTCATTGCGGAGGCGCAACAGCTCAGTCCGATCTGTTAAGTCTATAAGTTTCCGGAAGTCGAAAATAGCGAGCCAGTGTCAATTAAGACTGACGAGTATCAAAAGTAGTAGGTTCACGACAAGGTGTCAAGGTAGAAGTCAAGCTTGGGCAAGGTAAGGAAGTATGTAAGTAAGTATGAGTAGTTTCCCGAGCTTCCACTTTTTTTTCGCAACGGTCAGCAGGGGTCAGAAGCACCGGCAGGAGCTAGATGCACCCGGACAGACCCGGACAGACCCGGACCAGCGCGTTAGTGGAGAATAGCGCCGGCATCAAGTCACTGCATCAAAAGGAATGAAAGTACATACATAGGTAGTGTTGTGAACTTGCAACTACTTGTTTAATTGGTTTACATCATCGTACTCAGAATCGTAAATAGATACCTACTTGCTCACTTGGTTACGGGAGGTTACCTAGTCGACAGGGAGCAGCTAGCTCGAACAACTGAAGCTGACGAGATGCCTAGCAACCAATTAAAGTAAGCCGCCCCTGGTGGGTGAATCTTCATCAGGACTCGTGGAGAGAGAGAGTTATTTACATAACTCTATACGTATACATATACGTGTAAGTAGCTTGTAGAAGTACATGTGGTGCTGAAGGTACCTGTGAGGTGTTTGAAACTTCGCTAATCTCGTCCATTACATGTACTGAAGGTGTTGGACTTGGCTATGCACATCTACTGCCTAACCTTCTAACATGGCACGCAGGTACACGTACTCTAGGTACTGGGCCACTGACTGCTTGCTACATCATGTACCGTACCTTTCACCTCAACAATCCCGCCCTCAACCATTGCTGTCGAATTGTCATCGCACCAGTTCGCAATACCTATCTTCCCGCGAACCGGCAACAGCCGAGCACGAAGAAGAACACCAGCCCGTTGGGGGCACGGGGCACGCTCAGCCATTTCGTCATTGCACAGCTACCCTCGTTGGTCTTACCTCTATCGCTCCCTCTTCGCCGTCCACTTTCCACCCCACCCCACACACCACACCTCCCACACTACGAAGTACAATCATTGGACCCTGCCACACGTAGCTCTGTGGCTTCAAGCCTTTATTAGTCGCGAGGCTGTCTGCTGCTTGGTGATTGGCGTTGCCGGTTGACGGCTGACAATCGTAACACTCACTTACTTTGGATTTGTTTCTTACAAGCTCTATCCTCCCTTCCTCCCCCCGGATGGTTCAAGGAAGCCCGTTATCGCTTGAGAAGGGTGCCATGGTAGGAAGAGGTCACACTCTCTGCGGGCTCGAGTCAACCAAGCTTCCATCATGGAGCCCGGCCTTCAAGACGGCGCTCGGGATGGCCCCGATGCATCTTCCCTCGTAAGACCGCCTTCCCACGATCAGCCAGGCCGATGCTTTGAGATATTTATTAACCGCTACCGTAGAAACCTGTGTCGTCCTTGAGATCCCACTTTGAGAACATGAACAAGCCCAAGGAAGAGACATCGTCAACACCAACCACAGCTACTACACCTGTGCTAGCTCGGCAACGTACACCTTCACCCAAGCCGCCCCCTGTGCCTGACACTCGACCGACTCGACCGAAGAGTATCATCTCTCTAGAGGCCGCGAAATCAAAACCTCAACCGCTAAACCCTCACGAACATGCTGCTACCGCTACTACGACGGCCACATCAGCGCTGCGTCCAACCCAGCTTGCGCACCCACCCGTTAGCCCTAGGCCTATCAAACCACCGGCCGTCTTGATCGATCCTCCTCATTCTCCTCCGATCAATAAAACCATGTCTCAACCAGCTGGGGATGTCGCTGCTCTTCTAAGCCCTGATACAACTAAAGCTCCCCCGACGCCAGTCACTCCGTCACGTTCATTCAAGATACCCAGTCGGCCTAATACGCCAGGTCTTGAGGCCAGTCGGGCGTCTCCTCGAGGGACCTCGCCTAAGCCCCCCTCGCCGCCTCCACCACGAAGATCTGTCGAGTTAAGGCGAGAACGAGAGGCGAGGGTACCACCTACGGTGCCGCCGCCAATCAACCGAGCTGACAAGCCCAAGCCGTTCATCGTAGGCGACAGTGCACCCAAGCTGGACCCCAACCCAGCTCCGTTGAGGCCAGATCAACGGTCACCTTTCAACACACCGCCGAGTACGGCGAGCGTTCCAGAAGACGATGAGTCGCCGCCGATGTTGCCAACTCGCCCTGCCCGCCCTACACCACAGATTTCCAACATTGCAAGGACCACCACGGTGCCATCAGCATTTGAACCCCCTCCAGTCCACCCCGCCGTAGCGAACAAGAGGAGGGAAATAGACACAAACATTCCCGCAAAGCTGTCCTCTGCATCTGACGCTGTCGAGGATCGCCCAGCACTCCCATCACGTCCGCAGACAGTTGCTGAACCCGTTCCCAAGATCCCAGCTAACTCAGTGATGAAACCACCACCTCGACCTCTCCGTGGTAGTATTGCTGGCGTTCCTACTGCTAACTCCATATCTGTCGATACCACAATGCCCGCTCAACAACCGAAGCGAATATCATCCACTCCCACTTCACAATTCGCGCCACCCCCTACCAGGACTCATGCCAGGTCCATGACCGTAGACCAGACATCTGACAGGGCCCCTGCTAATTTGCGAGAACCGCCTAAAAGATTTCCCGCAGCCGGCGTCTCACCTATTAGCAGTGAACCCCCAAGTACAAGCACAACGCAAACTACTGGGTACCCCGATACATCGAGGATAAATCGGCGTCCGCCTTTTGCAAAGCATGGGGTCCATGAAATCTATACTAAATATGACACGAGAAAATTTGACGTCTGCGGAGAGTATGTGTGCACGAGCGGACAGCTTACACGAGTATGGAACTTACATGATGGTGAGCTTACCGCAAGTTTTCCTCATGGGGAAGGTATCAAATCTACGTGTGTCACATTCAAACCTGGTCTAAATGTCAACCAAGAAGGCTTGAGAGTATGGATTGGCAACAATATTGGGGAAGTTATGGAAGCCGATATCACAACACAGTCAATCGCTGGCAGTAAGACAAATATTCATGCACGGCATGAAGTCATCAAAATTTTTCGACATTATAATGAGATGTGGACGCTAGATGAGGGTGGCACGTTGCATGTTTGGGGTCCCGACGCTGATGGAATTCCAAGCTTGAGTACTGGGCCCCATCAGACGTACCGACTAGCAAAAGGACACACATTTTCTATCATTGTAGGAGAAGAACTGTGGTATGCCACCGGGAAAGAGATCAGGATCTTTGCGCCTACAGTTGACGGTAAAAGCCAGGTACAAGTCCTCATGTGGCCTCTAGTCGCCGAAGGCGCTGGCGAAATAACCTCCGGGGCCGTCACCAACTCACAACCTGGAAAGGTCTACTTCGGTCATTCCGACGGCAAAGTCAGTATCTACTCTCAAAAAGATTTTACGTGTTTAAGCGTTTTGAGTATTAGCACCTACAAGATCAATGCGCTGGCTGGCGTGGGGAACTATATCTGGGCTGCATATAATACCGGAAAGATATCGATTTACGACGTTTCAAGTGCGCCGTGGGTTGTTAAAAAGGATTGGCAGGCTCACAATGACAGTCCTGCACTGAGGCTTGTTGCTGACCGGGCTGGTTATTATCGTCTCGGCCGCCAGCAGATCCTCTCACTTGGCGCAGATAATGTGATTAGGACATGGGACGGCTTGCTCGAAGACGACTTCCTAGAGAATGAAATGAAGTCAATGGATACGCAATACTGCACCTTTGAAGATATTCGAGTTCATGTCATGACTTGGAACGCCGGTGCATCCACTCCAAGTAGCCTACGATATAAAGAATCTGACGCTGCATTTATCCAAAACCTGCTACAATCGAGCGATTCCCCCGATATACTTGTGTTTGGATTTCAAGAATTGGTTGACTTGGAAGACAAGACCGCCACAGCAAAGCGCTTCCTCAATCTGAAAAAGAAAGACACAACCGACCAAGAACGAATGAGCCACCAGTATCGGGACTGGAGAGATTTCCTTGTTCGAAGCCTTGATGATTATATGCCTGCTGATCACTTATATCACCTCCTCCATACTGCTACTCTTGTTGGATTATTTACCTGTATTTTCGTTAAGTCAACACTCCGTGACCGGGTCCGAAATCTCAGCAGCGTTGATGTCAAACGAGGAATGGGTGGCTTGCATGGAAACAAGGGTGCAATCGTTGTACGGTTCATGGTAGATGATACATCTTTATGCTTCATCAATTGCCATTTAGCCGCTGGACAGTCACAAGCTAATTCGCGCCATAACGATATCGCCGCTATCCTGGACAGCTCGATACTTCCCATCGAGTCGAACCCGACAGTTCGCATAGACAGCTATATTGGTGGTGGCGATGGTTCCATGATTTTGGACCATGAGCTATGCCTGCTTAATGGCGACCTCAATTATCGCATCGACACGATGTCGCGTGACACGGTGGTAAATGCGGTGCAAGCCAATAATCTCGCTAAGTTACTCGAACGCGACCAGTTACTCGTTGCTCGTCGCAGGAACCCAGCATTCAGGTTACGAGCTTTTGATGAGATGCCAATTCAGTTTGCCCCAACCTACAAATACGACGTCGGCACTGACAACTACGACACCAGTGAGAAGAAGAGATCTCCAGCGTGGTGCGATCGCCTCCTTCATCGAGGGTCCGGCAGGATACAACAACTTGACTACCGTCGGCATGAGGTCAGAGTGTCGGATCACCGACCCGTGACTGGCCGGTTCAAGTTTACTATCAAAACCATATCGCCCAAGAAGCGCACCTTGGCTTGGGCGGACTGCCAACAACTATTCGAGGACCACAAGATGAAAGAGGCAAATGAGGAAAAGTGAGCGCTCCCCAATTTAAATCAGATGATACATAACTAACCTTCTCCAGGCTCTCGTATCTCATGAATGTTATCGGGTATGATTTGACTACAAGTCAAGGTCTGATTCAAAATCAGTCTAAAAGGAGTAATGGCAATACGAGCCATAACGGCAGATAGAATGCCGTGTTAGTGAGTGGCATGAGGAGAGCGGGCCTCTCTATATCCGGTGCCTCATAGATTTACAATAAGATCTTTCTCGATGGCGCTCAGGGAAGCTCAGCATTGAAGTGGGATATCCAATATATTGTAAGCGAGACGGTGGCTCGCTAACTAATAATACTGTTGCTCGCAGCTTCGTGTTCCCGAAACCTGAAGAATGAGCAAACTCGGCTGCTTGTTTGAGCGAAAAGTCGACCTCTTATAAGTTGTTCTGCATAACCGGAAATAGCACTACAGCGGGAATAACTAGACTAGCGTTTTACCTTTTGTCAACAAAACATAGACGACGTTAAGCCTCATTTTGTACAACTTGCGAGCGTCTCCAGAGATGTATGGCTATTGCCTACTTCGCTCCAGCCTAGTGTTCTGTGTCAATCCAAAGATGCGGTCAACCTAGGTCTCACACGACTCACATGTGATTGGTCAGGCGGCGCTCTCAACAGACCGATTTGGGAATACCTATCGCATCTCTTGGTTCACAATCAAATGATGGAGAGATAGCTAACCGCTTGTCCTATACAAACATAGATAAGAAATACCTTACCTTGCATCACCCACATGTGCCCACGGGAATGGGCACTCGACGTGCTGTTTGTACTCGAAGTAACAGTCCATACCAAAAGGTCCGATTGGCTTAGTCTAGATATACTGTGGAGTCCCGTGGATTTTTTTTAAACTTTTCCCCCCTTACACCATACTATGCCTTTGTCCCGGTGAGTCTAAACTAATAAAGAGGAGACGTCTGATTCTCCGATGCTGTTTTCCCATTATTACCCTCTCATAACGTAAGATAAACACTCATTCTGGCAGCGTCCTGGCTTTGGCGTCACTCGTAAGCAGAGCTGAGCTGGTCTCATATCCCACCCGTTTGGAGCGAATTTGTTTATATGGAGTATTTTTGCTTTTAACGGGTTAGATCGTGCCTTGCTACAAACCTTTGCACTTTCATGTGCGATATCGCAATACCCATAGATTGGTATAAGAAAGAAGGTTTGACTTAACATAGGCTACGGTAGCAAAGACAGTGAACCGTCTTTTGCTAGTACAGTAGTTCAACATCTCGCATCTGACAGGGCTGGGTATTTCCTGCACTCACTTTACTGACCACGAAGAACATTCACGGGGGCCGTTTGTCTGACTAGGAAGCTTGGCCCAATAGCCTCAAAGAGGTAGACTTAGCCCACCGATCAGATTTACGAGACACAAACAACACTTCTACAAGTGTCTGCTGAAGAGTGCAAGCGAAGGAGGCGGCGCTTAGGAAGATTTATCCAATAATCAATTCAGCCGGCTCGACGCCTTGGAGCACACGTCATTTTGCTTGGTGCTCTCTTTCGCTTGCGCTCGCCGCGCACTTTCATACAGAATGGGGAATCTCCCACACGTCGCAGCAGAAGGAACTGCTAGCCAGACGTACCCTGAGTCTAGGGTTCTTCTCATCATTACCGGTGGCACAATATGCATGCGGCCATCGGCTGGTGGGCTGGTGCCAGTGGATGGCTTTCTCAAGAATGCTATGGCGCCCCGCCCATCATTCAATGATCTATCAGAGAGCGGTATGTGAAGATCTGTGGTTTCTCTATGCTTTGATGTTATGATGCAATCTAGGCGGTATGGTATTACATGAAATTTGCATGACACCAGTTATAAGCTCTCCCCATGTTCAAGGGATGAAGATAACCTGGCAAGGCAAACGAACCTATTGCTTAAGATGTCCTTTCCGTATAAGAGAGAGAGGGCCACGAAACCCAGTTGGCACAACGACACCGGTAGAGATCATAGATGTCAGTAGAGACGGCTGACACAATCCCGCAGTACTCCTCAGCGCTGTGCAAGATGGTAAGAGCGTGACATTGCCCAGTCTCCGCACACCACCTAGCTCCTATGCGCGTCACATCCGCTACGCAGCCATCGAGTTCTCACCCTTGCTGGACTCTTCGTCGATCAGCAGCGAGGGCTGGACATCGATCGCGTCGGCGATCCGCGCTAACTACCACCTCTACGACGGGTTCGTGGTGCTCCACGGAACCGATTCTCTCGCTTACTCGGCGTCGGCCCTCTCCTTCATGTTGTCGGACCTCGGCAAGCCCGTGATCCTCACGGGTTCGCAGGCCTCCATCTTCGCGTTGCAGTCTGACGCTGTAGACAACCTGCTCGGCTCCCTCATCATTGCAGGCACCTTCGTCATCCCTGAGGTGTGCCTCTTCTTCCACCACAAGCTGTACCGCGGCAACCGGTGCACCAAGGTGTCGGCGAGCGCCTTCGAGGCCTTTGCGTCGCCCAACTGCGACCCGCTCGCACGCGTGACGAGCCTCGGCGTCGATGTCAACTGGGGGTTAGTGCTGCGGCCGACGACGATCGCACGCTTCGACGTGACGCCGCACCTCGACACGGCGCATGTCGCGGCCCTGCGCATCTTCCCGGGCATCAAGCCTGAGATGGTCGATGGCGTGCTGCGCGTACCACACCTCCGCGGGCTCGTGCTCGAGACATTCGGCATGGGCAACGCTCCCGCCGGCGTCGACGGTAGCCTCACGCGCGTCATTCGCAATGCCGTGGAGCGCGGCATCGTCGTCGTCAACGTCAGCCAGTGCACGAGCGGCTTCGTCTCGCCTCTCTACGCGCCTGGTTTCGCGCTCGGCGAGGCAGGCGTCGTCTTCGGCCACGACTTGACCTCCGAAGCGGCGCTTACCAAGCTCTCGTATCTGTTCGCGCTGCCGGGGCTGACAGCTGCTGAGGTAGGTCGCCGCATGTCGCGCTCACTCAGGGGTGAAATGACGGCCCTCGCAAGCCCCTCGTTCACGCACCCGCAGGGCTTCGCGGACGCCGCCGACCTCATTGACCACGCGAGCAGCATGGGCCCCGGGACCTCGACGCCGCGCCCCTTATCACGCGGCGAAACGACCTTTGCGGAACTCGGATACGCAATCCAAGCCGGCGATCTGCGCACCGTGGCAGAGCTTCTCGACACCGACGCCCTGCACAGCGGAAGCAACAGCGTAGGCCTCCTGCAGCGCGCCGACTACGCCGGGAACACGGCCGTGCATCTCGCTGCCGTCGGCCCCGAGGCCGCGGTGCTGAGGGAATTACTCGTGCGCGGCGCCAGCGTGCATGTGAGGAATCGCGCGAATAATACGCCGCTGTTCCTGGCGGAGAAAATGGGGAATCGTGGGTGTGTTGATTTGTTGGTTGAGGCGGGCGCGGCGCTCTGGGTTGAGGAGAAGATTGAGGAGGGTGCGAAGGCAGCGTGAGATATCTTGGGGATTAGTATGGGTTGTGTTACGAGGATGATGATACCTAAGTATAGAATCATGAATACTTTTGAATGGCCGTGTGTTCAAGGGTTTATCGTGAGTTATTTGGCCGGTAGTGTCGCCTCTTTTGAGGTGGTTTGGTGAGACGGTTTACGCTCAGCCCAGCTCGGTTTCCGGCAGACACCTCATCTTGTTTGGCTTGGAATTTAGTCGGAGTTGGGGTGGCTTAGCTGTGCATTAGCCATCTTACCTGCATCACTGCCCATTTGCGAATTGAACGCATGGGGACGGGAGTAGAATGATTGCTCGGGTGTGTCTACAAATTGGAGTCCTGCTAAAGACTTATATCCTACAGCACTGCTTCATAGCAATTAACGCCGTGTTCTGATACTTTCGAACTTATCTGCTCGCTTCACAAATCGTCGCTGATCCGCCTTGTCTAACCCATCTTATTACTGAACCATTGCCTCCAACGAGCCTCAGAAACCCAGCTCCAAACAGTAGCCTCTACGCGCTCACAGTTTGAATGAACCGAAACCCAAGCTGGCCAACTCAAGTCGTTTAGGGTCTTGCCTGGACAGTACTTGATGAGTAGCAGACGGACCAAAGTCCGCGTTGCTGTGGTCAGGACCCAAGAGGCCCGATCAATATCAGAAGGGAGACGATGGCCCAATGGGGGCCTGTGTGCTTCCCTTCTACGACAGGTGGACGAGGGTTGTCGAACATGGAATCTCCTGTGCAGGATGTGCACTCGCCATTGAGAAGAAGTTCGATATCAACAACCCTCTCTACACGACGAGGTGGTTTGTAAAGGGTCCAGAGATGATATATATGTCACTGCAAGGGGATGTATTTGATATCAGCGCTTATACCATATTTTGCACACAAATGTTGAAGTGTTAGTATGGAAGCCTCCAGGACTAGAAGTTCTGGGATCCGGAAATAGAGTCCCCCATACCACATTGGCCCCACATGCTAAGAGAACTGCAAATGAGCCACACCCACGAAATCTAAGCAAGTTCATCAATTCCAGCCCTTTCGCAGCAATTGCTACATAATCAAAATAGTAAACTGTTGGAATAGGTGGAGTAGGTTCTTGGTTCTTTTTTCTTTATCCTGAATATATTATACATTTCTGCTTACCTTATATATGTCCCCACTTCCTTTGACATAAACGATGCAAATTTAAAAGGCGTGTTTATTTAAATTTAATTGATACTGATATCTCCATATTTCACTGCCTAAAACTGGAATAAAGTGATAAAATGCAAATATTTACTAATAATAGAAGGCGATAAGTGTGGCGTGAGGTGTGGGAGCAAAACAGAAGATCACGGTCGGAAATAGTTAATACGGTCGTACTATCCATGTCAAACGGATAAAATGCAGCTGCAACCCCCAGGGAGCGTACCTAGCAGCACCAATAATGCGGTCGCCCCTTTCGCGGCCCTTTTTCGCTAAATACAAGATGACGGTCGCGCAGCTGGCGAGCTGGGACGACGTCGGCGGTACTGCTACGTGCACGGGGCTTTGGTTCAACGCTCTCCCTTGTTATACACAATATTTCCAACAAGAATGGAAAAAATAGTTTGGTCTGTGGCATACAAAAGCTTAACCGCATCCCTCTGGTTTTTCTGCAGGGGGCGACGCTGATTTGATCTTGATCCGCTAAGGGATGGATGGCTGATGGCACGGGGGCCTCCACTCCCCATCTGCATCTTGCTCACTTGTGCAATTTGTTCGCCATTCTCGGTAATTATTATCTTCAATCTCGCCTACTCGATATGCAGCTCGTGTATAGGCGGCGTTGCGCTCAGCTCCGGCACTCTGGACGTCGACAAGGGCTCGGGATACTTGCCCACGGGGTCCGACGGAAGCACCATCGTATCGCTAGTAGTAGGTATTACCTGGGGCGGCGGCGGCGGTGAGTTCTGCTGCCGCAATTTCTTCTGTCGCCGTCTTCGCATAAGCCAAAAGACGCCCAAGAGAATGAATACGGCGCCGAGGGCGCTGCCAACTCCTATCCCTGCCAATCCGCCCGGAGATACGCTTTGCGGGTTGGGGGCCTGGGTTGTACCGGACGTGGGGGAACGCAGAGGCGATGAGGTTGATGCGGTGGTGGTTGAAGGAGGAGGCTCGGTCGATGCGTCCGATTGGCCCGTGAGGAGATCGGAGGAGTGAAATGCTACTCTGATAGAATGTGCGTTTACACCGCCAACCGGGATTGGGGTAACGGTGGTCGATCCGTCATCGTTCGCCATTGTAACAAATACCGTTGGTAGCGCCGTTTGTCCATCATCGAAAAGACTACGGGAATCGAAAAGGCTACGGCACGAATAATAGCCGGTATCATGGAAATAGCCGCTGTGAACAGAATCGCTGTTAGTTTCTGAATATGTAAAAGCGTGTTACACTTAAATAATAAAACTTAAAACCAACCTTGGGCAACACTCCCATACCGTTTCGCTCGCATCTTTCCGTTGCACCTGGTTTAGTACCGATGTGTACCCCGACGGGCAGATGGCAGGCGAGATAGTGGCGATGGGTTCTCCGGGAGCTCCGGCCCAGCATTTTGGGTCCTTAGGGTTGCCGAGAAGGGCACGGGGAGTGGCATCGAGGGGAGACAACCATGTCTCTTGCAGACAAGACGTCGGGACAAGCACATCGCTTAGCATGATTAGGAGGTCGGCGGAACCCTGCGGCAAGTCGTCGCCTCCCAGGCGTGAAGTGACTATCACCTTTTATGCAGCACAGACGGCGATATCCCAAACATGAGACGCTGAACTGCCTCTGACGGCGATGGGGTGAAGCGATACAGTTGACGAGGTAATGGCACGTACCATATACGTACTTTACCTAGTAGAACGATTCGGCAAATGGCTGCCTTATATATGGAGGCTGGGTCTCGGGTCCAAGCGCTACATGGATGAATCTTCCAGTGGTCATTGATATTGTATCACCCTTCACCGGCCACATATAAGCACGACTATCGACAGTGATAAAACTGGAATGCTTAGCCCCTATTAATCATGACCTATGAAACGAATGGCTTCAGCCATTGCACATTCCGTGAAGTGGGGCTGTGGTCAGAAACAACCTCGCGACTCGCGTGAGGTCAGACATTGGCTTTTTATGGCAGGAGAGTCCTACCTCGAGTATCTGTCATAATCATCGTGTACCAATATCATTACTCGTTACTAAGATATGCCACTCATGTGATCGCCACCCAAGTCAACGATATAGGACATAACGGGCGGAGCAAAAAAAGGGGGCGAGGGAGATGAAGCCCGATGCTTAGTTATCGACGAGAACCGGTTTGCGGCTCTTTTCAATATCGAATTACAATAGTGAATACTAGATCATTAGCAGCGCTTCAGCACGTAAGAGATCAACGGTGCAAAGTTACCATATTACGTACGTATACCTTACCTAGGATAAGGACCCTACCCTATTAGGTCGTATGAGGCGCGATGGCCCCCAAATCCAGTACTACGTTAACAACAAATTTGGTTCCAATACGGGGCAGCACAAACTTGCCCGGGGCCGAGCCCCCTAAGATTTTGGCAAGGCAGACACTTACCATCCTCGGCTGCATCTGCCTTGTCGGGTGCAATGGCATGCCTACCTCTGATTTCTAGGAGGTAGGTAAGTAAGTACTTAGGCATGATAGGTACGGTATTTGTGTCTACGGTAGCTACCTAAGGTAGTGTAACCGAGCCAAGATTTCCTGCCCCCATTTCTGTCTCTCTTCTACTCCTGACCCGTCAAAGACGCAAACCCTTTATCCCCTAACCCCCTCCTTCCCCACGTATCCTAAAGCACAAGCAGCAGTAACACCAGCGTTAGTTACAAGATCATCCTCGACTGTAAATCACGAAACGATAAACCGTCAGGGAGCAGCATGACCCGGCGGCTCGACGGTTCCGTTTGCCTCAATACGGTGCACCAGTGGAGTCAACAGGCCGATGGCAAAACGGAGGCCCGGCGGCTAGGAGGTGGACCGCACCGCCACGACCCGCATAATGAGTCAGCTCAGGCTCTCGAACCGAGTTCCTAATATTGCAAGGGCTTATTCTAGCGATACTGCTTATATATTGCAATGGATTATTCTAACGATGATAAAATTGTCTGTGTCTACTCTGTGAGCAAACTTCCCGTGCACGTACACCGCCTAATTTCTTATTGCCCCATAAGAGACCTATTAGTGTCGTCGTAATTCACCCATGAAATCGCTGCTCGTGGGAAGCGTTGGACAAGCTGCCTGCGGAGGAGGATCGCGTATGACCCCGTTCTCGATAGTAGCACTGTCGTCTTTGATAGCGTCAATCTGATTCTGTGCACAAGTAGAGGCCATGCCTCTGAGATAACATGTAATCGAAGGAGGCTCAGGTGCCACCAAGGTTGCTGTTGACTCGGAAGTGCCATCTGTTGAGTACTCATCTGAAAGGGAGATGTTTCCGGTGGCGACATCTCTTTGCCCCATGACTCGGCGCAGTATGCTGAGTGTGGCATCGGGCTGATAAGAAGGGACCATGTGACCAGACTGGTATATCCGGCTGAAGGAAAACATGCCGTGCTGGCGAACCTGGCCTACTGGATCAGAGCCGTCTATGGTGATATTGCTATACCCAGCAAGCCTGAACTTGTCGCTCTGGGAATAGTCCACACCTAGACTTACTCGTTCGCCGCCAATCCAATTGCAAGCGAAGTCGCGGTCTCCATAAACCATAGCTACTTGGATCCCGGAGTCGAGTAGAATAGCTATGTCCTCTAGATAGCCACGCGGGTCTCTCCTTGCATAGTCACCTGTGAGGTTGAATGCCTTGCCGACGGTGTTTGAGATGTCGGTGTAATTAACAGGAACGCCTATCGCCTGGAGTATCTCTTCCCTGCTTAGGTAATAAAGAAACTCATTACCCGGGAAGGCATCCAGGTAGCAATGAGCGATATCGTAAAAAGCCCATTGCTTGCGAAATATGTATGGACCCTCTACCTCATTCTGGCAGAAATCGCTCGCATCCTCGCATGCCTCGTTGACATTAGTTACGTTGCCGTACATGGCAGGGTCGTCACTCTTGCCTAAGGATAGGCAGGTGTTGATTTTATCAAGGCACCCTCCCGGCTGTTTGTAATATGCCATAAGCGCAGCGTCGTACTCCTCGCGGGTGATCCCAGGAATACCGTAAGCGTTCATGTCATAGGCGAAGTCTGGAGCAGATGTTTCTTGGGTCAATAGATCCACACATCCATTGACGATGCCGAGCGTTGTAATATTAAGGTGTTTCGCTCCAATCAGGGACCCACGATGTATCTGAAGGTTTTGCTCTTCTATAAATGCAGCAAAACCTGGGCCATATCGACCACCGTACGACTCCGTCCAGATGCTGATTGAATTATCACTGGAGCTGAATTTGTTGAAATCCTGAGACCACACCTGAAGAAAGTTCCAGAAGTGGCGAGCAGCATTCTCCGTTGTATTCGCAGTCCAATTGACGTTCTGGCTGCTGAAGGTGCCGGGGATGAAGGTAGTGTTTGCTTGAAGGTCCTGGTCTGGGTCTTTGGGGATAATGTTGCCTGTTTCTAGATCTAAGAAACCCGGTGTCGGAATGTCGTAACTGAAACCAGTCTGGACGGGCTGGTCTACATAGAGCACATTATAGAATTGATTCCAAGATGAAAGTCTTGGCTCTGGTTCGAGCTTGCTATTGATGGAGCATGGTCCGTTCTCCGTGAACAGTCCAAACATAGATGACGCGCCAGGCCCGCCGTTCATCCAAATAATCAGCGGAGCATTTTGAGTGTCCGTTTGGGATTCGAAGTACCAAAAGAATGTGTGAATTGGGTAGTCATGTTCGACACCCTTCATTGAACCCGGTGGAAAGTTCACATAGCCACTGTACGATATGGCGTTGCCGCATATTTCTGCCTAGAGTTAGGAAAAGAGGTAGTCAGTATCTCAACATTATAAGGAGGGGAACAGGGGGTGCATTGCTTTCACACCCAGTCATTGGGGGCATACAGGAACTTCATTGTATGTAATGTCAACGCCATCGAAGACATCGGAAGAGATAGTTGTTGTTTTGTCGTGCTCGCCAGTACGGTGCGCTATACTACCCAATACGCCGCACCAGAACGGGAGGATACTGCGCCACCGATGCATAATTTGGGCTCTAAGTACAAAAACTTCGCTTTCCAGTATGCTGCTCTTATTGTTCTAGTTAGGGGTAAAGAGCACAACTATATGCTAAGTGATTCTTGAATACACTCTTCAGGAGCTCGGAGGAAGGAGAGAGACTTATTATTTCAGCTAACTCGGTTTAGGAAGACCGGAAGTGTCTCAGACCCGATAGAAGAGGGGGGACCTACTAAGGAATCTGATGAATCAGATAAAAAAACAAGGACCCTTCTGTAGCATAACGAGAGCTTCATGTCACCTTAGCTGGCGGGTGTAACTGTCTTTGCTCGGCTGCCGAGGACTGTTTCACAGCATAAACGAATTGTCACACATAATATATATGAACCATTACACATTTCTCGGCACTCTTGTAGAACCTAACAGAAAAGCAATAGTGGACTGATATCGTGGCGGCCAGTGTCACGGTACTCCCTATAGGCAACTGCAGATGGTCAAGTGTCTGACTTAATAACGTTCTACTTTTACAGTAGTATGACATTATGATGCTGCAGTTCTATTCCGTAATGATGAAATTCAAAAGTCAACGCTAATGCCTCTTCGGCACTATCGCAGTATTTCAGCTCGTAACACGATATGACTCAATTACCAGTATAGGGGTGGCAAAGCCACTTAAAAATTGGCAGGTTCAGGAATTAATTGATTACTCCTTTCCCCCTATCTGGTCTATTAAGCCCTATACCCCGCTACCTAACTGCAACAGGCCTACTGTTCACTCTGTGCCCAAATCCTCTGACACATGATCACTCTGCGTACGTGATATATTGCTCGGTGGCGCTTCGAAAAGATGCGAGGGGAAGAAAGGGGAAAGGCGTCCCTCCGCGTCGATATTAGCCATCTGCAGTGTAACAGCCCACCAAAGCAGTGACTCTAGGGCGCTGGCGAGGCGACCTGAAAAAGACTTGGCACCGGGAAATAAGCGTATTTACAAGGCTTCGTGGAATGCCTATATCACGAAGTGGAATGGCAAGTTCTTGTATTACAAGTAGCTTTGGAATAGTAAATACGTGATTAGTTGTATTAGTAGCTGTATTAGTAGTATTGAGGATCTTTGCGGTGCCAAGCTCTTTTCAGGCCGCCTCGGCTGTACCCGAACACATGCAAGTTAGAAATCACCCTTGATGGAACTAGGTATGCTGTCTGTGGAACTGGATAACGCCCACTTGCGCAATGCTGTTCTACCGTAGGCTGTCACTCGTAATTATTTCGGCGGTAGTTATCCTAAACGCTCATCGCACAGTCATAAAAGTTACTACCTTGTCATTTTTTATCAGCTGTTATCCGGATAGGTACAGACTGTCTCAGACTGTCTGTACCGGTAGGGTTTCAAATTTGGTACTCGTGGGTACCAGCTAAGAACCCGTGGGCTCTTGGCGGGTTTAGACAGAATATCTAAGTATAAAGTTCACCCTCCATTCGACCCCTTCAACACGCAAATTACTCAATCTTTCCAAGCACTTATTTATTCACGCTCAAAGGAAAACCTTGAAATTCGGAAACCAAAGAGTGACGGCTGCAATATGACTCCCCCCACCCAAGTACCTTATCTGCAAGGCCAGTTTAGTCGGGCTGGCGGATGGTTACCTCCAGATCCCAAGATACTGATTGAATGGGTTCGAAAATTAGTTGCAGAGGTGGACGAGAAACGCCGATGGTCAGGACCCCTAGGACCCAAGGACTTGGCTCCATCTATCCAAGCCTTCGATGCTGTTGTGCAGAGCAGTTCCAAGCTTCGGATGCTGGCTCAGGCTATGCTAGACGAAGTTCCTAACAAAGAACCGTACCTAACGGACCCGGTTGGGAACAAGCAGATCCGAGACTATAATTGTTTGCTTAATACATTTAATCACATAGTAACAACGAAGGTACCGGAGTGGAATATGCATGAATACGAAGTTGGCTTGATTGGATTCCCTTTCAATGCTGTACTCGACTGGCCAATGGCTACCCCAAGTGGGTATGCCTTCTTCCTAGACCAACAGATCAACGAAAAACTCAAGGATATTCTAAACGCTTGGAGAGATGACGTCCTTACGAAGGAAATGTCTCTAAAGGTGATTACTGAGGAGCCGGATGGATGGCTAAGCCCGGAGGCATTGAAGGTACTCGAGGATAACGCTAATCTCGAGGGCCAAATGCTCAAGTTCGCCCAGATCTTCAACTGCGACCCGTCCAAAGATCATTGGGGCTTTCAGTCATGGGATGATTTTTTTGTCAGGACATTCAAGAGTATCGATGGTCTCCGACCAGTTTATCAACCAGATGACCCGAAATCGATCGTAAGCTCATGCGAATCAAAACCCTTTGCCCTCCAGATGAACGTTAAGGAGGTCAGTAACTATGAGTTATTTATTCTCTTATTCACAGTGTCCCCACGCCAAAAGCTCCTTGTCAATTATAGCCTGGGAGCTTCTGCTCCGAGACGTACTCCTCGGTCCCTCTTTTCCGCTATAAATGGCAAATACTAACCCCCGATACTGAGTAGCACGATACCTTCTGGCTCAAGGGCCAACCATACTCGGTAGCTGAGATGATACCTTCCAAGCCCGAATATATAAGCAAATTCGTTGGCGGTACAGTCTATCAGGCTTTCCTAAGTGCAACATCATATCATCGTTGGCACTCTCCTGTAAAGGGACAAGTTCGCTACGCCAAGGTCATTGATGGAACATATTTCTCGGAGCCCACAATCACTGGCTTTAGTAGTGAAGGCGGCCCTGATCCAGCTGCACCGTAAGTGAAATCACTCATTGTCTCTTATCCTTTTTGTTTAGTCATAGAAGCTACATCTTCATAACCAAGTCAACATATGACTTTAGCTCTCGACGCATCCATTATAACCCTTAAATTGTCAGTTGAGGAGAAATCTATTAACACAAGTCATTGTAGTGACCAAGCTCAGGGTTATATCAGTCATGTCGCAACAAGAGCGGTTTACATCTTCGAGGCAGATGACCCAACTATCGGATTCGTGGGCGCTGTATATGTTGGCATGGCAGATGTATCGACTTGCGAGATCAATGAAAAATTCCTGAATAAGCTCCCACAACAGGTAGAAAAGGGCGACGAGATTGGAATGTTCCATTTCGGCGGCTCGACCCACTGCCTGTTATTTGAGAAGGGCTTGAGGCTGACCTGGGTCCAAGAAGCAATTCCTGGTGTTGCTACGAGGAACCTTCCAGTACGGTCTGCTCTAGCCTACCCCTGTGCCCGAGCCGACAACGTCAACGCTTAAGGGAGACTATAGTTTCCTAAGCCTTTTGGGGTATTAGTCATTCTTTAGGATAGGATACACATTCCAACGTCTGCATTTACAGTCCGTACGAGGTTTCACATGTGTGCCGTAGTATAGACCGACACAACGCCGTAAGTAGGGAGGTGATGTCAGGTGACTTGGTCGCCCAACCTTATAGGTGGCGATATGCCACGGTACACTCATAGTAGTTAACCGGCGGTCCTAATCTAATAACTTTAAAATCTAAGATTATCATAAGATTAGGATACTAGAAACTATTTAGACTCGTAGGTTCTTGGCAAAGCTCGTGGGCTTATTTGAGTTCACGGGTTCTTGGCACGGGGTTAGGTCCGGCAAACCCTACTGCAGATGGTCAAGTGCCCAACTTAATGACTTCCAATTCTACTTTTACAGTAGTGTGACGGTATAATGCTGCAGTTTTGTTCCGTAACACCTAGCGGTCACGCGAACATACGTGAAATATCGAGGCACGTCTTATGTGTACTTAAGTGGTATGATCAAATGAACTACCTGTTGCACATAGCTCTCGCTTGTGAAGGGATTCTGAGACGACGCAAATGCCATCATAACAAGAGAAAGTACATGGCACCAAATACCGAAATTGACTTTCACAAATCGTCTGGCTGAGTTGTATTAGTAGCTTTATTCAATACTACTGAGACCTCCGGTCGCACACCGACCCGAAGGTTGTACCCTTCAGTGCACAGCCGAAGGGTTGTGTTACACGCAGCTGAACACTTGTACGCTGTCTCTCATGCAGGATTGGGGAACTCTTTCCTGTACACCCTCATATTTAGTATGTCTTAATACGTAGGAAGTTGAAGGTCTTCACCCCTCGCTTATTTGAGTCAATTGATGTGACCTCGAAGGTTAGGAGCCTTCTAGTCTTCTGCATATAGAGTCAAGCCTGCCCCTGAAGGCATGGAGGTTCGAGGATCTAGTCAAGCCCTACAAGAATATCTGAATAGAATCCATCTTCCGAGCCCTGAGTACAGCCCTTGTTATAGGTTGGGACCGGAGCGGCTCGCTGCAGCGTAGTACGTGTAACACCTCCAAAATATATGCCGACAAAGCAACAGAACCGCGACGACGAGCGTACCTGCTATAAATATGGCTAATTTCTCATTAACTGATAGAACCCACCATATTGCCTACAGATACAATACAATACGGTTGCTATTGATGATCCCACAATTTCATTGGAACAGCGCAGCGACTAAAACCTCTTTTTACCGTCATTAAACCACGACACAAACCATGGTATTCCCAATGATCTCCCGGTGCTTAGGTATGTTGACTATAGATCCAAGTAGCACCCAATATCTGACAAAAATGTAGTTCTTGCTATGCTTTTGCTATGCCGCTTTAGTGTTGGTTGGAAAGCTGATATCAGGGCAGATAGCAATCGAGATGGCATAGTAGACATTGAAGGAGACAGCGATCTTGCTGACAAGGACGAATGGTCTGACCTTGCAGGAGCCATATTTTTGGCAAACATCGGAGATACAGACGGGCGCTGTTCTCAAATTGCATTATCTGGTGATCCACTTTCAGATGAAGATCTAGCGGCCTGTAATGATGCATCAGACGACATCCAGCGATCACCCGGTTACATGGCACGGATTAGGACAGTTCCAATTCCAGATCTTGAAGACGGGGCCTGGGGAAACGTCCAAGTTACCCAGGAGATCTCTCGAAAGAACGTTCGCCTATTTCGACAGGAGCGGGACGAATGGATCATCATAACAAACGACTACAAATTCAATGCTAGTGAATTGAAGACAGGTCTGAACCTCGGAATAGACGCTCGAGACACAAGGAGACCATCTGGCTGGGACGGGCGGGCCGAAGTACATTTTCACGTGCAAAATGAGCTAGAATTCCAGGTTGATGATGTCTATCTCCGCGTTGCCCCTATTCTCACGTTCCATCATCTCATGGACGTTTCGGAAGTGCTCACTACAAACGTCAATGGCTCCGAGATACAGACACAATTCGTGTCCGACTTACAAGACATACTAAATGATGCAACCCTCAAAAAGCCTCTGTGGCTATTCAACCACTCAGACGATGTCTGGGCTCAAGATTTCGTTGAACCTGCGTATACTAGTATGCCCGGTCCAGAGGGCCCAATCACCCTCGAAGTAATGATCCGTTCGTCTCAGGGGTCACGTACTGCTGGAAGACAGGTTTTTGAATACCTCAGAAACACTGGTCGAGGCGCTGCCTACAGCACAGGAGGGACCAGAGGTGAGATTAACTCGATGGGAAATCTTGAAACAATCCCTCCATATTCATTCAAAGACAAATCCTTTCCGGCTGGACGCATTATCGAAGGGTCCCATGCAGAATCGTACCCAACATACCCGCACGTGTACGACTACATGAGGGCCCAAGAGTTCCAAGATCCTCTTATTCTGGACACGGACTGGCTGGCTGTCGGACACGTAGATGAGATAGTGCAGTTCCTCCCAGCAAACACCCCACAAGGCTGGGCTCTTTATATTGCCGATCTTAAGGCAGGAATCAAGATTCTGGAAGACGCCAAAGAGGATCACGGTGACACGCCCGCATTTTCTCGACCGAATAACACCTACACCTCCAAGGGTTTACGTGACGTCCCCGGCCTCACTATCGCTGAACTACTGACAGACAAATTAATTAGTGATAATCAAGGATTTGCTGAGAAACTCGACGTCGTCCTGAACGTGTTGAAGGCAGAAACCGGTATTGCGCCTCAGGACATTCACTACGTGCCAATGGTTTTCACTACCGGCGTCTGCTGGGGGCCAGACGAAGGGGTTGCTCCGGACCGGAACTGCAGCACTAAACATGCTGCCGCACTATATCCCGCAGTACTGAATGGCGTCGTCCTGAGCAATTCGACGTACCTATCTCCGAAGCCTTGGGGACCGTTGATTGATGGCACCGACATCATGGAGGAGGCGACGAATAAGGTATATGGAGAGATTGGTCTTAACGTTGTGTATATCGACGATTGGTACTCGCACCACGAGGGTGGTGGTGAAGTTCACTGCGGAACAAATACGGTCCGAGTTCCCAACAAGCCATGGTGGAATACGGAACCACCAGCGGGCAATGGAGAGAGGGCCGGAGGAAATGAACTGTAGAGGCAATGAAGCCTTTATTATCCGCTGCGTCATAGTGCCTGTATACTATGGCTAAGGTATTAGCGATGGTTGCCCTATATTAAGCCACAACCATCGTCTTTAACAAGCTGATTACTATCGTTTTACTTTTGACAATTAAAAAAGGTTAAGAATATATAATAATAATAAATAACGCATCTTCCACTTGACTTGGCCACCTGCCTTGGCGGGACAACACGCCGATAACAAAACGGACGGCGGGACCGTCGCACCGCCACCATAAGTCAGCACAGGCTCTCGGACCGAGTTCCTAATATTGCAGCTCACTGATTGATGGCAGCAATAGGGACATGATACTCGAGGCTTTGATCCATATAGAATAATATTGTACAAGGGACCATCATCCGTCCGCCGCGTTTGTCCGTACTGGGGCCGAGTCGGGTCCTCGGGTTCTTGGCAGACCAGCCGGGCGGTATTAGGACGAAAGCAGCTTAATAATTTCATGAAGTCCTAAGGACGAAGTGGCGGAGGTACATGCATACGAAGGCTTCAAATCAGACGGCAAGAGATAGTCAAAACTTTGAAAAGTATAGAATGGTACATATATAATGCCGCGATTTTCTCAGCTGTTCAGTTAGGAATAAGCTAAAAACTGCAATACCCTGGATGTAACTTTTATACCACCCATCATGCAACTTTTACAGCTATCCGTTGCTGTGCTTCTGATATTTGCAGCTTCCCTAAGCATATATCGACTTTACTTCTCGCCTCTTTCTAGGATTCCCGGTCCCAAGCTCGCAGCACTGACCTACTGGTACGAATTCTATTTTGACGGATGGCTCGGCGGCAAATACATCTTCAAGATCAAGGAGTTTCATGAAAAGTATGGACCCATCGTACGAATAAATCCCCATCATGTCCACATCAATGACATCGGTTTCTATGATACTATATATGCACCAGGCGGCACAAAACATCCCCGGAACAAGATCCGTTGGATGGCGTTGCATTTTGACAGCATGTTCGACACGTTTGACGCCGCTTTACATCGCAAGCGTCGTGCGGCTGTAGCATCACCTTTTTCGAAACAGTCAATACGTGCTCTGGAGCCCGCCATTGTTGATATCATAACCCATGTCATAGCACGATTTGAAAAACTTGCCGGTACAGGTGCTGTAGTGGGAGTACATTCAATCTGGAATAGCCTCACTCAAGAAGTAATTGGCCAATATTGTTTTGGAGCTAACAAAAGTAAGAATTATATCATATTACCCCTCTTTTCAAAGGGCATGATATTTTGAATTACCTACTTAGACAAGGCACATGCCTTAGACGTTCAACTTTAGCACCCCTAGGTCCCCAAGACCCTTCCTCCATATCTCTCAGAGTAAAGTGTACTGATGCTTCATTAATAGTGAGCGATCTTCGCGAAGGCGGGGACGACGCTCAATTCATACAACCAGATCATGTAGTGGACCATGTGCATGCGTGGGGTCGCATGTTTCCATGGGTATTTGACATGCTCGCCAAGATCCCCTTGAGCGTCCTTGGGCTCTATGACGAAAGACTCGGCGCCGCGGACAAGTTTAACAAGGAGATAGCAGATCAAATCGCACGGGTATTAGAATCAGACCAGCCACACGTTGGGAACAAGAACGTGTTTCACGAGATGCGCGACAGCAAACATTTACCGTCTGAGGATAAGCAGTTCAGCTATTACCAGAGCGAGGCGGGGAGCTTCATCGGTGGCGGCACCGAGACGACGGCTAGCGCCCTGACTACTCTGACTTATTTCGTGCTAGAAAATCCTGATGTCTTGAGGAAGCTTCGCGAAGAACTTCGGACTGTCATGCCGTTGGGCCAGAAAGAGTTGCCTCCGACTTCAACTCTAGAGGGTCTGCCCTATCTTGTAAGTTACTTCGTTCATAGGCTACTAACTGTGAGAAAGAGATTATGAAGAGCTCATATAACGACAGACCGGAGTCATTCAAGAAGGCATACGGCTGTCATTCTCAGTGCCCTCGCGGCTCCCTCGCACGGCACCCACTGAGGAGCTCGTTTATAATGGGTACAGACTGCCCCCTGGTGTGAGTAACATGATTCCTATACGAATTATTTCGTACAAAAACGATTTAATGCCCAATGCGTATTGAAATTGATCGTTACCGTTTCTATTGATTAGTCATTAATTCTTTCTCCATCGTCAGACTGTCATGAGTGCATCTTCTTATCTGCTCCACACGGACGAGAAGGTATTTCCCGAACCCTTCGAGTTCAGGCCTGAACGCTGGATCAACGACACAGATCACATCGCGCGCCGCCAGTTTGTGGCCTTTTCGCGGGGTGCTCGCAGCTGTATCGGTATCAATCTTGCTTATGTAGAGCTGTATGCGGTTGTGGCAGCGGTATTTTCGCGTCTCGAGCTGAAGCTGTTTGAGACGTCCCGTCGCGACGTTGAGCTTGAATCTGAGGGTTTCATCGGTTACCGACCGAAAGATTCAAAGGGTGTCAGAGTACAAGTGGTTTCATGTATCTAGAGACTTAGGCCTAGAAGACGGCAGAACTAATAGCCATATCAATCCTCAAAACGAGAATAGATAATAGACAATAAGCTGGGCCCTGAGGTCAGAACCAACCACCCTTGCGGCCCATCTAACTCACAATTACGGCAATTCTGTACAAAACTTGAAACTATTAATCAATGAATAGCTAGCAGCATCTATCTTACTAATTATTTCTTCATGTGGCTACATTTAAGCTCGTGTCTAGAATCATACTTCTGCGTACTTAGCTGCAGGCTTTTTATAAGACTTAAATTCCCGAATTCTCGGAGAAAGGAGGCCGCAGAGAATCTCACCGTGGATAGTTTTCAGTGCCACAGCGCTCGCGCTGGGCTGACAACGGGACGGCTGACCACCTTGAAAACGGGTTTTCTTACCGCACCATATAAAGATTATCTGCTCTTATGCTCAGCACGCCCAGAGCATGCCGAATCAGCCAGTATATGGATAGAGAAACTCCTGAAGGGCGGAGCAAACCTAAACAACATATTCTACTGGGGGTTACACGACAGGGTGAAAACATCACCATGGCTCAAATTCCTCATCGACAGTCCCGTTTCCTGGAAAGACGGTGAAGATATGCTTCGAGGCGGGAGCTATTCTCCGATGTCAATGTTGATATGATTAAGCTCTTTCTAGACCATGGGGCGAGGCTCGATGATCGGACAATACTTATTCACGCAGTAATGCGTTCACATCTTTCATGTGACTTAGTGCCCCTTCCCATGCGCTTCATCCCTCCAGGCCCGTTGTTTGAGATAAAGCGCCAGCTTTATGCACTTCTAGTCGTTGAGGTCAATGCGAAATTCCTCCTGGAGAAGCAGCTTCAAATAGGGGAGGATGATCGCAGAAATGAGAAGATACAGAGCCTATTTTCTATGAGTGACGTTCAGGAAGTACAGCCTCATAGGCGGATTCTCCTAACTCACCCAACATTCAAAAGAATAAGCTAGAACCAACCCAATGCCATAGAGCAATTTGCCGAGGCGAGTCATGAAGACCCGGAGTGCATCTTAGACATTCTGGATGGGGGCAAAGACTTGTTTCCATATTTGGAGGAGCATCTGCTTGATGACGATGTAGATGAGGAGTCAGAGAACCTGAGCATGATCCTCCATGTCTGGGAGGCTTCGCCCAAGATTCAAAGTATCAGGCGGTATCTAGAGGAAAGAGGATACTACAAGCCGCTCGATGACCCGGCTGTCATTCAAAGTCCGATACCCATGTTTGAGGACGACACCGTGTCACACGCGTAAAACTGGCCATAAGGAACTTGAAGCAAGTGTACGAAGGGTCCTGCTGTCGTACGCGCCACTCCTATAGTTTCTCAGATTTCATAGAAAATCCCCCCGCGACAGCACTTGTATGCCCCCCTCCCCCTCCCACACCCTCCTTTTTTCTTTTTTTTTTGCTGCCCTTTCTGCTAAACCATAGCAATTTCTTTAGGCTTTAATAGGCAGCATTGTCTTAGACGGGTAGTTCTTGCCGTCTCTAGCGTAGGGCTACATTCTGAACTTCATCAGCATATTTGGAACCTATAGTACTATTTCAACTCCGGCCTAGTAGTAGTAAGTAATGCTCGAGCCGCGCCCTGTCTCCTCAGCCAACTCGGCGGGAAGCGACTCGAGTTCCTCCCGCGCCAATTCCTCGTCGTAGTCCTGCGCATGCTCAAAGTCCACCATACGAACAGCAACGCCACCATATCCTTCGTTAACAACAAAGTTATACCGGTTGACGTCTCCGTGCACGAGTCCCAGGTCTCCCAGCCCGTGCAGCCTCTTCAATAGAGCCGCGCATGGCGCCAGGTCTCCCGGGCCCGCGCATCTGCCTTCCAACTTCTCCATCAGGAAGCCTATCACGCGCCCGTTCTCCGTCAAGTGGCCCAGGAACTCCGGCGCAATGAGTGGACTGCCGCCGTCGTCGCTGGGTCGATGTGGTTGTTGTTGTTGTTGGGATTTCGTCAAGATGCAATAGGCCCAGGTCTCGCGGGTCCGGCTCGGGATCTGCCACTCAAAACAGGCGATCTTGGCGACCGCCGCCCCGCCCCGGTAGACCGTCTCGAAGACGCCCGAGTTGAGGCGCTTTATGCGCGGCAGGGACAGCACGTCGATCCGGTCCGCATGCCACGTGAAGGTGATCTCTCGCAAGGGATCGGTGTCGTCCGCGGTCACGGCGAGAGAGCCGTCGTCTGCGTTGCGCGCGAGTCTGAGCTTTCGCGATGGCGCATAGGCTAATAAATTGGGCAGCTGGGGGAGGAGGAGGTAGGGGCGGCACATGGTATCTTCATCGAAGACGTCGGTAGAGATGGTCAAGTAGTAGACTTGCTGTCCGCTACGGATGCGATACATGCCTTCCTTTTCATCAATTTCTTGGGAAAGTACTTCCATAGAGCCAGTTGGGACCGCGGCCGTCGTTGTATCCGGTGTAATAGTAGACATTGTATAAGCAGATAGGTAATTCTTTCTTATATAAAGTATAAATAGAAGTCGATAACGAGTAGCTCTATCGTAGAATTGCCCGCCTTTTCTAAATCGGCGCGTGGAGATTAATATGTAGTTAATAGAATGCGTTTCGATTTGCATCATAGCGAAAACATTCGATTCACCTGTTGCATAGTCACGCAAATAGGTTTACCCAGTTAATTTCACTAGGCTGGCCTGTTGGCGCTTAGAGATAAATACGCAGTTGGTAAAACTTGTTTCAATTTCAACGATGGTTGGACTATTATTTATACGCGTGTTGGCTAAGCCACCTGGTTCGTCTGTTGCCTAGAGGTACGGAGCGTGTTGAGTCTACCAGGCTAGCCCGTTGGCGCTAAAGATAAACGTGCAGTTGATAAACCCTATTTCCATTTCAACAATGGTCAGCCTATTAGTTACACGCGTGTTGGCTAAGCCACTTGTTTTGTCTGCCGCATAGCTACGGGGGCAGGTTATTTAATTGGATCTACTATGCTGGTAACATAGTGTTTTAAGAGATAGCGAGGTGATATCAGTAGATCAGAGAAGATGAGGCGCATACGTGGAAATACCTTCCTAATGTTATTATCCCTTTGACGCTTTAGCTGTGTAGCCTTCTTTAACCTTTTCGAATATTGGCACGCAGTTCGGTATTTCTAATATTTACACTTCACTTCCCCCTTACTTTGATTTTTGTTAGTAGTAGATCCTTCACGATGGCTGGAACTACTAAACTTCCCACGGCGTTGCTGTTGGTAGTTAGCATCGCCAACAACCAGTTCGAGCACGATGGTTACGAGACGTGTTGATCAAGCCGTACAAGTATAAAATGCCAGACAATGTTCCGTCAACTCATTCTGTTGTATCATCCACTTCAATCGCCATCGTGCTCGAATATCTATCCAACAAGAGCAACACTAGGATATTGCAAGAAAGCGCTCTGTTCTCTGTTCTCTGTTCACAGGTAAGCAAAACTCAAACCGATCGAAGTCGTCGAAACCACCACTGTTCATCTTACACTAACAGCAAACACCAGAACTACATTAAGTCTCGAGGCCTCGCACGAAGAATTTATCGCAACCAAACATGTGCACTCAGGTGTGGCACATTTACCAATGCGGGTGCAGAAAGAAGGGCGAGTTCAAACAGTGTGATCGACTGTATGACGCCCAGTCCAACCTGCGATGTGACAGGACTGTCCCTGACGACCTGGCTTCGCGCAACTACTGCCCATCGCATATGCCGACGGAAAGCAAGGCAAGAACAGAGTATATCGAGCGTCGTGGGCGTTGAGTTAAGGGCCCAGGTGAAACCATTAGTTGTGGGCGGCCGTTCGCGGGCGGCGAGCGTCGAGCGCGAGTGTGAGTGTGAGGCGAGGGTTACATGAGCTATGTAGGGTAGTGTGTTGGAAATCTGTAGTCAATTTTTGAGATTGTGTTATTCCAGGATTGTCAAGGCGATGGTACTCGCTCAACCTTCTTGCACATTTGACTAGCAAGCAACTGTTGTGCACCATAGCAATGTTGGATATGCGCGGAAAGCCTTACGCTCGAGTAAGCCCGCCTGACCATACCCAATAGTACACGATCAGGGTCGCAATCCGCCGGCACCATGTTGGCGATGACGTAGGCCGGTATCCGGCGACCTCTATGTTGGTTGAATGTCCATTCGCAACCCTTGCACCAAAGACCGTGTTCGAGGATGTCCGGAGTAGTAAGCGAGGGGAATGGAATGGATGCCATACCGAAATAGCGGTCAACTCCAGTATTCCCTTGATCTGGCACCATCAAGGAATCTAAACACGCAAAGTCCGAAAATATAGCTCGTAGGGATCTAGCCGTGGATTCAGTCCGCTCATTGGGTGGGCGCCTGCGTATGATGGCTTCTATAGCATCTCCTGGGGACCCGTAGATTGACATCGCAAGCTCTTTGGCAGCGGTTACACTGACAAGTCTGTATGATTTCTGGGTAGGCTTGCACGCGACCCCGTAAGTGCCAGGAATGCTGAACATGACGGGCAATTGCCGGACCATCTTGGGCGATAGCGCGAAAGTCTTGGTGGCAGCCGTTGGGGAGACGACCCGTCGCGTTGGCTTGGATCGCAGACATTGCCAACAACACCTTTCGCACGTCGGGAGAAACAGGTAAACGCCATACTCGGGACACGTCGCACAGCGCTCGTTCCGGAGAGCATTGTGAAGGTCAGATGCCGAATGGAAATGAAGCAGCTTCGTCCGACTAAGGGCTGCTAACGCGTGTGGTGCATGTTTCATGACATCTCGATATGCTGGGAGGGAACATACTATATTCTTTCCTTGAATGGAAGCGCGAGAAAAGCTGATGGAGGACTGGAAATCGAGGCTCATAAGCACCTCGTATAGCAGTTCGACTGGCAGCCTGTCGAGAGTTCCGAGGGACGAGGCACGACTTTGGAGGCTTGGTTCCATGGGGTTTGGCGGATCAGGGATGGTAATCATTGAATAGAGCTGGTCTCTTAGCCGATGGGAGAGACGAGAAAGAAGATCCGCAGGGACATCCTGGTAAGACATTCTTTAGGCATTTAGACATTAGATAGCGCTCGGCGGGATTGGCGGAGTGTTTTATTTTAAAGAATCCGAAGAAGAAGGTATTGATCTGTGTCGAGGGGGTCTTAGACACAAACTGTCAGCCACGAAGCCAACAGTAGACACCGTTCATACTCACGTCTTGGTTAACGGTTCAAGCTGAGACCGTTATAGGGCTGGAACTTTGAACCCTCAAAGCAGTTCATTTCTCTCTCTGCATACCTAAGATAATGCATCCATGGCCACAGGCAAGTTCAACCAACAGTCTCCGTGACCTGACGGAAAACTGGCTGAGCCGATCTGAGCCTGAGCAAAAAGCGGCAAATGCGCTAGGCCCAATTGTTTCCCGCGCGCTAGAAACTATGATGACTTAGCAGCTAGTTGAGCTGGACAACTTGTTTCATCAGGCGCAGCAAGTTTCAGACTGTTCAGTCTTACCTCAGCTTCAGGAATCAAACTAAACACCTTATTCCGTCGATACAACTCCCAATGCTAACCCAAATACTTACCGAGGTAGCCAGAGTAAAGGCTGACTGGGCATTGATATTCGCAATCCTATTGTTGGCCAAGTACAGCTAACCTGATAGATCTTCATAAGACGTATAAGGTTAGCCCAGAACCGACATGTTCTGAAAAGGTCAAACCTCTTACTTTCCCCCCCTAAAAACAGTTAGGCTTCCAAGGCTTGACACTACAGTCGGACCCAGCTTGCTTATGCTCCGTTTGTACTTATAAGTAGATGGTCAAAGAGATCCACCTGCCGCATGCCGTCCGCACCCGCATCCGCGCCCGCATGACCTCATCATTATCGACGTTCGCCGGAGGAGACTGGAATTTACATGTCGGCCGAGGACGTTACAGTCGGAGGTTGTAGTTACTTATTTTAGTAATAGGTCAAGACGCTCTCCCCCGCTCGTATTCCAGAGACTACCAGCTAGGCTCATTCATTAGTCACGTTATTTGTAAGCTCAGCACCTACCAGCCTGTTTCGTCTCACTCATAACACCGAGTGTGTGGTACACCTCTAGGATTGTGTGTATTGTCGGACTAGCCTTAGTACCGAAGTCCGTGGGACTGTACGCTTATATCAATACCTGAACTTCCTATTTCTTTCAGTCTGAGAGCTTGGTGCCGAAGTCTTGGGAACTGTACACTTATATCAATACTTGCAGTTCTTTCCATGCAAGAGCTCGGTGACAATACCCCTGGTGACAAGAACGAGTGTGATGAACACCATCGCCCGCTTACAGCTAAGATCACTTACAAGAGGGGACTTCACAGCCAATAGTGTAGCCAATAAACTTCATTTAACCACCATGGCGACGGCACACAAGATTCACATCACGCCCGACAACACCGGACTCTGGTCTATCAAACAGACTAATGCAGGAGCGAAAAAGACGACTGAACTACTGCAGAATGATCTCGAGGTTCGTCAATTCACTGACTATCATTTCCATATATGAGAGGTTGTTGGTGATTCATTACAAGCTAACATGTCATTATCATAGAAACACCACTGCTTCTTCAATAACATGGGCTTTCACGATCAGTAAGCTCGACACATCCTGTAAAAGGCACAACACACTAACCTATCATTTCTCTAGTATAAGCCATCATCTGCTCGCATTGTACGGCATTGGTGCCTCAGCAGACCACATTCAGATGGCGTACGATGATAATACCAACTACCAGAAAGCGCAATATGAAGTCCATCCAGATCAAGTCAAAGAGCTGAAAGATTTCGAAGTGGCGAAGACGAAACTCGGGAAAGAGGAGTGAGTTAACTATTGCCTTCATATGACGTCTCACACTTCATATATACAAAACAGAGACGAAGACAAGGTAGGATCATTCACTTATCTATATAGGTACTACACCGACTTCCTGGCCTTTTTCCAAAATGAGATAGAGGAGAAGGGTTGGCAAGCAGTCCTCAATGAGTATCTCTTCAAAGGTGATGAGCGAAGCGAGGATTTGTTGGTCCGCATGTTCGCAGGTGAGTCCCCATTACCAACGAAGCAGTCACCTCCCCACCAGCGTCAACTTAAAATGACCTGAAATTCCCCTTGCTAATTCACTCGCTCGCTCAGGTTTCTTGCATCCCCTAATCCAGCTCATGTACGGCGTAGAATGGCAACAGCCAGCCATCGTAGCAATGGGGCTGGCACAGGCAGCCGTGCACAAAGACAATCTGGAGAATTTCTTCACAAAGGCGGAAGAAGCCGCGCGGGCGTCTTCAGAGCCCATGCCAGAAATTACAAGCCTATTTGAAGAGGTCGCCGCGGATGAGAAAATGTCAAAATCTGCGCGCATGAGCGATGAGAATAAGATATATAACGGCGTTTTCAAGCGCGCCTGGGATGAGGCCATCCGCATCTCAGCGAAAGTGAAGGTCAAGCCTGAGGAACTTCATGAGAAGACTGTCCAGATGTATAATGCGAATGTTTTTGAAGCTGCTTCCGCCGCTCTTCGTCCGGGGAAGGAGGTGCGATTCGATTTCTTCTTAATGTGAGTACTCTTACATACTCACACACACACACACACTCTCTCTCTCTCTCTCTCTCTCTCTCTCTCTCACTGTGCGCACTACTGTAAATTCCACCAAGCATCCAGATGTCTATCTCACAAATGGTTGCCATCCATAACACACAAAACTTCATCAACTAATAGAACTCATCCCACAGGCACCACGTAAACATATGTCCAATACTACTATCCATCAACGCCCAAGACTGGATCCCAACAGCATGCAAAGTGCGCCTCCTAGAATGGAAGATCAGATTCGACCTCCTTGAATACGCAGCGCGGGGATGTCCTCCCCTCTCCCTAGAGAACATCAACTCCTACATCCCCAAGGAGCAAACTCGTGATAAGACTCGCGCTGGTAAGTGAGAAACATTCAACCCACCCCCATCGAGAAAAAAAATATTCTACCGAACAAAAGATAAGACGACAAACATAATCCCACTAACCAAAACACATCTCCATCACAGACCTACTCCCACGAGTCTACGCCCTCCACGACGACGGCCACGTCTCAAAGCTAATCCGCGCAATCGGGATCTGCCACGACGCAAGCAAAGCCCACGAGGACACGGACAAGCCGTGGCTCAAGATCAAAGGCGAAGCTCTCTGGACCAAACTATACCAGATGGTCCTAGACTCAGCCGAGGGCGACGGGCCGAAATGGGTGCGAGGCGCAGGTGACCCCGAAGCATGGGAGGTAAAATAAAATCCCCCGTCCCCCTTCCTCCTTCCCTGTTCTTCACATATCGTCTATACTCCATCTCATGTCCTTGCATTATTCATGCTCAGCCTCGTACTAACCCAGCCCGCAAATCACAGGAAGTTCCCGACAGCAAAGAGGGCCAAGGGCGCCTGTAAGCAAGCAAGTGGATGATGGGCCATATGACATTTCGCTCTCACGAATGACGACATACAACTCCGCTCAAAATATCCAATCTGTTACTCTTTTTTTTTTTTGCTGTATTCTATCTAGCCCTTGAAAGAAATGAAAATCCATATGAACTATGCTTAAACTGAAGCTCAATTTTCAGGCTTCTTTGCAATTGAAAATGATTCTCGGTGCTCGAATTCCATGCGCGTAATAGTGTACAGTACTTAAGCAAGCACAATCTAAGTCGTCGGTGACGACGACCTTTTCTTCCAAACTTTAACAACTTTATACATCATACGAATGGGAGAGTGGGTTTTACTTTGGACTTCGTGATGCTCTAAGCCGACCAGATACAACCCAGGAACAATACTGCCAGAAAGCACCACTTGTCAGGAGAGCTCAGATGAACATATATGTATACAATGCACTTAGTTTGTACACGGTGTGGTCAGCTAACTATGATAAAAGCGTCGCAGTCCTTAGGTATAATAACCCGATGATAACCACAGACCCGGTAATACTGCGTCAGCATACGATAAGAATACTCCTATCGGATCAACATGACCAGCAAGCTCTGTCCTCTATATGGGCAGTGTTGCTAGTATGGGGCACCCGTGCATCACGCTCGCATATAGTGGTTCTGCCTGAGCTGCCACCTTGCTCTTCATCGTGTCCCTCCCGTAGTGTGCATCAGTCGACTTGACGCTTCCATGTCTCAGCAACCATGCAGCCACATGCCAACCCTGCTGAACAATACTTAAAACAGTGGATATGGGTCCCTTTCGCTACATGCGAGGGTCGTAAGGATGCTTGACTCTGTCGTGTTAAAAATCACGACAAAATAACGGATGTGATTGTCACGGAGTAATCTTCCGTTTTTCTCTTTGGTTTTCTTTTACCTGAGGAACATCTCCCCGCCGTTTCTGTTTGTTCGGGTACGGTCCATATGGTCCAAGCCCAGCATAGCATCATCCTCAATAGTATTTCCTTCGTCGTACAAAATATCATCTGATAGGCGCGTAAGCAAACATAGTAAGTTAGTGGACAATGAAAACTCACCATCTGTTATGTATGTTGGTGTCTTTTGATACTTTCGCACAATAGCAAACTTGATTTTCTCGAATGCTTTGCCTTTTATGCCTGTTCGCTTCTCAAGGCGCTTCTTGGTCTCTGAAAATACCTCACCCTGAGAGGGGTCAATTTCAGTTCAGTGACAAGTTCAAGCAGAAGAAACTTACATCCTTAAGAAGGAACTTGAAAGGAATGCCGTGCGTTCGGTTCGGATCGGTTTGAAAGTGGATCACCTTGATGAAGTCCTGCTCTGGTGCGTCAATCTCTTCCTCTGGTACCCGTTCTGCTATTATGTCGACGTAGTCATTTATACTAAGAACAGGATAGTTGGGCACAAGCTCGCGAAAGAGCTTATGATTATGAATCTCATAAACTCTTATTCGCCCACCTTCGTTCTCGTCTTTGATCTGTGCCTTTTTGACGAGTGCTTGTATGAGGTCCTCGACATGTCCTTGTTTGCTCACAAGAATGTCAAAGGTTTCCTGAGCTATTAGTTACACTATATTCAGCCGTGTGTCAGAGTGGTTGACTTACATCTTTGGTGATTCCCTCACTCAACCACGTTATTTTCACATTCTTTTTCGTATCGAGCTCTGCAAGACTCATCTCCAAGACTTCGTAATAAAGAGAATTGGCTTTGGTTTGGAGGCTCTGCTGAGTATAGTTCTGCGGGTTCAAGATCTGTGCAAGCGTGGCGTTGGGTACTCGTCGTACCGCCCCTTTTGGAGCGCCTGTCGAAGCATTCGCAGTAAAGAATCGCAAATGCGTCGGCTCTATGCTAAGATGCTCGCCAACGCGTTCAGCTAGCTGATCGTAGGTGACCTTCGAGCTCAATGTCAAAATGAAGCTCTCTAAGTCAGGATTCTCGCACCGTGGGTGAGGATCCAATCGAATTTCCCGCTTGAAGCAAAGGAAATCATAGAAACTCTTCGCGTCGTCAAATCGATCCCAGCGCTTGGGCTCCTCCGAAGTCTTGTCTCCGAGACGGGGAATTTTCCCAAGTACCTCGGCTGGCGATTTGCGCTCGCTGATACGCTGGAAACATATGATGTCACCATCTTGCAGTTCTGCCGCCTTAAGGCTCTGCTTAGCCTTGAGCGCCTCGATCATCGAAGGTTTGATTTCTTCCCACATAGCCAACTGTTCTCCCGCAGGTAATTTCTCGCCCCAGCCCATCTTCTTGGCAATCACGGGAACCAGTTCTTCTATCTTCCTTTCTTTACTGACGTAGATATGACCAATACCATGAAGCTTCTGTTGCTCCACGTCGAAGTGCTTAAGGAATATGAGGATAAGGTCGTTCTTGACAACTACTCCATTAGCATTACTCTGGTACGTCGGCCAAATCGCATTGCCTTGAGAATCTACTTCATCAGTAACCTCGGCCCACACGCGAAGCACGCTGTCACGGCTGGTACCCACGGCGCGCGAAAGAGTTTCTTCGATCGATGGCCGGAGATCCATTATTGGTTGATCGGGGCGAGTTGTTTTATTCTGACGATTAACCATGATCCAAAGGCGAAGCCTCTTGGGGTCCTGGCCTAAGTCTTGGGCAATTGTTGCTACTGCTTCCTCCATAGAGATCTGTTTCCTCAGCTTGTAGAATCTTGGCGCAGCAGGATCATCCGCTGGATTTGATTCAAAATTGGTGAGGTCAGTCCCAGGATGGTTCTTGAAGGCATCTTCCGTGATAACTTTGACAGGAAGATAGAGGTGTTGCTCTTCGCGCTCTTTGCGCTTGGCTTCCCGAGCAGCTGCCTCTTCATCCAAGCGCTTTTCTGCGAGGCAAGTCAGTAAACAGGTGTATCAGAGTTTAATAGCGGGGTAATATTACGCAAATGAGGCGGAGAGTCCTCTTGATTTACCGGAGTCAAGACTTGGTCCAGACGAGATTCTCGAATATATACCAACATATACGCATTCATTTGACGCATAATAGGTGTCCTCTTTTGGAACGCTGATCGAGGCGGTATAAGCGAAGGTTTGTATTCACCACCAAAGTTCTCCTCTAGAGTTTCTCTCATGGTAGCTTTCGTGACTTTGTCATCGTCAAATTTGTAGAACCAGCCATCCTTGTTAGGCTTCAGGAAGGCGTAATAATGGCCAGCATTCAGGTCACCGCTGTGTACTAGCACACCATGTAATTTGTAGATCCATGACTCAGATTTATCTGCGTCTTTTTCGAGGTATGGTGCGAGATCCACTCTGTCTGGGAACTCGAAACGATCATTTATCTTCATCATCGTGTCGCGCTGAATGTCATACTCGAATCGTTTTAGGTGCAGATGCAATACTTCCGGAAAGCTCTTGAATACAACACCTTTGCGTGCATCCTGGTACTTGTGTTCGTCTCCAGCCCAATACTTATTATCACCATCCAACGTCTCTTGTTGAATGTAATCTTTGAAGCTCTCTTGCAGGTTAGGGATACCTCGAACGTTGAGTTGGATATCCCAGAAATCTTCAATCCGACTGGACTCATAATCGACGTTGATGCAAGAGACATATGTCTTAACCTTTCCACTTAGCATCTTGGGAAGTGAGTCTTCAGCAGCTGTTCCTTTCATCTTTTCCTCCATGCGCTCAATGAGTTTACGTGACAATTCTTGTACATCCTGCTGTTCAAAAATATGTCGCGTATCCCAGCCAAATGATCGCGTCAATTCGTTAGTTCCAACGGCGGAGTTAGATATTTGCAATTGGTAGAAAAGTCGCTGCAGGGTATATGCACTGTTTTGGATACTCTCATCTTCCGCCGTGGGTATTTGGTAAACAGCCTGTGGCCCAGGTTGTCAGCCTTCTCACGGCCACCGCTAACCGCTGTCTAGGACTGACCTTTCTGAATGCATTGGTAAAGTAAAGGGATTGCAAAAGCGAGTTTAGATAGCATGTGGCGCCTTGGTTTTTCAAACCAACAAATCCAGTCTCCTTCTTGGAATCATAGTTGTTAAAGTTATGCCATAGGACACCGGTTTCGTCCTCCACAACACGAACGTACGCAGTTATGTTGCAGGCATCATCTTCGACCAGCGGGCGGCCAGTGTTATTCCATGGCTGCTGAAACATGCGCCGGAGCTCGAGAAATCGAGTGAAGCCCCAATCGCTTTCTTCTTTAGTGAAACGATGGTGCGCAGTATGATGAGCGAAAAGAGAAGGGTCGTTCATGTTCCACATCACCAGGCCAAATTGTACACAGCAGCTCCAATCATCCGGTACACTGTTAAGGTCGTCGAAACCGTGCTCAAGGTATATCGAGGATTGGTCGACGTTGTTGCCGAACGGGAAAAGGAGGATGCGCCTATTCGAGGGGTTAGGAAATACTGTGGTGCACATTGCCATCATACTAACCATGGGTAGCCGCCAGCTTGAAATGTAGGACCGTGTTCCTTCTTAGCAAGGCGACTCCAATTCTCGACCTTCCATGTATTTACTGCGTCTTCTAGTATCTTAGGTTCTTCAAGAAGTGGTGGTAGGACAATCTCTTTCATGGCATCATCTGCACAGCATCGTTAGCCCAAGCAAGCAGGCATGTGGTCGGGACAGCACGCACAGTCTGTAGCTAGAGTGACGCTCTCAAGCGTCTCCGACTCGTTGTCAAGCTGGTCGGGTTCAATGATAGCAACCTGATCCCTCTCGTTCTGGGCCGGTTCGACGACCATGTCGTCTTGTGAGTCGACCATCATGTCGTTCGGGGAGTGAATGTTGTGGTTGTAACTCTAAGGTAAAAATTTTGTCAGTATGACCAGAGCTAAAGAGCTACAGCTGGGCAACGATAACAAAGACCGGAGTATATGATGATATCGGGAATAGCGCAACAGGTAAAAGAGTATACACGAGGATTTAGAGCCCCAATGACAGAATGACCATTTGGCACGACAAAGTCGAGCTAGGAAGAGGTAGAAAGGAAAAAAACTGATCTAGAAACCAGCTAGAACCAAAGCATAGCCATAAGGGAAACGAGCAGAGAGGAGAAACAATGAGGAAGTGTGGGATGGATTAGAGGACTGAGTGGGCTCACCATTTCTGCGGCGGGTGTGACGTGAAAACTCGGGATGGCGGCAGGTAGGTGGTCTGTAGACGTCAAACTGCACCTGCTACCCACCTATGTATGTAAGTACGCAGGCAGGCAGAGACGGCAAGCAAAGGCGGCACGGCAATGGACCAGGCAATAGACCAGGCGCCGCAACGCAACAGCGATAGCAACGGGGAGGCAGCAATGGGGCCAGCAACGTGCTGCGCGGGAAACACTACCTAGGTAATGGCAGAGGAGGGGCGGCTCATGAGGGCTGTTGAGGGCTGTCGAGGGCAGAAGGCGACGAACCGATACCTAAGATAATACCGCCCTGAGTGGTCCGAGAGGGATGCGTGGTATGGTATGGTATGGTACGGTACGGTACGGTACGGTACGGTATGGTAGGCAGGCGGGCGTAAGAATAATGGCAACAATGACAATGATGGTATGGTAATATTGGTGGGGTTCGACGAGTGCCAGCCAGCTAAATAAAGTGCCTGCTAGTTAAGTAATGACGATGGGGCGGGTGCGGGAGGAGAAGGGGAAGCCTGCGTTGCGCCGCTGCGAAGTCATGTATGTATCTGGAGCGTGGAACAAAACCCTGTGGAGGGAGGGATGGCATGGGACAATAAGGAAGTAAGTTGAGGATGCCTTACAGACCCGGTTCAGGCAGAACAAGGAGATCAGATCGAGGGAAACAACAAGAAGGAGGTAAGGAAGAGGAAGAGGAAGAGGAAGCCAGAAGCACGATGGCTTGCCTCGAGACAGGTGCCCGGGGGCAGAGAGCAGAGGGCAGTGAAGCTGTACCAGATGTCATACTAGGTAGGGTAGGTACCTTTTTCTGGCTGGTACTTCCTTAGGTACCCACTAGTACCTACTAGGTAGTCTGTAGGTGGGCTGTGCTGTGCTGTGCTGCCTGTCCTGTCCTGTCCTGTCCCGCAGTGCGTGCCCCCTGGGCTTCTATCTTGGGGTTATGCCACTAACTAAATCATACATGTGAGGTGGGTAGAGTAAGGAGGTACTTGGCTACAATGTGTGTTCGCCATACCATGGCAAGTACCTTATCACTCTTCACTACCTAGGTACTGCTTATACTTACCTAAGTACATATATATGTATGTACATAGGTATGATAATGATAATATATTCCAGGCTTGGTTGGTGCTGACAAGACCTTTTCTGATCCCAAGGGATAATGCTATTAAACAAATGTAAGCGAAGTACATATGTAGCAAAGGGTCCTAAATACCTCCTACATTTATTTGTGCAAAGAACAACAATGGGTGATGATAATTATCCTAAATCTTCACCGGTGGCGATATGGTTCTCATCAGTACTTTGCCCATACCTACATGAAGCTACGCTACTTACACTGCAGCACTATACGTGATGCATGATTTGTAGTGGACATGGACACATTGGCAAATTGGTGTGCGTCGGTAGACCTCAACTACTGTACCTAGGTTCCAACAGATTGGCCATCAATAAGAAAGAACAAGTAATTGAAGGTAGCCCATGTACATAACTTAGGTAAGTACATACCTAGATATAAACTGCTACTCTCTAATACAAGGAGAAATGCCATAGTATTTGGGAACTTCATCTCACGCGGGCTTACTTCTGGTTCATTGCACCTTGGATAACTACCTAGGTAAGCAAGTGCTCTCTAGGGTTAGCGCAGCTGCGTTGTGACACGGCTGACGAATCGAGGTGATTTGGCAATGCCATGATGACGTCTATGAGGGTGGTGTGTAGCAACTCTGAGCACTTGGCGGGCAAAGAGGATTCTGGCTTTCTGGCTTCCAGAGCCTGATTGTAGTCCAAGGGCCAGGAGTCAACTCTAACCTAGTATATTGACAGTAGCGATGAAAGATCAAGGAGGTTTCGAGAATATTGAGCGTTTAAAAAAAAGTCCATTGATGGAAGCGTGATACTAGTACTTATCTCACCTAGGTAGCTGGGGAAGTCTCAGAAATCACCTATAAGTTGTCTCTGCTGAAGAAGTCGAAACTAGGTACACCCTTGAAGGCCATCAAGATCCTTCTAAACATCATACCGAATCTTCTCTAATCTATGAGACCACATGTAGTTGAAAGCACATGGCATTTGAATACGCCCACCATGGAGAATGGCTATGTCATGTCTGATGATGGAACTAGCTCGGCATGGTGCATGAAATCAACTGGTCTAGTACCTGACATAAACTGCAGCCAGGTTGCTACCTAATAAGTATACTGAGTTACACTTAGGTATCTAATTCCGGTCACCAGTTAATATAAACCTCTACCAAAGGAGAACAGAAGTAGCTTACTCGAATTGAAGACCAGAAGGCATGTATTACCTACCTACTTTCAGGCGGGCTGTCATGGTAGAGAGTTCACAATGCCCCTCTCATGTGCCCACCTACTACTACCAAGTAAGTATCTACCAACCAGATGCTGTCAGGTATTACCTAGAAATACATGTAGATATTTCAGCCATGCTGCTCGATATGTCTCAATTCAATGAAGAATAGCTAGATTTCAAGATATTCCACAAGAGGTAAAGGGTAATAAGGACCTACATATAAATGCTGTAAGAAAGTATCTACTATGTAAGGAGGCAGGCACCCACTAGACAAGCTCCAAAGCTCCAATAGCTGCGCTGCGAAATCGGCAACTTGCTCTTGTGACTAATGAATTTGGGGGTGGCATCATCATTGACATGTGAGGAAGGGCGCTGTTGGAGAAGGCCTTCTTCAACACCACACATATACCTATGTATCTTCTGTACTACCTACCACCTACCCACCTGCTAACCCATTTTCTGTAATTCACCATTCGACATCGTGCCTTTGGTTTTTTGTCTGCTGCTGCTTTCGAATTCTGTTTCTTTATTGAACCGATTCTCGTTTGACATTTCGAATTTTCTCCAATTGCTGAATCCACGCGCGCCCTGGCATGGAATTGCCGGCATGCTACCCTTTGTGGTGCAGAATGCCACCAAAACTCTCCGGCTGAGCATCTGCTTCTCGTCACAAGCCCCCTCCATCACATCAACCACAACCGCCACAGCAGGCCGGAGACCTCGACCGCGCGCTATCCATGGGTTACGCATTGACCAGAGTGGCCTTGGGCGCCCCAAGAACCAGAGATACACACACACAACCGCAAAGTGGAGGCCTGTACAGGCCCTTGACGAGTATGTCGCTAAGCCGACCTCTCTATACAATGATTTGTGTGACTGACGGCATGCCTGTGCTTTGGCATACAGATGGGTAGCGAAAGAGGCACGGCCGATAAGCTTGCGACAGCTGATGGTTTTCGGGCGGTCTTTGACGGAAGCAAGACTCATCAGCTCAGCCAACTATGTACGAACCGAACTTCCCACAAGGTACGCAGCCTCTGTTCCCGTCGACTATGAGCACGCCAGCTATAGAGATATGTAAAAAGACACAACAGCTCACGTACTGAATCTAGAATCGCCCACCGCATCCGTGATATGCAACGCCTTCCCTACGTGGTTGTGACGAACCGACACATAAGCGATGTTTACGAACTATATTATACAGCCTTTGACACCTTCCGGCGTGTCAAGGAAATCAAAACTCTAGAGGACAATGATAAGCTCTGCTCTATTATTGCAGGCATGCTGCGTGCCCATCTGAGTGTGATCCCCAAGCTGGCCATGGGTATTCTGGAGTGTAACGGACTCATGCCCGCAGCCGATCTTGATCGCTTCATGAACACTATCTTACGATCGGTACGTGATTTCAGCTATTATAGCCATACATACAAGCAGTGGAACGGCCTGGGTGAAGATAAAGCTATGAGTGGACTGCATGATCTAAACAGCTAATCTGCGTTTCGTGACAGCGAATCTCCCGGCGTGTCATAGCTGAACAACACCTTGCATTGACCGAAACATTCAACTCAGACTGGTTCTCACCAGGTGCCAAGCTCTCTGAATCCGAGTTCATTGGGGAAGTGTTTCTCAAATGCGTGGCCCGAGATGTCGTCGAGCGTTGCGGACGGGCCGTCCAAAAATTAGTACGCTCAGCCTACGGGGCCGATGCTGCGATTCCCGAGATTCGCATCGACGGAGATCTGGAAGTTAGTTTTCCTTACATTCTGAGCCACCTCGAGTTCATCATCGGAGAGCTGCTGCGCAATTCGGTGCAGGCGGTAGCTGAGCACCACAGCAAGAAGCCCAACAAGAACGGCGAGAAACCCCCGCCCATCGAGGTGACGCTCTGCGAGGCCCAGCAACACGTCATAATCCGAATCTCGGACCGCGGCGGTGGAATCTCGCGAGACACGCTCCCACACCTCTGGTCCTTCGGAAAGGGGCCCTCGACGCCTCAGCGCCTAGAGAGTCTAGGCCAGGTTCCCTTAATGGCGGCAACGCTCCAGGAACTCCGCATTGACGGCAACTTCTCCGACCTGCAAAACATGTTCCCCGACAGACATGCCCCCACGGACCCAAGCTCCTATAACTCCGAGTGCCACAACGGCTCGCTGACGACGCTCTCCGGACGGCCGCCAAACCTGCATCTCGGCATAAGCCTGCCGCTAAGCCGCGTATACGCCGAATACTGGGCCGGCAGTCTAGAGCTGCATAGCTTAGAGGGCTACGGCGTCGACGCTTTCTTGCAGATTTCAAAACTCGGCAACAAAAACGAACAACTAGCTACAAGAGCCGCCATGGATGCTGTCTAGTCGTAGACGGACATATTCCTCTGTAAACGCTAAATATATATAAACTTAGTCCAAGCACAGCTTGAGCCATGAAATAACTAGGGCGGAAATGAGAGCAATGCATATATATATACCCCCTTATTGATAGAAGCTTGAACGCCTTCAACTGTCAGAATCAAATGATCTTTCAGTTCTCTCTTTAGACGATATACGCCAGAATCATAACATTTATCACGCATATCATAGACCGTGATCATCTTTAGTGAATGGTATCGTAAGAAAAATCTGGATTACATCGTCAACTAAACCTAACTGCAGTGAAGAAAGTGCTAGAGATGGGGTACTACTTGAAAAGTGCGCCCGCTAATGAGAAATATCTTGGACGACGCCCGGTGTTTTCCGTTTTGTTTTCATCTCGACATGCCAGAACGCTTCGTAGTCCTAATTACCAGGAACAATAGACTAGTTATTATGTATTTGACTCCCCTTTCCTGTGCACCCGCTTCTCTCCCCCTTTCTCTCACGATCCATCCTTGTTTCATTAGACAGACTTCAAAAACAGCTCCTAAGCATATCGATTGGGTAAAGCCAACTTTGTTTATTAAGTTTAAGCAGGCGCAGAAACTGGGTATCATAGACTCCCTCTTCCATTATTAATGGAGACCGTGGATCAACGTTAGACGAAGCCGCGCGAGGTTAGCGAATACGTATGGGAGAGGTCAGCTTAACGGCGACCACTGCGGGCGACACTGCCCTGCATCTGCTCGAGCTCAGTCTCGAGTTGCTTGATCTGGGCATGTGTTTGTTCAAGATCTTTGTTGAGGCGATCCCGCTCAGCAATGAGCTTCTGCTCCCATTGCCGGAATCGTTGCTCTTCAACCTTGACTTGCTCGGTGAAACGCTTTCGAAGTGCCTCCTCTTCCTCTTTGTACTTGGGGTTATCCAATTTACGGGGGCGTGCCTCTCCAAATTTGCGTGTCTCCATTTGTTGAGCACGGTAAGCCTCGTAGTGCAACTCCTCGGTAGTGTGGATGAGGTCAAGCATGTGAGTGCGGATCAAGATAGAGCGGAGCTTCTTGAAGTCGCAGTGATCCTCATTCTCAACTTCGGCAACACCCCACGAGTACTGGCGGCCCTTGACAATCCTTCCATCACTAGTCTTCACATCCTTCTCAGAGCCGATAACGGCAAAAGGCATAGCAGCCATCAAGCTCCGGGCATGCTGGGCAGCAGCCTCATCATCCTCCTCGACTGGGGGCTCGTAGATCTTGATGCCTTGCGCCTCGATAACAGCACGAATCTATCGAATTATCAAGTTAGAGAAACCCGATCTGGTATAGGTGACAAAGGCAGACTTACCCTGGCCTTGAATTTAGCTAGATCAGCAGGACTCAGAGTATCAGCCTTGGCAATAACGGGAATCAGATTCACCCGAGAGCACAGTCTCTTCATGACCTCGATATCCAAGGGTTTCAGAGTGTGGCCAGTAGGACGAATAAAGTAGAGGCAAGCATGGACACGGAGATCGATCTTGTCCTGGCGGCGAGGTTGTTGCTCTTGAAGCATGTAGGACTCGTGCTGATCGTCGAGGAATTCAATGATGGGCATCCATGAGTCCTTGTTGTTAACGTAGTCGCCGAAGCCCGGAGTATCGATAACGGTGAGGCGGACTATACAAATCAAAGGTCTCGTTAAGCGAGGGACAAACTGCAGTTGGGGAAGGAAGGTGAGCTACCCTTGAAGAACTTCTCCTCCAACTCGGCCTTGGTTATCTCAATCTCGACGGTCTTGTCGACTTGTTTCTGATGGCGTTTCTTGTGGTCGGCATAGTTCTTGATGGTGGTTGAGAAAAGAGTGTTGATGAAAGTCGTCTTGCCCAGACCGGATTCACCAGCAACCTGTTGTGATGAAGCACATCAGTAAAGAGCACGCACGGCATCGCGAACAGGGATTCATCTACACACCATGATGGTGAAGGCAGCACCCCTCTTGGCCACGATCTTGTGTCGCTGGTTGGGCAGGTTGGCAATGCCAATGGGCGACGCGCTTTCGGCGGCTGCTGGAGGCATCTTGGGCGAGATATGCAACGATTGTTGGGAGAGAGACAGAACCAGAGCGGACGTCAGTGGAAGAGGATGAGGTTCTTGAGGAACTCAACAGGCACGGAACAGGCACGGGACCAGAGGATGGAACAGGAACAAGAGATAGGAGAGGGCGTGGGGTGTGGGTGTGATGTATGGCTTGCACAAGCCTTCGAAAACAACAGCGGTGATGGGCAGAATCGAGTGGTTGAGGAGGGCCGATGGCTTCAGGGGAAGGCCTTCCAATGCTCGTGTTAGCAAATTTCCCTTGGTCTGCTTGGGGGACGCCCGGCACACACCACACACAGAGAGCAACTACCTTAGTTTACCTAGATCCGACCCGACAGGGGGTTTGAATAGTGGATTGTACCTACGCTAGCGCCGGTGGGCAAAGGGTACCTTAGGTAGGTAGGCTCTCTGATGCGGTGTGGTGCCAACTGGCAGGCCCCGTCTTCAATTATGGTTTAGAGCTCTGAAACACGAAAAGCTCTGACCACCTTACACAGTAACAGACAGCTGTACCTTTCCATCTTCCGATTTACCTGAAGCGATCCAATTAGTCTAATCTTAGCCTAGCGTGGCGCTTACCAAAAGAAGAGTAGCACTCAGGTACAGATGGCCTAGGTAGTTAACATCCAGAAAACATCCAAATGATGTGCTGATAATGTACTTATTAAGAAAATAACTACCTATGTAAGTAAGTAAGCTAGTAACTCACGATTGTCGGTGCCGTAAAGCAGCCTATGTCTCAGGCGCCTTCTGGCTCGCTCCAGCGCTTTCTGAGACGCCCGGTCTCGGTGTTGCCCTCCAGACCTACTGCTACTTGTAAGTGGGATCCGTCCTAAGCGGCAGCTTCTTGGGCTCCGGCCGCGTCGGTGATGGTGTTAGTGCGGGAGACGCCGCGGCGTCCGGCTGAAGTCTTGGCCTAAGACCAAGTGTCGGCCGGCTGTGTCCAGAGCCGTGATTATCTTCTTCGCTGCATATGGCGTGTTTGGAATTACAGAAAGCCAGGGAAATCAGGAGAGCAGGAGAAACTAAAGCATAATTGACATTCGCATGGCAACGCAGGGACAGTACTCATGGTTATGCTAGCATAAGCAGAGTACTTTGTCTACCAGTAAGCATAAATTCATTGTGAATATATGTAGCCGTCTTGCCTCCATTGACATTAAATCCGGACACTAGGTAACCAATAGGAGAAGAACGTGCGCGTCGGGGAAAAGTCTCTTCCCATGAGCCCTGCCATCTATCGACCCTGAAGCGCAGAGACCGGGTTGATGCTCGACGACGTACTCTGAAAGAACCGAGTAAAAGACCGCCATATATAATGCGATTAAAACTTTGTAATACGTCCTTCTCTCCTCATTTGCCAAAGCGACTTGGGCTCAACGACCTGGCAGGGCAGTTGTAGGTAGTAAATTGCATCTCCAGGAGAACGGATTGTCAGATAATTTGCACCTCTGGGATCACGGAGGGACTGCTGAACGTCCTCGGAATTCTTTGGGAGGTGGATTACACGACGAAGCAGCTTCCTGGCAGCAAGCTGCCATGATTTGACCACCTTAGGACTAAGCTGGAGAGTCCATGTTCCGCGCCAAGTGACCGAAGCAGATCCACGCTCTACGTGATATATAAATACGCAGGCATGCCCCCTTCCACCATTCCACAGTACAAACGCATATAACTTAGGCATCTGCTGTGCAAGGTTCCCTGCTTCGTGTAACAAATCTTCGAGTGCTATATCGTGCTCGTTCTCTAGATGCAAGAGATACGATGTGAGTGCCACAGATTGCAAGTGTTGCCATGTCTATTCTGGGTTACAGCATCGAAAGATCCGTTCGGCATCAACCATGAAGGTGATGGCAAGATGTTCTAAATCGAGGCTTTTCTCTGCCAAAACCCCCTCGGGCATTTCGCGAGGGGTGAACAGATTCTGGAAACGGTTGGCTGAGTGCTGGAGCGACTGGAAAATTGGATAAAAACGGTAGGAATCTTCAAATACTATCAAACTTTTAAGAGTAGACGGCAGGTATCTCAACTGCTTAGAAAGTTCTTGCTGAAATGGAAGGTATATGAGGGTTACATTCAACTGACTACTTGATGTGAGTGAGGTGGGAAGACCGTCTTATATACATGAACAGTGCCTTCGTGACCCTTCGTGACCCTTGACCCGTACCGTATACATGAATTGACTCCTTTACCACCTACACTTTCAACAGTTCTGTGACTAACATCAGCGATAGATGATCATGACATATGTGGCATAGAAAAGCGACGTCATGTATGCAACGAAAGACGTGGGCACTTACCATGCTGTGGAACTACTCTATTTGTATGATATAGAACCCAAGTCTCGTAAGATATGTGCCTCAGACCGGCAAACGTCTGTAGTAATAGTCCTAACGACTTAGGTGAGAAACGGCGCCGTAGCTGTCGGCGGATTGTTAGGCTAGTGACTGCCGTAACGCGAGGTCAGCCCTTCTTGAATGCCAGATGGATGGGTCGGGATAGGCTTCATTTGGCTGGGCCCGCGGAACGTGGAACTAGTTGTCCACCCATCCAGCCGTGTTTTGGGTCATGGTGGTACGTTCTTTCAATTATTGCCCCCTCGCCATCACCATCTTCAACGTCATCAGAGGACAAGTATATGCCCTTAAACCAATGCTTGCAGTCGCTAGGATCATATGCATTAAGTTCCAGCGCCAGTCCTTGATTATCCTCAGAATCCCATGTACTGAGGATGGTACAAAGCTTCTGGATTGCGCGACTGACGATAACGCTGACCCTACGTGATAGTACTCGTTCTTGGGAGCAACATTTAGGCGTATATTGGGGCAATTTGACTGTGAGGCAGATGTGGCGAATAAGTTTTCTTCTTCTTGGGGCTATGTGTTGGAACCTCTCGAGGCAGTGAGAGTCGTCAGGGTACGGCAACCGCAGATGTAATTTGCGAAAATTGAACTCCTCTAAGCCTTGTTGCAATTGTCTGCATACTGTCGCATTAGATGCTCAGCCAGAATTCTTCTGCTGTGCGATTTCCCCGAATACCATGTCGCCGATCTCTGGAGGTAGTTTCGACCAACTCATTTTCCGCCTCGCTTAGCTGTGGGCCCTCGTTTTACTGAACTCAGAAGTGATATAAAGTATTAGTAGATACCTGACGTAACGTCAAGGAGAGATAATTGCTATTCCATTTATATATATATTGAGCAGGGTAGAATACACCCTCGTCGTCACGGTCTGAGTAATTATATAAAAAGCAATCTCACACGCCTAAACCGACTTTCTGTTTGGGTTCGCAAGAGATTTTCGATGGAACTATCTACATCAAGTTTATATTCTTTCTTTACAAAATCTAATGTATTACAGTGGCATACTATGTTAAGTTTACGTGGGAAGTATATGGGAGTTGGCATATGTCGGCTCGACTTTCTTTCCTCCTCTCCCCCCCTCCATTCTATAGGTAAGTGTAGTTAGAATTTTACCTTTAAGTTTTCCCATTGGATGAAATAACCCTAGTGCGTCTCAAAGTATTTCCGCTATTATGCATGCTCTGATTGAGTAGATGGCATTGTGTTGATGTGGGGGTAGTGGCCCTCACGGAAGTGGCCTAGAGCATGGCCTAAGCTGTACCGTGCAAAAGAGCACGGGTGGTGTTACCTAGGTACCGTACTTAGGTTGCTTCTTATCACTGATAAGAGGTCGATCTTATCAGCAACCAAAAAAGTTCGGCTCCTTCAGTGCCTTCAGCATGGAAAGATTCTTGGGAGGCAGACATAGGATGGACACATAGCACAATGAAGACTGATTTCAAGGTATCCTGACTATGTTTCCTTCTGGATAGTTTCCGCGTCGCTAACATTATTGTCCAAGTTCTCCAACTTGCTTGGAACCGTCTACTGTCAAGGGAATCTCTTGTTCAGTCCAGATGGAACCTGCCTGTTCTCTCCAGTCGGGAACCGGGTCACTGTTTTTAATCTTGTCGAGTTAGTTAAACTACACTTTGAAATTCATCCATATCTTCGCATCCGATTCATAGACACTAAAGTGCTCTTCTTCCAGGAACAAATCGCATACACTTCCGTTCGCACACCGAAAGAATATCTCAAGGATAGGCCTGACACCGCGGGGCAACCTATTATTTTCTGTCGATGAGGACGGTCACGCTATCTTGACCAACGTTACCCGGCGCATACCTATATACCACTTCTCCTTCCGCTCGCCTGTCACTGCCCTTGCTTTCTCCCCCTCGGGGCGCCATTTTGCCGTCGGATTGGGTCGCAAGACTGAAGTATGGCAGGTCCCTTCTACGCCCGACTCGAGCCCCGAAGGTGGCCTGGAGTTTGCACCTTTCGTGCGCCACCATACTCATATGGGCCATTTCGATGATGTGCGCCATATAGAGTGGTCCAACGACTCTAGATTCTTCTTGACAGCATCCAAGGATTTGACAGTTCGCATATGGAGTCTACAAGCCGAGGAAGCTTTCGTCCCGACTGTATTATCCGGACATAAACAAGCTGTCGTTGGAGCTTGGTTCTCTAAGGACCAAGAGACGATATATACCGTCAGTAAGGATGGTGCAGTATTCGAATGGCAGTATACTAGGCATCCCGATGCGCCGCCTCCCGACGAGGACGAAGAGATGGAAGGGGCCAATGACGATGATATGCGCTGGAGAATCATGCAAAGACACTACTTCATGCAGAGCCAGGCACATGTCAGATGCGCCGTGTTCCACCCGGATACAAATTTACTGGTAGCTGGCTTTTCCAATGGCATATTTGGTCTGTACGAAATGCCTGACTTCAATCCGATCCACACCCTTAGTATATCCCAGAATGAAATCGATTTTATTACTATCAACAACAGTGGTGAGTGGCTGGCTTTCGGCGCCTCTAAGCTTGGCCAGCTCCTGGTTTGGGAATGGCAATCAGAGTCCTACATCCTCAAACAGCAGGGCCACTTCGACTCGATGAACTCACTTGTTTATTCGCCCGACGGAAAACGTATCATCACTACTGCCGATGACGGTAAAATAAAAGTATGGGATGTGGAGTCCGGATTTTGTATTGTCACATTCACTGAGCACACAAGTGGTGTTACGGCTTGCGAATTCGCTAAAAAGGGCAATGTATTGTTCACCTCAAGCTTGGACGGCTCGATCAGAGCCTGGGATCTGATAAGATTCCGAAATTTCAGGACGTTCACGGCGCCGACGAGGCTCTCGTTTTCTTGCATGGCGGTAGATCCAAGCGGGGAAGTTGTTGCAGCAGGGTCCCTAGACTCATTTGATATTCATATTTGGTCAGTTCAGACTGGCCAATTGCTCGATCAACTAGCTGGGCATGAGGGGCCTATCTCATCACTAGCCTTTGCGCCTAACGGCGGCTTGTTAGTCAGCGGCAGTTGGGACCGTACGGCTCGGCTGTGGTCTATATTCGGCCGTACACAGACAAGCGAACCTTTGCAGCTTCAGTCGGATGTGCTAGATGTTGCTGTTCGACCCGATTCAGAACAACTCGCCGTCTCTACCTTGGATGGCCAGCTGACCTTCTGGTCCATTTCTGGTGGAGAGCAGGTATCTGGGCTCGATGGCCGGCGTGATGTTTCTGGAGGCCGAAAGGTTTCCGATCGAAGAACAGCCGCGAACGTGTCAGGCACAAAGAGTTTCGGCACCATAAAGTATAGCACGGATGGTAGCTGTCTACTTGCGGGTGGGAGCAGTAAGTATATTTGTCTATATTCTGTGAGCACTATGGTTCTGCTCAAAAAATTCACTGTCAGCGTCAATCTTTCATTATCTGGCACTCAGGAGTTCCTCAACAGTAAGCTTCTTACCGAGGCGGGCCCTGAAGGCTTGCTCGACGACGAAGGGGACTCGGATGGAAACAATCGCCCGGATGATTCTCTTCCAGGGTCAAAACGTGGAGGTGATCCATCAGCCAGAAAGAAGCTCCCAGAAGTCAGAGTTACTGGTGTTGCCTTCTCTCCTGCTGGTACGTCTTTCTGTGCCGCTTCCACCGAAGGACTTCTCATTTATAGTGTCGATAATGAGCTCCAATTTGATCCGTTCGACTTAAATATGGAAATCACACCAGCCTCCACTCTCGCAGTTCTCGAGAACGAGAAAGATTACCTGAAGGCCCTTGTGATGGCGTTCCGGCTGAATGAAGCGGGCCTGATCAAGAGGGTATTCCAAGCTATACCATATCCTGACATTGCATTAGTGGTCGAACAATTTCCCACAGTTTACGTGGCCAGGTTATTGCGATTCGTAGCAGCACAGACAGAAGAATCACCTCATATCGAGTTTTGCATGCTCTGGATCAAAGCTTTGGTGGATAAACATGGTCCATGGCTAACAGCCAATAGAAGCAAGGTTGACGTTGAACTCCGGATAGTTTCCAGAGCTATCGCTCGGATGCAGAACGAGATCAGACGCTTGGCCGACGAGAATATTTACATGGTTGACTACTTGCTTGGGCAGGCTAATACAAAGTTTGCTGGAAACACCGATCAAGGTCCCAGCCACGAGGGCGACGAGCCAATGAAGTTGCTGACAATGAGCGAACCAGAAGTAGCTGGATCACAAGACGACTCTGAAGGAGAATGGATAGGTCTAGACTGATCAGTTTCTTCGTATTGTGGGAGTTCGGCGTGCCGAGTAGTGTCTTCACCAGCGCAGAATGTACATTCTCATCCAAGGGTATGCTTTAACAAATATTGCGCCGCAGGTGAAAGGGCGCGTATACAAGCGGACTTGCGCAAGTGGCCAACGAAACAGCGCTTCGCGTAGCGCTTGTCGATGGACTGGCAGCCATTACACACAGTCAGGGGCAACCAAAAGCCGTTAGTTGTTGCGTCGCGGTTGGCTCAATCGGGACCTACCTATCTACCTGGGTCTATTTGGTGTCTTCATACCTTGTAATAGTTTGACAGCGCGCCAGTCAGTACTGAGACAGCAAGCAACGGTCTCAGCTCAAGACGCCTCAAGGAGGCTCGTTGCAGGGGCCATCGGAAATACCCCGGCAGAGAATCAGTAAATATTAAACCAATCAGCAACAGGCATAAAGGGATTTCGAGTGATGGACAGTTGGACAGGGCAGTTGACCTTTTATCATGAAAGTGCCGCGCACCATGATACTAAGACGGGCGAGAGACTGCTGCTGCCTGCTGCACAGCCATGAGCTGCGAAGTTTGGCAGGCAGCCAATCCGCATCTAGACTCTGTGTCCGTCATCATTTAGCTGGTACAACCATTCCCCATACACCGCAATTGAATCCTTCACAGTTTGCTTCAACTGTACCCTCAACGTACGTATGCTAGGATGCGTTTAAGTCCACTTGCATGCTTATTGCACGCGTCACTCTCCACCCAGACGTGAGAACAACGAATGAAACTTGCCCGTCATCTTGTGTCCACTGTGAACCTGCCCCTAATGCCCTATGTGCCCCGCATCTTCGGCTGTCATACTACCCTATCGAGTGAGTCAACTGACAAAAATCGAGACAGGTGAAGGACACACATCACATTACTGTACCTAGTATACCAGCCTGTCGGTAGCTAGGCGTTCTTTTAAAGTTGGGGTATCAGGCAGAGACCTGCAGAGGCAAGAGACTGTGCCGTCTTACGGGGAGATTCATAGGTGACGCATTGAGCCTGACCCACGAGTTTGCCACTCACCTTTTGTAGATTCTATCCTTACCTCCCTTACCTCTTCTCGCCTCTGTATTTTAGGCAACTAGTAGGTGGCAAACATAGAGCAAACCTGTCTGGATATATATTCTATGTACTTCGTCCTTCCCCCTTCAAAATCGTAGCACGGTTGTCGGAGTGTGCACCGGTGTCGTCTCTTTCAAAGGCTTGCAGGTCTCACATGCATAGTATTGACTGTCTGTCGTAGAAGACGCACAGGATCCGACTACTTGTCATATTTAACGACGCTGCCGACGTCGGCCGTATCATATCTCCCGTATCGGCGCCTACCTTCTACTTTATAGACCATTTACCAGACAGATTTCATTAATTCTTTAGACACGACATTTCTTGAAGTGCAATAAGGGTCGCTCGGTGAAAATAATGGACATAACCTCTCTGATCAAGGGGATGATCCCAGAGGCAGTAGAAAATGTCACAACTACCGGCAACACATCAGCATCTCACAGCATGCCCGCCAACGTCGTCGAAAGTATACTGCCACTCATAGGCTTGAAGGGATTTGCTCCGATGTATCGATTCATTGGGAGCTGGCTCGGTTGGGATCCGACAGCCCTACTGACTGTGTTAGGTTTTATAGTAAGTTAATAATTATTTTCTTCGTTTTCCATCGGGATCACAGGACAAACACCCCCCCTTTCTTGTCCATGTTTGATTATCATGGATTTCACCGGGCTCAAAACGCGCACAAACTTTATTTGACAGTAGCAACTGACTTTGGGTGTTGCAGTGGGCCACCAATAAGGTTGTTCGGCAGATATATTACTTTCTATACGGACTATTCACAGATCATCTGATGAGTTCTATTCATGTCAGTAGCACCGATGACATATACATGCACTTGATGCTCTGGCTTTCCAAACAACCAAGAATGGTAAACTCTCGATACTTGATGGCCGAGACCGCGAGTAAAACGGCCTGGGAGGACGAGGACGAATCTATGGTAGCACGCGATCGTTCAGGCTTATACCTCAATTTCTCCAATCAAGAGGCAAGAGCGGTGAGTTACTCCCCTTTATCTGTGTTACTCGCACCTTTTCACACCAGTCATCACATCCTATGAGCCGATGGTTACTAACTCACCTTTCCTGAAGAGGCCGCAATTCATCCCGGCTTTGGGACTGCATAGTTTCTGGTGGAAAAGCCAGTACTTCAAACTTAACCGTAAGAAGGAATCTGTCTTCGATGATGGTGCGAGCAGCGGCGGATTCAGCGCTTTCAAGGACAAGGAAGACCTCACAATATCGTGTCTAGGGAGAAGCCCCGGTAAGCATAATTCATTCCCCCCTTGTTTTGTGAAGGCTATATAAACCTTCGCTAACAACACATTTCAGAACCGATCAAACAGCTTCTAGCCCATGCAAAAGAGCAGTACTACAGTGCCCATCAAGCCAGGACAATTGTAAAGCGACCGTTGCCGGGATACATGCGTAGAGCGCGGAATAATTGGCAACAAGTCGCTAACAGACCGGTACGAGAGATGAAGACGGTTGTTCTCGACCATCAGCAGAAACTTCAAGTCCTCGCCGATATGAACGAATATCTACACCCCGAGACCCCGCGATGGTATGCTAACCGTGGAATACCACTCCGTCGAGGGTATCTCTTTCACGGCCCCCCAGGCACTGGAAAAACATCACTGTCGTTTGCACTAGCCGGCGTGTTCGGCTTAGACATCCACGTCATTTCTCTTCTTGAGCCAACTTTGACAGAAGAAGATTTAAGCAGCCTATTCAGCACGCTGCCGCGCCGCTGTGTAGTACTGCTCGAGGATATTGACACAGCCGGTCTTCGACGCCCAGTCGACGAGCTTCGGGCCGCAGAAAGAGCTTCGAAGAAAGAGAAAGAGAACCCGAGCAAGGAGGAATCAAGCAAGACCACATCGAGCGACATCAAGGAGCTTGCCAAGGTTCTCAAGAAAGAAACGGAGGATAAGAAGGGCATTTCGTTATCAGGTCTGCTCAATGCCATCGATGGCGTAGCTAGCCACGAGGGCCGCGTCCTTATCATGACAACTAACGTCCCAGAGAGCCTCGACGAAGCACTGATCCGGCCGGGCCGTGTTGACCTGCAAGTTGAATTCACGTACGCCACGAAAGAGCAGGCCAGGGAGCTGTTCATCCGCATGTACGAGGGCGATCAAGGCCGACCACAGCGCCTCGATGATGCCAAACCTGTTCCCAACGGAACCGCTGTTACGTCCAACGAGAAAGTGTCAAGGCCCGCTAACGGTAGCGTGTTGTCCCCCGAGACGTCAAGCGCGCTGCGCTCGGGCGAGCTTGATATCACCATCGACGAACTCCCGGAGATTGCGCATCAGTTCAGCGAGAAGATCCCTGATGGCGAGTTCTCGCCCGCCGAGATCCAGGGCTACCTGCTCAAGCGCAAGAAGCACCCTCGCCGCGCCCTCGAGGAGACGGACAAATGGGTCGCGGCGTTGATCCAGCAGAAAATGAACCGGACCAAGATATCACAGGTTCAGTAAAGGGGCATGGAATTTGGCGGTTTGCAGTGAGTGTGCATGATGATGAGATATGGCTGAAAATACTGAAGAAGAAAAAAATCACGGTTATAATGCCATTTCAGTTCTCATAGAAAACCATGGAATTTAGAAAGTAGACAACGTTTATATTGCCCAGATGATCTATTCAGATCTAGCACGAGAAAGGCATATAATATCCAAGAAGCTAAGGCATTCATGAGTTCTCAATGCAGTGACATCAACCCAAGAAGTGACGCCTAAACCCATCGGTGTAAATGTTATCCTACCAAGTTATTACTCAGGGTTGGGAATTGATAATTACCTCATAAGTAGTTATAAATCTTTAAATCATGACAGTCACTTATACAAGACTTCGCAGTAGCTCCTGTATTAACTATTGCAGTAAATATTACAATAACTTTTGCAATACTCGAATACGGGGTATAAAAGTAGAACACGATACCCATCTCGACTTCCTCAACAGTCCGCCCAACTAACGCTACGCTCAGCAACTGGTCTGATCAAATCATCCGCGCACTCTCCGTCTTCCGGACGGATTGAAGCAGGGGGTGCTTCTTCACCCACTTTACCCACGTCATTCGTCTTATCTTCTACATTCTCTGTCCGAGTCTCCTTCCCTTTCCCCTTCTCTATCCTCCTTGCTTCACGTATCTTTGCCCTCCTCGTTCTCCACCGACAAAATACGCAAAGGGCAACCACGATAGCCGCGGTGCCGCCTAGGACGGCACCGATAATGATTGCGTCGCGGCATGAGATACGGCGTGCTTGAGGATTTGTGACGAGGGGTTAGTAAGTAATAGAGTAATAGAGAAATGGAGCTGGCTAGGAGATGGGAGTGCGCTGAGAACTGGAAAGAATGAGCAGTTTATAGAAATCATAGAAGTTCCTGAGCTATCGCCCTCGGGGGGGGGGGGGGGGGGGGGGGGCGGGGGGGGGGGGGCCGGCGGCGGGGGCGGGGGGGGGCGGCGGGCGGGGGGGGAGACGGATAG